GGCGGAGTAAAAGTAGAATAAACCGGTTAAAAACTAGAAAAGACGTGGCATTCAAAAATTTGACATCACACCTAAACTATCCGTGTGCACTCACACAAATGCAAAGCTCAGCTTAAATCAAACGCAGTATAACACTTATCGTTTGTCATTTGAGAATACAAATAACACAAAAAGCCTTACTAAGGGTTTACATGAAAACGTAGATATTGTAGTATTTCATTCATTAACCAATGACGATACTATGCTAAGAACGTGTGGTAGTAATTTCCAAGTGTTCCCGTAGGAACAAAACGGGATAAATTGATACATTATACTTTGACCTTCGCGAGTATACGTTAAAATTAAAATATGTATATGTGTCTGAATCATATCAAGGAACTATTTGGTCTAGACTTCATTCGATAATAAAAAGTAATGGAACAAATGAAATAAATAAGCAAAAATTAAAATACATATATAAAAAGGAAAGAAATTATTGTCTATGTATCGGAAAAACTAATCAAAATTTTAGTTTTTTAGTACGTATGTATGTATGTTTGTCAGTCAATTTAAATATACTGAACGGATTTTGATGTTATTTTTCGGTAACGTAGCTTCATCATCATCATCATTCTATCAGATCCCACAGCTGATAAAAAGGGCTCTTCTCACATGAAGAAGGTTTGAGAATTAATCACCACGCTTGCTCAAGACGGGTTGGTGATTTCAAACTTATAATTTGATATAAGTCTAGGTTTACTCACAATGTTTTCCTTCATCAGTCAGTTGTGTCTAAATACTTTTATAAAGTACATATGACTTTGATAAATCACATTAGTACTTGTCAGGTTTCGAACCCGCGCCCTCATGCATGAGAGGCGGACCTTTAACCTTTAGGCCACCATGACTTCGAATTTAGCTTAAAGGTCGAAAAACGACAAAGCTATAGATTGGCCAAAAGTTCCATTTACAACAGGTATCTTCTTCTTCCTGGCAATTTTCCAGATTAAGCCAGGGTCTGCCTTACATGTTGTGAATAGTTTTGGCTAATTGTTTTTACGACCGGCCGCCTGCCTGACATCAACCCTCTTTGGGAATGCATTAATCAGTGATGTCTAAATACTCTTAGAAAGTACATATGACTTGGTAAAATCACATTGGTACTTGCCAGGACCAGGATCGAACCCGCTCCCTCATACATGAGAGGCGGGCCTTTTAACTACTAAACAAAATATACATAATACATGAGGTCTATTGTGATTGAAATCCCACACGATAGTGGTCGCTGGCTTGCTTTAACACAGTTTAAACATTTTTCATTGAGCCAAATTCTAACGTCCAAGCGGACAAAGTTGCGGGCGTAACATAGTTTGTTATATAGGTTGAACTGAGTTGAAATTACCACTTAATTTACATAATATATATCTTCTTTATATATAAAGAAAGTCGTGTTAGTTACACTATTTATAACTCAAGAATGACTGTACGGATATGGTTGGAATATTTTAGATAGATAGCTTAGGACAAGGAGACGGACATAGGATATTTAATTCTGTTCGATCTAAACAGAAAAGAAAACTAAATATATTCCAATATCTGGTTATTTACGGCCTCCATGACGGAATAGAGTTTTGTCCGGTCAGCTATACAGGGTGACTGGTGAATTACTATCGATATTTGAGGACGTGATATTTGATGATCATATATGACGAAATAAAAATTAATATAACATAAATATTAATAAACTTCTAAGTAAAGTTAACCAAAAGTTATGTAATTAATTACGCATCGTATGAACACCCTACAGATTAGGTATATATACACACACACACACACGCGTGTCGTGACGTGTTGTTGTATCAGCACGCCGCCGCACGCATCCACACTTGGAACACTTGGAACGTGTACACACTTTATTTATTTATACGGAAATTTGGTCAAAAATTAAGTACCTATTTTTTTTACATAATTCGAATGAGAATCATGTACCGAGTATGCTCCTTAAATATTGATAGTAATTCACCAGTCACCCTGTATATTAGTAATTCTGAAATGAATGCGGACGAAGTCGCAGGCAAAAACTAGTATATATATGATTTATTTCAGACCATCATTACGAATATTAAAAAATGCGAACGTAACTCTGTCTGTCTGTTTGTTTCGCTTTCACGCCTAAACCACTGAACTGATTTTAATGAAATTTGGTACAGAGATAGAGTTGACCTTGACAAAGAACATAGGATAGTTATTATCCCAGACCTTTGAAAAGTTCTCTTGGAAACGCGATATAACCGAACTCCACACAGGCGAAGCTGCGGGCGGAAAGCTAGTTCTAAGTATATAAAATATAAAAATATAGATTATTTGTTTAATTTTAATATATAATGAATATTATTTTAAACACTACTTAACCTCCATCCCTAAATTTTTACTAATACGACTGTTCCCAAATAACTCGACAATGTCTGAAATAAAAATCAATATACGCAAGGTCGTTTGAAATGGGTCGTGCCTAAGATTCACGTTTTAACCGACAGCGGATATGCAGGTTCTGTGTTTGTCACTAATCCGTCAGACAGATGTGGGGCTTCAATGTATTTACTAAGGCAGGGACAAAGAAAAATATATTTTTTATTAAACAACTCTAATATTGTATTGTTTTAGGTATAAATATTTTTTAATCACCAACCCGTCTTGAGCAATCGTGGTGATTAATGCTCAAACCTTCTCCATGTGAGAAGAGGCCTTTGATTAACAGTGGGCTCTGATAGGCTGATGATGAAATATTTTTTGTATATAACATTTCTAATTGTTAGTTATGATCTCTCAAACTATTATTAAATCCAATACTAATTATTTAATTCAGTAAATTTCGATAAAATGTATGTATGTATGAGACGGAATCTCTCATCATTTAATGTATTTCTCGTACGTGTGTCGGGTCCATCGTTGTAGTGAGAGGAGCTTCAACAGTGACTGGGACTTGTGACCCAGGTGTAGGTTTAAGGGACCCCTATCTAACGCGCGTTAAACGCTCACCTACACCGTCCAAGCTACTCTCAATACTTGTACTCTTTCATATAAAGACTACTGAATTTATTATGATAAAACTTTACTATAATATATAGAGTGTATATCAGAATAAAATATAGGTGATAATTTATCAAGCAATTCACGGGATTAACGCTTGATAATTGTATTGAATATTAATCCACTTTATACATTTCTCACTGGATCTGAATGCGGGCGAAGTCACGGGCTAAAACTAGTTTATTACAAAGTCGTAATGCGTTGACGGACTCTTATACTAGCCTTACTATTAGTTTCTATCGTCGAAGGACATACAGAGATACAGAGAGTTTTCCGTTTTCATTAATACTCAAGTTGACACTCACGTATTTACTGACGTGTGAATGATAAACTACGTACTTTGTGTGTGCAGTTTGAGGTATAAAACATGTATACTATACTAATTTTTGCTCGCGTCTTCGTCCGCGTTAATTTCGGACTTAGTAATATATGTTTAGCTTGCCGGGCGTACTTTACTCTCCCTTAGAGGCAGTAAATTGAGTAAAGCAGGGAATTGAGTTTATCAAGTTTTTTTTGTTTCGATCGAACAGAATTAATTATCCTATGTCCGTCTCCCGGTTCTAATCTATCTCTTCACTAATTTAAATCCAAATCCGGACAGCCGTTCTTGAGTTATAAATAGTGTAACTAACACGACTTTCTTTTATATATATAAAGTCAACCTTTACATAACACATACATATTCGACCTATTAAAACAAATTGTTTGTCTTTTTTATCAGCTGATCGTCCTACGTTAGAATAAACACGTAACATAATTACGTATTACGTAACCTGCTGTTATATTTTTAACGTACTACTTTAAGACGTAAGCTTCCGTTCGTGAATGAATTGCGTAATGATTTCTTTTACGTTTTATTTTACGTGCAATGGTCGTGCTACTTATGAGTAAGTGTTGTACTAGGAAGAGCGAAATAAATAGATTTTTTGTTGGAAAAAATAAACTTAATGTTATCATAAATTGAAGGGCTTTGATACGGCTGTATAGTTGGTTATTCGTCTGGAAAATACCTGGCATGTCACGGGTTCAAATCCCGAATTTGTCTATACCTTTTCCCTTCTAATTCAATCATTTGTTACAAAACAAATACTTAAACAATAATGAGATCTAAGTTTGCGAGTATACATTTAAATGAAACTAATATTTTACGCATATACTACGCGTGCTTTATTTTTGTAAAAACTACATACTCCCGACGTTTCGGTTACTTTACAGCAACCGTGATCATACGGACAGACGAGATAGTTTTACTACGCCCACGACTATGAGTGTAAAACTTTATTAAATTATTATTTTCCAAAATATTACTTGATATAATGTTTGAGACCTTCTCGAGAATTAATTGAAACGATACTTATATTTACTGATGATTATTGCGCGTATTTTATTGTTTTAAACGACATACTCCCGACGTTTTGGTTACTTTTCAGTAACAGTGCTGAATCTGAAAAATATTACTTTCATTTACTTAAAGAATAACCATAAAGTATTTGAATAATATGGATCGGTGTACTAAGTTTAAAGTCTCATATATTCTATTCTATGCTTTTTACTCTAAACAAATTGATGACGTCATTAATATTCTAATTACTTCATATATTTAAGTTCTACCTCTACCTGGCAATTTCCCAGCTATAGCCAGGGTCTGCCTTACATGTTTTGAATAATTTTTGGCTATTTGTTTTTACGACCGGCCGCCTGCCAGACATCAATCCTCTTTGGGAATCATTTATCAGCGATGTCTAAACTATTCTTAGAAAATATCGAACCCGCGCCCTCGTGCATGAGAGGCGGGTATTTTAACCACTAGGCCACCACTTTATATATATTAAGTAACCAACAAAAATTGGCAGACCCTGGCTAAACCTGGGAAATTGCCAGGAAGAAGATATTAAGTAACAAACCATTTACGTATATTTATTTGTATACAGGTCAAATTTAATAGAAGATCAGGTCAAGGGCATTGAACTTCAAGAAACAACAACCTGGTCTGACCTCTCTGGAGACATAAAGGTCAACTATATTGGTAAGGTCAAACCATCAAGAGACGAGGTCAAAGATATTGAAGTGCTAAAAGAAAACAAATACGTACCACTCAGTGAAATAGAAACAGAATTTATAGATAGAAATGATCTCAATGGTATAGAGATGAACAATGATAGGAGAAAGAGAGATAATGATAATGATATAAATGATAGGAGAAAGAGAGATATCATTAAAGATCTCAATCATGAGATGTGGAAGATGAATGATGGTAAAGTACCAGAGAGGCCGCCAGAGATGTTTCAGAACGACGGTGTGGCTAATGTGGTCAATCCTCAACTTGGTGATTTCACTGTGGTCAGAACAGATGCTGTGCCAATATTCGTTGAGGGTTTGAGGGTAGAAGACGCTGCAAAGGAACCGAAGATTATAGAAGAGGGTATACCAAGCGTTTTAGCTGATACGAAGGTTGTTCTTAGGTATGCTTAAAATATACAGGGTGACTGGTGAATTACTATCAATATTTAAGGAGCATACTCGGTACATGATTCTCATTCGAATTATGTAAAAAAAATAGGCACTTAATTTTTGACAAAATTTCCCTATAAATAAGTAAAGTGTTGACACGTTCCAAGTGTTCAAGTGTGGACGCGTGCGGCGACGTGTTGATACAACACCACGTCACGACATGCGTATGTGTGAGTGTCAGTGTATACCTAATCTGTAGGGTGTTCACACGATGCATAATTAATTACATAACTTTTGGTTAACTTTACTTAGAAGTTTATTAATATTTATGTTATATTAATTTTTATTTTGTCATATATGATCGTCAAATATCACGTCCTCAAATATCGATAGTAATTCACCAGTCACCCTGTATATGAACAAAGTAGAAGCAAAAAGTATGTTAATTCAAATTCTTTGTCCATTCACTAGTATTGTTATATACAAAGAGAGTTAAGTAATGAATGTTTTTCTTTGAAAAGCTTTTTGTATAGTGTTTTCTTAACAATTCTTAGAATAATAGGTACCTACATTATAGCAGTTTGTACGGCCTTCAAAAGAATGTTAATTTTGTTAATGCTAGATCATTGTGAAGAAGCATAGGTAATCATAGGTAATCATAGGTAATCATTGGTGATGCTTTTAGGCTATTCGGCCAAGGTTTCACCCCAAGGACGGTAATCGCTTTTACACAAGATCCCATGGATTACGGTCAGCCTTGCAAGTTTCTTGTTAAAGGGGAATATATGGTGAGTAGCAGTAGTAGTAGTAGTAGAAGTTTGATAACATTGAATAGAATAAAAATAAATAGTTTCCATTCGTCCCAGAAACATATATAGTTCTAAAATATCCACAATAATTGGTTCTCGAACTCACGCGTAATTCACTTTCAGGCTATGGAGGGATCCGTAACGAAATCCTCAGTACTATTCGATATAATAGCACCATCACCGATAGTCGGTTCCAAATTATATATATGCGCGAAAAATTTAAAACCAGGCATCACTGACCCTAATAAGGACGAAGAGAAATACATTCACCAGGGTACGGAGAAGTTTAAGATATTGGCTACCCATAATAAACTACTACCGCTATGGGTGTCATTAACATTGATTCTCGTCTGCCTAATGTTCTCCGCATTATTCTCCGGATTAAATCTCGGTCTCATGTCGTTGGATAGGACGGAATTGAAAATCATTTCCAACACAGGGACAGAGCAGGAAAGGAAATACGCCAGGGCCATCATGCCGGTTCGAGATCATGGAAATTATTTGCTATGCAGTATTCTGTTGGGCAATGTGGCAGTTAATTCCACATTCACGATACTCCTGGATGAATTGACTTCTGGTCTGTTTGCTGTAATATTCTCGACGCTGGCTATAGTACTGCTGGGTGAGATCACTCCGCAAGCTATCTGTTCGAGACACGGGCTCATGGTAGGGGCTAAAAGCATCGTTATTACTAAGGTGAGTGAGCTAGTTTTTATTATAATGGATATTTTATGGCACCATATATACAGGGTGACTGGTGAATTACTATCAATATTTAAGGAGCATACTCGGTACATGATTCTCATTCGAATTATGTAAAAAAAATAGGTACTTAATTTTTGACCAAATTTCCGTATAAATAAATAAAGTGTGTACACGTTCCAAGTGTTCCAAGTGTGGACGTGTGCGGCGGCGTGCTCATACAACACTACGCCGCCGCCGCGTCTGTGTGAGTGTGTGTGTATACCTAATCGGTAGGGTGTTCATACGATGCGTAATTAATTACATAACTTTTGGTTAACTTTACTTAGAAGTTTATTAATATTTATGTTATATTAATTTTTATTTTGTCATATATGATCGTCAAATATCACGTCCTCAAATATCGATAGTAATTCACCAGTCACCCTGTATATATACTAGCTATTCGCCCGCGTGGAGTTCGGTTATATCGCGTTTCCAAAAGAACCTTTCAAAAGTCTGGTATAAAAACTATCCTATGTTCTTCCTCAAGGTCAACTCTATGTCTGTACCAAATTTCATTAAAATCAGTTCAGTGGTTTTAGCGTGAAAGCGTAACAGACAGACAGACAGAGTTACTTTAGCATTTATAATATTAGTAGGGATTTGTTTAAATAGAATAGTATTGACTAGTGAGTAGTTATATTTTTTATTGTCAAAGTGATTTATTAGTAGGAACTATCGTTAAATTTAAAATAGAATTAGGGCATTTTTAATAATTTTACTAAACGTAATCTCCATAGCTTTGTAACTGTAAAAAATATATCAATTGCATATTCTTTCTTATTATTGATTTTAAATACTTACAATATTGTGATAATATATAAGAGTACAATTTTTAAGTCTTTTAAAATGTATAGTGCGTTTGATTTAAGCTGAGCTTTGCATTTGTGTGAGTGCACACGGATAGTGTAGGTGTGATGTCAAATTTTTCTAGTTTCGAACCGGTTTATTCTGCTTTTACTCCGCCCCGCACCTTCCTCACTTCACCCTTTGTACTGGTAGCAACGTGATTTATTTAATACTTAATATGTCATATTTAGAAAAAAATTAACAATTTGTTTTTTATATAAACAATACATCAGATGACAGTAATGATGATTATAATGAAAATATTGAAAAAGCAATGTGAAGTGAAGAATTTGTAGTTTTTTCAAAAAATATATATATAATTTGGTTAGGTAGAGAGAGGAGCTTGGATAGTAGAGGTGATCGTTTAACGTTAGATAGGTGTCCCTTAAACCTACACCTGGGTCACAAGTCCCAGTCACTGTTGAAGCTCCTCTCAATACAACGATGGACCCGACACACGCACCGTGAATACATGGAATGATGAGAGGTTTCGTCTCTCTCTACTATACATACTATTTAAATCTGACCTTTTACAAATTTTGCTTATTTTATTTTTAGTCTAGAATAACTCTCGTACTTATGTTATATATCTATTTAAAAAATAATAAAATTTAGTTCCAAATCTTTTTAGTCTAACTATACTTTTACTTTCACTCACACGGATGCAAAGCTCAGCTTAAGTCTAACGGACTATACCAATCATTTTTACGTAATTCGTCTATATATGAACAAAGGATTCTTCACCAGGCGGTGATGGCACTCACAGCGCCTCTAGCGTTTCCGGTGAGCAAACTTCTGGATTACTTCCTGGGTGAAGAAATTGGCAGCGTCTACAACAGAGAGAGACTCAAGGAACTAGTGAAGGCAAGTAACTTATGATAAGCCTCTATAGTGTTCATTACTCTGTAATAGTCATTATAGTCAGTGGTGGCCTAGTGGTTAAAACTTCCGCCTCTCATGCATGTCGGCGCGGGTTCAATCCTGGCAAGTACCAATGTGATTTTTACGAGTCATATGTATGTTATAAGAGTATATAGATATCACTGATTAATGCATTCCCAAAGAGGGTTGATGTCAGGCAGGCGGCCGGTCGAAAAACAATTAGCTAAAACTATTCACAACATGTAAGGCACACCCTGGCTATAGATGGGAAATTGCCAGGTAGAAGAAGAGACGTATACTCATACTTATACTGATTATATTTCAATCAAGTTTTATATGAATATAGTCGAAAATTTAGAAAATATTTAAGGATGCATTTTTTTACGTAAAACATATATGAAACCTATATAAAATTTCATAATCCGGAGAATTTTGTTAAATTATAATAGTTTATTGGAATTTGAGCATTTTATTCAAGAGAATAAGCATAATGTATTGGGTATTTTATCCTATGTTCTTTCTCAAGGTCAACTCTATATCTGTACCAAATTTCATTAAAATCAGTTCAGTGGTTTAGGCGTGAAAGCGTAACAGACAGACAGAGTAACTTTCGCATTTATAATATTAGTAGGGATAAATTAGTATACTAGTCAAAATACTACTATACTAATACTAGGGATAAATCAGTGGTGGCTCAGTGGTTAAAGGGCCCGAATCTCGGCCTCTCGTCGCCGAGGGCGCGGGTTCGATCCTGGCTCGGGCAAGTACCAATGTGATTTTTCCGAATCATATGTACTTTCTAAGAGTATTTAGACATCACTGATTAATTTTGATTCCCAAAAGAGGGTTGATCTCAGGCAGGCGGCCGGTCGTAAAAACAAGTAGCCAAAAACTATTCATAACATGTAAGGCAGACCCTGGCTATAGTTGGGAAATTGCCAGGTAGAAGAAGAAGAAATTAGTATACTAGTATTTTAAAATTTATATGATAATTTTTAAACAAAATACTACTCGAATTTAGTATTCATTTTGAAATAACTCGTTCTTAGAGCAGACGAAGTTATCTTTGGCGAATATTTTGGCAATGTCATATGTATGTCTGTTTTACAACCAGGTGTTACGACTTCTCATCGATAAATCTTAAATACAACAAAAATAATTAATAATAATTATAATTTGATAGCTTATTGGAGCCAAAGATTTGTCTAAAATTATAGTATTGAATTAAATATGCAAAGAAATTTTTAAAGTCAGTGGTGGCTTAGTGGTTGAAAGGCCCGACTCTCAGACACGAGGGCGCGGGTTCGATCCTGGCCCTGGCAAGTATCAATGTGATTTATCCGAGTCATATGTACTTTATAAGAGTATTTAGACACCACTGAATGATGAAGGAAAACATCGTGAGGAAACATGGACTTATAATTTAATTATAAGTTTGAAATCACCAACCCGTCTTGAGCAAGCGTGGTGATTAATGCTCAAACCTTCTCTATGTGAGAAAGAGGCCTTTGCTCAGCAGTGGGCTGTGATAGGCTAAAACAAAATACTAATAATATATATTTGTTTTTGACCACTTTGTCTATACGTACATAACTACTATTCTATTTTTTTCTTAGTCTCAAATAACTTTATCCATCAGAAGTTTTTTGGTAAAATTTTCTAATGATATGCTACTTTTAATCGGCTATCAATTATGTAGGAATCAAAAATACTTCGAAATAACCATAATCGCACCAAAAAAACTATAACTAAACTAGCTTTCCGCCTCCAACTTCGTCCGCGTGGAGTTCGGTTATATCGCGTTTCCAAGAGAACCTTTCAAATGTCCGGGATAAAAACTATACTATGTTCTTTCTCAATATCAACTCTATATCTGTACCAAATTTCATTAAAATCAGTTCAGTGGTGTAGTCCTGAAAGCGTAACAGACAAACAGAGTTACTTTCATAAACCTTAGTAACAGTTTCAAAGTTCAATAAAACTTTGTAACTGTTCGTTTTTAGTTTAATACAAACTCGGACTAATTTTCCTAAAGCTCCAGGTGACTACTGATGTCAATGACCTCGACAAAGATGAAGTGAACATCATCTCTGGAGCATTGGAACTGAGGAAGAAAAAGGTTTCAGATGTGATGACGAAGCTTGAAGATGTTTTCATGCTGCCTATCACCTCGGTTCTGGACTTTGAGACCATGTCAGAGATCGTCAAGTCTGGTAAGTGAAAAAATGATCATAATTTTCATCGTGATCATCATTTTCATCATCATCTGTACTGGACTTTGAGACTATGTCAGAGATCGTCAAGTCTGGTAAGTGGAGAAATAATCATCATAAAATAACATTTACACAAACAAACAAGCATAACTTAAGAAACAGACATAAACTTGAATCACCTAAAGTCAGAACCTTAAATTATATATAAAAATATACGTTTTGATCGAATAAAACTATATAATGATTTGCCAAACTACATAAAGGAATGTAAATGTTTAATTGTTTTTAAAAATAAACTTAAAATATATATATTAGACAATATTAAGTAGTACTAGCCGTTCCATGTATCAAATATTAATGTATATGTAACATTATTTAATCTCATGTAAGTGAAGCTATATATGTTCTTATGAGAATCTTTAACCATTATCATCGTTTTCATAATTTTCATCAAGTCTGGTAAGTCATCATCATCATCATCATCATTGTTCTATGATGATTTCATAATTGTCATCACTGTCTCATTTCTGTTAATAGTGTAACAACCAAGAACAATTTGTGTGGTATCTCATAAGTATCCATAGAATTAGTTACAGTTTGCTTTTAACTAAAAAAAACAGGTTTTGGTTTTCATTTCCTTATTCATAAAAATCTATATTTAGATCTATCTAAACATAAAGTTTTATTAATTCCGGTTTAGCATTTTTTTCATAGGAATATACTTTATATAGCAGAATTTTTAATTCGTTTTTATATGAATATACCAGAGTTAATACTTCATTAATATTTGCATATATGTACACGAATATATAGGTCACATTAAATTGTGTATTTCTTGATGTTTATTAGACTTTCACACTAAAACTACAGAAAAAATAGTAATGAAACTTCTTAATACCAATAGTATAGTAATAAATTAAACACTAAATAATTACTAAGTGATAAAAAATTATCTTAAAAGTCATTAATATAGTTTATATTATATTTTTCAGCTTGAACTTTATTCTCATAATCTGCTTCCAATGTAGATACGCGGAATTATACAATGCTAGTTATTCGGATTTGCACTATACACGACGACCCATATTTTAACCCAATTCGATAGTCCAACGGGCATAGTAGGGGACATAAATATGTCATGATAATAAACTTATGAAAGAAATCTATTTTTATATACCATTCTGTTAAATAACGTAGTTTGGACGTGATCCAGACGTAACAACGTAAACAATCTCAGTGTGTCACGTTGTATGGTATTTAAAAATTATGCACATACATATATCTTATATATAAAATTCTCGTGTCGCGGTGTTAGTTAGACCGATTTTGATGAAATTTTGTGAGCATATTGAGCAGGTCTGAGAATCGGACAACATCTATTTTTCATACCCCTATATCATTGTTGTTCACCCTTAATTATTTTTTTGGACGATTATTTTTGTTTATATTTGTTTACTTTTTAACCCAAAATTTTTACTTTTTATATCACCATCCCCTATTTTTTTTTAGGCAAAACAACGTTTGCCGGGTCAGCTAGTATACATATACATACATATAAAGCATCTATCTTGAAATGTGGACAATTTTATCTCGACTTCACGGGATCAGGGTTGTAAAGTGACTGAAACGTTTTGAATATGAAAAATTATTAAGGCTTCATTAAGATCGAATTGTTTACTTTTTCCAATAAATTGTATATTTTTTCAAGGGACCAATTGGTTGTATATGAATTTTGTTTTTCATTCATCAAATGAATACTCGCTAAAGTAGATATCATAAATCTTTTCCTGTTTATTTATAGTTTTTAACAATATGAGTAAGTGGAAATGAATATCATTCGCATAGAGAGCTGATGTCATGAAGGCGGCCGGTCGTAAAAACAGTTAGCCAAAACTATTCACAATATGTAAGGCAGACCCTGGCTAAAGCTGGGAAATTGCCAGGAAGAAGATGAGTAAATGGAAATGTTACTGTAAAGAACTTCAACTCTTTTATTATTATCAATTCAGAGACCAAAATATGACTTATTATATTATTTTACTGTATAGACTCAAATTTATACGATTACATATAGCTCCAAAAGATATGAATTTTGTAATATTAATATTCTTTGACAGATATCAACTTTCTCCTCATCTACTTTATACAATTTTAATAAAATTATATGTGTTGGTGTACAATAAACAATTTTATAATATATCTAAGATTTCCCCATGCCATATTTAAATGAAACTAAGTTTTTGAGATACTCAATATATTTATTATATATCTACATAATTCAGATATTTCGGATCCTTTATAGCGACTTTCATCACGAGCAGACGAGATGAAATTGTCCAATAAATGTGAAAATATTTGTAATAATGATAAAAAGTAGCATCTGAAAAACTTGTATTAATTTAAATTTTATAATAATGGATCAATACCAAGAAAAAATGACCTCGAAGTTTAAGAATAAATTGTAAAAACAATTGCCTAATATTTATAATCGAAAATACAAAGAAGTAGCTACTTTTAGTTTCTTTTAAAATATGAACCAATTCTAAGTGTATAAAATATATCTATTGAAGATATTATATGACCCAATAGTGTCTCCATAGATTTTTACATTTTAAAAAGGATGACGTCATTAGTTCTGACGTCATAGGTACTATGTTTTACTATTGTCAGTATCAGGATTTTGAGGGAAGTAACGGTCTTATACTAAAGCATACGTGGCATAGTCAGTGCTGGCCTAATGGTTAGAGGGCCCGCCTCTCGTTGCCGAGAGCGCGGGTTCGATCCTGGCCCGGGCAAGTACTAATGTGATTTTTCCGAGTCATATGTACTTTCTAAGAATATTTAGACATCACTGATTAATGCTGATGCCCAAAAGAGGGTTGATGTCGCAGGCGGGCCGGTCGTAAAAAACAATTAGCCAAAACTATTCACAAGATGTAAGGCAAGAGACCCTGGCTATAGCCGGGAAATTGCCAGGCAGAAGAAGACTAAAGCATACGTGGCAATCTGCTAAGACGATAGGGTAACCTTTGTGATTTAGTGAATAGTTCCAGGTCAATGCCATACCTCTTAATTCGCTTGGCTGGGAAGTATGTATGTGATAAATGCCTTGCCTAATTTCAAATAGAAATATTAAAGGAAAACTCATAATTATTGTATTTCGAAGTCAGTTACATTCACCAGCTCGAATGAGTCTTCAGTACAGTCCCATATTTATACCATACAATTCTTTTTGTAACTCCTCACGCAGTTGGTAGCACATTTGATACTTGATAATCTCTTTCTTAATTAATTTGGCAAATAACAGGCATTTAGGTAAATACAAATTTCGTAAAAAATAAAAGCATGGGTTAATATTTTAGTTCTTCATTTTGGACTAACGTAATGTCAGTTTTCCTACATTCAAATAGTATAAGAGATGAAAGCTTTAATATCTAAGCAGAACTTTATTTATAAATGACATTGTCTTGTCGTTTCCACCAGTCGTGGTGGCTTAGTGGTTAAAAGGCCCGCCTCTCGTTGCCGAGGACGGGGTTCAAACCTGGTAAGTACCAATGTGATTTTTCGGAGTCATATGTACTTTATAAGAGTATTTAGACATCACTGACTGATGAAGGAAAATATCATGAGGTAACCTGGACTTATAATTTCACAATTATAAGTTTGAAATCACCAACCCGTCTTGAGCAAGCTTGGTGATTAATGCTCAAACCTTCTTCGTGTGAACAGGCCTTTGCTCAGCAGTGGGCTCTGATAGGCTGATGATGATTATCACAAATATTATCCCAAGGATAAAAAAAAGTTCTAATATAAATTCTATTTAAATTTTTGTTATTTAACGCCCTTAAGATAAAATTATATAACGAGAACCATATACTAGTAATATTAATATTGTTCCAGTCTCAGACTTGGATGTCATCCAAAAACGCAACTACTATATATAGTGACGATATACGCTTCGTTAAAACAAAGCTATGCACGTTCATTTATGACAAATATTTCGTGTATTAGTACTACTTTTAAAAGAAAAATTAGGTAAACAGATCGTTAAGTAGCTAATACGTCATCAGCTTATTGATGCCTAATGCTGAACAAAAGCATCTTCTTAAATGGAGAAGGTTAGAGCATTAATCACCACGCTTGCTCAAGACGGGTTGGTGATTTCAAAACTTACAATTTGAATTTATAAGTCCATATTTCTTCACGATGTTTTCCTTCATTAATCAGTGTTGTCTAAATACTCTTATAAAGTACATATGACTCGAAACAATCACATTGGTACTTGCCAGGTTTTGAACCCGAAATTTCTATTAATATGATATAATTATTTCATTATATGACTTAACTCTCATCAATTTAGGTATTTTATATAGAATGACACCAATACATAGTTTTTATAATTATATATATAATAATATGTCCTCATTTCCATCTACGGTTTGTCTTATAACATATAATATACAGAAGTTATGACACGTTTCCATTCTACCTAGATGATGGAATATTGTTTATCATATATATCTGATTTATAAGCTATATTATTGCAAAGTTTCATCAAAATTAATTCAGTAGTTTTGTAGTGGAAGAGTGACAAACAACAACATCCATGAGATCTAAGATATTCGCAAGTTTTATTCATTTAAATGAAACTAATATTTTTCGCATATCCTACGCGTGCTTTATTTTCGTAAACTACATACTCCCGACGTTTCGGTTACTTTACAGCAACCGTGATCATTAAGACGAGATGTGAATGTCTGTCAGTTGTTCAACCAACCAAGTATGTAGTTTTTTACAAAAATAAATCCGATAAATATTAGTTTCATTTAAATGAATATTAACAAGATATACATTTTCATTTATAATATTTCATCATAAAGTCTTATCACGAAGACGTACGATCTAATTCGTAAGCTATTTTTCATCTCCAGACATTTTTTATTCCATTCTTTCATATGAAGGTGTTGAGGAGATATCCTTGAACAGACAGACAAACACATTGAAAACAGAGTCATAAATATACGTCATTACCTCTATATATATGTATATACCAGCTGACCCGGAAAACGTTGTTTTGCCATATAAAAAAATAGGGGTTGGTGATAAAATAGTAAAAATATAGGGTTGTATGTATTTTCTAATGGTACATTAAAAAATAATAGAAAAAAATAAATTTCGTACAAAAATTAAGGGTGAACAACCCTTATAACTTAGGGTTATGAAAAATAGATTTTGGCCGATTCTCAGAGCTTCTCAATATGCTCACAAAATGTCATCAAAATCTGTCCAGTCGTTTCGGAGGAATTTTCTGTCTAACACCGCGACACTCCAATTTTATATATAAGATATATGTATGTATAGTACTTGACCGAACAGGAATATAATTATTAATTTTATTATTCTGCTTGCTTCATAGTGCAATAGACATTTCCTTTGTCATTTACCGATTAATTTATATGGTTTCGTAATTGACGTAGCTATTGCATGTGCATACTAGTTCGAGCCCGGGACTTTGTTCGCGAAAATGTTATGTGTGCTGAGATTTTTAGATTTAGTGACAAACAAACACATTTATCTTTATAAATATATATATAAAACTAGCTTTCCGTCCGCAGCTTCGCCCGCGTGGAGTTCGGTTATATCGCGTTTCCAAGAGAACCTTTCAAAAGTCTGGGATAAAAACTATCCTATGTTCTTTCTCAAAGTCAACTCTTTCACTGTGCCAAATTTCATTAAAATCAGTTCAGTGGTTTAGGCGTCAAAGCGTAACAGACAGACAGACAGACTTACTTTCGCGTTTATAATATTAGTAGGGATTGATTAAAGTCTGTTGCAGTGAATGCTTAGAAGATTTCATAAATGCTTGACAAATTCCTGTTAAACAGTTCCATGGAATAAAATTGTAATAAAAATGTTCTACTGAAAGCAATATGTATATTACAAGCATCGTCAAACTATATGTGACTAGTTTTTGTTTTCGTTTATATTATTAGAACTTGGCTTATTAGAGTGGAGGTGATCGTTTAACGTTAGATAGTGCCCCTTAAACCTACACCTGGGTCACAAGTCCCAGTCACTGTTGAAGCTCCTCTCACTACAACGATGGACCCGACACACGCACCGTGAATACATTGAATGATGAGAGATTTCGTTCCATTCTTCTCTATTGATATTAGCAGACCCGTCAGGAGTTTTCTTTTCGTGAAAAAGATGTCACTTCTACCATGGAGCTGGGAGAAGGTTTTTGTTTCTTCTTACTAACAACTATGGATTTATATGACGTGGTTTATAGTTCTACTAGCTTTCCGCCCGCAGCTTCGCCGCGTGGAGTTCGGTTATATCGCGTTTCCAAGAGAACCTTTCAAAAGTCTGGGATAAAAACTATCCTATGTTCTTTCTCAAGGTCAACTCTATCTCTGTACCGAATTTCATTAAAATCAGTTCAGTGGTTTAGGCGTGAAAGCGTAGCAGACAGACAGACAGACAGACAGACAGAGTTACTTTCGCATTTATAATATTAGTAGGGATCAGATGCAACTAATATACGTAAATGTAAAAATAACTTACTTTATAATTTTGGTTGGTTGTTTTATGTATGGCCTAAAAGTCAGTGGTGGCCTAGTAGTTGAAAGGTCCGCCTCTCATGCATGACGGCGCGGGTTCGATCCTGGCAAATACCAATGTAATTATTCCGAGTCATATGTATGTACTTTCTAAGAGTTTTTAGACATCACTGATTAATGAATTCCCAAAGAGGGTTGATGTCAGGCAGGCGGTCGGTCGTAAAAGAAATTTGCCGACACTATTCACAACATGTAAGGCAGACCCTGGCTAAAGCTGGGAAATTGGCAGGTAGAAGTTTTAAATATGGCCTTCATCAGTGCAATAACGTGCACCGTATATACTACCAGTGTATTTATAATTTTATGCTCTTCGCTAAAGAAACTGTCCGTCAAACAAGACAGTTATTTTTTTTACAGTTAAAAAAGTTTTGTTAAACAGGTAAAATAGTATAAATAATTCACGATATCAGTGTGAATGAAGCCTTAGCTCAGTTAATAATACATAGTTTATCGTTAGTATTTCATAAATTTTCGTAATTTCTGTTCAATTTCTTTTATTCGTAATCTAAGGACTACTACGAATAGAAATAGACAGTATTAAAAGATGAATAATATAAGAGTAATGAGCCGTTCAGAAGAAAAGTAGGTATTATTAATTTTTTTGGCCGTCTATCTTATAATGTCTAGACGAATTTTAATGAGACTTTTACTTATTGATAGAGCAAGTTTTAGATAATTTAATATAACATATGACGCTTCATATGAGGATAAATATAGTCGTAAAATATGGTTTTATGTATATATATTCCTATTGTTCTTTTGCAAGCAAGAGTTTTAAATATATTTAACAATTGGTCCATAAAAAACTCGATCTATATATTAATAAAGTATACTGGGTTGTAAATTGTCTGTATTTATGGTTGTGGAGAAGCGCAAGTAGATTTCAATTGTCCTAATATATGTAGATATAATATACATATGTTCTTATATAAATAATAATGAAAAACCTGGACTTATATTTTCACAATTATAAGTTTGAAATCACAAACCCGTCTTGAGCAAGCGTGGTGATTAATGCTCAAACCTTCTCCATGTGAGCCAGAGGCCTTTGCTCAGCAGTCGGCTCTGATAGGCTGATGACGACATTTCACGAATAGAAGATATAATTAGTTCCTTTAGCTAGCATTATCTTTGGAACAGGTTTCTCCCGTATCCCAGTATACGAGGGTACTCGCACCAACATCGTGACGGTGCTGTTCATCAAGGACCTGGCGTTCGTGGACCCTGACGACAACACGCCTCTCAGAACACTCTGCCAGTACTATCAGAACCCCTGCAACTTCGTCTTTGAGGACGTTACGTTGGATGTCATGTTCAAGCAGTTCAAAGAAGGTCAGTGTATCATAATAAAGAATCTTCTTTGCAAAGAAATAAGCTCATGTCCTATTTAGATGCAGGCATTCTTACGATTCGTCAGCATAATATCAATATTTTGTTATTAAAGTCTCATTTTTTATCCACAAAAACTTTTATATTGGACATTTTTGCTATCGTTTTGTGACTTAATTCTGACCTGTTAAGTTACTATATTAGAAAAGTCTCCAATAATAAGACGTTAGTAGCATGACTTCATACACATTCCGTAGCATATGTATGAAGGTCAAAGGTCAGATATTGTTCCAAAGGTCACAAGGGTCACATGGCGTTCGTGCACCGTATCAACAACGAGGGCGAGGGTGATCCCTTCTACGAAACAGTCGGGCTGGTGACGCTGGAGGACGTGATCGAGGAGATGATACAGGCTGAGATCGTTGATGAAACGGATGTGTTCAGTGAGTACATGATGATGGCAGACCCTGGCTAAAGCTGGGAAATTGCCAGGAAGATGATGATGATGATGTATGGGTATTGGATGAACAGCTCAGGTGTCTTAGGATAGACTATTAGTGTGAGAGATTTGAATGGATATATAGATTCTATAGTACTCAATGTTTTGATGATTTAAATGAAAAGTAAATGAAAAGTAAGTAGATGATGACGAATGGATGAACAGCTCAGGAGTCTTAAAATAGACTATTATAATGAGAGATTCTGATGAATATACAGTTTATAGGTCATTCATTTAATTATATTTTTATATGAAAGATATATTTTGAATCAAAGACTAGTAAGCAGAATATTTATAGGTATTGTGATTTCTATGATAGTTCACACATCATTAATATTCCATAAGATTTTCTTCTTCAATAGTTGGAATCAAAAAAATCCTACATTAGTTCAATAAATGGCCCCATTCTCTACAATATGTCCCATGGAAACGGCAAAAAACAATAGGATAGCTATGTAATGGAATTAATAATTGTATCTTCCTCATCATTTAGCGGACAATCGTTCGAAAAGGCGTCGCAACCGCCCCCAGAACAAGTTGCAAGACTTCGCAGCCTTCGCTGAGCGCCACGAGAACCAAAGGATACATATATCTCCGCAACTTACCTTGGCTACCTTCCAGTTTCTAAGCACCAGTACGTAGAAATATTATTCGCGAGTTTTGTTCATTTAAATGAAACTTATATTTTTCGGATATACTAAAACACTTTATTTTTGATAAAAACTACATACTCGTTCTTTATTATATTTTGTTAATAATTGAATACTTTCATCTCGTCTGTCCGTGATCACGGTTGCTGGAAAGTAACCACAATGTCGAGAGTATGTAGTAAAAAATACGATAATACATCCGAAAATATTAGTTTTATGAATACTCGGGAAAGTCTTAAATATATGTATCTAAACCATATAAATAAAACCTTAAATTTTTCCAAAGTATATTCTGTTCCTAGACATGTTTTATTGCTAAAAATTACTGTTCAAAACGAATTCACTAACAGCTAAAGTCAAGTTCACAAGTAATAACTCCAAAAACTCTTGTCGAAATTATCAAATTTATTACCTATTTACCTCTTTTACCCGAATTACCGAATAAATTACCTATTTACCTCTTTTACCCGAATTACCAAAATTACCTATTTACCTCATTTACCCAAATTACCAAATTCATTACCCGTCTATCGTATATAGGTGTGGACGCGTTCAAGCCGGATACAGTATCAGAAACAGTGCTGCGTCGTCTGCTGAGGCAGGACGTGATTCACTACATCAAGATGAAAGGGAAAAGCAAGAGAGAGGCCAGCACTTACGTGTACCAGCAGGGGAAAGCGGTGAGGATATACCAAATACACTATTATTGATAGATATTAAGAATTATATTTGAATTTACTTGGCAACCAAAATGGCTATCTTTTTGGTAACCAAAACCTTCAACATTTTTACAACTGAAATGATAAGTTTTGCCTACCAAAATGCTCCTCTTTTAGCTAACCAAATTGTAATCTTTTAGCTTCCAAAATGAATATTCTTTGACAACCTAAATGTTTGCCAGCTTTTTGGCAAATTAAATGCGCATCTTTTTTCACCAAAAATGCCCATATTTGTCAATAATTGTAAAGACCATATTCCTGTTCTTAAAACTTAACAATGATCGTCTATTCTTGGTGTTAATTTAAAGTGAAGTAAGCCGCGTTCATATAAGCTTAAAGACTTTAATACTTCAAGTATATTTCCAAATGTTATTCAATATCAAATACTATTTACATATATATAAACTTGTTAAGATCTTACTATATATTATAAATGCGAAAGTAAGTCTGTCTGTCTGTTACGATTTCACGTCTAAACCACTGAACTGACTTTAACGAAATTTGGTACAGACATAGAGTTGACCTTGAGAAAGAACATAGGATAGTTTTAACCCCGACGTTTGAAAGGTTCTCTTGGAAACGCGATATAACCGAACTCCACGCGGGCGAAGCTGCGGGCGGAAAGCTAGTCTGTCATAAATCCATTAACCCATCCATATATCCAAATACAAACATCTCCATCATTTAATTATTATCATATATTAATATGTGGTATTATTTGTTTAAGGTGGACTACTTCGTGTTGATCCTGGAGGGGCGCGTGGAGGTGACGGTCGGCCGAGAGAACCTCATGTTCGAGGCGGGGCCCTTCACGTACTTCGGCGTGCAGGCGCTCACGCAGAACGTGGGAGTGGGTGAGAGATACGCGGACATACACTGAGATAGACAGAGATAGAGAATATAGATTATATATGAACGTGGTTATTAGTCGATTGTCTGTGAGAAGTTCTTCCAATAATCAGTGGCGGCTGGTGGGTTACCGAACTGGTGGTGCGCTTTAATAAAATATTAAAATTAGAAAATGCAACAAAAAACCAATTGACATAAAATATGTTTGTTTTTTAAATATTAAATCAATGCGACATTTTTCTTAAGCGAAATGTTCAATCACCTTTTTATTAAAATCGAGTATTGTTTGTATAATTATTTTTTTCAATATTAAGCATAGAAAGTGCATTTAGCAAGTGCATGGTATTTCGGAGAAAAGTTTTGATTCTTTTCAATTCCAATTCGTCATACATCGGGTGCTCTCGGTAATCTTCGGCCGCTCGTGCGGCGCTCGAGAACCGACTCATTACTCAGTACATTTCTATGAACTATCTTTTGTCTCACGCGTCAGGCGTATTAATGCGTATCTCATACAAGATGTATTAGCAGTCCTCGTGCACTCGCCGAAGAGCACGAGATATTAGTTTAGTGAAGCGCACAAACTTTTTGACTATAATTAGAAATTTATACGTTTTTGTATGTTTAGAAAATAAATATTAAAATGGTATATTTTAAAAATAGAGATGAAGTATTATTTTGTAATTTTTAAATCTTTTGAATTGGTGGTTCAGCGCACGAGTGCACTTAAGGTACAGCCGCCACTGCCAATAATATAATCCATATATTAAGTGTAGTCCATGGACTATCACTCTTAAGGCCACTTACTCTATAAGATGATTACAACGAGGCCCTTTACTCTATAACATACTGACAATAAGGCCCCTTACCCTATAACATACGAGGCCCCCTATCCAATAACATGTTCCAGCGGAGTCCCCCACGCCGTCCGCGATGGGCTCCCTCCAGAACATCAACATGGAGGCCATGCTGAGACACACGTTCGTCCCCGACTACTCGGTGAGAGCTGTATCAGACCTCTACTATTTGGCTGTTAAGAGGTAAGTAATAGATTAGAGGTGTCTAGTTATATTGGTTATAAGTAGAACAACATACATAAATATATATGATATATTCTTTTCATAATATCATTAATATTGTTATTTTGATGAAAGTTTACTATGTAGTAGTTGTAAATTTATTGGTTTCTTAAATTGAAAATTTTTCTCTTATTTATGTATATGGTATAGAAATTAGATTTTAATCATGTATTACATATATTAAGCGTACTAATTATATATAAAGAATATTTAAGTGTATTTTCCAAAAAAAAAGTGAGTATTTTTTTTCAAGTAGGTTAGTAAATCACCTTTGTTCCCAGGTCCCTCTATTTAGCAGCGAAGAGGGCCACGCTTATGGAAAAGGGGGCCTTATCGAAAGGGGCCACAAACGAACAGTTTGATACTGAAGTTGATAAGGTTATATACATATATTATTATTATTTAATAACAACTAGTCCCATTATGATGAAATCTGAAGTTTTGTATAGATATTATATACAAACAAAATCCTACTCAATGTATTAAAATATTATATTCTTTTACCTGGCAATTTCCCAGCTTTAGCCAGGGTCTGCCTTACATGTTGTGAATAGTTTTAGCTAATTGTTTTTACGACCGGCCGCTTGCCTGACATCAACCCTCTTTGGGAATATTAAAATATTATGTTCATTAAGTAGTAATATTACCTTTAAATAAAATACGATAATTTTCAATCAAGAACCTAAGCTCTTTTGACGAAATATTTGAAAACTAAATTAAAATGATTACAGGTTCGAATCCTGTGTTACATATATATAAAATATTCCCTAAATAATATATTCTTTTTCCATGTATATATATATACCGTTCCTACCCACATCCAACCCTATCCGAGTAAGCGCTTGAAAGGATTTTCCACCCACCAGCTCCAAATGGCTGATGATGAAGACTTGGAACAGGTTTGAAACAGATGGAACGATTTTGATAAGATTTTACATATAGAAATTAATTAAAAATCATGCAAGGGAACAAGATTTGTATGTAGTTAAATGTTTGAATAGGTGTAAAAGCATTCATAATTTTTCTAATTAACTAGGGTTTGACCCTAATTTTTCCATAATAAGATTATTTCCTAAAATGACCAAAAATGTATGTAAAAATACTTTTGGATAGTGGTTTAATGAAACTTTATTCTTTGTTTTTTTTTTTATTTATGATTTTAGAATATTACAACATATTTATTTAGTTACCAGTTACGATATATCACTGAACAGAAAATTTCCAAATTGATTCTTTGCGCTTTTTTTATTAAAACCTCTATAAAAAGTCCCAAGTTAGTTAGAAAAACAAATTTTCGCCTATTTTTTTTATGGGTAGTCAGTAAAGCGAAACTTTCGCCTAATTTTTTGGAGTAGTCATAGAAGTTTAACCTTAAAGGGCTTCGAGGTATCCCGGAACAGCTCCAAAAAATCACTGGGTATAGACAGCATAAAGAGTTTACCCAACGTCGAACAAGCAACGCCATCTACACTATCCACTAGAAGCGAAGGAAATATGAAGAAGAAAAACTACTACGCGAAGACGTACAAGATAATCATGAACAGAAAAGATGATGATAAAAATGGGGATCTGATGTACCTACCGAGCACTTCGAGAGCGTGGAGACGGGAGGATGATGTATCTAGGGGTAGGAAGTCATGCTTAATCTTCCTGGCAATTTGCCAGATTTACCCAGGATCTGCGCAAGTCATGCTTAATACTTGCTCTAATGAAAAATTGACTTGATTCGTCTATTCAGTATTCTTAGGAGAAGTTCTCATAATGACTTCACACGGATAGTTTCACGTTTTTCATACATATAGGTACATAACTTTCCTATGTAGAGAATAATGAAAACTTGTTTAGGCTTATAGCTTTAAATAGTCACAATTCTTTATAAGTGATCTGTACTAATATTATAAATACGAAAGTAACTCTGTCTGTCTGTCTGTTACGCTTTCACGCCTAAACCACTGAACTGATTTCAATGAAATTTGGTACAGACATAGAGTTGACCTTGAGAAAGAACATAGGATAGTTTTTATCCCAGACTTTTGAAAGGTTCTCTTGGAAACGCGATATAACCGAACTTCACGCGGTCGAAGCTGCGGGCGGAAAGCTAGTGTAGATATATATTGTAGTATATATAAAACTAATAAAATAATGTAGATTCGGGTACCAAAAAAGCACAATTCAAGACAGAGAAGTCTCTTCTGACTTTCCACGAACACAAAGATAATGAGAGTCCAGAAACTGAGGCTAAAGAAACAGAAAGTGACGTAGACAAAGCTGACGATGATATCAAAGAGATATACAGCGATAGAAAAGTCCCGAATATGAAACCCTCGAAGGAGAAAATCCCGATGGATGTGTACGAAGATCTCGGAAACCGGATCAAAAATTCAGAACAACTCGTGCTGGCTAAACTGGATGAAGTAATAAGACTACTCGAGAAAAAAGACGCTACTTGAATGTTAGTAGAATAGTAGAACAGTAGAACAGCCACAGAGTATAAAAAATCCCTTCTCCTAATCCATTGATCCTACAGATTATATATATTAATATTTCTCTATATTAATTATAGGATATTTTTATAGGATTTTTCCTATTTTTATATCTAATTTAATTTCTATATCCAGCTTCTTCAATCCGTTGATGAAGACATTAGCATCAGTGGTGAGAACAAGACTCCATCTAGACAGGTGAGTTACACACACACATACACACACACACAAGCTATAATAATTGCAAAGTTTCATCTAAATCCGTACAGCATATTTGTGTGAAAGAACAACCAACTAACACACTAATAGACTTTGCTCTTTATGATATTAGAATAATATTGTAATATAAGAATTAAAATTAAAATAAAGACAGTTTATTAAAATCTCTATATAATAACAAAATCCCTATATAAATAAAGAATTGTGTGTTTTTCGCGTTACTTTGCTAATTACTCAAAAACATAACCTATATAGTATCGCAAGTAAAAGCTATAAAAACATACATGTGAACGAAGCCTAGTATTTTATATGCAACTTTGTTATATGCAAGTTGACCTTTGACATAAATTGCCCTCAGGTGTCCCCTAACCCAGCGGTGCCGCCCTCGCCCGCGACCCGGGCGTCTTTCTCCCGAGTGTCTCCAGACAGAAACGGGGATATATTCGGCAGAGATGAACAGGAGAAGCTATTGAAACACTGACACTTATACATTAGGGGTCAAAACCCATACAAGTTACTTAACCCCAAAAATAAGTCTTGGATCCTCAAAATAGCAAGGGTCAGATACAATACAAGTTACTTAACCCAAATAAGTTTTGACCGATAAACAGATAAGGTCAGGTACCATACAAGTTAGACCCAACAAAACTACTTAAGGTCAAGTTACTTAGCCAAAAAATTTCTTAAATGAAATCCGATTAATAGTTTACATATTTAAGTCATATGATATATGCTTGATGCATATATGATGCATGTGCATGTTATATATAATATAATATAATGATTTGGCCTTAATAATGTTAGCCATTGCAAGTAAGATATATGTAGAAGTCGCACTTAAAGTATGAAGAATATTATAAAAATCAGTACAATTATGTAATTAATTTATGGTTATGTTTTATTCATGTTTTATAAGTGTACTTATATATACATATATATTTACATATATATATGTATATGTATACAATTTAATTTTATTTATCTAGTCTCACTGTTCCTTTATATCTGGTTATTAGATTTAAAATAAGGACAATAAAATGTTAAGAGAAATACATAGACACAATAGTTCAGTGGTTAAACAGCCACATTTAGTCCCGGGCTCATAAAATATATAGCTATAATGAAATGTGATATGTGAATTAATAATAAATGCACTTAATATTAATGAAATAAATAGATTTTTAATAATTATTATGTTATATGAAATGGCGACTAAATTACTTAAAATTGTTGACATAATTGTAGAAGTTTTTTTTTATATAATTTATCAGCACTTAATTCTTAAATTAGTGAGCATTTAATTTGTGTCAAAATAAATGTTTTTTATAATGTACGTTTTATTTTTATGATAGTAAATTATGAGATTTAATGTTGGTGTTTTATTAAAAGATTTATACGACTGTGAGTGACATATGGAGGGTTGTGTTTTTATTGTCTTGATGTTAGTATCTTCTTCCTGGCAATTTTCCAGGTTAAACCAGGGTCTGTCTTGATATTAGTAAGTCAGTGCCTAAATATATTTGAAACATCCTGAACTGGATGTGATGTCTTGTCTATACTTACAATAAATCTGTAGAAGTCAATTCTGTACATAAAATATATTTAAAAAATAACTATCAAGGGGTGCTTAGGGATCGCTACTGATGGAAAAAATGCAATCAGTAAAATTTTTGTCTGTCTATCTGTCTGTATATTCGTTATGGAAACAAAAACTACTGGACGGATTTTAATGAAATTTGGCGCAATTATTCTTCATACTATTGGGCAGGTTATAGTATACTTCTCATTACGCTACAATCAATAGGAGCAGAGCAGTGAAGGGAAATATTGGGAAATAAGGCGGTGGTACTTATATTGCCACCAGAATTTGAACCTTAACACATAATTATAAAGTTTAAAACCAATAACTATTTTTAAGTTCTGTGTCTTATAAAGGGTTGAGCCTCATGAGAACGTTATCTAAACAATATTACCAATATAAATAATAATAATAAATAATAATAAATATTACCAATACATTAACTTAATACACAAGGAGTTCCACGCTGACGGAGTCGCTGGCAAAAGCTAGTATTTAAATAAATATATTGAGATTCATCATCATCCTATCAGAGCCCACGGCTGAGCGAATGTCTCTTCTCACATGGAGAAGGTTTGAGCATTAATCACCACGCTTGCTCGAGACGTGTTGGTGATTTCAAACTTATAATTTGAATTTAAGTTCATGTTTCCTCACGATGTTTTCCTTCATACTGATGAAGGTGGTGTCTAAATACTCTTATAAAGTACATATGACTCAGAAAAATCACATGAAGAACCCGCGCCCTCGTGTATGAGAGGCGGGCCTTTAACCTCTAGGACATCACGACTTAAATATTGATATTAGTTTTCAAAAATGATCACATCTTTTAAATCATCTTAATATTTTTTATGAACACGTTAATAATTTTCATAGTTTCTTTACCGATTTCTAGTTACGAGAACTTTTAATTTGATACCTACATTTTAAAGAGACGAAACTTCTCAGCATTCAATGGATTCACCGTGCGGTTGCCGGGTCCATTGCATTAATGCAATATAATTATTTCGATGTAATATCAAAAATAGTTCTAATTTTCAATCAAAATTTTGGACTTTCCTTTTGTTTTTCGTTGGTATTTTTGTTTTTCCACATTTCTACTAGCTGATAGTGAAAAAATAAGTGAAATACTATTATATATCTTTTTAAATGTACTATGAATAAGCAATGAATCAATAGTTAGTAATTCCATCACTTATAAATTCCTAGATCTTTTATTCTTTAAATTATAATCTTAATAGGAATGCAATCCCGATCTCGCGAGATCCCATGTAATTTTTGGAGATAAATCTCAAAGCATGTTGATGAAATCCAGCTCGAGATTGGACGCCAAACTCAGCGATGATACACAAATGTTGCAGGGAGAATTTGAAGACTGAACAAAAGACTGTACTGAGAAAGTCTTAGACGACAATCCAGATAATTATGATAGTTTATACTTTGCCTTACTTATAATAAAATTTATGTAAATGTACAGAATGTAGCATTATATCAAAACTGAGAAAATGCATCACACTTTTAAGTCATTCTCGTGTCAAAAATTATATGTTTTAGAATTAATTTCAGCAAGATTCGAAAAAAAATTAGTTGGTTCTTGACTTTCTACTGTATCTAAATATATGTATTATCAAGTAGAACTCATTAGTTGTAGCGTCCATCTTGATCAACCTCGGAATTAGTTAAATATAACTGGCGGGAAACAATCAAAATACAAAACGAGGTTAGTAATCACAGAAAAAAAAAATTCCTTTAATCAATGTACAAGTGGTTATAAAATTGTTTTTTTATAGGATATCAAAAATTCGTTTTAGTTATGTACATAAAATTAGAACCAAATGCTTCAAGCACTTGATATCAATAAAGAATTTCGTTAAAAACAATAAAACAAAATACCTTCTAAGATACCTTTGTTTCAAAACTAATTTGAAGAAAATCGTAAGTGTTGATATGAAACATTAAAAATATTTATAATTAGCAGACGGGACATACCTATTTACATCTTTTTCTTTAAATTTTCATCTAAACTGTTTTGCTTTACAATATGCAATAATTTTGAGTGAGTTTAAATTGATCTTACTTTTAAAGTTTTGCCATTATTGTGTACTTACCAAAAATTCCTCACACTAAAAGGAATAAAACGCTGTCTGTTTCAAAATAATTTATTATTTACAAATTACAATACAATTTATAACTAGAATACAATTTCCTACATAAACACTGGATAATATATAAGTTTATTAAGATTACTTAATTCATTAATTTTATGATACATTTTTTCTATAAGTTATAAGATTGACAAACGACGTCTGTCATTTGATAGAAGCGTCTAAAGAAAAATAAATTCCACGCATTATTTTATACTACAATATAACTTTCTACATTTATTATTATATATTATATATTATTTGATTTATAAATCTTTGAAATTTAATACAGGAACATGTGATATAGAAATTAAATTCAGAAATATTTTACTATTGTTAAAACATTTTTTTATACATAATCTATGTACAAAACGATTTATTTGGAAAAACAAATACGAGATAGAAAGTCTTTAATTGAATACTTCAAAGAATAAATTTTTAACACAATTGTAACAAAATTTATATAATTCAAATGAAACTAATTTTTCGGATTTACTACGCGATTTTTTATGTTCGACTATAAACTACATACTCCCGACGTTTCGGTTACTTTACAGTTTACAGCAACCGGATCACGGACAGACCTGATGTAAATCCGAAAATATTAGTTTCATTTAAATGAGTACTCGCGACAATCTTAGATCTCTTTGTATAATTCAATCAAAAAATCAAAATTTCTTTCGTAACTTATAAGTAAAAATGTTCTATAGGAATGTAATTGAAACGATTTTTAATATAACACATAGTAAGCTATAAATGTCTTTTCACCCACAAAACACGACAAATCTTTAACAGGAATGTATGAAAAACACAATAATTCGTCGGGGATAGTGCAAATCCGCGTAACTAGCATTGGATGATTTCGCGCATCTACATTGGAAGCAAATCAGAAGAAAGTTTAAGCTGAAATATTTTATATATTAACGACTTTTTTAGTAATTTTTCACAATTAAACATTAAATAATTTGCACTATCCTCGAAATTAAATCATAGTGAAGTCCGTGTGTGGTGTGTGGTCGCCGGGAGGGTCTGCTACGGAGGAGTCATACTGCCGCCGTATTCAGGGGACGCGCCACGGCCTGGGACAGTTTGTTCAGTGTAAGGGGGCCTCGGGCCCTCGGAAAGAGGGGGCCCGGAATGTCAAACATTATCAATGACATATAAAATGAATGAAATAACAAACATTTTATAATAATATACTTGGACGTCCCAAATCCCAAACATTTATAGTAAGAATTAGGTTTAAGTAATTCTATTTTATTTTATATTTTAAGTTCAGTGTTGTCAGAGCTTGCAGTAACACATATTGAATTTCAATTAACAAACTTTAAAATCTGTAATAATATTGCAAGAAAAAAAAATATTTTAATTGAATTTCCTATAATCAGCGGCAAAATTAATTACTGAAGAGCTTAATATTATTTCACCTTTCTCTATCGGGATATACTCGTAGATAGTGACACAAAATCGTCGTAAGTATGAAACATAACTCTTATACTCTCGACATAGTCCTAGTCATTATATGTTAATGTTACAAACTGTAACTATAGTCACGTGAGGTCGCATCGCAGGTCTTAAATATTACCTATCTAATCAAAAAAAAACAAAGCTAAGTCACTATAGCCGAAAACGGCTGGGTAGATATATATATACTGTAACCAACACGATGTGTGTATGTTGTGTGTGTGGTCATAACTAACCTCGGCCTCTGCCGCGGCCCCGGCCCCTGCCCCTCCCCCGGCCGCGTCACCTCCGCCCGTCTCCAAGACCCACCATATCTGAAAGATACCCTCATATACTATAATATATATATATATATATAATGGCTTATATACATTATTTCAAAAATAGCAGGTTTACAAAGAGTTTATCAATCTTAAATGACGTACATGTATGTCATAGTTGCCTTGCAAAGTTTTAGAAGCATCACTTGTATGTACAAGATACATTGAAATCAAACTTAAAATGACTAACTGAAAAATTTACATTTGCACATCGGACCTTATACATAGGAGCCATCGATATACGACGCAATCATTATGAAACACATTTTTTACGAGTTGCTAGCGGAAGCTCTGCCCGTTTGCTAATTTGACTTATCTCTGATAAATTATTAAAATTTTAATTGTGTAATCATTTTGTTCAAATTAGATTAATTTGTTAATTTATAGTGATAATTTTATTAATGTTAAAGTGTTAAATTAATATTGTGTAATTGTTATGTTATTATCTTCTATTAAAAAGAATAAAGCATTTTTTTCTACATATATGTATATGTATATATCAACATTCAATGCCTCACTGAACAATTTCAGCAGTATCAAATTTAATCTCTAGTAACGACCTTGTTCACTTACAAATCCCTATTTACATAGTTTAATATTATATTAACCCATTACATTAGCGAAATATATAAGGATGGTACGAGAAAACATCACCTTGAATACATTTACTAATAAACATTTAAAAATCTAATCCCTATATTATTATAAATGCGAAAGTAACTCTGTCTGTCTGTTACGCTTTCACGCCTAAACCGTTGAACTGATTTTAATGAAATTTGGTACAGACAGAGTTGACCTTGAGAAAGAACATGGGATAGTTTTTATCCCAGACTTTTGAAAGGTTCTCTTGGAAACGCGATATAACCGAACTCGACACGGGCGAAGCTGCGGGCGGAAAATATCTTATACAAATGAACTAACAAGATTTTAATGCATTTGTATCAAATATATTCTAGTACCTATATTAGTGGCAGTCTTTTCAAGGTAGGCCAGGGGTCCCTGAAGTGATGCACCAGCATATCCACCACGACCTCCCGCCAAGAACATTCCCTGGGCAAGGCTACTCTGCATCTACACCATCCAAGAATATTACACGACAATACAAACATACAAAAACCAAAAATACGTGCTTTAATTACTCACCATGAAATAAGGGTAATGTGCGGAAAAAAATAATTAAAATAAAACAAAATAATAATATTAATAAAAATTGAAATTATATTCAAATAATAAGGTAACATAAAATTTGATTACATAAACTTATTAAACAAAAAAGTGATAAACCAAATTCCTGTTTGAGTTGCGGGTAGGCCCCTTCGTATGAACCAATTGGGGGCCTTTTATTCAAATTAAACAGTTTAAATCAAAATTAACTTACAAATTAATTAAAAATTATCATTCTAAGTATATTATTTACACAATTATTGGACAAATTTGAGACCAGAATCTCGTAAATGTTCAGACATAACAGCTTTCCTTTACAAGCGTCAAGGAAGTCTGTTAGGTAAGGACAGGTAAGTTCTTTCGTCGTGTTACCCCCCACCCTGTTACCCGTTACCCTATCGTCGGGTAACGTTAGCGGGGTACGCGGGAGGGTGCTGCGGCCGTACCTGCTGCTGTAGAGCAGCCTGCTGCGCCGCTGCCGCCATCTGTTGGGCCTAAAGGGAGACATGTACTTAAAGGTCATGCTTAAAGGTCATATAAGGTTAACGTATGTGCATATTAAGTTAACCTTGTGTATGTGTTTGTTTTGTTTAAAATAATTAATATATGTAACTAATATTTTCGGATTACTACGCGTTATTTCATTATTTAAAAATACATAATGCCGACGTTTCAGTTACTTTGCGGTAACCGTGATCACATTTTCGTCACGTCTGTCCGCGATCCAAATCAACAATCCAAATATAAACTTTTTCTTGACTTAAAATTAATAAAATATTCCTGTACTCTTTTTTGTTATCTACTCGTATTAGGGATTTTTTTTTAAAGATAAAACCTGCCCTTAGTACTCTAACTATGCTTAATTGAGTTTAATACAATAAAGGCTTATTATTTCTGTTATAAAGATGGTTGTGTGTTTTACCTGGACGCTCTGTTGTACACTACACGGCTGCGGCATGGGGGAGGCGGCCTGTTGTAGCGCCGGGGCCGGGGGCTGTTGTTGACACTTGTTGTATAACGTGTGGCCCTGTTGTTGAAGAGTTATACTGTTGTTATAGAGTTATACTGTTGTTTTAGAGTTATACTGTTGTTTTAGAGTTATACTGTTGTTATAGAGCTATACTGTTGTTGAAGAGTTATACTGTTGTTATAAAGTTATACTGTTGTTATAGAGCTATACTGTTGTTGTTATATGTTGAAGGTAAAAGAAGGAAACTAGGGCAAGAAGAGATTCTAAACTAAGAATAAAAGAGATCAATGATTTTTCCGAGTCATATGTACTTTCTAAGAGTATTTAGACATCACTGATTAATGCATTCCCAAAGAGGGTTGATGTCAGGCAGGCGGCATTGTAAAAACAAATAGCCAAAACTATTCATAACATGTAAGGCAGACCCTGGCTAGAGCTGGGAAATTGCCAGGTAGTAGATAAAAGAGATCAGTAGTAGAAATTAGGGATGGAAGAGATTATAGTCGTACGAGGAATGTTGTAGGAAATTGGGCAATATAAGTTTCTTAATTAAGGATAAAATAAGTAGTAGAAAGTAAATCAAGAAGAGATTTTTAATTAAGGAGAAAAGTCAAAAGATATCAGACGTAAGAAGTAAGGCAAAAAGTGTTGGAATTCTTACTTGTATATACCTATATAAAATTTTGTTTTATCGCTTTTTGTTGCGATGTCGAGTTACACACACTTGATTCAAGGACACATTGTAACATTAGAACCTTAGAACATTTTAACATTGTAACATTTCCACCTACCTGCAGATCCGCCAGTAAGTTCTGCCACTGTGATATTTTATCTGAATGCCGCCTCAGTAATTCTTCTTTCCTTTGGAGTTCACACTTCAGCTCGTTGTTGTCTTCTTTCACCAGAAGTTCAGGTTTCATTGCTGATAGAAGAAATCTGGCGGATCCAATGTCAGCATATTAAATATAGGCAAATATATATACTAGTTTTTGTTCGCGACTTCGTTAATTTCGGTATTAGTAATATATGTATAGCTGAACGGGCGAACTCTATTCTGTCCTAGAGACCTAAATAACCAGATATTGGAATTTATTAAGTTTTCTTTTTCGATCTAACAGAATTAAATATCCTATGTGGCTATGTCCATCTCCTTGTTCTAATCTATCTCTCCATCAATTTTTAACCATATCCGTACAGCCGTTCTTGAGTTATAAATAGTGTAACTAACACAATTTTCTTTTATATATAGATTGTTTGTATAAACATATTATGTAGTATTTAACAGCCTTACGTTTTAGTTTAGTATCAATAAATCAGTTCAGTCATACTCCATCATCAGTCAATCAGATTAAATTAAAAATCAACAAAAATCAGTACATAAAAACATAATGTCTAATTCAAATATGAAGAAGTGAACTAATATTTTGAGATATTTCGCGTATTTTATTATTTTAAAGTACATACTCCCGACGTTTCTGTTACTTTGGAACAACCGTGATATATTTGTTTCATTTAAACACTCTCAATAATCTTAGATTTTAATCATTTTACAAAAAGATAAGAAAATTTTGATTATCTTCTTATAACTTTAAGCAGTATTTGAACTTAGATCTTTTTATTTCAAATTATTTCACAAAAAGTATACAATTTTTTTTACCCTTCCATAACTTATCATTATTTGAAATCACTAACCAAATGATTGTATTACATACCTTTTCTGAAGGAAGAACGCCTCCATGAGCCTGGCGAGGTCAATGAACCTTTCCACCTCCACCCTCACCTCCTCCTTCTCAACACACGGAGACGTCTCCTGTTTCGTCAGCACGTTCAGACATGCCTGGTCATTTATATATTTTATATTAACCCACCTTTTGATCAATTATTTTGTTGAGAGTTTTGGAGAAAATTTTTAACAATGACCTAACAGTATAGGCCTAAGCTATGACTAAATAAACGAAGATGTTTATATCCACACTATATTATTAAGATCTCATAGTACTAAGAAGAGAACTAATATTCTGTTTACATATATAATACATACGTATTATGTACTTGTTTAAGAACTTACAAGATCTATTAAGTTTAAAAGAATGTTAATACATATTATATACATATATGTATATCAATATTATCAATTTAAACTTTAAGATTAAATACAATATTTATTTTCCGTATTTCATACGTAAATGACCAAGTAGAAAAGCATATTTTCTAGCTACAAGCATTCAGTTAAATTATAATTTAATTTAATTAATAATTGAGATTTTCATTTCATTATTAACGAGATAAATAAAAAAAAGCATATCAGTGTCAATTCATTTAATATTTTCATATTATTATTTACATTAAAAAAATCTATGCTTATCTTAAATAATACTCTTTTGTATCTGATTCCTAGCTGTGTTTAACACTTAAATATCGTGAGGCAAGCGACGCCGGGACAATTTATTAGGCTAAAAAATATCTGTAATCGATAAAAAAGGGTAAACAAAAAAACATATTTAAAGCAAAATTAATTATAATACCTCCTTTCATTGATATTATGTCTAAAAACAAAATGGCATAATGCTTAAAATTCAGCTTCAAGTAATAAGGTGGTACTTCACTTTTCGTTGCGCATTCGCGTAAGTAATTGTCTAAATAGCGCACACACGACATCCACACTTGGAACGCCAACACGAGTTTGCTATTTCGCTTATTTGTATGTGTCTTATTTGTGTAAATATGTCAAATAAAGACGAATAAATCCTTCACATTGTCTTATTTCGCCGAACACAACGCCATGTGAAGTGCCACCTAATTATATAGATATAATAATCTACAACATATCTATTACATCTATAAACATCAAAACGTCGTTAAACTAGATTAAAACTTTATAAAAGTTATCAAATAAACTACAATGGCATATCTTAAACGCTTATCTACTATATAGTAAATCAAAACGAAATTTTGGGTTTGACATCTGTCATACATAAGAATATCCATTGTCAGAATTTATTAAACTAAAAAATAAATTATCTATAATATATGGACATGTTAAACTAAATAATCGTAAAATTATTGCTTTATAATCTCTTTTTAAATGGAAATTAAATGAAAAAATTATTTTACATTTATTATTCTCATGTTTTTAAATGTAATGTTTTTTTTAAATTAACTACAATACAAAGGCAAAGGTCCGAGCCATACTTACGAAATCAAGTCAGTCATAGTAAAAAAAGTTTTTATATCGTTATTTAAATTAAAAATCCCTAAAACAAGTTTGCACCAAACTGAATTTATTTATCTATTACAAACCAAACTCGAAATTATCAATTTGCTGGTGCAATTCGACTGGTATGATCCGACATAGAGATTCATATTATAAGTAATTTAAATGTAAAAAAAAATACAGGAAAAATTAAATATAACACACTAAAATTTATTATAATATTTATTATAACTGTACATACTTCGGATCATACCTTAAGTTATAACTTAATAGCGATTAATTATTAACTATTTATTTATTCCATGGGGATTGGTATGGGCTCCTATAGAAATTGGAATTCAAGACCGGTTGGATTGAAGTTCCTTGGGATTGACTCGGCTTCCATGGGTTATGATGGGAATTGGCTGTAGAGACATCTGGTGGCTGCGTCCGGTAATCTATTGGAGTATCCAAGAATATATTATCATTGTACTGACCGATGGGTAATGGTATGTCTTGAACTTTGACTGGGCTTTCCGGGAGCACTCGTTCTACTATCACCTTATTTGTAGGTGATTTCCTCGGTATAATGTGTTCGGGTGAATTCTGTTTCCTTTCCATGAATTTGTAAAACTCTCCTTCGAAGGCGCTTGGGTTTTTGTTGATGGGCTGTATTATTGGTACTCGGAGGTTGGCGTCTAGGAGTAGGCCGGCGTAGGGCTTCGGTGGGGTCTTCAGTGGAGGTGGAACCTTTGATGTAGATCCGGAAGCTGATATGGTTCTCGGTAAAGTGGTGGAAGTGTAAATCTTGGATGAGTTATTTACAGGTGGCAATGGTATTTCTTGTTTAATCTTCGGGACCCTGGGTTTGCGTGGTTTTTTGTCTTTCTCCTCATCTGCCTTTTCCTTCTTTATTTTCGGTTCCCTTTTGATGGTCTCCTTGATTCTTTCCTTCTTAATTTTATCCTTCTTTTCAGTTTTTGGTAGTGATTTACGTTTTTTGGGCTCTTTATCAGTCGTTGGTGATTCCTCGATGGATTTTTCTATGGCTGAACTCTGTGATGTGACCGTTTCATTCAGTGGATCCACTTTCGGTGATGGTGGCTTGTATTTTACGTCTTCGTTATCGTGTGGAGGTGATTCCCAGGTGGATATAACAGCTGCCATATCTTCAAGCTGTTCGTCAGACAGCTTCTTCGTTTTCATCTTTCTCTTCTGCTTCTTGGACTGTTCCTGACTAGATTCTCCTTTCATCGGTGACCTCGCGACCTTCTCTTTGGATTTGGATGTGTTCCGTTTCCGCCTGGTTTTCGTCTGCTTCCGTTTTCCTGTCTGTGGTGCTTTATAGTCTGAATCTCTGTCAGAGTCGATATATCCTATATCTGGTAGCTGAGCTTCTGATGGGTCCATTTCATCTCCCTTCAGCCAGATGTCTTCGAGAGCGTCTAGTTGTGTGTCGTCTGGGTCTAATGGCATCATGGGTCGCTTCATTGAGGTCATCATGTCTAAATCTCCCTCCGCCATAGTCATTTCATCGTCATCCATAACGTCATGGCCTAGAATGGACACAGCGATTGCACCTTCAGATATACTCTTGCTAGCCATAGCTCGTTTCAAGTGTAATGGATGTCGCTTCTTCTTCTTTAAACCTTCAACCTCAGCCTCTATAAATGATTGCGGTAGCTCTGTGTTATTTTTGTTACATAAAATATCTTGTCCCGAGGGATGTGGGGCGGGGACCATTTTCTCCGGCTGCTCGGGATGGCAGCCTATATCTTGACCCTTCAGCCAGAGTTCATATCGATCAGGTTGGAACCTCTTAACAAATGTGTCCATCGATATCTTGACCATATCGTTACTACAAGTGCATTGCAGTGCCCGTTTGCCGTATTCAACCCATCTCGGTGCTGCAAAGTTTGTTGATTCGGCACAATTGAAGCCATGATTAAACCCTGCATGATAACCGTAGGGAAATGTAATCATGATTTCTCCGGGTTTTTGTGTTATTTTATTCACCGGCAGCGAGTATTGCTTAAGAATCTGCGGTGATATTAATGTCATTTTGTGTCTCAGGAAGGCTTGGCAGGTTTTGGCAGACGTTGGGAAGAAACCGGCAGCGATACGTTCAAATCTCTTCCCATGTTCAGGCGGTATGACATACCAAGTTTTTGGTTCACCAAAATGGAGATAATTTATCGAATACAAATCCATATCTTCAGTGTGCCAGGCGAATGTTGTTTTCCACATACCAAAGTACAGGTACGCCGTATTGACTCCATCAATTTCTATGCCGTAATCTGAGTTGACGAAGTCCAGAATAGTTCCCAGGTGATTTATATTCCATTCTTTAACATCAGGATCAGTAATGCTGCCGTTGACATCAGCTCCATATATCGGCGCTACATACGTGACATTTTTCCAGTACTTCCTCTCTAAATCCTCGTAGTTTGTATGCCGAGGCGTGCAGTACTTCGCGGAGTTGGCCAGAACCGCAAACTGTTTGACTGTCATGGATTTCTTCTGTATATTAATTTGTTGAAACAAACCCTGCTTGCCGGTCACCACTTGACATATCGGCGACGGTATCGTGATGTTCAGCTCGTCCAAATCGTAACCTTTCTTCCGTGGGACCCACTCGGGCGGAGGGATCACTTTAGCCAGCCCAGCCTTATGAGCTCCCTTGGACTCCATATATTGCACATACTTGTTAAAATCCTTGAACTCGTCCCAGGTAGGACGAAACACCTGTATCGCCACACCACCCGAAGACCCAGCATCATCAACAGTTCCCGACATTCTAATATATTACGATCACCGAAGTAAATCAACAAAGTTTCATAGTTTATAACACCAAATCACACCATTCCGCACACCACCATATTTGTTTTTAAGTCTCTCTTTTACTTTATTTAATTAACTAAAATGTCCGAATTATTCAAACACGAAATAACACCACGAAGCTCTCGTAATAATGTAAAAACATTATCAGTAAAATGGCCGACTTGAATGAGATGCGCTTGCAACAAAAATCTAGGAGCGATCGAAGACGCATAAACGAAAACGGGTCACGTACTCACAACTGTCCCTTAAAATTCAGATATCAATGGCTGGATTTGGCTTATGAAGCTTCGACTAAACGGCAACACAACCACGATATAGCTACGTCTGTTATGTTGGTATTGAAACTTCAGTTTGACAGATATACAAATAACTAAAGAGGTTATATTACAATCTATTTTTTTTTCAAATTCCACTTAAATTTAAGGAAAATTACATTATAAATATTACCTGAAACGACTCTTCGAAATCTTCCACCAAATTTCCATTGCCATTAGATGGTGTCGCCATTGCGAACGCCTCACTTACAACTATAGTGTTGTGCGTCTTGACACTTGCAAAATAATTGTTGACTGCGATGCTAAACACACAAGGACCTTAACACACACAATAATAAGTCAGCGTCGGTGATCAATAAATTCCCAGGGCTGCCAAACGATGAACTTTAGTTTACTACTGGCCGGGGAAAAAATCAATATTAATTGAAAAAGTTCTTATATCAAAAAGCATTTCCTGTGGATAGCTCTTGTTCCATGATTGTTTTATACTGTTCAAACATTCAAATACAGAATAAGATTGTAAAAAGCTTTATTTGAATAAAATTTTGAAATTATTGTTATTAATATTAGTAGTTTAGGAAATAAATATTACACGATCAATTAATATTTGACATAAATGGAATACTCATCTATGTAAAATCGATTTATTTTGTAGTTTAGTCCTAGAAAGTTGTATTAAGTTCCAAAAAGTGGTATAAAATGATATTTGTATTTACTTTAAGGAACAGGACTCGAACCTTCTACTACTGATACGTTTTATTTAATTTTTAAATAAATAAGCTTTCATGCCATGGTTTTAAAGTTAAATATAACATTATAGGGATATAATACTTTATATACTTTCAGCCATCTACATTTTCAGCGATATAAACAATCATTCTTTTGAAAAAAAATTATCTCACTTTTCTTTCTTTACATTAAATATTTTGATTACCTACATTTCGAACTGTATTTTCTATACGACAGCCCTATTTAATAATGTGTATGACTTTTTTGTATCGAATATTAAAACAGCTACAAAAAGTTTTTATATTATTCCAAGTTAAAAAAAAAGCAATAATAAGGAGTAAATGGAAAGTAGATTGTTTCCGAGTTGTTAAATTCAGATATAGATACAATGTGATATCACAAATTATGTATGAATGAATAAGAAAAGTGATTTTGCGAGTTACATGACTCAGAGGTCGTAGTATAATGACGCAACGTCATCAGCTGTTCGGTGTAAATAAACTCTGATGTAAACAATAATAACAAAATAATGAAAATACATTAAATAATATAATTATTTTAATTAGTTACGAATTTCCGGCGTTTTTTAACATGATTTTAATTAGGCATTATGATTAAAATCGATTATAAATCTCGATTTTTGTTTTTGAGGTTATTTTTTAAATAGTTTACAATACGTTTTAAATCTCATGAATGGTCTTTAATTGGATTTATTTTAATGATTTTTGGTCTAGATTATCTAGATTAATTGTAATGAAGTACAATATCGATAGAAAAAATTACATAGACATAATTATAGATAATGAGAACTTCAATGGCATTCAATTGAAGGAAAATTATTTTAATTTTTAATATGTTTGAAAAATTTTATTTATATTTTATTTAATGGTTCATTTATATAGTTTCATTTTTACTTAAACTTATAAATTTATTTATTGTATATCTGTTATTTTTAATACTGTCTGTCGCGTATGTTTGACAACGCTTAAAGTTTTGTCATATTCGTTTTCGTAATTCGTTGTGTATGGAATGGCGGCATAACCTAATGATTTGTTTGTGCGTTATTTGTGTATTAAGGTAAACATTTATAGTTATAAAGTGAAGATTGTGCTGATAATTAAAATCCAATAATGGCTGACGCGGCCGCCAGACAGTTGCAATATGAGTACAAGGCGGTAAGTTATATTACTTAAAATTGTGTAATGCAATCATTAGCTTATTTAATCATGTAGATTTTAGCTTAATACAGATTTCTCAATACTAGAACTAAGTAAAAATGATATCTATGAAGATGCGTAGCTATTTGTGAGTTAAAATAATAAATTAAATAACTTCACAAATTATGATAACTATTCGTCAAAATCATAGCAAATACGACAAAAATATTTAAAAGATTACTAAATATTTAGGTTATTTTCTTATATATTTCATAATATCACGACATACATCTTATTTCTGGTATTAAAATCATATTTACATTACTATTATCTTCCCAGAACTCAAATCTTGTACTCCAAGCCGACGTACGTCTTATAGAACGTCGTGGTCGCGATGAAGCGACCGGAGAGGTCCTATCTCTGTCTGGAAAGTTGGGTGGCACCAAGATGGGGGATAGGGCTCAACGGACAAAACCTGACAAAGCCGAGGAGAGGAAAGCTAAGTACGTATGAAAAACCTAACAATGAATGATAAAAAGCCTTGAGTGTAATTTATAATACCAATTATTGAAGTATCTTTCTAGCTGACTTAGTCAGCTAGTAATTATCTTAACTAGCTGACCCGGCAAACATGTAAAAATATAGGGGTTGGTGTACAACTTTAGGGTTGTAAGTATTTTATAATGAAACATTATCAATTGATAATAAAATAAAATTCGTTCTAAAAAAAAATATTAAAAAAGAGTGAACAACCATAAACTAGGGGTATTATAATAGATAGAAACCGATTTTCAGACCTACTGAAAGAATATAAAATTTGGTAAAAATCGGTAAAGCTGTTCCTAGAAGTATTGTGACTAACATTGTGATATCCAAATTTTATATATTAAATATATAGAAGAAAATTCATTAGACAGTATTTATTCATATTTTTGTCATTTTCATCTCATTTAGACGTCAGAAACGTGATGAAGCTACATATGAGTTGACCAAATCTAAATCCCGAGCTGCCTGGGCTGATGAAACTCCCGGAGCCTTGTATCGACCGAGAGCTCAACACACTCGACATGCTTACGAGCTGTTGTTAGCGTTCATGCAAAGCGCTTTGGGCGACCAGCCGAGGGATGTTCTGTGTGGAGCTTGCGATGAGGTTAGTATATAATATTGTAGTATTCAATAAAATTATATTAATATATTAAACTAGCTTTCAACCCGTAGCTTCGCTTGTGTGGAGTTTGGTTATATCGCGTTTCTAAGAGAACCTTTCAAAAGTCTGGGATAAAAACTATCCTATGTTCTTTCTCAAGGTCAACTCTATGTCTATACCAGATTTCATTAAAATCAGTCACTGGTTTTGGCGTGAAAGCGTAACAGACAGACAGTGTTACTTTCGCATTTATAATATTAGTAGGGATTTGTCATGTATGTACTGTAAGTTACAAACTGAATGACATCAACTAATATAATATAGTAATCTAACTACATTACACTTGACATCATATTATTACATATTATTATAACAAAACGAGCAGGCATAACTAATACATAACATACAGCCACGGGCAAAAGTATTAGGCACCCTACAGTAAGACAAGTTTTAGGGTGTTTTAGCATAGCGAGTGTAAATAAAACTGCATTTATGATTACAATGGTTTATTTTAAGATAATAATTAATATTTTGTAGGTCCACCTTTTGACTTAATAACCGCAGCCACTCTTTTTGGCATTGACTCTACCAGCCTGAAACATTCTTCTCTTGATATATTTTTCCATTCCTGCTGTAACGCGGCCAATAGAGCTTGTTTATTGCTAATCGAGTGCCTGCGGATATTTTTCTTTAAAATGGACCAAATATGCTCAATCGGGTTGAGGTCTGGTGATTGTGGTGGCCAGTCCAAAAGATCAATATGATTTTCAGCAAACCACTTCATGGTATGCGCGGACTTGTGGCAAGTGGCGTTGTCTTGCTGAAATTTCAGGCCATCGGTGTTTGTATCACCGAAAATTTGCGTTATCGACGTTGCTAGTGCTGTTTCCAGAACTTCAGTGTATTTAACACTATTCATTCGTCCCTCACACAACACCATTTCGCCCACTCCGTCGGCAGCCATGCAGCCCCAGATCATTATTGAGCCTCCACCATGCTTAACAGTGGGAACCACACATTCTGGGTTGTAGTCTTCGCCAAACCTTCGCCTAACATAAGTCACACCGGGTGTTCCAAACACCTATGCCAAACGAAAAAAAAACATTTATTTTCAAAGTTATTATTTTTCTTGCAGTACGTTATTTTAAAAACATTTATGTGTTTTAATATTGTACATAAAATAAATAACAATACCTCAAAGTTAGATTCGTCTGACCACAGTATGTTGGACCAATCTTCCACTGACCAATCTCTATGTTTGAGTGCCCACTCCAACCGATTTTTCTTATTGTGTTCTGACAGCCACGGCTTCTTCCTTGCTTTACATCCTTTCAATCCTGCTTTAAGAAGTCTTCTTCTCACAGTATAAACACTCACTGAACTGCCTTTTGCCTCAGATAATGCTGCAGCGAGCTCTAAAGCAGTTTTTTTCCTGTTTTGTAGAGACTGCCTAATCAACAATCGATCTTCCCGTTCAGTAGTAACTTTTCTTCTGCCTGTTCTTGGTCTATTGTCATGGGTGCCAGTCTCTTTGAAGCGATTTATAGCATATTGAACTGCACATCGCGAGCACTTCACTTCTCGGGCTATTTTAACCTGAGACATGCCTTGTTCATGTAAAATCTTAATTCTTAGACGCTGTTTAGCACTAAGTTCAGATTTTTTCGGCATGATTAACACGTTAAATGTTAGTCTTTAGAATTGTGATAGGAATAGTTGCGTAGAAGACGTGTATGTTAACTGCAAGCACTGATAACACACTATAACCCGAAACGCAAAAAAGCAAATTCGAAGAAACACCGCTTAGGAGCACACCTGGATGTCATAAATATTTTCTTTTATCTTAATTTGGTTAAAAATTGCCGCTAATACAATAGCTAAACCATAAAACACACACTTGACCGCTATCTAATGAGATAGTGACTAACAATAGGGGTGCCTAATACTTTTGCACGCAGCTGTATATGTATTAAATTATTACCTTAAGACACTAAAGAAGTCAATATAAAGATACAAGATAAATGAGTATTGAGATAAGTAAATTTTTTATGCATGTATCCCCTTCCTACTAGTTTCCATTGCCAAACTAAAACTGTAAGTTCCAAGTTTTTTCATTCATAAATCTTCACACATAGCTATAACATTGGTTCGTGATTTAAAAAGTGTTATATATATTAACCAAGAATTTAAATCAAAAGTTAACATTTTATCAATGTGTTAGAGTAAAAAATTTATTGCTTCTATAATATTATGAGGTATATAAAATAATTCACACTTTGTACTTTAACGAGTTGCAAGGAAAATCTTGAAATATACAAAAAACTTATGGAAATATCTCCCGTCATCTCCAAATTTGTAACTCTGTAATAATTAATTTCTATGATATTTGGGACATATTATTAAAATCATTTATAAAATTTTATGAAAATGCATAAACATATATAAAAAAATCTGGCTACAAATATCTGCTTTTAATTGTTTTTTACACTATATATAATATTGCTACTGAGTATTGTCATTATATTTATACACTAAAAGAATTTCTGTGGTAATTATTATCTTTAAAAACTTAATATACAGTGTAAACTCTATATAACGACACTGAAGGGACCGTCCATTTTAGTGCGTTATATAGAGTTGCCGTTAAATAGAAAGAAGGAAAATCAGAATTAGAAAAAGACAAAGTTTATTTCAGACTAGTGTTAGTACTTATGTACATAAAAAAGAATGTTATAGTTTGAGATTTTGTGAGCAACTTTTTATATTAACGTAAAGGTAATACAAGACTCCTACTTATGGTCAAAAACCGTCAACATGTTTAAGCAATTTGTAATTGTAAACAAAAGAACGAATTTCTTAGAAAGTTCGGTATGCATGATAGGGACAGTCGAGTTTATTGTGAGCTAGGATAACAAAGCGACAAAGGAACGTACACAGCTGCACAGTTTTTACTAATTTTAGCAACTTAAAAGGTACTTTTTATTACTTAATTGTTGTCGTTATTGAGAGTCGGTGTGCCGCTATGTAGAGTGTACCATTGTATGGTAGACAAGCTAAACCAACCAAAGTCAATAGATTTCGACGCTTTAGAGAGTTTGTCGTTAAATCGAGTTTCGTTATATAGAGTTTACACTGTATATATATTGACTATATGTATGACTATATTTTGTCATTTTTCTTCCCAGGTGTTGGTGGTTTTGAAAAACGATAAGATGAAGGACCTGGAAAGGAAAAAAGAGATCGAGCTACTCCTCGGACCAATAGCAGATGAGAGATTCGCTTTATTAGTTAATTTAGGTAAAAATAACTATTAAAATATATCACCATTCCCAAACTTATTTTATCTACTAATTTTGTGAATAGATTATATTTTAGCTTCTGAAAAATCATTATAACTTTTTCTAGCTAAAAGATATTACAAATTATTGCGAGGCCTCTTGACAATATCCCCATTTATTTTATATGTCTCTTACCATACTTTAGGCCTGCATTACCCACAAAGGGCCATTTGAGAAAGACTAATAATAATAATAACAATATGTATATTTTTATATCAAATCTATATGTTACAATGATATCTATTTTTGATGAGAACACATTTGAACCTTCTCCATGTGAGAAGAGGCCTTTGCTCAGCAGTGGGCTCTGATAGGCTGATGATGATGACAAATGTTTGAATGAAATCATCATTTATGTATAAATTATTGATGAATTATATATTTTTACATCATATATATATATATATATATATATATATATATATATATATATATATATATATATATATATATATATACAAGTTACTAAAACATGATTTTGGTCGAATTAGATAAAATTTTCATTTAAATCCATATTTTTTTTTGGAAATTAATTGAGATAATACTTGATGACTGTGTTATATTTATTTATCTGTCTTTGTATAAGGAAGGCATTTTTTTTGTATTACCTATATTCTACATTATAACCCTTAAAATGCACAGAAAACATAAGAAAATATTTTTTCTATTATGTTGATCAACTACAGGTTGTTCAAATGTACCTAACAAAAATATGTATGAGATTTTCTTAATTCCTTTACAGGCAAAAAAATCACTGACTTCACAATAAGTACATCCACAGAAGGTAATACAGAGATCGATGAGACATACGGCATTAATGTACAGTTTGAAGAATCTGAGGAAGAAGATGACGAAGATGCTTATGGAGAGGTGGGTGATGCTCTAATCGTTGATATAGAATTCATTTGTTAAATGATGTTGGTTTTGATTTCAATGAATTTTCTTGTAAGAAAAACTATTTAATAGATTTTTTGTGATGTATTATAAAAAATATATAAAGGAGATCATTCAGGCTTCATACATTTTTGGGCCTTTTTTGAAAGTGCCGGCCAACAAAAAGAAATGGTACATATTTGTAGAACTAACCATTTGGAACAATAGTTAATATGGCGCAAAAGTTGTAGGATACAAGATATAGAAGTTATACAAGTTTCAAGATTCATCATTTTGGTACATTTTTTTTTTCTGAAAGTGCCAAGAAACATAAAATAATGATTGATATTGCTAGAGTTAAGCTTCTCAAGCAAATCATTGTAGCCATAATCTGTTAGAAACCTGTCGTTTTTATGTAATACTAGCGAACCCCACAGACGTTGTTCCGCCAAGTATCTGAACGCATGCAACACAATTTATTTCTTGATGATTTTATTATTTGTCTAAACTAATATGTATATCGGGGTGCCATTTTTATATATTAAAAAAATGTTCCTAGAAGCACTTTTAACTGATTTTGTACCATTTCGGGTCGGATTTGATCATATGACGCGATCCCACATTAATTATCCCACGTGGTGATCCCACATTAATTGATCAATATTTCCATCAATTCCAAGGTCCGTGACGAAGAGAGGGAGGAGGGGGATGCTTCAGAGGCGGAGGGGGGGGAGAGTTCCGGTGAAGAAAGTGGAGGGGAGAAGAAGAACGCCATACACGCTAATGTAAGCTTATAATACATAATGAGGTCTAATACTCGCGAGTATTCATTTAAATGAAACCAATATTATTTGGATGTTCTACGCGATGTTATTTTTGATAAAGAACTACATACTGAAGATATGAGACATCTCGTCTGAATGATCACGGTTGTAAAGTGGGGGAAACGTCGGGAGTATGTAATTTTTGATCAAAAATAAATTCTAGCAGAAAAAATCTATGTTTAACATATTTCCAGTAGCAAGAAGCCAAATTTAACATTTCCAGCAGTAAGAACCTACGTTTAACATATTTCCAGCCATTACAAGCTAAATTTAACATTTCCAGCAGTACAAATCTATATTAACCATATTTTCAGCTTGCTGAATCTCCATTTCATATATTATTTTCTTTCCAGCTGTCAGAGGAAGCGTCAAGCAAGCGTCGGGACGCCGTTCTTCATGCGATGGATATAGACGCCTACTGGCTCCAGCGGAGACTGTCCAGGCATTTTCCAGATGCTATGCTATCACAGGTCAGCTGGAAATATATACTATGTACACCTGGAACTTTGACACATAGAAAATACTATAGTTTTGCGTTTTCCATATTTGGTGGATCAAGAACCTATGTATATATACAGGGTGACTGGGGAATTACTATCAATATTTAAGGAGAATACTCGGTACATGATTCTCATTCGAATTATGTAAAAAAAATAGGTACTTAATTTTTGACAAAATTTCCGTATAAATAAATAAAATGTGGACACGTTCCAAGTGTTCCAAGTGTGGACGCATACGGCGGCGTGCTGATACAACACCACGCCGCCGCACGCGTGTGTGTGTGTGTGTATACCTAATCTGTAGGGTGTTCACACGATGCGTAATTAATTACATAACTTTTGGTTAACTTTACTTAGAAGTTTATTAATATTTATGTTATATTAATTTTTATTTTGTCATATATGATCGTCAAATATCACGTCCTCAAGTATCGATAGTAATTCACCAGTCATCCTGTATATGTATTGTGCGTTTGGTTTAAACTGAGCTTTGCATTTGTGTTAGTGTACACGGATAGTGTAGGTGTGATGTCAAATTTTTGAATGAAACATGCTCTTCTATATTTGAACCAGTTTATACTTCTTTTACTCCGCCCCGCACCTTCCTCACTTTACCCTTTGTACTGATAGCACCTCAAATGTTGAAAGCGCAATGTTAAGTGAAGAAGAATTTGTATAATTTTTCCAAATTACTAAATAATTACATGTTTTGCTTATTTTATTTTTAATCTAGAATAGCTCTCGCACTTATGTTATGTATCTATTTAAATTATAATAAAATTTAATTCTAATAGTTTTTTGTCTAACCCTACTTTTAGTTCCACTCACACGAATGCAAAGCTCAGCTTAAGTCTAACGGACTACACCTTTATATGTACTTATATTTTTCAGGCGAAGTCCTCCGAAGTGCTGCAAGCTCTGGCAGATGCCGCTGATGAAAGGGACTTGGAGAATAGGCTAGTGCTGCTGTTGGGTTATGACTGCTTCGACCTGGTGAAGACACTCAATAAATACAGATATACAGGTTAGTATGGGATAGAAGAAATGGTGGTTGAAGGAGTTGTGATTGTATGAGGTGTGTTTGAAATATTATAATAGAGGAATAGTTTCTCATTACTGGAATATTCCAGAACATTCTCGTTAATATTTCTATTTGTTTACAAACATCAATAATAATAGTTCTAAATAACGTATAGCTTATAGTTCGTCTACTCGTTATTAGATGGCGCTGTCGCTAAACATCGAGAACATTCTAGAATATTCTCTATAAATACTCTCTTCTACCTGGCAATTTCCCAGCTTTAGCCGGGGTCTGCCTCACATGTTGTGAATAGTATTGGCTAATTGTTTTTACGACCGGCCGCCTGCCTCAAGAGCGTTGATCTCTTTGGGAATGCATTAATCAGTGATGTCTAAATAACTCTTATAAAGTACATATGACTCGTAAAAATCACATTGGTACTTGCCAGGATCGAATCCGCGCCCTCATGCATGACAGGCGGACCTTTTAACCACTAGGTCACCACTGACTATTAATACTCTATCATATGTTATTTTCAACAGTTCTATACTGCACGAAGCTAGCGTCGTCCCAGTCTGAGAGCGAGAGGGCCGCTATACGCGAGGAGATGGCAATGAAACCTCATCTACAGAAGATTCTGGCACAGCTGGACACGGGGAAAGGGGAGGATGAGGTATGATGGTGTTCAAATTGTTGGTAAATAAATAATAGTAACGATGAATGTCTGTCTGTTGCAACTAAATAAAAAACTTCTGAGTATCAGTGAATGAACAAATGCTTTATTTCAATATTAGACACCACATAATGTGCACTGATAAAATTTATTTACAAAAGAAATTGGTAGACATATTTTTCTATCAACAAACAGAGCAACAACATTCACATATAAACACAGTGGTACCAGCCGTGTAATAATATTGATAATATTACAACACCTTTAACTAAGAAACTACTAATTGAAGTATTGTATAATTCTTTTTAATATTTTGATTAAAAATTATTATAGAAAATATGTAATGAAAATGTCATTACAGCAAGCAGGATTAAAATCTATCTTCTGAATTACATTCTTTATTATTATTATATATATAAATATATTACATTATATGTATATTATATTTATATTACATTATATGTATTTCTATTTAACTAGCTTTTGCCAGCGACTCTGTCGACGTTGGTTTTATAATTACGACTTTATAGCTGACCAGGCGAACTGTTTCGATTTAGAGGCAGTAAATAAACAGATTTCGGATGTTATTACCAATTTCTCTTGGTCGAACGAATTCAAAAGTATCTTATGTCCATCTCCTAGTTGTAATCTATCTCTCCACCAATTTACAATCATATCCTTACGACCGTCCTTGAGTTATAAATAGTGTAACTAACAAGACTTTCTTTTATATATAAAGATTTTAACTATATATATTTGTATATACATTTATCTTTCAACTCGCAAACTACACCTGGATTCAATATAACAACAGCTGTATTAAATTTCCAGAGCATGGTGCAGTCCGAGCAGCCTCGCAAGCGTTCCAGGTCAGCGCTGGAGGGAGGCTGGGCGGGCAGCGTGGCGGGGAACAGGAAGCAGCTGCACCTGGAAGACCTGGTGTTTACAGCTGGGGCTCACTTCATGGCCAACAAGAGGTGCCAGCTACCACCTGGATCGTTCAGGAAGCAGCGGAAAGGTAATAACTTGCAGGTGTAAGCTCTGTTTGTTGAATATAAGTACAGTAATACCCCGCTTTACGCGAGGGATACGTTAAGAAGAAAATCGCGTTAACCGAAATTCGCGTATATCGAGGTTTATGATTAAACACAGTCAAAATTTAATACACAAATATAAAAATCATTTTAATCAATCACTTTAATTCTAAGAACACTATACAATACATAGGTACCCCTATTTTTTTACGAAAAAATACATGTATTGTCTTTTGGGTAGCGTTTTGTTTTGGGTAACCTCGCACAACGGGGTCGCGTTAAGCGGGGTATTACTGTATAAGTAAATCTTCTACCTGGCAATTTGTGAATAGTTTTGTTGTGAATAGTTTTGGCTAATTGTTTTTCACGACCGGCCGCCTGCCTGACATCAACTCTTTTTTTTTTTGGGAAAAATATATGTTGAATATAAGTAAATGTTATAATCTATATTAACGAGGTATATATTTTTAAGCTAGATTTAAAGAAGTTTATTTCCAAATAGAATAAAGTTCGCTTACAAATAACAAGGAAATTTTAAAAATTATAACTACAATTAAGATTACAATTAATATAATAGTGATATTAAACAAGATCAATGAAATTCTAATATATGGGTTCTCAATCGTTTTTTAAATATATTTAGATATTCTGAATTGACAACACTTAGAGGCAAAGAGTTGTACAGCTGTTAATGTGTGTGAATGGTCTTATCATAGTTATGTCGGTTGAAGGTTGATTAAATATATGGAGGTCATTAAAAAAGGGTTTTATTTTATCAATATTTTAACAGTGTTAAAGAGATTTCAGTGTTTTTTGGTATATGGGTTACATGTTCTGGAAATAAAATTGAGATAGGTCCTATTCGGTAGTTTTGATCAAAATCACCCAAGATAATATAGTCTATTGAACAAAATCTAGTCTAGATTGTACATTTTTCAAGTTTTTTATTCGATTTTAACGTTATTTGTATATAGGTTCTGTATTCTGGAACTAAAATTAAAATTGGTTCAGCCATTTATGAGATATAACGCCACATATAGATATCAATGTCAAAGTAATAATTATTTGCGATGGAAATTAAAAAAATCTTAATTATTTTATATCTCTTATCAATTAAATGTTTAACATATATTTGTTTATTTTAGGTTATGAAGAAGTTCACGTACCCGCGTTGAAACCGAAACCGTTTGAAGAGAACGAGGTTTTGATACCCATAGAGAAGCTGCCCAAGTATGTACAACCTGCCTTCGAGGGGTTTAAGACGCTCAACAGAATACAGGTGAGAATATATGTATATATACTAGCTATTGCCTGTGACTTTGTTCGCGTTAGTTCCATAATTATAAATGTATAGCTGTAGCCGACCAGGCAAGCCGTGTCAATTTAGAGGCAGTAAATAAACAGATTATAAAAATTACTTTAAAAGTCGTTAATGTAGAAAATATTTCAGCTTTAACCTTTTTTGATAATCTGCTTCCAATGTAGATACGTGGAATTATCCAATGCTAGTTACGCGGATACGCACTATACCCAATATATACATGCATAAACTTTGAAGTTTTAAGAAATATATGTTTATTTAAAACATATATATGTAAGAGATAGTAACTGTGATTTTTCGGAGTCATATGTACTTTCTAAGAGTATTTAGACATCACTGACATACGGTGAAGGAAAACATCGTGAGGAAACCTGGACTTATAGTTTCATAATTATAAATTTGAAATCACCAACCCGTCTTGAGCTAGCGTGGTGATTAATGCTCAAACCTTCTCCATGTGAGAAGAGACCTTTGCTCAGCAGTGGGCTCTGATAGGCTGATTACGTACGTTATTAATATTTCTAAAAATAATAATCAATACTTTTCCAGAGTCGCATCTCCACAGCGGCGTTAGAATCAGATGACAACCTATTAGTGTGCGCGCCCACGGGTGCCGGTAAGACGAACGTGGCGCTGCTGTGTATACTGAGGGCGTTGGGGAAGCATGTTAACCACGACGGGACTGTCAACGTGGGCGACTTCAAGGTGGTGTACGTGGCGCCCATGAGGTCACTCGTGCAGGAAATGGTGGGTTATACACTTACTGTTATAGTGGTTAAGGATTAAGCCTTTAAACAAGACTCGGTAGATGAAAAAGAAATGATAAATAACAGGACCAACTGACAGACATCTCATCTGTTCGTATTTACGGCTGCTATTTGTGGAGACGTTTAACTTTATACAGGGTGACTGGTGAATTACTATCGATACTTGAGGATGTGATATTTAACGATCATATATGACAAAATAAAAATTAATATAACATAAATATTAATAAACTTCTAAGTAAAGTTAACCAAAAGTTATGTAATTAATTACGCATCGTGTAAACACCCTACAGATTAGGCGTGGTGTTGTATTAGCACGCCGCCGCACGCGTTCACACTTGGAACACTTGGAACGTGTCCACACTTTATTTATTTATACGGAAATTTGGTCAAAAATTAAGTGCCTATTTTTTTTTACATAATTCGAATGAGAAGCATGTACCGAGTATTCTCCTTAAATATTGATAGTAATTCACCAGTCACCCTGTATATAATATGTATGTAATGTTGCTGTAAAAGCTTCAACTATGATAAATTTTAAGATTTTCTTGTAAAACCTAAGATTTAATCATTTTTAACATTAAATGTCCAAAAAACTATTATATTGAGTTAATAATATAACTCATTGCTTTATTCCTAAAACCTATATCTACCAGGTGACAGCAGTAAAACCTAGCATATACATAATTTATACTGAAAAACTAGAAAAAAATTGTTCTATTTTCAATATTTAACACCTCATATAGAAATATCTTAAATTAATGAGATCTAAGACTTTAGCCATAATCATTTAAATTAAACTAATATTATTTGGATTACTACAAGTATTTCATTATTTTACACTACATACTCGCGACGTTTCGTTTACTTTGCAGCAACCGTGATCACGGGCAGACGTGATGTAGCAAAATCTAAAAATATAAGTTTCATTTAAATCCTAACTTATAAAATTTAGCTTTAACTTGGAGTTTCCTTGCACAGGCTTTTCATATACTTAAAAGGAGACTCCAATAACTTTATATTTATGTACAAACTTGTTAAAGATTTTTTATTTTTAAAAACTTATGTGCTTATTTATTATCTAACTAAAATACCACATTCCCGCAGGTGGGTAACTTCAGCAAGCGGCTATCAGCTTACAACATGAAGGTGTCAGAATTGACCGGAGACCACCAGCTGACGAGGGAACAAATAGACGACACACAACTCATAGTGTGTACTCCTGAGAAATGGGACATAGTTACTAGGAAAGGTAAGATTATACAGAGGAGCTTGGATGGTGGAGGTGAACGTATAACGACTTAGAATTCATTCATTCATTCTTGGAACTTGCTTTGAAGTCAGCAATAGTAGGTTCGTTTCAAATTTGGTAGAGAAAGGAGCTTGGACGGTGGAGGTAGGTGTTTAACGCGCGATAGATAGGGATCCCTTAAACCTACACCTGGGTCACAAGTCCCAGTCACTGTTGAAGCTCCTCTCACTACAACGATGGACCCGACACACGCACCGTGAATACATTGAATGATGAGAGGTTTCGTCTCTCTATATATATTAAACCTACACCTGGGTCACAAGTCCCAGTCACTGTTGAAGCTCCTCTCTCTACAACGATGGACCCGACACACGCACCGTGAATACATTGAATGATGAGAGGTTTCGTCTCTCTATATATATTAAACCTACACCTGGGTCACAAGTCCCAGTCACTGTTGAAGCTCCTCTCACTACAACGACTGACCCGACACACGCACCGTGAATACATTGAATGATGAGAGGTTTCGTCTCTCTATATATATTAAACCTACACCTGGGTCACAAGTCCCAGTCACTGTTGAAGCTCCTCTCTCTACAACGATGGACCCGACACACGCACCGTGAATACATTGAATGATGAGAGGTTTCGTCTCTCTATATATATTAAACCTACACCTGGGTCACAAGTCCCAGTCACTGTTGAAGCTCCTCTCACTACAACGATGGACCCGACTCACGCACCGTGAATACATTGAATGATGAGAGGTTTTCTTTCATGAGAATCTACGATTAAGGGAATCCTAATTTATGTATGGCATAACTATCTCAGTAGATATAATCAATAGATTAAAAACTAATTTTGTAATTTATCCTTAGTTGAAAGACTATAGTAGTTTTTTGAAGTCTTATTAATTTTGTTATATACTAGCTGCGCCCCGTAGTGTTACCCGCGAATTTCCTAGATTTCCGGGATGTAAAGTAGCCTATGTTATTATTGGACGTCAGCTTGCTGTAAACAAAATTTTATCAAAATCGTTTCAGCCGTTTGAGCGTGAAGAAGTAACAAACATACTCACACGTTCACAAACTTTCGCAATTATAATACATATTAGTACGATACATATATCGTTTTAATATATCAAAATAAATTTATTCATACAGTGGATGCGTTTTCCTTTTCTTTTATTCTCTTAATGATTTTGTACTAACCACTACAGATCAAATAAAACTTGGTGTGACGAATGTTAACAATGTTATATGTTTAAGTTAGTAATGTTCTCAAATAAGTGACTATGTATTGTATTGTTGAGAATAAAGATCATTAAATTAATTCCTTATATAATTTCTAATCAATCTTATATAATTTCCAGGTGGCGAGCGTTCCTTCACCAACCTGGTCCGCCTCATCATCATAGATGAGATACATCTGTTGCACGACGAGCGGGGACCCGTACTAGAAGCTTTAGTCGCCCGCACGCTCCGGACCGTGGAACACACGCAGGAAGAGGTACATACTAACTGATAGAGATAGATGAGATACAAGAGATAGATGAGATATATGAGATATAAAATAGATGAGATATTAGAGATAGATGAAATATCCCTACTAATATTATAAATGCGAAAGTAACTCTGTCTGTCTGTCTATTACGCTTTCACGCCTAAACCACTGAACTGATTTTAATGAAATTTAGTACAAAAATAGAGTTGACCTTGAGAAAGAACGTAGGATAGTTTTTATCCCAGACATTTGAAAGGTTCTTTTAGAAACGCCATATAACCGAACTCCACGCGGGCGAAGCTGCGGGCGGAAAGCTAGTTATACATATATGAGATATGATATATAGATGAGATATATAATGAATGATACTGCATAATATCAATTAATTGTATATACATACTCTAAAGTACACTTAAATTGGGTCAAATGTTTCTCTATGCTTCAATAATAAGTTTTGCAAAAAACTCTTCTCTATATATATATATTCCCAGGTCCGCCTCGTCGGTCTGTCCGCTACGTTACCCAACTACACGGACGTCGCAGCCTTCCTACGAGTCAAACCTGAGAAAGGACTGTTCTACTTCGACAACTCCTTTAGGTAACTCAATACTTTCTTAATGGTTACATTTCAATAAGTTTACCTAGTATGAGGTTTTACTATCATACCTAGAGTTTGACAATTTTGCAATCACTACATTTATATACATATATACAAATATATATAATTCTATTGTATGTTTGTATGGATTACAAAGCGACTGGACCAATTTGAATAAATTTTCTTATAGGCATTTGTGGTACCCGTTTACAACAATAAGCTCGACTTATGGGCAAAACTAGTAGTAGTATTAATTGCTTATAAACTAAGACTGATGCATGAAAACTCCACTAATATTCTTTTTCTTTACCCAACTATCATCTATATGTAACTTATACCCAAATCCTCTTCTCAGGCCTGTAGCCCTGGAGCAGCAGTACATCGGTGTGACGGAGAAGAAGGCGCTCAAGAGGTTCCAGGTCATGAACGATATCGTTTATGAGAAGGCCATGGAACATGCTGGGAAGAATCAGGTGAAATTAGTATTTAATTTATTACTTATTGTGAAAAAATTACCTTAGAAGTCGTTAATATAGAATATATTTCAACTTTCTTCTGATAATCTGCTTTCAATGTAGATACGTGGAATTATACAATGATAATTACGCGGATACGCACTATACCCGACGATATGTGTGTGTATGTATGTGTGTTTGTTATATCAAAGTATATTGTTCTCTCTAAATAATGCTATTTTCACCAAAACAAGGTAACTTAACTATTAGTACCTTAAACGACAATAATAAAGCAATATTATAACACATATATATGTATGTGTGTATTCTATTAAAGGACATGTTCCTGCCTGAATACATCAAAATAAGGCAATTTAAATACTATTATTACTAAAAACAATAATAATATAGCAATTATATATCATAAGCCATATAAATTGACAATAAACGAAGTTTTTATACTATGAAATATAATAAATTCATTGGTTTTAATATATTAATGTTGTCCATAGATATTGGTGTTCGTTCACTCCAGGAAAGAAACGGGGAAAACGGCGAGAGCTGTTCGAGACACTTGCTTAGAGAAAGACACGCTTGGACATTTTCTTAGGTACGATTATAAAATACTGAACTATTATATCATCAATTATATAGACAACCGGAGGTTCCAGGAAAATTAGGAAACTTACATATATGTATATTATAATGAGAATTACATATTAAAACTTATAACCTACACCTAAGACTACATGATTAACCCGATGTTAGGATAGCAATACCATTCCATAGCTTGTGTGTATCAGGAATCTTCTGGTTCACACGCTTGGTGTTCGTTCCGCGGAGTCAGCGGCGTCACTCGTTATATTTTATACATACAACGATGTTTCTCCGGCAATGTTCATAGTCTAAGATCCCGATATAAGCGACCTTCACCGAGATGTTTATTTGATGAAACATATTTTATATTCAATTTAATATGTCAATAACTATATTACATATGGGTTGCCTCATAAATTTTAGTCCAGGATATGATTAATTAACAATTAAAAATAGATTTTTTTTCAAATATTTCACCGGTTTGTTTATTAGATAAATTCCACACCAACCGAAAGTACGGAGCCCATAGAATATGAAAACGTTAGGTTGCCTATTCTTTTCCAGTCACAACTCTCGGGTTGCCAGGGATAAACAGGTACATCGATAGTAGCATTTTGCACCGGTCTGATAATTTAATCAAATTTAAATGAAAATAAAGATTATTTAATTATGAACACAGTGAAATAGGGTTGCCTGCGAAAAATCGGTCCTAAATTAGGGTTGTCGAATTTTAAAAAGGAAAATATTGCCGCGAGTGAATATGTACGACTGAGAGGTCCCAAGCATTTTTATGAAAAATTACTCTGCTAAAGAAGACAATGAGCAGTTTCAAAAAAAAATCAAAGGCTTTGACTCTAACTCCATACCTCCGTGCTGGATATTATTAACGCAAAAAAATTTACGAACTATTTTCGTAAATTCAATGTGGCTGAATGCAACAGATCCAATATGCATCAAACTTGAACCTGAGAGCTGCGGTTGGTACTTAGATGAATATTTAAAACCACGAGGATTCATTGGGGATCATACACCTTTAAGAATAGATGATATTGTCGAAAGAACCGAAACAGAGAGTGATGAAGAAGAAGGTGCAGATGTCGCAGATCTCAGTTTCATGTCCGATGACTCAGAAGTTGAATAATTTAAAAATATTTATGTATTTATAATTTTTTATAATACTCTAAATTAGTATTACATGTGTATTGTTATAACCTTCTTATTTACTATATATATATATATCGGCGCTACCAGCTTTAATAACGGATGCGACTTGAAAATAATTAGAGGCTGCCATCAATTCTTATTAAACCTCATTAGTATTTATGATTATTGTTAAAAGTAAAACGAAATCAAAAGAGAATAGAATTATGTTTGAATCAAAAATATGACGTCTGGACTCACGACGGCGGACTCCAGAATTGAGAATTCAGCATTGATAATTCAGAGTTCAGTGAGCGTGTATCATAGAAGCATGTTATTATGAAGAATCTTTGAGAAATACAAGAGCATTAAGATCAATTGCAGTTTCATTTTAAAATATCATCGAATGCTCTAGAAGAAGTGATATTGGTAACGTCAGCGAGGCTGGCGTCTCTCTCTTTTAAAACCACGAATGTGTAATAAATCCGATATCAGAAGTGGGATCGCTCTCGTGATCATGCCGGTCTTATAAATCCTATCCAGCTGAAGAAAATAACCATGTGGAGAACTTGCGTACTGAAGAACGCTAAAAGAAAATTTTTTTCATGCCATTCATTGATGTCAATAATGCAGAGCGTGTGCAAACGTTTACAAATAAATCAAGGGATAATATTAAAATTACTAAGAAGATCATTTTTATCATCGTTTGACCCCGGTGGTAGTGTGTGTCTTTGGGAATGGTGTCAACACATCTACATGGCTATAAATACGTAGTAAATCAGGAACCATGATTCTCAAATGAAAATGAAATCTTTAAAAGGAGTGAGCTCAAATATGTGAATACGATTGGAAGCCACGTAGTATGGATATTAAGCGGAGATATTATGCGACGATGTGGCACTATAACTGAGACAAGACGGGCACGTTCTAACTGAAGGTTGAGGCCATAGCAGGCTTGACCAAATACTAATACACATCCTGAGTTTTCAGATACCAGCTCCTCTCAACAATTAAAAGAACCTGGCGCGCCGAAGTAAATGATTAGTCCTAGTTGCTCCAAGTATGGTGAACGAGGCTACTTCGCGCCGCGCTGCCCCAGTGTTGAATTCAAGGCCAATTAAGCATGGACCGAACGACACGTGAATATCTGTTCAATCCAGATATGGTTTAGCTCTGGAGTGAAACCGGTGACAGGTTTTCATGTTGTTTCGACTCGGGTACCGAATGTTCTTTAATAAAAAATAAAAAAATTTTTTTTTGAAAGATAGTTTTCTAAGCAAATCACAATATAATAATACAATTGCATTAGAAGGTGAAGTAACGCTCGCATTAAATGTTATATCTAAATTCTTTAAACAATTTAAGAGTGATTCAGTAAAGTGAGTTTTCCATGTTGTGAATTCATGTATTTTCAACGACCTTATGATTAGACAGGATCTGCTTACATTAGGGTATTCTATAGGGATTAAAAATAATGTCTCATTCTTAAAACAAACAAGATTGGAACTGAAAAATCATTTGAATAATGTCATAGAGAGAATTAAATAAGAATACGGTGTCTGATAGATATCCTTTTGCCACTTATTTCGAATCAAAAATGCTTTCATTTCGCCGCGACAACAGACCATTGGTTGAAGGCTAAACAAGAAATAGATAACGAAATTAATTTTATTATCACGAAACTAGAGGCAAACTATTTTAATAGTGATATCTTTAAAACTTACGAGATAAGACGCGCTTTTCTTTTTCGGAAATAATGAGAGCTCTATGTTGCCTTTAGTGTTTAGGGAATTTCCGTGAGCTAATCTCGTGTCCATGGTGTATTCTCAAGAGAACCATGAGATTCTGTAGGGAAGCCTTGTGGAGCCGTGAAGAGACAAGTATTACACCATAGATCTGGAGAGCGTGGCCTCTGAGCTAATCACGAGTTACCCTTGAGCTAACCACAGGTCCTTGCTGTATCCTTGAGAATACCATGAGATTACGAAGAGCGGCCTTGGGAAACTATGAGTAAATATGAAGTCACTCAATCTATAAGAATTTACATGATTTTGATATCAAACAGCCGGCGCCACGGCTTTATTTAGAATCGACTGTAGACATACTCTCCGCAGTAATATTAACAACATGTCGGTCAACACACACAGCAGTGCCACTAAAAAAAAAAAACGATGTTATAATTCAAATGATAGCATAATTGACTCCAAATTTCTAATCAAATACACCTATTGCGAGTACAGCTAAGTTTTGTTCCATTTCTGCTAACCGTAGTCAAACGTTTGAATCATGTTGTCGACGGAAAAAGGATATCACGCCGAATTTAAATTTAATATCAACTGGTAAATTTAATCTTAATAAAATGCATGATTTCAGGGGTGCGTTATACAAGAATCAATGGCAAATAACATATCCGGGAATAGAAAACAAATCGTCAACTATTTGCGAGGATTGAGGCCGGGCTCTATTATTCCTATAAATAGTATTATGTAATTACAGGCATCAGCGTACATCTGACAAATTTAGTATCCTTGACGATATTATGAACATACGAACAAGTCAATCCGGCTTTAACAGTTTAGATTACATTTTGACAATCCGTCCGTGGATTTCGAAGCAACACATTTAAAACAGGATGGTCGAGGCGGAAAGAATAAAAAGTTAAAGTTGGATTTAAGAGATTTCGAGCTAAAATTTAAATAATTCCAGAATGGAGATTTTATATAAAAAATATCACAGAAAAAGTGAATAGAAACCGAGGAACTACTAATATATAATACTACTACCTAATAGTTATCCGGTGAGCGTATTTCATTTTGTTCAATTTACTTCATTTCAAACGCATTGCGTATTTTGTAGCTAGAAGTGTGATATTCAAACATATATGTATTTTGAGAAATATTACTATAAAAGACGCATTTGGCGTGCAGATCCGAACCATAACAAAAAAAAAAAAAAAGAGAATTATAATAATAAAAAATAAAAAGGAAATGTCAATAAAAATAAAAATTGTTGTAGACGGGTGGAGACGTCTTACGACAAATAATAATAAAAAAAAAGAAAAGAAAAAAATAAAAATAAAAAAAATGTAGACGGATGGAGACGTCTAACGACGAATAATAATGATGATAAAAAATAATAATAATAATAATAAAAAAAAAAAAAGAATTATAATAATAAAAAATAAAAATAAAAGAATTATAATAATAAAAAATAAAAATAAAAATGACAATATAAATTGTTGTAGACGGGTGGAGACGTCTTACGACAAATAAATTAATAATAAAAAAATAATAATTAAAAAATGTTATAGGCGGGTGGAGACGTCCTATGACAAAATATGTTATGAAATATGTTATGAATGTTCGAGTGATGCCCCAAAGCCATAGTAGCTTAGATAATTGGACGTGATATTATGACCATCCAAAGATGTGTCGTAGTAAACAACGTCACCCATACGATCAAAACAAATTTGATATTCATAATTGTAACAATATTAAGTTATCTAGGGTTACTGTGGAAGTACCTAGACTACAAAAGCATTTATCTTTTATCACAGAGCAAACATCAGTATGACCGTATCGGCATGACTTCGGAAGATGAAGCATCAATTCTTGATCCTGTCCCATCTACTTTACGAGACGCGCGACTGGTCCAAGCACATAACGAAAACCAACCAAGAGAGAACACATAACCAGGCAGGTGCAGAGCACGCACCGCCTGTCAGAATGGCCGTATCGGCGCTACCAGCTTTAATAACGGATGCGACTTGAAAATAATTAGAGGCTGCCATCAATTCTTATTAAACCTCATTAGTATTTATGATTATTGTTAAAAGTAAAACGAAATCAAAAGAGAATAGAATTATGTTTGAATCAAAAATATGACGTCTGGACTCACGACGGCGGACTCCAGAATTGAGAATTCAGCATTGATAATTCAGAGTTCAGTGAGCGTGTATCATAGAAGCATGTTATTATGAAGAATCTTTGAGAAATACAAGAGCATTAAGATCAATTGCAGTTTCATTTTAAAATATCATCGAATGCTCTAGAAGAAGTGATATTGGTAACGTCAGCGAGGCTGGCGTCTCTCTCTTTTAAAACCACGAATGTGTAATAAATCCGATATATATATATACAGGGTGTATGAAAAACTGTGTCAACCCTCTTAACTACGTTATCAGTATCGATAATGTAACAGAATAAAACAACTTACATTTACAAACTCTTCAATAAAAATAATAAAATTAAATATTAAATGATTATTATATGTAGAGTAACAAAATGTTTGTAAACCCTGGTATAACACGATGACACGCAATGACGTCATCACAGCTGCTGCGCTACTAGTGACGACCTTGAAGTTACTTTCACATTATTGAAAATATCGATATTTAAAAAATCATAACAATAAATAAATATTTAATATTCATATTATTTCGATACTTATTTTGATATATCAAACATTATTATTATGTTTTATTGTAAAACACCATTTTTAATAGAAATAGATTAACGATTTATCCTAATAATACAACATATGTAGTTAATTTACCTGAACAAGTTTCAAATTATAATATTTATTATTAATAAAAGTTATTTTAAATGAAATTATTTTAATGTGAAAAGCATAACTATTTATAGCAATATTGAAAATGTCTATAGAATATTTATCGATATAACTAATTTTTACACTTTCAAATCTCTATTCGAACAACTAACAGAATAGTAATAATAACGCCGGCGGCCCGTCGCCTGCGGTCAATGGTCACGCATGCGCCGTTGCGACTATACGGTGTCTTGACCTTGTATGAGTCAGATGTTTGGAACATTTCTTCGAATAATGTCGATTTAAAACTTATTTGCCTATGCACTGTAACTGACGTCTGCTTGACATTTTTTAAGTTATACTATTTTTTATAATAAGCTTATACTTATATGTATACATGCCTTCAAGGGTTGACACAGTTTTTCATACACCCTGTATATATACTTTAATGTCACATTAAATATATACACATAAATAATTAATTAAATTAATATTAAAGAACTATTCTTCTATTTTTAATATAATAATAATACATTACTCCAAAATGATACACAGCATATGCACTTCTATCGCTATCCTTGTCAGTTGCACTGACAAATAGCATTAACACACTCACTTTCTTTAAATGGGCGAACCTTACGCAGCTGTTATGCTCTGTCCTCTTCTAACGCACGGAACAGTTGCTTGGGACCTCTCAGTCGTACATATTCACTCGCGGCAATATTTTCCTTTTTAAAATTCGACAACCCTAATTTAGGACCGATTTTTCGCAGGCAACCCTATTTCACTGTGTTCATAATTAAATAATCTTTATTTTCATTTAAATTTGATTAAATTATCAGACCGGTGCAAAATGCTACTATCGATGTACCTGTTTATCCCTGGCAACCCGAGAGTTGTGACTGGAAAAGAATAGGCAACCTAACGTTTTCATATTCTATGGGCTCCGTACTTTCGGTTGGTGTGGAATTTATCTAATAAACAAACCGGTGAAATATTTGAAAAAAAATCTATTTTTAAGTGTTAATTAATCATATCCTGGACTAAAATTTATGAGGCAACCCATATGTATTATAGTTATTGACATATTAAATTGAATATAAAATATGTTTCATCAAATAAACATCTCGGTGAAGGTAGCTTATATCGGGATCCTCTACTATCATTTATTTCTTAATATGATCGATTTTGTGTGACTCTCAAACAATAACTACTGAACAAATTTTGATTAAACTCCATAGTGATATATCTGGGACATCAGAATGGGATATATATAATTTATCCCGGAATTATTTGTAGTTCCCACGGGATTAAGCACAATAGTTTTATAGTAGTAAAGTGTTTACTATATATGGCAATGATAGCTAGTTGGTTAGTATATGCTATTTTATAACTGAGAATTAATCGGAAATTCATATATATAAAGTCGCAGATAAAAACTAGCATATCCGAGAAAATATTCTGAAATACGCCTTCGGAATCAAGGGGATAATTATTCAAATAAATTTGATATATATATGAGAATTTATTATAGAATGAGACAAAAAATAAGTAATATTGGTTTTATTGGTGCTGTTTTACATAAAAAACCTGAATATTAACAAGAAAAAAAATATTTCATTTCATTCTCTAAATAAAAAGTTGATAACATACAAATACAAGCATTTCTTATTTAAAACGCATTCATTATTTAAAACGGCTGTATCAATTTGTATGAAACTGTCCATTATATATAGACCCTTATCAAGAGTATATATTCGCAGAGAGGGTTCAGCCAGCGTGGAGGTTCTTCGTACAGAAGCCGAGCAAGTCAAGAACCCCGAACTTCGCGAGCTGCTGCCGTACGGGTTCGCGATCCACCACGCGGGGATGAGCAGGGTGGATAGGACACTGGTGGAGGATTTGTTCGCTGACAGACATATACAGGTGATAGTGCTATACTATACGTAAAGAACAAAAAGATAATCTTTATAAAGGGCAGTTCGGGGAAGACCGGCATATAAAATTTTAAAAAATACAAATGGTCTTAGTTTGGCGATTCTACAACCTTCCTTCCAAATATGGTTGAACTAAATGATAGCATGTTTATTTGATCAAACTGTAAACGTGTCAAAATGACAATTAAAGCATTGGTTCAGAAAATAAACAATTTTTGTTTTAAATAGTGAAAAGAGACGGATTTGGCACCCATGTTGGGTAAGACCGTCTACTGGTAAAATTCTCTAGTTAGCGGTAGCTAGCGTAGTGATAGATGTCAATGCCTGTGTAAATGAATATGTGTGCGGATGCCAGTTCATATAACAACTTCATATTTGCACCCTCACTCGCAGAAATAACATTTTATTTCACTCGTGTGGCTAGATTCTACATTCGTCGGCGAAGACCGTCATTCAGGGGTTGTAAACAATTAATAATAACTAATAAGTAGAATTGTCTAATAACGGTACAGAATTGTCTAATAACGGTTCATTGTTAATTTTCGGTTCTACTAAAATCACGTTTTCACCAATCTCGGTTTCAAAGGTAACAATATGGTTCTATACAGATATTTCTGGCGGTGTGTTGCTACTATTGAATTCATCTGCACTATCCGGCTACAACTTTATATTAAAAAAATCAAATAAAATTGACACTAAAGATTTTGGATTTCGCCCAGTGTCTTGTTGCTCTTCTGTTAAAATATTTTCCTTATTTCTCTGCTGCAGAAATATTTAATTCCGTTGTATTAGTTTCAACATATCAAATTTGTCTTTATTTACTTCGTCACGGTTTACTGGGTAAATACCAGATTTTCTGAAACCATTTCGCAACACTTGGGCATCTATTCCAGACCAAATCTGCAAAATCAATCGTGAGAATTCTGATTTGGAATATGGATTTTAAAAAGGTTTAAAAAAAATGTTGATAATATCTGTATGTGGCAAAGACCGGCATATGACATTCATTACGCTCCATGGCCTAGACGGACATCGCCACGGCCTATTTTGAGGTTAGCTTTTAATTTAATCAACTATAACTTCGTAATAAACGTATATTTTACTAATGTAATTTACTATCACACAGATATATCATAGAAGAATAAAATTACTTGCATAGATCCTCCAAATAACTGATATTTCAACACAAATACCTTTTTTTTTACCAACGTCGTTGTACTGAAATAACAACCTCGTTTTTTTCCGTTCATACTGCTTATAGCGATATCTTTGTATATTAATATGAACTTAAATGGATTTATTGTGCCCCTAATTTTTTGCCATTTTTGTTTGCTCTACTGAATTAGTAGTTATTCGTGTTAGACAATCTTACCCTTCAGACGATCTTACCCGAACTGACCCTACATGTATAGACATATACAGGTGATTATACTATACACAAAGAAAATAAGTAAATTTAATCTTTTCATAAATATACAGGAGCTTAATACTTAAGAAAATTGTATAATCGCATATTAATATACAAATTACACATAAAAGGATGTAATTTTCTTTGAAAGGGCTAGACTGATTTTGACAGGTCTCTCGCTAGTAGGTAGCTTAAGTAGTAAGAAATAACTAACGTTACTTAATTACATAGTTTTCTATTTCGTTTTATAAACATTATATTATTATAATGAAAGAAATCATTATTTCGAATTAATTAAGTCGCTGATAGAGCTACATACATATATATATAATATATAGAAATAAACATCATTCATCGTTCCAGGTGTTAGTATCAACGGCGACCCTCGCGTGGGGCGTGAACCTGCCAGCTCACACGGTCATAGTGAAGGGCACCCAGGTGTACAGTCCTGAGAAGGGGCGCTGGAGCGAGCTGGGCGCGCTCGACGTGCTGCAGATGCTGGGGAGGGCGGGCCGGCCGCAGTACGACACTAAGGGAGAAGGTGAGAGAGATAGAAGATGTGTGTGTGTGAGAGAGAGGTAGATGTGAGTAAGAAGAGAACTCTCTTACTGACAGAAGGAGAAGAGATAAGAAATAATGGTAGAAGTATAGGGAATAGTTAAGACTTAAATTGTGTATATAAGTATGTGAAACTATTATTGCTAGATATCAACTATACTATTGATACTCTATAATAATTGTTTATGTCATGTTCAATACAAGAATGATTGATTGATATACTTGTATTTTATATATATAATAAAGTCGTGTTAGTTACAGTATTTTTAACTTAAGAATGGATGTACGGATATGGTTGATTTGGTGGAGATATAAATTAGAACATAGAAAGGATATAGTATACTTTTTTTAATCAATTGAGAAAGAAAAAAAAATTATCAAATCCAAAATTTTCTTATTTACTGTCTTTAAGGAGGACTAGTGTTCCTCCGATCAGCTATACATTTCTAATTTCGAAACTAACGCAGACGCAGTCGCGGGCAACAACTAATTTGTTTTAAACGTCCTAACCACTTCAATAGGTGTTTCAATAATAAAAATAATCAATATATATATATGACTAACATAATGTTTATATCCACAGGCATCCTCATAACAAACCATTCGGAGCTACAATACTACTTGTCGCTATTAAACCAACAACTGCCGATCGAGTCTCAGCTGGTGTCCAAGCTACCGGACATGCTGAACGCTGAGATAGTGCTGGGTTCAGTGCAGAGCGTGAGGGATGCTGTCACGTGGCTGGGTTAGTGCTTGATACATATATACACTCATTGAAATGATTATTATATACTAGCTGCGCCCCGCGATTTCCGGGATGTAAAGTAGCCTATGTGTTATTCCTGGACGTCAGCTTCCTGTATACAAAATTTTATCAAAATCGGTTCAGCCGTTTGAGCGTGAAGAAGTAACAAACGTACACACTCACAAACTTTCGCAATTATAATATTAGTAGGATATGCGATAGTATAGTGCTGGTTCATAGCTTGAGTCAGCAATAAAGACTTTTTTTGTATGCTTAGATGTAATAATAATGATCAAGATATTATAAGTAATGGAAAGTTTACAAATTTTTAGAGGAATATATACAGGATGACTGGTGAATTACTATCAATATTTAAGGAGAATACTCGGTACATGATTCTCATTCGAATTATGTAAAAAAAATAGGCACTTAATTTTTGACAAAATTTCCGTATAAATAAATAAAGTGTTGACACGTTCCAAGTGTTCCAAGTGTGGACGCGTGCGGCGGCGTGCTCATACAACACCACGCCGCGCGCGCGTATGTGTGAGTGTGTGTGTATACCTAATCTGTTGGGTGGTTACACGATGCGTAATTAATTACACAACTTTTGGTTAACTTTACTTAGAAGTTTATTAATATTTATGTTATATTAATTTTTATTTTGTCATATATGATCGTCAAATATCACGTCCTCAAGTATCGATAGTAATTCACCAGTCACCCTGTATATATATTAAAAAAACTTAGTACCTGTAACTATAATTTGAAATAATTTAGATAATTTAGAAATATATTTAACACGAAAAAGTGAAAAAATCTGTTTCTATAATTATAATAATAATGATACATTTTAAGGACTAATACGAAGAGCACTTATAGAAAACAAGAAACATAGAATATGTACAAAAATTAGGCATATGTATAATATATGTACATATATACACACAGACAAACAGGCATCTTCATATAAACATGTACACATATAGGATAATATACACAGACAAAGAAATCAGAGGAGAATATGTATACACACACATGCACACGTCAATAATCAATAATAATTACTGTTACACACACATAGACAGTACCATCGATATATACTAATGGACATGCCTTAGAGATGAGAATTGTGGCACTCTGAAAGAAAGAGAGGAAACGAAGTTTCGGTCTATCTTTATCTCTCTCAAAATAGTACCGTACTTACGTTATGAGCCCCTTCTGGATAATTTATTATTTCCTAATGTCATATACAGCTTTACGTTTAACCTCACTTTCTCTGATTTTTAGTATTAATGAAGTATGAATTATACGGTTAAATTAATTATTTTAATCAATAAATTTATATGCCGTGCTTGTCATGAAAATTGAGCGCCAATCATATATGAGGAAAGAGATAGTGCTAGACCGAAAGCATAGGCGCACGGCACGTCCATTAGTATAACTCGATGGACAGTACTGTCACTAAGCCCCGCCCCCTCTCACACATGACGTTACCCCCTCCCCAGGCTACACGTACCTGTACGTGCGCATGCTCCGCCAGCCCGCTCTGTACGGTGTGACTGAGGACCGGCTGAAGGACGACGCGTTACTGGAGCTACACCGGGCCGACCTCGTTCACACCGCCGCCTCGCTGCTGGACAAGTTAGTAAAGAATTATACTAATACTAGCTGCGCCCCGCGGTGTTACCCGCGGATTTCCTTGTTGTAAAGTAGCCTATGTGTTATTCCTGGACGTCAGCTTCATGTATACAAAATTTTATCAAAATCGCTGTTTCAGCCGTTTGAACGTGAATAAGTAACAAACATACACACACACTCACAAACTTTCGCAATTATAATATTAGTAGGATCAGATTTTGGGTGGGGTAAGCAGAATGTTTGAGAAATATCATGTTTCATCATTTACTCTAAAACATCACTATCAATGAGATCTTTCGCAAGTATTTAAATGTTACTAATATGTATTTTCGAATAACGGGTAATTTATTATTTTGCCACTATTATCTCGTCTGCCCGTGATCATGACTGTATGTAGTTTAAAATAATTAAATACTAGTAATCCGGAAATATTAGTTTTATTTCAAAGAATACTCGTTAAAGTCAAATACCATTTAGTAAAATAATTACAGATAATTTGTGTTTTTTTGGTATTTTTAGTACGGAACCCATCGAGCAAATCCTACTCACGCTTGACCGGTTTCACAAATTGACTTATATATTATATATATACCTAATATCAGTATATATTTCCAGAGCCGGTCTTATCAAATACGAGCGTAAGTCCGGTCACTTCCAAGCTACCGAGCTGGGTCGTATAGCCTCCCACTACTACTGCACGTACGAGACCATGCAGAACTACAACCAGCTGTTGAAGCCCACGTTGGCTGAGATCGAGCTGTTCCGAGTGTTCTCGCTGTCAGCTGAGTTCAAGCACATCACTGTGAGAGATGAGGAGAAGCTCGAGCTGCATAAGCTAATGGAAAGGGTGAGATGATGTAGAGATTAATATATATATATATATATATATATATATATATATATATATATGTGTGTGTGTGTGTGTGTGTGTGTGTGTGTGTGTGTGTGTGTGTGTGTGTGTGTGTTTATGGGTGTGTGTGTAGGAATGCAATCTCGAAGCGAGATCGCAAATTCGAGATCTCGGCTGAAATTTTAAAAAATATCGTTTTTCTTAAGTAAGTTAAACCCAAAGAAAACAGCTTAGTTTTCTTTATTACGAGAGTAAGATACTGAACGAATTGGAAAATAAAACGCTCATTTATTTATTAATCATTTACTATTAATAACAATTAAGCCATTAATGAACATACCAATCACAATTAAGTTTTAGAAATTAAAATTACCAGTCTTTGGTTTATAAAGATATAAAATTTAACAATATCTCTCACGGTAAAGAATTTTAACAACAAATAGACTCTTTGCGCAGTAAACCGTTCTTATTTTTCATTTAAGACCATGGATCATAAATGTAGTAAACGGGTACAGCAACTACTTATCCGTAGACTTAAGTTGAACCTATGTTAGAGTACAAAAATAATAAATATAAAAGAAACAAGTCTTATGAATGGTTTTGGAAATAACTCCTTATAAAACAGAGAGTGCTTAATGTGCTGTCAGACATACAACACCTTATTCAATATCGGCCAAGATCTCTTCATTCTATGCTTCGAGATTAATCTCGAAAAATAAGGCGAAATCTCGCGAGATCGAGATTGCATTCCCTACGTGTGTGTGTATTTAAATACTGTGTAGTTGACAATAATTCACTGTCATTATATATGTTTATATAATATACCGTATACCAGAAATTAGAATATTTGAGTGGAGTTGAAAAAAAATTTTTAATGTATTCATTTAATATGAAAAATAAAGTAGAAATATAAACATATATTCGTCCTACCAGAATTCTTCGTAAATTTTTCCATATTCACTCATTATGTAAACAATTAATGAGGACATTTGAATCTTTTATATCTATAAACTATGTAATCTATATTTATAATATTTAAAATTTACTAATATCCAAACTAGAATTATATATAATGAAAAGTTAATCGTCAAATCTCAATATAATTCTCTCCGCAGGTTCCTATACCCATTAAAGAGAGTATAGAGGAGCCGTCAGCTAAAATAAACGTGCTGTTACAAGCTTATATATCACAACTCAAGCTGGAAGGATTCGCGCTAATGGCTGATATGGTGTACGTGACGCAGTCGGCGAGCAGGCTGCTTAGAGCTATCTTCGAAATTGTACTACATAGAGGTTGGTTCATATTGTAGGGTATTAAAAATATCTACTACTTACTAAACTGTGATATATATATTAAGGAACTTCGTTCGGAATTTTAAAGATAAAATAACAGTGTGACATTTGAAAATTTGGCAATGCGATTTTAATTAAAATGAAAAAATATAAAAGGTAAATTAAGGAACAAAATTATGAACTCCTAACACCGGTTAAACAACAAATAAACTACTTACAGATTTATATCCTTAAAATAGTCTTAAACTAATCGCTAACATAATATTAACAGTCAAAATCCTTGAGCGATGTCGCCTCGACGACGGTCCGCCGAAAAGTGTCCTTCGCGCACTGCTTCTATTTTGTTTTTCTTCCAAGAAGTTCCTAACTATATATATATCTTACGCTCAAAGACCAAGAACGAAAAATGAGCGAAAAAATAGCTCACAAAACATTCTGGTCACAGTAAAAGACCGAATAGCGAAATTTATGTCGTGACTGACACCCTATTTGATTTCACAGAATTGTAGTAATAAGCTGGTGTAATATACTACTAACATAGGTAAAATAAATTATAAATACGTCCTAAAGATATCTACTAAAATATTTCCAGCCTAAGCCTAATAGAATCTATATAGGAAAGTATGCTTTTCTTCATAGCCATAAGTTGTTGAGGTCGAATAGTATATCAGCCATTGTTATACACAGACCAATCTATCTGATCCGTTGAAATCCATAATATAATTATTCACTCATACATATAGCATCCATATATAGGTCTTTTAATATTGGTTATTTTATAGGTTGGGCGCAACTGGTCGATAAGACGCTGGCTCTGTGCAAGATGGTCGACAAACGAATGTGGCAGTCCATGTCACCGTTGAGGCAATTCAGGAAAATGCCGGAGGAGGTAATTATAAGAAATACTCATTTTTATTACTCACTGTCCCTTTGGTATCGGTTGTACCTTGAAAGATATTTTGTGAGGTTTTTTATAGATATAATTATATTTATTTTACGTATAGTATGTGTTAGTAAAACATGCAATAATAAGGAATGGTTGAAATGTATATTTAGCTACAATAGATACAATAATGTGAACCTGGCTAAAGCTGGGAAATTGCCTGGAAAAAGAAGATACAACAATGTGTATATATTGTAACGAGCTAGAGTTTAAGACGTAAATATTCACTTTCTTATAGTCGTAACTCGTAGGTAACATCGCTTGTATTTTGCGTTACGAAAGACTGACTCAAAACCACTAGTAGCCCTTTAATATACGACGATCCGATCGCTAGAACATTCCAGAACATTATTTCTGCTTGTTTACAAACATTAACAATATTTCTAGAAAACGTAAAGCTAATAGTTCGTCCACTCGTCACGAGATGGCGCTACGGCTAAATGTCAAGAATATTCTATTTGTAGTTTTCAAAAAGCTGTATTAATTTTGTTATGTATAGTAGAAACTCGATTATCCGATCCTCAGTTATACGGATTCGCGATTATCCGGACTACGGACGAGTCCGGACAAGAAAGAATGGTAAAGCGTAAGAGAGTGGTGTTGTTGAGAGTGACGTACGTCAAATGAGAATTACCAAATATTTTAAACCAAATGGAACTTATTATTATTATTATAATTCATGATTACCAAATTCAAATTACCAAATACATATTGTAATTTATGTTTTAAATAAACATATAATATTATGTACTACATATGAACAAAACTGTCTTTTCTCCATACATTCGATTATCTGAATACTTATTGGCAATAATTAGTCCGGTTAATAGAGTTTCTACTGTATGTATTGTAAGTATCAAATTGAATGCCAGCTACTAATATAGTAAAGTAATTTACCTATATTACACTTGACATCATACTATATACAATTCAATCTTTAAGCAGATCTTTAATGTATTTATTAATATTTTAATTCCAGGTAATCAAAAAGCTAGAGAAAAAGAACTTTCCCTGGGAGAAGTTGTACGAGCTCGGTCCTAATGAGATCGGTGAGCTTGTCCGAGCACCCAAGTTGGGGAAGATGATACACAAATATGTTCACCAGTTCCCTAAGTTAGAACTGGCTACACACATACAACCCATCACACGCTCCACGCTCAGGGTCGAGCTGACGATCACTCCTGACTTTCAATGGGATGAGAAGGTTAATATCATCATCATTATCATCATCATCCTATCAGAGCCCACTGCTGTAAGGCCTCTTCGTACATGGAGAAGGTTTGAGCATTAATCACCACGCTCGCTCAAGACAGGTTGGCGTTTCAAACTTATAATTTGAAATTATACGTCCAGGTTTCCTTACGAAGTTATCCTTCACTGTCTGTCATATGTAACCATATATATATGGTTATATATAGCCAATGTAAATGAAACTAATATTTTCGGATTACTAAGCGTAATTTATTTTGTATAACTATGATTATGGTTGCTGGAAAGTAACTAAAACGTCGGGATTACGTGGTTAAGTAATAAAATACGCATAGTATAATACGAAAAATAGTTTATCTCATACATTTTATTGCGTTAAGCAACTTTCTACTTCTTTTCTACCTTCTCTTGAGTTTTGTATGTTGCATCGTATGTTAATATAGAAGTTGGTTCACTACAATCCCTACTAATATTATAAATGCAAAAGTAACTCTGTCTGTCTGTTACGCTTTCACGACCAGACCACTGAACTGATTTTAAAGAAATTTGGTACAGACATAGAGTTGACCTTGAGAACGAACAAAGGATAGTTTTTATCAAAGACTTTTGAAAGGTTCTCTTGGAAACGCGATATAACCGAACTCCACGCGGGCGAAGCTGTGGGCGGAAAGCTAGTATTTATTAATTACCAAAAAATATATACGGAGAAAAGATACTTTAGACAGTAGGACTAGTGTGTTATTATATTAATTTCACATCACTCTATAGCCTATCAGAAACAAGAATAGTAACTATTATGAACAAAAATTTACTTTCGTCAGTTGTAAATAATAATTATTATGAAAGACCTAAAAAACTTCAAATATTTTAACAATCATTATGAGAGACCCAAAAAATATATCAAATAAAATAATGCCATCTGTACAAAAAAAATATTATGAAAGACCCATACAACTTCCCAATATATCAAGAATCATTATGAAAGACCCACAAAATAATATCATATAATTTTCCAGATCCACGGTCAGTCTGAAGCGTTCTGGATCCTTGTAGAGGATGTGGACTCGGAGACAGTGCTGCACCACGAACAGCTGCTGCTTAAGCATAAATACTGCCGCGACGAGCAGCACGTCAAGCTGTTCGTGCCGGTGTTCGAGCCATTACCTCCACAGTACTTCCTTAGAGTTGTATCAGATCGGTAAGCTATTGTAGATTTTATATTTTAATTTTATTTAAACATTAACACATTCATTACATTAACAAACTAAATGTCCTTTTAATTATAGGCTATAACATCATGCAAAATACATATAATAATTGTAGTAAATCAAAATTCAAATTAAATTACAATAATAATAATAACAATAAATTAATAAAACATTACACAATAATCGCTAAAATTGACATAACTAATAAAATTATTACAATTTAACATTTCAATACAATAATAAGAAAAATACAAAAATAGATCTACTAGCTTATGCCTGTGACTTCGTATGGAGTTACTGTAATTATTGGGATCAGTTTATTAAAATAATAGTAAGATTTCTATAAAGTTATTATATTTCTATAATAACGAAAACCAAACCGTTTTACAATTTCACATATCAGTTCTGAGTGATGCACAATGTTATGTATACAGTTTTATCTTAATACTATTTAATATAATAAAATTTATAATCTAATAGTAATTTATGATGAGCATATATATGTTTTATATGTTGTATGTTGTATCGTCACCAATTTGTTGCAGCAGTTATACATACATAGTTGAGGAATTTAATCGAAATCGGTCTTGTAGTTTTACAGTTTATCAGTTACACACAACACACACACACACACACACACACACACACACGCGCGCACGTACAGTACACATTCACACACACACACACATATATGAGATCAAGTCTCTGACACCTATAAGTGTATAACTTCCATAAACAGAAGCTTTTCATCAACAAATTCAACCTCTTCATCAAATACAGTCAAAAACCAGAAAATATTCCTTACGCCCTATTAAATCTGTACTATCAAAATAATATACACTCTATTCCAGGTCAAATAACGCCCTAGCTATACATTATATGTATATCAACTATTTTCAGATGGATTGCAGCAGAAACGCAACTCCCAGTATCATTCAGACACCTCATCCTGCCAGAGAAGAATCTGCCGCCGACAGAACTTCTGGACCTGCAACCCCTGCCGATATCTGCCTTGAGGAACGAGAAGTGGGAACAGCTGTACAAAGATGCCTTCCCGCAATTCAATCCAGTACAAACACAGGTGATGAAATAGTCGTTAAAAATTACACATATAGGGATAGTGCAAATCCTCGTAACTAGCATTGTATAATTCCGCTTATCTGCATTGGAAGCAGATCAGAAGAAAGTTTGAGCTGAAATATTTTCTATATTAACGACTTTTAAGGTAATTTTTTCACAAATAGTAATAAATTAAACATTAAATAATTTAATAAAGTACGCGGAATTATCCAATGCTTGTTACGCGGATTTGCACTATCCCCGACGTAATAGCAAAATATACATGAACAAAAAATAAATTAATTTAATTATCTATTGATCAAATATATCTCTTTTAATAGTCTGTTATAAGATATATTATGAATTTTATCACACTAGACGGCGCTAGATGGCTAACAAATACTATATAGAAATATACATTAATTTTTCTCTGAAGCCAATTACTAAATCTTAACGCGCGAAGTCAGGAGGCATAAACTAGTATGCTATAATTATAAATATATGTTCTTTCTAGTCCAATAAGGATTTTTTCCACGTCTTTATTGTAACGAAATGTTCTTTACTGTTCAATAACGAATTTCTAGGTCTTAATACCAACTAAAAAAGTAAAAATGGTTGTGGCATAGTAGTTAAAGGCCAGCCTCTCATGCATGAGGGCGCGGGTTCGATCCTGGCAAATACAAATGTGATTTTTCCGAGTCATATGTACTTTATAAGAGTATTTAGACATCACTGACAGATGAAGGAAAACATCGTGAGGAAACATGTACTTATATCAAATTATAAGTTTGAAATCACCAACCCGTCTTGAGCAAGTTATGATTAATAGTCAAACCTTCTCCATGTGAGAAGCATTTGCTCAGCAGTGGGCTCTGATAGACTGATGATGATAATTTTTTTTTTTTTTTTCGTTATCGCGGTGAAAGGTTTTATACCTACCCCTCCGTCTAGGGGAGACAGAGGCGGTTATGTGGGATTCACGGCCAGAAGGGCCCATGTTACCCACTAAAACACCAGCGGTCACTCTCCGTTGCCGCCAAGTGGATCGCCACGGGAAACGCCGAAGCATGCATCCGCGACGATCCGGCGGCGGGCCGCGAACGGTCACCTCCCCCCCCGAGGGCTCACTTCAAGTGACCAGGAGTGTCCCCCCGCCTGGCGGGCTTGCTTAATCGCGAGAGGGTTAACCCCTTACCCCTCCCACCCAAGCCCACGCGGCCAGTCTCCAACCACCCACCGACGAGCGCAAGCGCCCGACGGCAGACAGAGAGGAAACCGACCGACCACAAGCGAACTCAGGCCTCCAGAGAGACCCGAGTATCCCCTCCCCCCCAAGACAGTCACGGACGGCCTCCTGCCAGATCCGTGACCGTCTTACTCCCAGGGCTGTACCCCCAGCCCTCCCCCCCGTGACTGATTGCACCGGAATACACCAGTGGGCGATGGGGTCGTCACGTCCCGACGCCGGAAGACTGATGATGATAATGCCATATACTAACTCAATGTTCTTCATCATCCAATATCAAATTTCCAGGTCTTAACATCTTATATATTTTCGTGTGCACGCATTTGTGTATGTTTACCCAATAGTCAGGGGCCATCTGAAAATCAGTGCTGTGCATTAGCACAGCTTATACTGAGATGAACCCCTTGCTACACTGTATTCTTTAAATTTAATATTTTTCTTCTGTATAACTGTATAATATATGTAATGTATGTGTGTAGCAAATAAATAACTAAATAAATATTATATTTCAGGTGTTCAACGCTGTATATAACTCAGATGACAACGTGTTCGTGGGCGCTCCATCAGGGTCAGGGAAGTCAGTCATCGCTGAGCTGGCTCTGCTCCGCCTCCTCACACACAGCCCTGCCTCCAGAGCCGTGTACTTAGTACCACATGATGCTCTAGCTGATATAGTGTTTGCTGATTGGTATCACAAGTTCGGTGCTCGGTTCAATCTGAAGGTGAGTGATATATGTATATATATGTAGGTCTAATCTAGGATTTGAAATGAATAATCTGTATGAAAGTATTAATTTTATTATATGTACTGTTGAATATATTTGGTTGTAGTATAATATATATATTACATATATATTCTACAGTTTTTCTTAAATCTGCTGTTAATTAAAGAGAATGTTTCTATCAATAAGTCTATTTTTCAATTTCGGCTAATAGAATTTAAATAAATAATGTGTTTGTAACAGTTTGTTTGTAACAAATCCGCGTAACTACATAAGAAGCAGATTTTGTATATAAACGATATTTAACGTAATTTTTTCACCAATGTAGATAATTGAAATTATACAATGCTAGCTACACGGATATGCACTATACCCGACTATATATAGTTATTTTCCTAGTATTATACTATATATGTATATTTTCCAGGTGGTACAATTAACTGGTGAGACGGCTACAGACCACAAGTTGATCAACAAAGGACAAATCATAGTCACTACAGCTGAGAAGTGGGACGTTCTGTCTAGAAGGTATGAGATAAACAAATAGATATTAGATGGAATAGATGAATGTAGATGAAATTAGATGAAATTAGATGAAAATTACATATATAGGTGCAATTGATCAGTATAAATGAAGTGATTTTATAATAACATTAAAATAGATACATATACATGTTTGTGGATTTAGTATATTAGCATAATTGTACAGGAATTAATTAATCTAATATATAAAATTCTCGTGTCACGGTGTTCGAACTTGAACTCCTCCGAAACGGCTCGAACGATTTTCGTGATCCTTATCGAGGATAATAACCAGGGGGAGAATCGGCCAACATCTATTTTTCATCCCCCTAAATGTTAAGGGTAGTCCACCCCTAAATTTTTGTTTTTATTTTTTAGGCAAAATTTTGTTTTTATTTTTTTATGACACAGCCTACAAAAATACATACAAACCTAAATTTTCACCCCTCTGAGATCAACCCTTATTTTTTATTTGTTAATTAAAAACTTTAATTTTTTGGCAATTTTTTATTTTTTTATTTCTTGATTATAAGGCGGTACGAAGTTCGCTGGGTCAGCTAGTATGACTATATAAATAAATAATAGAGGGCTGTTGTTGTATACACATATAAAGCTGTAAAAAAAAGTATGGGTCTGCAATATTTGTGAACAATTCCGCCAGGCAGAACTAGTATATTATTTTTATAATGATTACAATAGAAATCATAAATACATAGTCTACTTATACAGAGAGCTCAGATTTTTAAAGTAATATTAAACAATATAGAGTGTTAACTTCTGTAATAGCTTCACGAGCGATTTTGCAAAACAGAGCTAGTATATTATCATAATAAACAAAATGAGAATTATTAAATATATACTTTAGTCATTTAAACCACCCAGATTGTTAAATTAACGCTAACTTCTAGAATTATTTCCAGCTGGAAGGTATAAAATAGTCATCAAAAGTACTCAAATTATTACAGTAATTTTAACTTTTGGAACTATTTCCAGGTGGAATATAATATAGTCATATAAGTGCTCAAATTGCTATAGTAATGCTAACTTCTGCAATTTTTTCCAGGTGGAAGGTCCGTAAGAGCGTTCAGAGCGTGTCTCTGCTAGTAGTAGACGCGCTCCAGCTGTTGGGAGCTCATGAGGGACCTGTACTAGAAGTTGTGTGTTCAAGGATGAGGTACATCGCATCACAGACAGGTTGGTAGTTCTATCTTCTACCTGACAATTCCCCAGATTTAGCCTTACATGTTGTGAATAGTTTTGGCTAATTGTATTTACGACCGTCCACCTGATTGATATACACCCTCTTTGGGATGAAAATCAGTGATGTCTAAATACTTAGAAAATACATATGATTCGGAAAAATCACATTGGTACCTGCCAGGAACGAACCCGCGGCCTCGAGAGTGAGAGGCGGCCCTTTTAACCACTAGGCCACCACTGACTTAGGTAGTTCTATATGGAATCTTATACCGTATCGGTGGTTCCCAAATTTAGAACAAACAAGATAAAAAATTCTTAAAGCAAATGCAGTGTAATCTATTTGTAATGACATCAAAAGGAACTGATAGAAATTTTAGAATAAGAAAGAAAAAAATAACTTTGTGTATTCATATGTACCCAATTTAAAAGAGAAATAAAGTTGCTTTTAATTAGTTTATATTATAAATGTATGGATGAATCGCCAAATACAATCTTAAGTATAACTTATCTTAGCTAAAGCAATTTACCAATCAATTCCCGCCTTTATACAACGCCCCTTTTTTATCTGTGCCTCTCACCACCCTTTAAACCTGCTGTACCTACAAGTGGGTCTATTACCACTCACTTTGAGAAAGTAACTCTGTCTGTCTGTTACGCTTTCACGCCTAAACCACTGAACTGATTTTAATGAAATTTGGTACCGACATAGAGTTGACCTTGAGAAAGAACATAGGATAGTTGTTATCGCAGACTTTTGAAAGGTTCTCTTGGAAACGCGATATAACCGAACTCCACGCGGGCGAAGCTGAGGGCGGAAAGCTAATATAATATAATTCTCCTTGTGACTCCTATATGCAATTATAAATCTACATGGTGTTCACTACTTGTTCTGTACATCTGTTTTGTATCACGCTGTATAATATTCTTATAATAATGAGATTTACGATTTTCGCGAGTCTTGTTCATTCAAAAGAAACTAATATTTTCGGATTTTCTATGCGATTTTTTATTATTGACTATAAACTACATACACCCGACGTTTCGGCTATTTTACAGAAACCGTGATCACGAAGACGAGATGTGCCACTCACATCACATGTTATGTAGTTTATATCATAAATAAAGTCGCGTATATCCGAAAAATATTAGTTTCATTTATGGGGCCGTTCAAGTATTACGTAAGCAGTATGGAAGGGTGGGGGGTCTTTGCTTTGCTTATTTTGAATGACATGGGGGGTAGGGGAGTCTAGGTGATGATTACGACACCGTTAGTTATTTACTTTTTAATCGTCACGTCGAGAAGATCCATAAAAAATATAATTATAATTGTTTTTTAAGGATTTATATTAAAAAAACAATGCAGTAATTGAAAATGTTTACGTAAGCATGGGAGGGGGTAAGAGCTTTGCTTACTTTTGCTGACAAGGGGGATGGGGGGGTAAATATTTATAGTAAATCTGTTTACGTAATACTTGAACGGTCCCTATTCTTCTAATGCTGTAACTTGTGTATTCCCAGGTCGTCCTATCCTTATAATATAATTCTCCTCGTGACTCCTATGTGCTATTTTAAATCTACATGGTGTTCACTCCTCCTTGTTCTGTATCACGCTGTATAACATCCTTCTAATGCTGTAACTTGTGTATTCGCAGGTCGCCCTATCCGTATCGTGGCCCTATCTCTGCCGCTGGCGGACGCGCGCGACGTGTGGCAGTGGCTCGGCTGTAATACTAACAGCGCGTTTAACTTCCATCCCAGTGTGAGGCCGCTACCTTTGGAGCTGCACGTTCAGGTAATATATATATATATATGGCTGTCATCAATATTTATCTTTATACAGGGTGACTGGTGAATTACTATCAATATTTAAGGAGCATACTCGGTACATGATTCTCATTCGAATTATGTAAAAAAAAATAGGTACTTAAATTTTGACCAAATTTCCGTATAAATAAATAAAGTGTGTACACGTTCCAAGTGTGGACGCGTGCGGCGGCGTGCTGATACAACAATACAGTGTGTGTGTGTGTGTATACCTAATCTGTAGGGTGTTCATACGGTGCGTAATTAATTACATAACTTTTGGTTAACTTTACTTAGAAGTTTATTAATATTTATGTTATATTAATTTTTATTTTGTCATATATGATCGTCAAATATCACGTCCTCAAGTATCGATAGTAATTCACCAGTCACCCTGTATAAGAAAGTCGTGGTAGTTACACTATCTATAACTCCAGAATGGATGTAGGGATATGGTTAGATTAGCCATATTGAAAATTGATGGAGAGATAGATTAGAACAAGGAGACAGACAAAGTTATTTATTAGCTCTTGGGCGGAATAGAATTGGCTCGGTCGGGTATACATATAATATCGAAATTAAAGCGGACGAAGTACCGGCCAAATAATGGTATATACAGGGTGACTGGTGAATTACTATCGATATTTGAGGACGTGATATTTGACGATCATATATGACAAAATAAAAATTAATATAACATAAATATTAATAAACTTCTAAGTACAGTTAACCAAAAGTTATGTTATTAATTACGCATCGTGTGAACACCCTACAGATTAGGTATACACACACACTCACACATACGCGTCGGCGGCGTAGTGTTGTATCAGCACGCCGCCGTACGCTTCCACACTTGGAACACTTGGAACGTGTCAACACTTTATTTATTTATACGGAAATTTTGTCAAAAATTAAGTGCCTATTTTTTTTACATAATTCGAATGAGAATCATGTACCGAGTATTCTCCTTAAATATTGATAGTAATTCACCAGTCACCCTGTATAAGTACAACTAACGTGAATCATCTCTGTATGGATTCTATAATATAGTTTAGTTCGTTTTTAGTCAAATAAGAAGCTCGTTGTTTTATTATTATTAAGATACTTGCTACGTACGCACTATATTAAAAATTAAACGAACATCGCCGGGGAACTATTTCTGTATACAGGGTGACTGGTGAATCACTATCGATACTTGAGGACGTGATATTTGACGATCATATATGACAAAATAAAAATTAATATAACATAAATATTAATAAACTTCTAAGTAAAGTTAACCAAAAGTTATGTAATTAATTACGCATCGTATGAACACCCTACAGATTAGGTATACACACACACAAACACGCGTGCGGCGGCGTGGTGTTGTATCAGCACGCCGCCGCACGCGTCCACACTTGGAACACTTGGAACGTGTCCACACTTTATTTATTTATACGGAAATTTGGTCAAAAATTAACTACCTATTTTTTTTACATAATTCGAATGAGAATCATGTTCCGAGTATGCTCCTTAAATATTGATAGTAATTCACCAGTCACCCTGTATATTAATTAATATCATAAAAGGAGTAACATAGCTTACTTCCAACGAACACCAAGCCGTGTGAACCAGAAGATTCCTGATACACACAAGCTATGGAATGGTATTGCTATCCTAACATCGGGTCAATCATGTAGTCTTAGGTGTAGGTTATAAGTTCTAATATGTAATTCATATTATAATATACATATAAGCTGGTTTCGTATTACTAAACTTTTCCTTCACTAACATATCGTCGTCATCAGCCTATCAGAGTCCACTGCTGAGCCTCTTCTCACATGGAGAATGTTTGATCATTAATCACCACGCTTGCTCAAGACGGGTTGGTGATTTCAAACTTATAATTGTTAAATTATAAGTCCAGGTTTATACACAATGTTCTCCTTCACCGTATGTCAGTATGTCACTAACATATATATGCACATATTTCTAGGGCTTCAACATCTCCCACGCGGGGTCCCGCCTAGCAGCCATGACCCGTCCCATCTACAACTCGATCCTCCGCCACGCCGGCTCCCGTCCCGTGGCCGTGTTCGTTCCGTCGCGTCGCCACGCCCGCGTCCTTGCAGCTGACCTACTAGCACTAGCAGCTGCTCACGATACACCTGGAAGGTTCCTTCGCGCCCGACCCGATTTAGTCCAGCCTTTCCTAGATAAAGTGCAAGATAGGACTCTTAAGGAGACGCTAGCAGCTGGCGTAGCTTATCTACATGCTGGAGTTTGTGCTGGAGATCGCCGAGCAGCGCTGCAACTGCTGGAATCTGGTGCAGCTCAACTGTGTGTGGCTGCAGCTGAATTAGCGTATGCCTTCACCGCGCATGTGCATACTGTTATTGTGGCTGATACTAGCGTGTGAGTACCAATGTGATACGATCCTGACAAATACCAATGTGATTTTTCCGAGTCATATGTACTTTAAGAGTATTTAGACATCACTGATTAATGCATTCCCAAAGAGGGTTGATGTCAGGCAGGCGGCCGGTCGTAAAAACAATTAGCCAAAACTATTCACAACATGTAACCAGACCCTGGCTAAAAGCTGGGAAATTGTTAGGTAGAAGAAGATACTTGAATGTCATTTCGACTGATGATGAATGTAATTTTAGCTGTGTATACACTATTTGTTCTTCTGTTTGTTATAAATATTGATACTATCATAATTGAAAAGTCATGTGTTTTGTAAGCGAATTAAGATTGAAATAGGAGAACGAAAAGTTCATGAATTTAGCAGGATTCGAACCTACGACAATTTTCCAGTTGTACATAACAACTGTATATAAAATTATACAATTTAAAACCATTCTAAGCTGACCTCTACTTAGCAGAAAAAATATTCCTATTTTATAAATCATAACTTTATAAGTATTGTTACTAGATATTAATTAATTATTAATATTTCCAGCTATAATGGTAAGCTGCATTGCTACGAGCAGTATCCTGTGACAACAGTTCTTCAAATGCTGGGTCGAGCGTGCAGACCTCTTGAAGATGAGCACGCGGTCGCAGTACTTATGTGCGCGCAACATCACAAGACGTTCTTCACTAAGCTACTCAATGACTGTCTACCTTTAGAGGTAACTACTAATATTATAAATGCGAAAGTAACTCTGTCTGTTACGCTTTCACGCCTAATCCACTGAACTGACTTTAATTAAATTCGGTACAGAGATAGAGAAAGAACGTAGGATAGTTTTTATCCCAGACTTTTGAAAGGTTCTCTTGGAAATGCGATATAATTGAACTCCACGCGGGCGAAGCTGCGGACTGAAAGCTAATATGTATATATATATTAGACATGTAAAGATTAACCATACGTATTCAAAGTAAATTTCAGCATCAAGACGGCCGCCGTTTGCTTATGTTATTCGCGCCATTATTATCAATGTTACCAACTTAAAAATTTCTTATAATATTACATATTAGAATTTCTACGTACTGAAATAATATATAATATCATTAGTGTCGACACATATGTAGTGTTGGAATAACACATTATATCTAAAGTATCCTCTTACTTAAGCGAACCCGCAGGTCGAAACTAGTGCTATTATTATTATCATTTTACTCTATACTATTTATCTCCCTAATAATGAAGCAAATAATTTTAGTCACTCGGGTCAATGACCAAGAGTTTTTGGTGTGTTAAAAGTCAGTCAATTCATAATCATATTCCAAAAACTTACGTACAATTCGACAAGTATTCAAAAAAGAAGCTTTTTCGTTTATTATTATCATTTTATTTAGCTGCGCCCCGCGGTGTTATCCGCGAATTTCCGTGATGTAAAGTAGCCTATGTGTTATTCCTGGGTCAGCTTCCTGTATACAATATTTTATCAAAATCCGTTCAGCCGATTGAGCGTGAAGAAGTAACAAACATACACACACACAAACTTTCGCAATTATAATATTAGTAGGATTATAATTATTATTATTAATTCCCCAGAGTCATTTGGACCATCGTCTCCACGACCACATGAATGCTGAGATAGTCACCAAGACGATAGAGAACAAACAAGATGCTGTCGACTACCTCACATGGACCTTCTTATACAGGAGACTGACGCAGAACCCGAACTACTACAACCTGCAGGGGGTCACGCACAGGTAGATAGATAGATAGATAAATAGTCAGTGGTGACCTAATGGTTAAAGGGCCCGCCTCTCGTTGCCGAGAGCGCGGGTTCGATCCTGGCCCTGGCAACTACCAATGTGATTTTTCCGAGTCATATGTACTTTCTAAGAATATTTAGACATCACTGATTAATGCTGATTCCCAAAAGAGGGTTGATGTCAGGAAGACGGCCGGTCGTAAAAAAAAAATGAGAAAACTATTCACAACACGTAAGGCAGACCCTGGCTAAAGCCGAAAACTTGCCAGGTAGAAAAAGAAGAAGAAGAAGATAGATAGATAGATAGATGAAAGGCGGGGAGGGAATTAGGAAATACGGGAAATCGGAGTTCGATACTACCATCGTTGTTTAAACAATAGTTTTGATATGCTATATGGCTATTGTATATAGAAAATGTTTCTTTTTATACTTAAATTAATATATTTTGAGATATTGTCTTCGCGAGTATTCATTTGAATGTTAATATTATCAGATTACTAGGCGTATTTAATTATTTCTTAAAAAACTAAATACTCCAGACGTTTAGACGACTTTGAAGCGACCGTGTATTAACATCTCCTCTGTCAGTGATGTGTAGTTTTTTTGAAATAGTAAAATACGCGTTGTAATGCGAAAATATTAGTTTCATTTAAATGTAAACTTGCGAAAGTCTTAAAAATCATTAGAGAGAGAAAGGAATAACGTGAAAATCTGTAGGGACATATGTATCGTTTGGCTGTCTATGTGTTTGTTACGCTTCAACACAAAAACAATTGAATATATTTTAATGACGATCTACAATAATATAGACCATATGTTAGGATAAAATATAGTATATAATTTTGAATGAATACATATAATAAAGGAAAAAATGTACATACAAGAGGCAAATAATTTTACTATCCTAGAAAGTTATAGTGTTGAAAACAGAACAGGAAATAGAAGTAGAGTATTTATATAACTTAATTACATTGATAATATCACTTGAAATATATATATATATATCTTCTTCCTGGCAATTTCCCTGCTTTTTAGCCAGGTCCTGCCTGAAATATATATGTATAATTTTTAGTATAAAATATATATATTGTAATATTTTTCAGACATCTCTCCGATCACCTCTCCGAGTTAGTTGAGTCAACTCTATCAGACCTGGAACAGTCCAAGTGTATAGCTATAGAAGATGATATGGACCTGCAGCCTCTGAACTTGGGAATGATAGCATCCTACTACTACATAAACTATACTACTATAGGTAATAATAATAAACACATGCAAAGACAGGGGTAAAGCTTAGTATGATATGTAAATTATCAACTGTTTAAGAAATTTTTATATATAATGTATTGAGGATTCTAACAAAATCAAGCTTTGATATGTAAATTGTTACTAAATATTTAAGAAATCTTTATAAATAAAGAAAGTTGTGTTAGTTACACTATTTATAACTCAAGAACGGCTGTACGGATATGGATAAAGATTGGTGCAGAGATAGATTAGAACAAGGGAAAGAACATAGGATACTTTTAGACCGATGGAAAAAGAAAAATATAAGTTGATCAAATCCAAATCTTGTTATTTACTGTTTTTAAAGAGAAATAGAGTTCGCCCTTTCAGCTATATATTTCTAATTCTGAAACTATAATAGAAGAATGAAAAATTTAAACATAGTTCTATTCTCCTTGTAAACAAGCTTTGATTTCGCTTTACTTTTAACAATAATCATGAATACTAATAAGTTTTTATAATAATTGATGACAGGCTCAAATTCGTTGTTTTTAAAGAGAGGGACGCCAGCCTCGCTGACGTAACAAATGTCACTTCTTCTAGAACGTTCCATGATATTATAAAATGAAACTTCAATTGTTCTTAATGCTCCTGTACTTCTCGAAGGTTCTTCATAATCACATACTTCAATGGTCCGCACTACCTGAACTCTGCCGTCTTGCGTCCAGACGTCATATTTATACAAAGATTTAAATATAGTTCTATTCTCCTTTTAAACAACCTTTGATTTCGTTTTACTTTTAACAATAATCATGAATACTAATGAGTTCTTATAATTATTGATGACAGGCTCAAATTATTGTTATGTTGCTTACATGGTAATGCTGATATATATGTATATAAATATATATGTTAATAATAATAATAATAATTCCAGAATTGTTCAGCTTGTCTCTCACTTCAAAGACGAAGATCCGAGGTCTTCTTGAGATAATATCATCAGCAGCGGAGTACGCGGAGCTGAGCGTGAGGCACAGAGAGGAGAACGTCATTAAGGCGCTCGCTGCAAAGTTAGTGCATCACCCACCACGCATAATACTTACTAACATCAACCACAGTTCTAATATAATATATATAGTAGTTCTAGATCACCACGATAGTCATAATCGTGGTGGAACATAGGTTAAAGGTCCGCCTCTCATGCATGAGGTCGCAGGTTCGAAACCTGGCAAGTACCAATGTGATTTTTCCGAGTCATATGTACTATATAAGAGTATTTATACATCACTGACTAATGAAGGAAAATATTATGAGAAAACCTGGACTTATATCAAATTATAATTGAAATCACCAACCCGTCTTGAGCGAGCATAGTGATTAATGCTCAAACCTTCTCCACGTGAGAAGAGGGTTTACAGCAGTGGGCTCTGATAGACTGATGATATCTACATTTTATAACCCATATTTCACAAAATCTTATCATAACAGATGCCAGGTCTAACCCAGTTGCTTACTTGGGTTACTTTTGACCCATTTGACTCCATAATAAAGCATGTGTACACAATATTAAGTCAAAATATATATCTGTCTTTTTCTCAGGGTGCCTCACAAATCCTCTTCGCCAAATGTCCGCTACAACTCTCCTCACGTGAAAGCCCATGTATTACTACAAGCTCATCTCTCAAGGATGCAACTTCCGGCGGAACTGCAAGCTGATACTGCAATCGTGCTCACTAAGGTATAATTTAGTAATTAGTTAATATATACGTGTTTTACCTCATACCTGGAAATATTGACGTGTACGTCATACATCGCGCGTAAGAGAGGCAAAATAACACTTATATGATAATATTAAAGATATGTTTGTGTATTTCTACTTGAAAGTATTATTTTAGCAAGAATTAAGATGACCAAAGAGGGAAATGCAAAATAAAGTGTTTATATTGGAATTTGAAGTTGTTGTCAACTCAATAATATATGGAACTAGTAGCCACTTGTGCCATTAAATATAAAATAGATCTCATCATATTAATTTGTCAATATTGTCCTGCCGTCAATGTTAGTGATTAGGTTTTGGTACTAAAATTTATACCATGCACTATTACAAAGAAATTATTGTACTTAGTGAGGACTTTAAATAAATTATTTATATATACTAGCTGACTGGGCAAACATTGTTTTGCCATATTAAAGAATAGGAATTGGTGATAAAAAAGTAAAAATTTAGGGTTGTATGAATTTTTTAATGTCACATTATATGTGTATATACATGTCATTATATTTTCCAGGCCATTCGTCTGATCCAAGCGTGTGTGGATGTGGTGTCTAGCAGTGGCTGGCTGTCCCCGGCTGTAGCGGCCATGGAATTAGCTCAAATGGTGACACAAGCGATGTGGGCGAAGGATTCATACCTCAAACAACTGCCTCACTTCACACCGGAGCTGTTACAACGATGTTCAGAACGTGGTGTTGATACAGTCTTCGATGTTATGGAGTTAGAAGATTCAGCTCGGACTGAACTTCTTAAATTAACTCCGACTGAAATGGCTGATGTTGCAAGATTCTGTAATAGATACCCGAATGTTGAGTTGAGTTATGAGGTGTTGGATAGTAGGAGAGTTAGAAGTGGTGCTCCAGTTGTGTTGAAAGTGACTCTTGAACGAGAAGATGATGTGACTGGCCCGGTAGCAGCTCCAAGATTCCCTCAGAAGAGAGAGGAAGGATGGTGGGTAGTGGTCGGTGAACCGAGATCAAACAGCTTATTATCCATCAAACGGGTGCAGCTTGGAAGATCAGCTACTTTGAAGCTGGATTGGCTAGCTGGAGCTCCGGGAAGACATACATATACTCTATACTTCATGAGCGATGCCTATTTGGGAGCAGATCAGGAATATAAGTTCACCGTTGATGTATCAGATGCAAGATCTCCGGAAAATGCTGACTGATAAAAGAACCATCAGTGATTATAATAATGATTTAATAAGTATAAACATTAAAATATATATTTGTCTTTTATTTATTTCTTCAAATAATAGAAACCTCTCATCATTCAATGTATCCACGGTGCGTGTGTAGGGTCCATCGTTGTAGTGAGAGGAGTTTCAACAGTGACTGGGACTTGTGACCCAGGTGTAGGTTTAAGGGGTCCCTATCTAACGCGTTAAATGCTCACCTCCACCGTACAAGCTGCTCTCTCTAACAAATTTGACAAAAAATGTTTAAGATTAAATAGAAAAGGAATGTAGGAAAAAATATTAAATATTAGTTATATTGCTATCAGTAATCAGGCAGGCGTTATATTATACATGTTTAAATATTAAAATAAAACTAAATTGATTTCAGTAGAGCTAATTAACCTCCAAGTATTTAGGTCATAAGAATTAATATGCTAATATGCAATTTAATTAAAATTCCCTATTGCTACGTACCTATATATGTTTCTGTGTGTGTGTTTATCTAACGATTAAAAAACCTGTTACTAATTAAAGACAAATATTATTACTCATCCAGCAATCTTAGACGTTCATAATTACATTTAATTATATAAATATATATATTAATAATTAAAACATATTGTGACGTCATTAAAAATAATTTCAATTAATTCCACACCACAAAAAAGACTAAAATAAAATTTTAATTAACAGTAGTGGAAATTAAATACAGAGACAAAAGTTAGTTCTTGCTTATCAAAGATTTTGGTCAAAATTTTATAGAAATATTTGACAGTATGTTGTATTTCGAAACTAGTAGATATGCTTTCCCGGTTTTTCTCTTTTCGTTTAAAAAACAACTGTATAAGTTCAATGCAACAACCTCAGTGTTTCTGTATGGAATCGTTTTTTTGGACATGGGCTCCGTTTTCCGAAACTAAAATTCAAATTTGGTGTCTAATCATTGTTTTTTATATAAACCATTCCAGGTAACAACAAAGAAAACTCGTATGGATCGGATATATTTCTTTAATAAACCTTTTACTTTTGGTTGACTACTCGATTGAAATAAACAATTTTATATGTATATATATAATACTAGCTTTCCGCCCGCAGCTTCGCCCGCGTGGAGTTCGGTTATATCGCGTTTCCAAGAGAACCTTCAAAAGTCTGGGATAAAAACTATCCTATGTTCTTTCTCAACGTCAACTCCATCTCTGTATCAAATTTCATTAAAATCAGTTCAGTGGTTTAGGCGTAAAAGTGTAACAGACAGACAGAGTTACTTTCGCATTTACCTATAATATTAGTAGGGATTAGTTTCTGATAAAAATATAAGTAATCAGGTGATGTACGACATTATTAACAGAAAAAAAACCACGTCTGGGATATAAAACAAAAATTAAACAAATGAATTTGACAGACAATCAAATGACAATAACTATTTATATAGTTCGAAAGGAAGATAATTTAAATCGTGTTAATGAACATAGTACTGCATATATGGACAAAGAGAAGTTGTAATTATTCCTTTTAATTAGTATTTATGGTTTTATTTAGTTTCCGACGCTATTAAAACTTATACGAGACCTTTTTAGGAAAATTAACATTGATAGATTTCCATAAATATAGCATATTAGACTTATTTCTGCTAATAGTGTGAGAAAAAGATTTTGTCTTTATTTAAAAAGTCGTGTAGAGTGACGTATTGACATATTCTTATCAGATTTATGTAACAGTCATACTTATTTATAAATTTATCTTACTGTAGAGTAGGATATTTTAAAAACGCGAAAGTTTGTGATTTTGTATGTTTTTAGGTATTTTTGTTGTTCTTTCAATCAAAAACTACATATTAGAATGACATAGGTATAATTTATAGATCTCTCACTGAACCTTACTCTGATGTTACAGACAAAACTTAGTCTTTAATATATTTTATTGAACAGAACAAAGAATAATATGCATATGTGACGTAGTAAAGATGTTACAACACAAATATATAATATGTATGTACAAGTAACATATTCTAAGTCTTTATAGTATATGAAGATAAGGAGTTTGTTATGTACCTCTAGGTAGGAACTAGCAATCTTATCAAATTATTACCGTCCTTTATTTTTGGTGTAATTATCAAAGAATCTCTACATATTATCACGCTTTGGTGGCTAGAAGGAAATTTGGCAAAATGGAGGGAAAATTACTTTTAAGGTATTTGAGCTGAATCCGTGAGCATAAGGTTGTAAATAACATAGGAAAATTGAAGACGAAAATTTATAACTGGTACACAAATTATAATAACTAAATTAATGAAAATACCAATAGGTTTCTTGACTTTCAATTGAATTTTATGTCTAGAGGTAAAATTTTGTATATATTACATGTACATGTCTTATACTCCTGAAAAATAAATTTATATTTAAGTGCGTAAAGCTATAAATATGTTTCAATTATTATGAATATTAAGAACAAAACACTGAAAAAAATTTAACTTTACCTATATAAATGATTACCAAAAAAGTCGAGAATGTTCATTTTGATGTAAAAAGAATATTTACTTGTTTCAAATATTTTAAAAATAACCTTTTTATGATAAGGCATCATTCGCACTGGAATCGTTGAATATTTTGAGAACGTCAACGTTTTTCTTTGTTGGGCGAATTATAATATTGAGTATTGTGTGGAAAATTTCAAAGAATATGGTTTACAAATAAAACGCGCGTCACATTTTAATATTTAATCTGACACTATACAATGACATTTGGAACAAAAACAATGGCGGAATTAAAATTGCAGACTAAATACATTAAAATTACTACATAATATGTATTTTTAAACGAAATAAAACTGTTTTTTTATATATATAATTTATTGAAACACTACATATGTGCTCTACTTGTGATAAATTTATGCTGTTTTCTGAAGGTATTCATCGAACAAGTATAGAGCCAGTGATAGGTCTTGTCCGCTGTTGGCTGTAATGAACTGCTTCAAGTCTGTTGTGTATCCAGCTAAGTCACGGACTATCTTAGCATGATCTTCGATATACTCCTCTTCAAGGTATTGAGCGATCTGTGGGGAAGATATTAGTTGAATTGAGGGTTTTGGTAGTTTGGTGACTAATATAAAATGGATTATTGAGAGACATACAAGATAATGCTTCTATTAGTGAAATTGAGAGTCTTGGTAGATTGGTGACCAGTATTAATTGGTTATATTGAGACAATAGATGATGATCTATGAAAACCGAACATCTTGGTAAATTTGTTTTAAATGGGTTATTGAAGCAGAATGTATGATACCTCTATTAATAAAAGTTGATGGTCTTGGTAGATTAGGTTCCCAGTATTAAATGGTTTATGGAGCGACAGAAAAAATAATGCCTTTATCAGTAAAATGGGGGGTCGTGATAAATTGGTGAGCAATATAAAGTATATTGAGAGGCAGAATTGTTATCTCCACCTCAATATAATGGACTATAGTTTAATGCAATCAAAAGGTATTATAAAGGTACCAGGTCTTATCTTTGTTCGGTCAAAGAAGTTTTCATTCTACAATTCTATTTGATAGAACAAATATACAAAGAATTATAATAAGAACAATGATTTAAAAAAATTTTACAGTACATATATGATTTTTTCTTTATAAATATACTTTACAATCAAAGACCATAAAGTGTTCTAGCATGTTTCTATGAACACAATTTTATCCAAAATACAATATGTATTTGCTTTTGTCCAACAAATTCTTTCTAAATCAGAAGTTACCAAACTTATTTTGTCTCCATTCCACTTTGAAAATAAATTATCTTTTAGCATGCAAATTTCTTCACTTACTGAAAAACCACTATAACTTATCCTAGCTAAATTAAATTACAAATCACTTCCCTCTCTCTACAACGCCCACATTTATTTCTTTGTCTTATATCACCCTTTAGGCTTAAAGAATGGTCTAGAAACTTGATGAATTTCAATATATATCTTATTAAAAAAATATTATTATAAATGCAGTACCCGATATAAACAAGGAACCCATAAACAAGTAATATTACTTTTCTGTTGTATGAAATCTCAGGCCTAATAAAATCATAAATGACCGAACCCATACATCCAAGACTAATATTACTTTTCTATATATACATATAAAATCTCTAAAATAAAATCATTATTAACTGACCTCGGCATCATGAGTCTTGTGATTATTCCTTGTAGCCTCTTGGTGGATGTAGAAGGCTCTCTCGGCCAACTCCTTCTGAGCGTCCAACGCATGAGCCAGCGCTTCAAGCTCTTGCAACTCGGTAGTGCTGTTCTTAACCGATTCTATAGCGCTGCGGACCATGAAGTCCATCGAACCACCTATATGAGACAAAATTCCAGGTCGATAAGAATTATCATGATATATAGACAATATAATATACAAAATTAGTATTATATATATAATTACAGAAATGATTAAAAGTCAGTGATTATAATTTAAAGTCAGTGGTGGCTCAGTGGTTAAAGAGCTCGCCTCTCGTCGCCGAGAGCGCGGGTTCGATCCTGGCCCGGGCAAGTACCAATGTGATTTTCTGAGTCATATGTACTTTCTAAGAGTATTCAGACATCACTGATTAATGTTGATTCCCAAAAGAGGGTTGATGTCAGGCAGGCGGGCCGGTCGTAATAACAAATAGCCAAAAACTATTCACAACATGAAAGGCAGACCCTGGCTATAGCTGGGAAAATTGCCAGGTAGAAGAAGAAGATATATTATATATAACTTGATAAATTCTCAATATCTACCATATAATGACCAACCCGTACCTCTCATAGTGATATGTTTGATCAGATCCACGGTCTTGCTCCATGCATCATCGGAGAGCTTCCTGAACAGTTTGCTGAAGCCCAGTCGGTTTGTCTGATAATTGTTGTAGTAGGCGGATGATAGTAAGAACTCGTATGATCTGCGCAGATGTAGGTTGGCGTACGCCTGGAGCTCTATCGCCACGTTACCCTGACGGGCGAAGTTCCCATAGATCGCATTACAGCTTGGCAGGGCTGCAAGATTGATTGGGCATATCTCATATCGGGGTTTAACGACAATAGTTTTGATATAACTTAGCTGTAGTATATAAATCTTTCCTTTTATATTAAAATAGATATATTTTGATAAAGAACCTTACGAGTATTTAAATGAAACTAATATTATCAGATTACTACACGTATTTTATTATTTTTTAAAACTATTCACATCTCGTCTGCCCGTGATCACGGTTGCTGAAAGTTACCGAAACGTCGGGCTATGTAGTTAAAATAATAAAATACGCGTAGTACCCCGAAAATATTTAAATATATATCTTTTATCTATAACTCATATGCACCTTCATCTTAAAATATCATAATCTTATCTGTCTATAAGTGTTTAAAACTGATTAAAGTTAAAAATTTAAACAGTATCAAGGAAAATGTGAAAAAATTATGTTATGTTAAACAAAAGCGGTAGAATTCCGCTGACTTTGTTAACAAATCTATAAATTGACCAGACATTAACATATATACGTCATTTGTGATAAAATTTTATGGATAATTGTAACACAAATTACAAATACAATTTTGTTTATATACGCGCCTTGTAATATGCCTAGTCGCCATTTTTTTACACAACAAAGAAATAATTTCGAAAAGTAGAAATAAATATCATAAATTTAAATAAAAAAGGACAGTGCATTATTTTTTAAATTAAAAAAATGTTATTAATTGTTTACACTTATTTATTATCAAATAATATCACAAACTGTTTTTGTTTTTTTTACGACCTTCAATACGTTCAGGGAATAGTTATTGAACTTCCGATTTATTTTAAAATAAATAATCATGTTGGTATACTGTTTTAACAAACAAAAATACATTTAACACACATTTAACTCTGCAACTGTTATTTATTAATAAAATTCTAAAGTAAACTAAGGTCGAGGGCAAAGATCATTATGGTATGACATATTTAAAATAACGTAAGTCTAAAACTATCAAAAGCATTTTAATATCAATCTAATATTAAACTTCAATTTAGCATTATACTTCTTTGTCTTTTGGATATAATCCAATATAATTTGTTACGAATTCATCATAATATATTTGATAAAATACTTTAAATATCCAACCTTTTTACACCTTTAATGATATAAAACCTATTTGGTCAAATTTGGTTTAAATATATATAATATTTACTTACCAAGGCTGTTGGAAGATTGGCTACAATCCATGGATACATCATGGAAACATGTATCCGTGGATGCCGAAGCCAATGCTAGTAGACCAGCTAACGCGAGGAACACAGCGTTTTTCAACATCATTGTCTATTAACAAGAAATTAAAAATCGTATTTAATCTTGTTGTTATATAAAATAATCGTTCAAGATAAGAATTAAGTATACCAATAACAGTTGTAAATACTGATTTATTAGGGATTAAAGGTAATAAAGATATAAATAGTTGATAATTTCGATAAAATTAAATTATTAGGTGATGTTAAATTTTTAATTAAAATAAAAAATATTGAAACGAAGGGTAAGATAATGATTCAGCCTGAATTGTCACTCACCTTCGTTAGAAATGAGGATGATTATAAAATAAATTAAATAAAAATAAGCGTAGATCCGTTGAGAAAGCAGCCTTTACACACACTGGCGCAGAAGGCGAATCCCAACAAAGAACAGTGATAGGACGTCCGCTGAGACAAAACAAAATATATACGGATTTATCTCACAATTCTACGTAGTTAAGTGCTTGACAGCAGCGACAAAATACAAAGGTACTTTATCTAGAAGTTGTTCACTGAGATCTGTGTGGCCAGTAACAATAATATTTTTACCGAAACTCTCCTCTAAATCTATAACAATATTTCAAAATATGGTTTAATATTTACGCAATGATACCTTTTGTTGCGTTTGGTGACTAAACAATAGTGAAACACAGTTACGCGTTGGTTTTTAAGTGTTTTGTTTTGTGTTATATCTCCATTATTAGGGGTATATTCTGATAACTGGTATTGTAACATCACCCCTCTCCGTCGCACTCCGCAATGCGGCCAACGACGTTTCTTGCAACCCAAAAATGAATAAACTCCGAGGTTTTGTGTTCCAAGGAATTTCGTAACAATTTCACATTGTTGATAGGCTTTTTTTCGTCTACCTAACACACAAAAGATGATTAGACATCAATTTTATATGAAAAAAAATGTAAAAGAACGCCTTAAAAGTACACAAAACCGGTTCGAGGCCAAATAAATATTCCACGAAGCTGTCGGAACACAAAACCTCGAATGTTCTATCTCGCTCGCACGCGGTGTGTAATGTCTCTCGTTCCATCGGTAAGCACTTGTCAACATGAGATGGTGTTATCGCTGCGTAGTATAAAATAATATTCAGAGCAATCGAACCATATAGCTTTTGTCTTTATTTTTGTTTCGGGTTGATAAGTAGCCTTCTACACCAGTGAGTGTAAAGGCGCTTTCAATCGAGTACACATACGCAGTTAATCGAGAATTATTGTATCGTCAAAATATCTGTGATTTTATTATAGAAACATGAAGACCTTCTTGGTTGTCATCCTCGCTGTCCTGGCTGTCTGCCCTTCGGCTTTCGGCACACAATGTAAGTATTTTTTTCTTTGTTCACACTTCACAGTGCAAAGGTTACTTTTTAAATGTCTGCTTAATATTAAGGATTAATTAAGTATCTTTGTTACCTAACTTATCGAAGTTAAAAACTTTTCTTTCAACTATTAAGAATAATCCACAAGTAATAACTAAATGTACCCCCATTTATTATTAAATCAACTCGTAGTACCAATGGAAAACGCAATACGGCAGATTTAATAAAGAAATAAAATATACAACTTTCTTTATTTCACCTCTTTATTTAAGGAAAAAACTGCTTAGACCAGATGATAATCGCTTAGATCATTCAATGCTAATTACAATTTTAAGTAAATGAAAATTTTGCAGTCACTTATAAATACGACTTTTAAATTATTTATATATACATAAAGTTAAATTATAATTGTGTTAACGTTTGTTTTTCATTGTTTTATTTGGTATATATTATAAACTTTGTTTTATATATATTCTAGATTTAAATAATTTATATTTGATTGCTTAAATAATTGACATTTTGTCATTAATGGCTGTTATGTCAAAATAGAACGATAATATACTAGTTTTTGTCCGCGACGTCGTCCGCGTTAATTTCGATATTAGTAATATATGTATAGCTGACCAGACGAAATCTATTTCCTAGAAGCCATAAATAACCAGATACTGGAATTTATAAGTTTTTTCGATCGATCAGAATTAAATATCCTATGTCCGTCTCCTTGTTCTAATCTATCACTCCACCAATGTTCAATCATATCCCTACAGCTGTTCTTGAGTTATAAATAGTGTAACTAACACAACTTTCTTTTATATATGTTGCAAGATAATTTCTTATGACTAATCTTTGACACTAATCTATTTTAGTAATGTTCAAAGTATTATGAAGAAAGATATGTAAAAGTAAATTTACCAATGTATAATCATAAATGTTTAGTATATCATAGAATAAATAAAATAACAGGACTTAGTTAAAATCACAACTAAAATTGTCAATAGAGATAATATTTAAAGGAAAAACTATTTTTATTTTATTATAAATAATGTTTAGGCTTGTTATAAATTGTTATCTAAAAGCACCATTAATTATTTGTTTTTGTATCTATCCTCCATTTTGTTATTCAGTTCATTTCCTCAGATTCATAATTCTACGAATCTATACTATTTATTAAGTTTTGAGACTAAGAAAACATTTCATGCAAACTACTTGATACATTTATTCAAGTATGTAGTAACATATAATAATACAAATAATAAATAGTATATCATATGAAATTTATTTGTACTCAATCGAGCAGAAATATCGTGGGACTGTCCCTATGGGACTTTACGAGTTAACTTTTGCCCTTTGGCTTTGTGCATGACTTTGAAATCAATCATGATGACAAGACAAAGGTATTTTTATCTGAAGCTTCATCACGTATTTTTTATCTTATTTTATTCATATCTGATCATGTACGAGGAATCCTTGAGATTTTATATCACAAATCAATTTATGTTGTCAGAATTTTGACGACTGGAAACTTTTGTTGTTTGATATTTTATCAACGGCTGTTTGGTATTCAAATTAATTGCAGATTAAGATTAATTTCCGAAAATATTTCTTTATAAGTAAATAAAGATATTAGTTGTATTTTAAACATTTTGCCATATTCACGATTTTACATTTAAGGAAAACTATGTTAATTATAACAACAAAATGGCTGTCAGTCATTGTGACGTAGGTATATCGCAAAAAAATTAAAACGTTGAAAATAATTTGAAAAACAGATCTAGTATTATATTACAATTATCGCCATTATCTGCGTTACGTATATATTATTTATAAGTTGAAATTGTTTAATAAAAAATGTTATTTGCGATATAGGACAATGGGTAATTTTTTTATAATTCATTTTGTTCTTAATTAAAGTATCTGAAATAACTTAAATATTTCTGTTTTTCTACCTTTTATATAAAAAAAACACAAAATTTATAAATGATGCATTAAAAGCAGAATGGTGACGATTTAGTTTTGATGTTTCTGTCTGTCGTCATGAAATCTTTATAAATAATTTTTTATACTTACTTTAATGTTTGTACATTAGTTTTATATCGTAATTAATGTGTTAACTAGATGTTTAATCGAATTCGAACGACCTCGTTGACCGTATAAAGATCAGTGATAATTAATAAACATGTAAGGAAAACTGAGTGAGTTTTATAGAACAAGAAATATCTTATATATAAAATTCTCGTGTCACGGTGTTAGACAGAACTCCGAAACGACCTGACCGATTTTGATGAAATTTTGTGAGCATATTGAGTTGCTCTGAGAATCGACCAACATTAATTTTCATACCCCTTAGTGAAGGGTTGTTCACCCTAAATTTATTTTTTATTTTTGGACGAAACTTGTTGTTTATTAATGCATCATCAAATTATTGCCAATTCTTTATAGATTATTATTATGTTGGTATCACCGTCTTTAATTTGGAATAATTCTATATAATGACCTTACATTGATAGGTTGGTACTACCTTTTGTTTGATTTTAATTGTTTTGATTAAAAACTGTTGACAATCGAAAAAAATAAGGTCGTTTTCGAAAATTTTATCGTATTTTTGATTAATGTTTTCATATACCTTTGTTTCTGCACACATTAAACTAAAGTGTTTATTAATAAACTTGAAATTTTGTTTACCTAATAGTTATTAAATAAGGTCAAGTCTTCGTTTATTTCAAATACTGTTTTTAATGACAGTTTATCATTAATACTTTTTTATTTTAAGGAATGATTTTAAATAGAAACAGTAATTGGATTATCACAAAAAATTTAATATTTTACTGAATAGTTGAATGTCTGTAGATATTAATCAGCCATTTTGTTTTTAATGAAGTAATTTACGTTCTTTTAATATTTTTCAAGATGTTTTATATAAATAGAGGACTTCCTATCACAATTAATTAATTTGAATTAGGATAATATACCTAAAAAAATTTAAAAAAGGCCTATAATGTGTCACAAATAATGTGTCAAATAAAATTTTTGATGACAGATTTGATCATTCATATTATTCCAATTGAAGAAATGTCACTTATTAGTCATTTTATTTTAACAAAGAAATAAATCTTCAACTAAATAGTTGTATGCAAAGTCTATGGAAATTAAAGGAGTTTCTATAACTTAAATGAATCCAATATTTTTGAATTACTACGCGTATTATTAAATAAAACTACATGTACCTACTTACTTTCGGTTACTCTGCAACCGCGATCATATACGTATTGAGATTGAGATTTGAAAATTACTTGATAAAATAAGGCGTAGGAATTCGAATATTAGTTTCATTTAAAAGAATATTCGTATATTTTGGACTTCATCATGTTAATTTTACCACCAGGCAATGTAAACCCGGTCAATATACCAAAAAATTGGATCACGATGACTCATGGCTGCCGTGACAGTGTTCGTCGTCAAATACAGCTTGAAGTGGCTGCGTCGGTTCAGTACCTGGCTATGGGAGCCTACTTCTCAAAGGATAGCGTGAGTTAAAGTTATTCATAATTTGACTGTATGGCAGGATTTAAATTTGAATATACGCAATTAAAACATATAGTTTTTATCTGTATAAACTTTTCATCAATACTAAATTACATTTAAAAATGAAAATTCCGTTTAAAAGTATTTCTGTATATTAGCCAAGTATAGGAAAAAAAAACAAAACGTCATCCAAAGAGGTTTTAATATATATAAACTTTTTGCTCCCCAGGTGAACAGGCCAGGTTTCGCTAAGCTGTTCTTCGACGCCAGTTCTGAAGAACGGGAGCATGCTATGAAGCTGATTGAATATCTGCTGATGAGAGGAGAACTTACTAACAGTGTGTCTTCGCTTATCACTATTAGGGTGAGTGTACATTAGACACCACTGACATACGGTGAAGGAAAACATCGTGAGGAAACCTGGACTTATAGTTTCATAATTATAAGTTTGTAATCACAAACCCGTCTTGAGCCAGCGTGGTGATTAATGCTCAAACCTTCTCCATGTGAGAAGAGGCTCAGCAGTGAGCTCTGATAGGATGATGACGACGTACATTATAGACAACATAGCAAGATTTATAATCATAATTTTTCGATTTTGTGAATATCAGAGTCAAAATCAGTCTTGTTAACATAGAAATTATCTCAGAATAGTGCCATTTCTGACAATGAAATATATTTAGAATATATGCCTTAAATTGAACGAGTAATACCGTTCTTAACATATAGGAGTGTGTAGAACTTTTTTCTTTTTGGAGTCAGTTAAAATTTCGCCTTAATTACTCCTTATGACATTACTTACATGCTAGTGAAGTAACCTTCTAATAAGTCAAATAATTCTAGAGATATTGAACAAAAAGACACAAATAAATAATTTAATTTGTTTTGTAAAAAGCTGTTATTATTTGAAAATACAAGGAGACTACACTTCATTTTAAAATTTCATATGTTTATCTTAAATTGTTATAAAATTTATAACATATAGATTCAATACGGCCTATTGTTTAAAAACCAATAAAAAAGACGAAACAAACAAATTTATTACCACAATTTAAGTATTAATCATCATTTAAGTAACAAAAAAAGTTTTATTTAATACTAGCTGCGCCCGCGGTGTCACCCGCCGATTTCCGGGATGTAAAGTAGCCTATGTGTTATTCCTGGACGCTTCCTGTTTACAAAATTTTATCTAAATCGGTTCAGCCGTTTGATCGTGAAGAAGTAACAAACATTCACACACTCACAAACTTTCGCAATTATAATATTAGTAGGATATTTATCAATAATTATCCTATAATATGCTCAACCTGTATATTTCAGCCCCCAGAACACAAGCACTGGGTCAGCGGCCAGGAAGCTCTAGAGCATGCCTTGAAGATGGAGACAGAAGTCACAAAGGCCATCAAGAATGTTATCATCAAGTGTGAGAACGATAGAGACGGTACCGGGGAAGGAAACAATGATTATCATGTGAGTATATGTTTATATTGTATTATAGATAGATAGAATATACTTTATTGTACACAAACAGTAAATTTTAAACAGAAAAAAATAATAAATTGAAATTTACAAAAATTTATTATACTAGCTCTGTCTGTGACTTTGTGCATATATATATGTATAAGAATATAGAAATACAAGTACAACTAACGCCATCTAGTATTGAGTAGGTGAATCATCTATGTATTTATATATTTTGTTAGAAAAGAAACACGTCATGATTTTTTAAAAAACGTTTGCCGTCCGTTGGTATTTATTAATATTCATGCCCAATTAGGACAGAGCTTCTGTTTTGACAATAGTTGAGAACAAAGTGTCAGATTGTCAGTATTATGGTACTCCTAAAATATATTTAAAAGGTCTAAATATTTCTAAAATTGTGTTGTACAGTCGATCATATAAAAATTACAGTAATAATGGGTGTTTGTTAAATCATTATGATAAAGTTCCTTAATGATAAATTCTTATTTATCCTTAATGTACATACAGATATTATCAACTACTAAGTTCAATATTTCTCATACATACTTGGATATAAAACCTTTATATATATGTTGAAATGATTTACTTCTATATACAAATATACAATCATAGATTCTATCACATAGACTGAAAATTTTGATGGCTATATACTTTTAATGATTTAATTAACTGGAAGTGTGGATGGTTCCTACTATGTGAAAACTCATTAATAATTATTATATCATTTGCAGCTTGTTGATTACTTGACCGGAGAGTTCCTTGAAGAGCAGTACAAGGGCCAGAGGGACCTCGCTGGTAAAGCCAGCACCCTCAAGAAGATGATGGACCGCCACTCAGCACTCGGAGAGTTCATCTTTGATAAGAAACTCCTTGGTATCGACATCTAAGGGCCATAGATTAAAAATAAAATGTCATCTGTAGAATATTTAATCATATTTAATTGTTAATATTTCATATTTCTTCTCCGTTACTATAGGTTTGTATTGAAAACGTTAACTGTCAAGTTTGTCGTAGGAACTTATAGTAAGTAATTGGTTTTCTTTAATATGTATGTAATACGCGATGTTTTTAGTCATTCTGTTTTACTTGTAATTAATATTTAACGCTCAATTTTATCAGTAGTGATATAGAAGATCAAACAGTGTCATTTGGAAATAAACTTTGATCGCCATATTGTTGTTTTATTTGATATTTTTTCGAAAGAAAATTTATATTTAATAGGATTTTGGACTGAAGGGAAACTTTTTATTACTTTTTTGCTATAGATCGCTTGTGTAAACGATCATATTTTTTGCTAGTTAACAAATCAGATCTCAATTTTCGTTTGTTCGGAAATAAATAATTGTTTTCGAATTTAAGATACATATTAACACATTAGACAATTTTTGCTTATATGGAAAGAAATAATAGTTATCTTTCAAATTAATAGAAAATAATCAGAAATAAATGTAGGATCTTCCTGAACTCAAGTGTTTGTCAATGCAAACTAAAAAGTTTTTCATACATTATTCTTCGTATGTGGATAGTACCCGGTACCGATGTACACATGTCACGTGAGACTACTCGTATGTAGTTTGCAAACTTGTGGTACGGATACAGAATACTTACACGAGATTTGATTACTACATACGCAGCGTTGGAAGTTTTTGTTTATAAAATTTTCTCCTATAGTTTTTATATATAAGGCTAATTAAATAGCAGCACTAATCTTTTTTAGTTCGTTGTTAGGACCAAGATCGTCTGCTTTTGTATGTATGATTATCCTTTTTCAGAAATAGTTTTAATTCTGACAATGAATTTGGTTGCATTAATTACGAACACCACAACTTTATGAGACAAAACCTCTCATCATTCAATGTATTCACGGTGCGTGTGTCGGGTCCATCGTTGTAGTGAGAGGAGCTTCAACAGTGACCGGGACTTGTGACCCAGGTGTAGGTTTAAGAGGCTCCTATCTAAAGTGCGTTTAACGCTCACCTCCACCGTCTAAGCTTCTCTTTCTACCAAAATTGAAACGTGCCTACTAGGGCTGACTTCAAAGTACGTTCCAAGAATGAATTGATATTAGTTCTGGACAGACCCCAGTTGTTTTAATATAAAGTACTGAAAACAAAATAGCGCCCACCAGGATCTATTCACAAAAAGTGTTGGGATGTTACTTCAAACTTATTTATGGGCAACTAGATGTTTATGAGTTCTTAGCATTATGTTGAAAACATTTTTTTAAATTTTACCCTCAAGTGGCCAGGCAGAAACAATTTATCAAAATCACCCTATGCACAATTTGTTATTCAGTTGCATTCCGACTTTCGTTCCAAATGTTTCTTGTTTTGTTTAACTGTTTTTTTAATTGAATCATTAGAGCAAATTGTAATGCCACGTATTCGAAACCATATGAACATGGAAACTGCTTCAAGAGCATTGGTATTGCTTCAAGAGGGAAAGTCTCAGCGAGTAGTAGCATTACGACTAGGAGTATCACGGCGAGCTATCAGAAATGTGTGGGAACGCTATCAGGAGACTGGGTTAGCTAGAAGACCTGGGTCAGGAAGAACACGATCCACAACTGTTCAAGAGAATCGATATCTTCGTTTATCCGAGCGTTAGTGGCCCTTCCTTACCAAACCGACTCCGGCATGCCACTGGTACGCGGGTAAGTTACCAAACGATCCGCAACAGACTCCATGAAAATGGACAATTTTCCAGAATGCGTGTTGTTTTCATTAAAATTATAAGAGCTTATCGTGGACCTCGTCTTAGGTTCGCACGTGAGCATTTGGACTGGACTACGGACAATTGGAGGACTGTACTCTTCACAGATGAAAGTAAAGGTAAGTTTTATAGTGATAACAGACGCGTTAAGTGTGGAGTAACCCATTAAATTGAAAGTATCCCAAACAGACTCAGAGTGCGTTCGTAAAGAGGACCTATTCGATACTACAGATACCCCTGAGTAAGCAACCATATTCGTTTAAGTAATTAAAATGAAAATTAAAGTTTTTTTCATCATTTCATTGCTTTAGACAATAACACTACCCTCAACACATCTATGCATAAAAATAAATTTTTTCGTCAGTTTTCATTTTCGTAAAAACGAAGTGGGCCCTATTTTGTTTTGACTAGTTTACATACATATACAACAAAAGTGTAATATGAAACGTCAAACACATCCCTACTAATATTATAAATGCGAAAGTAACTGTCTGTCTGCCTGTTACGCTTTCACGCCTAAACCACTGAACTGATTTTAATGAAATTTGGTACAGACATAGGGTTGACCTTGAGAAAGAACATAGGATAGTTTTTATCCCAGACTTTTGAAAGGTTCTCTTGGAAATGTGATATAACTGATCTACGCGGGCGAAGTTGCTGGCTGAAAGCTAGTATTATATAGTCTGAAGTTAAAACATGTAGTAAGTTCAATTACACGTGTGATTTCACCAAGAGACAAATGTTATTCACGTAGTGATTATTATAAGGAATTTTTATAAAATAAAAAACATCTATTGTTAGATAAAAAAATTAATTAAATATATAATAAAAGTCATTATGTGTTGTATAATATATTTCAATAGTTATTGCACTTTTTGTATATAAATAAAATAATAAAAAACTTAAAAATAAATACGCTTTAGAACTAATATAAGAAATAAAGAAATTTACACTTAAAATGTTTTAAAAATGATTATAAAGAGATCCGATTTGAACGATATAAAAAATATTTCTTGAAAAATAAAAGTACATAAAAACATAACAAAAAAATATGTAGATATATGAAAAATTTAAACTTATAACATAAGCGTTTTCTTCATAAAATACAAAAATTTTCATTCACTCAATAACATATATAAAAAACATTTTCGAACTACCAAAAATTTTTCTAGAAAAACTAAATTCTAGATTACGAAACGAACGTGTACATAGCTATGTAATTATTTACCGCCGCTCTAACATTTGAGCTAAACCACATATAATTCTCTAAATAAAATTTTCTATTATATTTGTATGGATGGCTGCACATTATCTTCCAATCTTCGTTCGTGCACCTTTAAATGACCTTTCAGCGTGCATTTCTGGGTAAACGCTCTTCCACAGACCGGACAAACGAATCTTTTATCATTATTATGTATCCGCATATGTTCTCGTAATGTTTTTTTCCTTTGATATGACTTATTGCAAATATTGCAAGTGTGTATACGTTCACCATCATGTTTGATCATGTGCATCTTCAAGGAATTTCTTGTATAGAAGGCCTGGTCGCATTTAGTGCATTTATGATTCCTTTCGTTTAAATGATCTCTTCGTACGTGACTTGATAGATGTCCCGGCGTTATGTAGCTTTGAGTGCAGGCTTTACATTTATATCTCTTGAGTTCTTCGTTGTGAACTTCAGCTAAATGTTTCTGCCGAGCGTAGAAAGAGGTTAAAGATATATTACAGCGTTTGCAAGCGTATCTAATTCCTGATTTATGTTCTTTGCTGACGTGGTTCTCTCGTTTCGTCACTCTATCGAAGATTTGGTCGCAGTATCTGCACGGAAAATCCCCGATTTCGTGGGTCCTCATGTGACCGCGAAGTCTTGCTTTTGAGGCGAATGCTTTGCCGCAATTATCACAAACGTGGTTTGGGTAATGGACATTCATATGTGTGTTTAGACTGACGAAGTTTAGGAACGTTTTCTTGCAAATAGGACAGTCTAATTGGTCTTTTTCTAATTTGAAAGGCAGATTGTTGCATTTCGTATTGCTTCTGATGCAAGAATCGATATGGTTCTTCAGAGTAACGTAATCTCTTATGTCGTCTTTGCATAATTTGCATTTCAGTTTGGTCGAATATTTGTAGAACCTTTGTTGGTTGGTCATAGTTTTCTTGAAGGCGACGTGTATGTTAGCTATATTATGATCTGTTATGTGGGTTTTAATATCGTCCAAAACTGTAGATTTTTCTGGGCAGATCGCGCACGAGTATGTCTGGTTTTTGCCGATTTTAAACGGGAATAGTCCACGTTTTAACATCCTTTCAGTTTCTTTTAATTCCGCTTGTTTTCGCACCGAATAAGACACTTTCTTTTTGGTCATTAATGTGCTTCTTCTGGAGCGCCGTGATTTTAGTTCATCCGGGTCGTGCTTTATGAGTATGTCGTTTAATACTGTGAATAATAATATTTACATATAATGGATGCTTGGGACATAATAATTGTAGAATATTATAGTATAGTTAAATGTAGTAGATGTTTAAATGAAACTAATATTTTGGTGTATGTCATGAATGCAGATATTTTCATCTCCTCTTAATGATCACGGTTGCTGTAAAGTAACCGGAACGTCAGGAGTATGTAGTTTAAAATGATAAAATACGCGTAGTAATCCAAAAAATATTAGTTTCATTTAAATGAATACTCGCGAAAGTCTTAGATAAGATCCTTTAATGTTGTGAATCGGATTTAACGGCAATAGAAATTACATATTAGTGTGTCGACAAAAATAAGTGACAATAAATAGTTTTTGGCATCTCATGAAAACCTTCATTATGAAGAAATAGCATGAAAACGATAAGAAAATTTATACACTTTTATTTACATTATAGCTTTAAATTTCTTTTGAGTCGTGAAAACCACTTCATAATCGGTGCAGTAGTTTTAAGACTTCATTTTATAATATGTATTGATAATAATAATCTTACCGCTGTGTTCATCAAAATCACTATCATGCAACGATTCCTGTTTGATATCACCAAAAAGAATTCCTTTCACATCTGAAACATAATTATTGGTAAGGATAAATTTAACCGACTTGAAAAAAAGGAAATAATGATCATTACACATAAAAATATCTTTAAAACTCTTCAAATACTGATAATTTTAAATTATAAACACTAATATATATGTTGTATCAAAATATAAATTGTCTGTAAGTAAAGTGCCATATATGTATGTAATACTAGCTCATGCCCGCGAATACGTTTTCAGTAATTTCGGTATTAGTAATATATGTATAGCTGACCGGGCGAACTCTATTCCACCTTAGAGGCAGTAAATAACCAGATATTGGAATTTATTAAGAATTAAATATCCTATGTCCGTCTCCTTGTTCTAATCTATCTCTCCACCAATGTTCAACCATATACCTACAGCGGTTCTTGTGTTATAAATAGTGTAACTAACAAGACTTTTTTATATATAGATAAGTTACAGGTAAAATGGTGTAAGGTAATTTTAAAGGTAACATTACCTGAGTCTTCAACATCAGAACCGCTAGTCAGTCTAATCGCTGGATTTATTTCCTCTTTCACACGGTTAACTGAAATGTTTAATTATTGATTAAGACGCTTCATAGACCTGCAAGATCTGGACTTATATGATGATGAAGAATTGGGATATAGAAGGAATTTTACAGATTTAACCTGGATCTAAGCGAGGATGTTTCATACATTGCAAAACAACATGTCTAAAAACATTTGGATTAAAAAATATTATTATATACAATTACATATGTCATATATACAACACAAAGAGAAATTTATTGAACTTACTTTAAAAATAATGATTATATCATATTCACTTTGATTACAGAATCTTTATAATATGAATTAAATTGTGTTATAAATATTCCAATTTTTATCAAATGACTGATTAGCCGTTCCATTAACTGGAAAGCCGTTTTTAGAAATGGCATTCAATCAGCTGACTATGATACTTAGCCATTATATAAACTCCAAGCCGAGTGAATCTCAAACTTAAAATTTAATGATTTAAAATTCAACTAATTTTTAGATAAACAATTTTTTTAAATTATAATACAAAAGATAAAACTGCACTGGCATAAACTGAACATCATTAAACTAGCCAACTGATTAATATCAAGCCAATTTAATGGCTAATAATTTACAGCCGATTCTTAAATGATACACTACCATTATTTTCTGTTCCCTCAATTTTAACCACATCATATGACTGGTCTGCCTCTGAAATGAGAATTTGCAAAGATAATTATGGCGACACTATTCCACTTAATAACAAAATAATTTTTATTTATTTAGTAGCAAAATATTTAAGTATTATCAATTCATTATTATTATTGTTTTAGAAATTTATTATATGTATATGCTAATTTTAATTTTTTTTATGCGAAAGGTGGCAAACAAGCAGACGGCCTACTTGATGGACAGTAGTGACCATCACACATCTACAACATATCTACAACATAAATGTTTTGGATATGTTGCCGACCTTAGTTGTTGAGGAAAAGGTGTGGGAACAAGGAAATAGCAGGAAAAGGAGGGAAATTTATACAGGGAAAAGGAAAATATAATAATATCTATTACTATTATATACTCACTCTTAATTCTAGTGCTGGCTTCTAGCGTCCTCAGCGAGACTATCACCTGTTCTTTAAACCTTTGACACGACTCCAACTGTTTGATGCACAGACCGCAGATCATGTATTTAGTATCGTCTAGATCTAATGACAGCATCTGAAAGATAATGCACATAATTACAGTACTATAAATAGATATGTAGGTTTAAGTAGGTATATTCCCAAAAGAGGGTTGATGTCAGGCAGGCGCCCGGTCGTAAAAACAATTAGCCAAAACTATTCACAACATGTAAGACAGACCCTGGCTATAGCTGGGAAATTGCCAGGTAGAAGAAGATATATATAGGTTTAAAAACTTTGAAATGCTTTGATATGAATTGCAATTTCTATACATCGATAGGTCCTATGCATAAATGCCAATGTAATAATTTAGACATTTCCATTTTTTTACTTTAAACACTTCTTAATACTGTATTCTACATCCATCAAAAAATGTGTATTTGTTGGTGGAAAGACTTAGTTTTTATTTCAGTAACAGGACATAAGTAACTCACTTTTTAACTTATAAGTGTTTGTATACATTATTTAAAAACTAGTAGTTTTACAAAAAAGTTTATCAATATTAAATGATGCACATGTATGTCATAGTTGCTATGCAGTTTGCATCAGTTGTATGTACAAGATACATTGAAATCAAACTTAAAACACCTCTACTGAACAATTGTCATTTTGCACATTGGCCCTTATACATAGGAGACATCTATATACAACGGTAACATTCAGTTACTTAATGTATTGAACTTCAAATAGGAAATATTTAGTGGAGAGTTTTATGAAATAGGATTTGAATCTATAAGTTCTGGAGTCTGGAAGTGATATTCCAGAATTTACAGGTTTAAATGTGTTAAATGTTTTAACATGAGTGCAATTTCTATAAATTCCTTATGATTTTGAAAACCTATAATAAGTACACTTATTCATGAAAATAGATTTGTAGTTCTCATAAAATTCTTCAGTATAATTAGATCAGGTAGATTTGAAAAAATATTGATTAAGCAACTGATAAATATAATTTTGACCTATTTTACAATTTAGATCACAAATGAATAACTCACATCTATGTTACGTATTTGTTAAAAATTATTATTGAAGTTAGTAGGAGCTATGTAGATTAAATTTTATACATATGTGTATAGATTAATGTTTATTGTTCTTATAAGATCGTAACTTACTAAGAAAATATTAAATTTTATTTTAATTAATTAATTTACTGTTAATAACATCGATTTGCAGTTAAATTTATATATTATTGTCATCTACCGGATGTTTTATTTTACGAAACAATATAACAATAAAATTATTATTATTGAATAAAATATATTAAATTACTGGTTATATACACTCCTAAGTCTACTTACATCGATCGAAAAACACTTTAAAAGTATATCAATATAGTTTTCTCTGTTCGTTTCACTATTTTCTTTCAGTATCATACTTCTTACGATTCCTTCAGCAAGACATAAGCTACAAGTGCCGAGTATTGGCAGACTTTCCACCATAATATCATCCATGATATATGAATAATATAAATAAAATTATTTTAATCGTGACGAGTGTATTTTTATATAAAATAATACACAAACATTACAAAGTTGAACTCACATTCTCATTACTTAGTTTCTAGTTGACATAACATTAGTGACATTTATTGGAGACAGGGAAAGTTCAGAAATGATCAAGATTATATCAAAATAACATGATACGGGCATTGTGTTTAAGAATTTTAAAGTTAAATAATGAAAATATTAATATTAAATAAATTTTAACGATTTAACGTATAATTAAATGTTAAACTAAAAATATAAAGACAAAACGATACTATTCTTAAAGATTATACTTGTACTAATTAAATTAAAATGAATTAAGGTTATGGATTATTTAATGTTTTAGCATAAAGTACAATTAATACACTACTTATTTAAAATATAAACCTTAATAAGATATCCATTGTAAGTTGACGACGAAATTGCAGCATATTATATAAAATAATAGTAATTACAAGCATTGTTTAGTTAGAACGAACGAAATAATAGATAAAGTAATTTAAAAAAAACGCTCCAAGTAACTATTTCTGATGGAGATTAAAATAAAAAACGAGGTATATTATATAATTTAATAAAATATAATTAACTACATAGTTACGTTAGAATCCATAGCTTCAAAAAAATATATTAAATAAACATCTAAATCACTAAGCAATTAGACATAATATTAAAACATAGCTAAAAAACCAGAATATTCTTTATAAAATATAATTATTTCGTCTTGGCATTCTCCTTTTTGATTCTTCCTCGTTTCATCAACAGTTCCTGTGGTATCGGTATCTGTCCACGGAAGTCCACACCCGGACCAGGCTTGAGTTTCATCGAGTAACTTTGATATCGATGTATCGATTCCGACGGCAAGAATCGAATACAGCCGTTGTAGAAATGTAAGTCTCTACAATATAATTTTATTTATTACGATTCTAGTCGCGATTTTTCTTGTTATTGGGTATTAAGAGAGAAATAAATACTAGTTATTTAATACCAGTTAAAAACAGCGCCATCTATCGGCAAGTGGATTTAAACGAAATGTTATTTAAATCTGTTCAGTGTCATTAAAATCCATTCAGTAGTGTTGTATTGCAAAAGTAACAAAAATCCTCTACCTGTATACATAAACTATCGAATTTATAATATTCTTAGAATACAGAAATGATTTTGAAGTGAAACTTTTTATGCTACTTCCAACAAGGTTGCTTTAAACGTTTAACGCTTTAACACGGGCGAACATGCAATCAATTGTGACTTGTAAGTAATGTTAATAAAATATCTCTTAAAGAAACACTAAAAATTACATAAAAATCAACTTATATACCTTCCCATTGTCATTCATTACGAAGTTTCACTTCATCTGTGCAATATTTCATTTATTTCTTCCATTTAATTATTCTATGACATACAAACAGATGCCTCAGTAATTTACAACGGAATAAAACAAACCTTGTTGATGGAAATTGAAATGGAGCGAAGACGCGCTCCTCAATATGTTTCTTGTAATCCTTCCATCGACACTTCAAAAGCTCGTTCCGTTGTAGCGAGTAATGTTTTCTATAAACGTATTCAAATAATCCTTTCTCAAAACTCGGCAGTGTTCTGTAGTTTGAGCCTATCTCTCTTGCTATATCTAATTATTAAAAAAATATTACATGTGGCGCCATCTATCCGTCCAATAATATACTATAATACTTAGAATTATTTTTACGACATTATAATTAATTATAATACTGAATCATTGTAATTTTGTGACAACATTTAAGTACTATATTTGTAAACTGTAAATACAGGCTTTAGATATTTTGTAGGACATTACTGGAAGTAACTCTGAAGATTAAAAATTAATATGATAAATATATAGGGGCAGACCTTTTTATGTTAAAAGTATGTTATAAGTATTATTATTATTGGTATCGAAAATTGATTCTGAATTTTTAGGACTTAAAGCTATTGACTAGACTATTGAGGAAAGGAACGAAATTGTGTTAAATTTTGAGAATCCAACTGTTTGATGATTATAAATAAGATTATTATCGTCAGATATATCTTTTATTAATTGTAGTAAGTAGTATAACAAGGAATACGGGAAGAAAAACATATTTTTCGTTTATGAAATTAAATGTTACAGTAATGAGTCAGTGCAGTGCACGTAGAGATGCAAAAACAATAAAAACTACGTTATATCTATGAACCGAAACACTGAATCAAAGTGATTGAAAAAGACCGGTAACGCGTAATTTACCGGTTATTTATTTCATATAATAGATTTACGTTATTCTTCATTCAGCCGACATGATTAAAATTTTTGCTATATATAAAATTTATTTTTATATTATACCATTTGTAACAGTAGCATCCGGCGTAGTCCTTTTTATTTCATTACACACTTCGTATTGCTGCTTGTCCGGCATTTTGTAAAATAATTACCAATTGAAGCAAATTTCTCGTTTGACAGCTGTCAAGTTTAAAATAACGCGCATTATTCCAATATAAAGGTTGACAAGAAATATGTTTGACAGATTATAAGATGTTAAAAAAGTTTAGTAATGATTTATTTTTTAAATATTTTTCTTATATGTAAAATAAAACTATAAATATAATGAAATATATCATTAAACAATTTATCTATTAATGATTACGTCTTAATAAAATGTACGGCTACACAAAGGAGATTGTCCACTTAGTATGGGGACTGGCCTGTCGTGAACAGACATTTTATCATATTTTTTTGTAATTAGTTTAAAAGCACTAACTAGTAATAATGAGAATATGAACTTAATTTTGTATCAAAATGTTTAAAAAGAGATATTTGTCATGTGAGGAAAAACAGGTTAAAGCGAAATAAAACAATATTTTTTATGATTTATTTTTATTCTAAGATATCATATGTTATTAATATGTGTTCAAGAAATTGGACAGGTGGTAAAATGTGTTTCTGATACCTTGCCCAACTTAAAAACCATAAAATAGTCATTATATGAGCGCAGCAACCCACTGTCCTTCGGCCAACCATGCAATTACAATAATATTATTTTATAGCTTCCTTACCGTTGTGATTATTTACATATAATATATATATATAACATATATTTTTGACTTACATGCCTGCTTTGTATTTTTCCACGCAATAATCTGCAGTTGGCCAAAGGAATCGGGTAGTTAACCAATAGGTCGCTGGCTATATTTCTACATACTTCTATAGTATAGGAACCATCGCCTCTTATGTGCTGCCCATAATACGAACAAGCTTGTTTTAGTTGGTATGTTCCACAAGCAATTAATATAAGATCATTATATTCTATTCTTTGAAATATGAAACTGTCCATGTTTACATTTATAGGTTGAAAATCTGCCGGCCTTCTATTTAAATTATTTTCCATAACAAAGTCAGCTAATGTGTTAGGAGTAAACATCTTTTCATTTATTATAATACAACAGTATATAAGGATTATAATTATATAAAACAATAAAACCTCATTTTGCATTATAGGAATAGCATATACAATACATATCTATTAAAAAACGTGTAATTTAAATGATTAATTGAATTGACACTTACTCGTCGAGGAGCTATCCACTGTCTTATAATAGACTGAACCTGATTAAGATCTAGACCATGTCGTCTACTCTATTAAATCAGTTCCACAGTTTATGCATCTCAGAGATACGGATTGGTAAGAAGTCACTTCTTCTGTGTGCAGACTATCATGAGACACGCTTTGGTTTTGTTCAATGTCCATATTAAAGCCGTGGTTAGCGATGGAGTTAGTTTCGGGGTCCATATTACGTGAGTGTTGGTTATCGTTTATGCCTTGATCGGAGTCCATAATACAAAAGCCAGGGTCATCGTTTGAGCGAAATTCGGGTCCGTAGATGTGCCGGGGTCATTGGAAAAAGATAGGTCGGAGTCCATAATGAATAAACAATCGTTGAAAGAAAATCCACAATAAATCAACACTCTCAATGTAGGTAAACAAAGCGAATGTAAACAATCAGTCTGTGACATATTAATGTCAATTTGTATCTTTTTGTTTTATTAGTGTTGCAATAGAAAAAAATCATTAAAAAATCGATTGAAATTAGATATGATTACGTTAAACATTCTTCATATTTCAGTTTATAAAACGTTTTAAATGACGAAATTTATTAAAAACAAATATTATTCATTTTTTTTGTATTAAATACTTATAGTTGTATTAAGTTCTGCGAGATGATTCGATTTGACGCAATCGTTAATTGATCTTGCTGGTAACACAAAACGTGGATCAATAAAGCAAATCAATGAATATACTTTAAAAATATTTTCTCAATAAAATAAAAATGTACAATCAAACAACAATAGAATGGCTGGCTAAAAAATATATATATTTTTTCATAAACTTGTTTTTTTGATAGCAGCTTGTTCACGCCTGGCCAAAAATGGACATTGCTCTTTAAATGATTTACCCCGCAACGCAATGGAAGCGGCACCCGCACGGTGGATCTATTGAGTGATGCTAAGTTTTTATTGTCCATTGCATTTATTAAACAAATTTTATTCGAGTTATTTTGAACAATATTTGAGATCTACATTGCAGATGTTTTATAAACATTATATCCGCCATCTTGGAGGTTTCGCCCTATTGTGTAAAAAGTTCCGTCAATTACAAGGCTTGTACATAATAGTACGTAAATTTTTTGAATATATCTACTTAAAAATTGTCATTGAAATTCTTTTCAAATATAATAACAGAAAAACAATTTAATATAAAAAAGTAGACAAACCTTCATCACCTCATTAAAAATCTAAATTATTAAACGAGATCAACTGTCCATTGTATAATTTCCACTCTAAATAAAGTTTTGTTTTAACCTAATTACAATAATAGATATAAATAAATTACTAGCTTTCCGCCCGCGTGGAATTCGGTTATATCGTGATTCCAAGAGAACTTTTCAAGTCTAAGATAAAAACTACCCTGTTCTTTCTCAAGGGCAACTCTATGTCTGTACCAAATTTCATTAAAATCAGTTCAGTGGTTTAGGCGTGAAAGCGTAACAGACAGACAGAGTCACTTTCTCATTTATAATATTAGTAGGGATATATTGTTCCGGCAACAAGTAGAATTTAAAATATACCTATATTGTGACATGAATCATTTTTAGATATTTTTGTAACTACTGAATATTTTTCTTAGCAAAATAATCTTATGCATGTCATTATTTTTTCTGCTAAAGCTCCATTCGCATTGGAATCGTTTAAAATTTTCCCAATGTCAACGTTTTTATTTGTTGAACGAATTATAATCTTGAGTACTGTGTGGAGACACGAAGGAGTTTGAACAAAGGTTTATATTAGTAATTTAAAAACAAAATTCGCTGTATTTTTGTGATACGTCAAAAGCATTCGGTTTTTTGACGGCTTTTATATTTATTTGTGATACTTTATTTTATTTTTTGATATAAATATACATTATTATATAAGAAAATGGACCAGCCGAAACCACAAGGTGAATTCAATGTTTCTTGACTTAACAAGACTTTCAAATATAGTGTTATCAAATTAATACTTCTAAATAATAAATAGTGCTTATTGTTATTTATATTTTCTAAAATCATGTCGATTAATCAATGCTATAATAATTTTGTTTTATTATGTATAATGTAAGGATTAAGCTAACTAGAATCTTATTTTACTGATCTGGCTAGGTTATCAACTTCCGGTGTAATATATTAATTTTCTATCTTCTGTCTTCTATATATATATAAAAATGGATTGCTGTTCCTTAGTCTCGCTAAAACTCGAGAACGGCTGAACCGATTTGGCTAATTTTAAATACTCCTGGAAGTCCAGGGAACGTTTAAAAGGTGAGAAAAATTGGAATGATTGCCGAAAAAACCCTAAAAACAGCCCTTCTCTATTTCCCATACAAACGATTTTTTGACATTAGACTTGACAACTAACTAATATGTCAATCATTCTGTTCGATTGAAACAGTAGAAATTTAATAAATACCAATACCGGGTTATTGAAGACGGAATAGAGTTCGCCCGGTCAGCTATACCTATATTACTAAAGACGAAATTAACGCGGACGAAGTCGCGGGCAAAAACTAGTCTTTAATATTTTATGTTACATAATCCTGTATTATTAAATAATATTTGTCCATAAGAATAATTTAGATAAACAATGTTTAATATTATCTTTTAAGTTTGCAAATTTAATATTAAATTAGGTCGATGTTTTGTATAAATAGTAAATACCGCCATTTTTAATATATCGGGCATTGATATTCTAACCGTCGTAACGAGCATTATAAGTGTTATTCTATAAAACGTATCGTTATAATAGTGTAAGTTTTAGGTATTTCACCATAATTTTGATTTATAATAATTAATAAGTATATATTTCAGAGTTAATCGAGACTTTGACTAAAAATTATCGAGTGTTGCCTCTATATGAACAACAGACTTTCCAACATCGAATCAAGAATCACGTGTCTCTACAAAAGAATTCATATTTGGCCTGCAAATGGGCTGAATGCAAGGATAATCTAGGGAAGAAAAAACGACAACCATTCCAATTCCCACAAGTTTCGTGAGTCTGATAGAATAGTATTTTAAATAACCTTAGATACAATGAAACGATTGTTTGTACTTATATACACGCATAGAAGTTATACTTCTTTGGCGTACAGAAAAAATAACTAATATGCTGTAATGATTAACTAATTAATTAATTGAAAAGGTTTTTTTTTTATAAAAAAGGATTTATTAACCTAAAAATAGTAAAAATATACAACCATTAAACATTAAGGCAATGAATCAAATACAATATAAGTATTAATAAATATTTCAAATAATGTATTTTATACTTTGATTCTTCTCGTAGGGACTGAATAGGCATAGTTACTGTCGGTGTGCGCACGCATTGTACAAGTTCACTCTCATAATTTTATTCATAACCAAAAGAAGTATAACTTTAAAAATATCCTTTTTTTCAGGGACTTCCACTTCTACAATTATCACAATTGCTACAAACCGAGCGAGTCGACGAAAAACCGGAAAGATTATCGATATTCACTCACTAGTGGCCCTGGAGTCGATGAGTACGGCGAGATTCCCATCCCTAACGAAATGATTGGCATTAAGTCAGATGGTACAAAATCGAAGAGAAATTCCACAAAATTGACTAAAACTAGAAAACGTAACATATTTAAACGACGTCTGTAACAAAACTAACTCGCTTACAACCTAAAATTGAATTAATTTAATTATTTTTCAAGAAATAATAACATACATTTGTCTGAATATTAACTATCGAATGATCATTGGATGAAAATTGCAAATTCTTGAATAAACTATAAAATACTTTCAAGAATTAAATAGAGATATCCAATGTATTAAAATATATTTTTATATAGTTTTTGAATTTTTAGAAGATATAAATCATTAACGATTTAGATATTTTTACTCTATTAATTTGATACTATTTATATTTTATAATATTTATGACTTAATTTTACACTATTTATAGAATTTTATGAATAAAACTATAAAGAATTATTGAATATTTTTAATTCTCAACATGGGTTCTTTTCGTGTGTCGTCGTAATGAATCTTTAGTTGCGAATAAATTATTACAGAGGGTGCAAGTGAATTTCTTCTCGCCTGTGTGGGTAACTCTATGTCTTTGTACATCGGATTTTGTGTAAAATAGTTTATTGCATACATCGCACACATGTTTCTTTTCCTTTTTGTGCACATTCTTGATGTGATTATTACAGAGACTTCTGGTTATGAAGACTTTGTCGCATAAATTGCATCTATGCTGCGGTTTTTCGACGCCGTGCTTGTCGACCAGGTGTTGTATTTTGAGGTTTTCTTGGAAGAACCTCTCGTCGCAGTACGGACATAGAAATCTAAGTTTCCGTTCGAACCTCATGTTGTGATGGTCTATGTCGTGTAATTTTTTGTCCTTGCGATTCAGAAATGTTAAATTGCAGTCATTGCATTTTATCAGTCTATGTGATCTCGTTCTGTGCAGGTTTAGCAGCACCAGGCTTGTGAAACCAGCTCCGCAGACGTGGCATACGTGGTTCTGGTAATGTTTATTCACGTGGATGCTGAGGAGTCTGAATAATGTAAAACTTTCTCTGCACGTTTGACATTTTAGACCTTCGCTCTCTAACTTGAAAGGCACAAGCAAATCGCCTCCCTCTTTAAATTTAACTTCGTGCTCTTCCTCCAAATGGTGGCGAAAATCAGACAGCGTTTTAAAGTCCCCATCGCACTGCTTACATTTCAATATAGATATTTCAACTTTCAGTAGTTTATTTTGCTGCGCTATAATCTTCTTTTCTATTTTACATTTCTCTAAACCGTCGTGTTCTGTTTTCGTGTGATCTCTCAATGATTGTATATCTATGAAGGGTGCCTTGCAAAGGAAACATGTGAATCTACTTTTGTGCCATTGGAAGACGAACATTGTTGAGTTTTGGAGGATTTTAATCGAATTGTCTCTCAGTAGTGGCCCTCGACCGCGTCTTTCAGCTATTTTCCCCCAATCCTTATCAGTGTCGGAATCTATAATAAATTGTAATACAGATGTAATTTTTTGATGAGTAACATAGCAGGTCATAAGTAGTAGCAAGATTAAGGCTGAAGAAAATAATAAGGGATGCTTGAGTAAAAGTGTATAATAGAAGTAAAACAAATTAAAAAACAGATGCTTAAGGAAAAGTGTTTACAGAAGTATATAATATTAAATCAATAATTTTGAGATGGTACAAATCAAATAATCACATCAAATAGAGCTAGGTTTCAACATAATTTTCAACTTCAAATAACTTTTCTACACAATATAATCAATGTTTTGTAAAACACATAATAAATTGAATATATTTTTTAAATAAAACAATAAATTCCAAATAATATGTAATTCATAGCACAACTTAAACTTACCTACAAATAATTGTGAAATAACGTAGTATTTAAAACACTTACAAGGTAATTTGGAATATATTTATTTCACTATATAAATGTTGAAAATGTTTTTAAAATAAAAGCACTATCAAGTTACTAATACATTTATTAATTTAAAATTCATATAAACTTTTTAAAGGGATAGTGATAAGCGTAATTACTCTGAAGTAGTATGCCACTCTTTCATATGAGATTCATATTCCGATTTTACCTGAAATTCCACTGAACATTCCGAGCATGTTAAATGATCATTGGTATTATGGATTTGCATGTGTTTCTGGAGGGTAGTTTTGTGCATATACGAGTTATTGCATACATTGCATGTAAAGTTGCGTTGCCCAGTGTGCCCACACATGTGCTGTTTCAATTTAGATTCTATGCTGAAGCACTTAGCACAGATGTCGCATTTATATTTTTCTGTGTGATGTCTTGTCGTGTGCTCGGTGAGTGAACGCCGTGTGCTGAAACTAGTCTTGCAAATATGACAATGAAATGTCTTAATAATACCATGAACTGATTTCAAATGTATCATCTTGCTGTAATGTTCTTTGAAGCTCTCGTTGCACAATGGACATTTCTTTAACTTGACCCTTTCCTTGCCTTTGTGAACAATTTCTATGTGATATTTGATTTGACTTTTCTTGTTAAATGTCTTTTCGCAGTTTGGACATTTATATCTATTTACTAAATGCTTCTCTCTGTGTTTCAATAACAGATGCTGATTAAGGAAAACAACGCCACAATTCTCACAAACAACTTTACCGACGTGACAATTTATGTGAGAGTTCAAGAGGACAAACGAATGGAATACCTGATCGCATATATGACAGACATAGTAACCGTTTCTCAATTCCATTTTATACTCAGTCATACCATTGCTCGCAGGCAGAAAAGATTTTTCATGATAAATCTTTAAATGGTCACGAATTTCATTCAGATTTGGATACAGTTGGTCGCATAGACGACATTTTAATTTGGATATATCAACTAGCAACGTTCTTTTACCTTTCGGTATATATTTCTCTAAAATAATATTTCTATCTTTTATCTCTCTCTTGTGGGATTGTGTATGGACCATCAATTCTCCGGGATCCGAGAAGTATTTCCCGCAGAAGAAACATTTAAAACTTGCTCCCATAAATATAAATGGCTGAACTGTTGTATTTTGTATAAACATTGCAGCGTTACTTCTCTCTGCTGCAGTTAATTGCCAAATGCTTGTGTGAAAAGCAGTCCTAATACCTGTGAATTAAAATCGCATTCAGAATGAATACTAATGACATACACAAACTACGGATGCATTATATGCAAGACATGAAACAAACAAAAGAATTCTAAACTTACCTTTAAATCCAAACAAAAATAGGTTTAATATGAACAAAGGTAATATTTCTTTACCCAAGAATACGTATTAACTGATAGCAAATGTTTAGATCATGACGTTCTAGTCAATAATTAATGTGAATAACCTTTAAAGCTGAAATTTTTTGAACATTATGTCAAAAAGTCCTGATAATGTGGCTATAACCGTCATTAAAGAAATATTTGTTCTATTTCCCTTTTAATTTGCCAGAGATTTAGTAACTTTATAATATATTCATCTTTAGACAATTCTATGGAATTAACAAAATAATATAAATCCATAGTTATACAAATAAATTCATTTATAACAATGAAAGAGTGTACGTATATATTAACTCAAACGTCACCGAATGTTTGAAACAAAAACATCTAATTAATTGGCACACAAAGGAAGCATTATATATTATTCTATCAAAGACCTCAATCAATTTTATTATGAATGCAAACGAAATTTAGGATCTAGTTTAAGTCCAACGTAGTAAAAGAGAAAAAACATTATAAATTATGTATTTGGTATCACATACAAAAGCCATATTAAATCACATTACGGTTTCTGTACCAAAATTCTTCACAATGGTTCTGAACTGCCACTGTGGATGCCACTGTTTTATGTGTTTGTTATAATCGTTGCGATTGTGAAAGCCATTACCACATTCAGTGCAAGTAAATTTCCAAACCGGTCCGTGGACCCGCATATGCTGTCTTAATGTCCGCTCGTGCATATAAGCTTTTTGGCATATGCTACAGAAAAAGTTTCTCTCTCCCGTGTGCCCTCGCATATGCATCTTTAATAGTGACTTAGTACCGAAACATTTACCGCATACTTTGCATTGTATTTTTTGTGTATGCTGCTTTGTTGTGTGTTCGGTAAGAGCTCTTCTTGTTGGGAACACCGATTTACACACTTGACACTCAAACGTGAATGTGATCCCGTGAACTTCTTTTAAATGCGTCATTTTCCTATAATGTTCGGCAAACCTTTCTAAGCAGTGCGGACATTTCAGCGGTTTTGTGCGTTTTGTATTTACTTCGTGCTTTTTGAATATGTGATACCTGAGCTTCAATTTCGTAGGGAAAACTTCTTGACATTTGTCGCATTTGTGAACACCATTTTGATGGACTATCCTGTGGTTTATCAGACGTTGGTGTGATATAAAACCTAATCCACAAGTTTCGCACACAACACTGAAATGTACGTTCATGTGTCGGTTGAGGAGAAAAAACGAATTGAAGGTCTTCCCACATTTATGGCACGAAAGAAGACCATTCGTTAAATTTAAATTATAAGCCATTAGACCATTACCAGCAGAATTGAAATCTTTTTTATGGACTGAAGCTAAATGTTTTCTAATATCGTCGAGATCCAAATGCTTTTGTTCACACAGTCTACATCTTAAATTGGATATGTCTACTTTTATAACCCTTTTGCCTTTTCTTAAGTGTTGTTTCAATAAAATGGACCTTTCAGGCACAGAATGGAAGCTTGTGTGATTGAGAACTGAATTAATTTCTGGAAAAACTTCTGTGCAATAGAAGCATTTGAAATTAGCCTGCTGGTAAAAGAACGGTCTGATCGTGGTGCACTCAAGAAATGTCGCAGCATTTAGCCGTTCGTATATAGTCATTTGCCAGATGCTGGATCTTGGTGCTGGTCGCTGTGTTCCGGGTATAGCTGAAAACAAAGTTTATTTTTTTAAACTCCTCGCATATCCCATAGCTCACTACAAAACCGTGCAGAAACTACAAAACAATACAAACCAATCACGCGTCCAATTTTATTTGTACAAAATGTTACCAACAAACAGTTATATAATAAATAAAATGTTAATTTTATTATTCTAAATGTATGGTACTCGTGTGTAAGGCCAATGAAGCGTCATCACCGCAGTCCTTCCCAGAAACAAAACACATTCTACATTCATGAGACTTCATATGATCTTTAAGACACTTTTGTTTCGCGTATTCATTTCCACATATATCACATTTGTAACTTTTATTCCCCGTATGGATCGTCATATGTCGTGACAGGCTATTCTTTGAGAAGAACATGGATAAACAGATGCTACACTCTTGATTTCTTTCTTGCATGTGTACTGATCTTATATGTATTAGCAATTGACTCTTCATTTCATATTCCCTTCCGCATGTTTCACATCTGTACAATCCTGATGTTTTATTGTGTACAATACGCAAATGCTTTGTCCTTTGATAGTTGGATATAAATCTTTCTGGGCACATTGGACACGTTCGTGGGTACTTCTTAAGGTGAACATTTTTTGAATGATGTATTCTTTTATAGGCGCTACTAAAGATTTTACCACATTTGAAACATGGATAATGGCCGCTTTTGTGCGTCTGTAAATGTCTTTTAAGCAGACGGAGAGTTATAAAAACTGCGCCACAAATTTCACAACTAAAGTTATTGAAATGTTTGCTCATATGTATTATTATCGATCGTAGTTTAGTAAAAGGTTCACCACAGATTTGACACTCAAAATTATCACCACCTAGTTTGAAGGGTATGATATTGTCTTGGAAATTGGGTTCAATAGATTTTCCGTGATCTTTCAGATGTACTTTTAATTCGGAGAGATTTTGCGGACACGACTGGCAAATCTTGCACATCAAACAAGAAACATCAACTTTAATTACTCCATCACGTACTTTGTTCCTTAATTCACATTTAAAATCAGCCATACTGTGACTTGTTAAATGTTTCTTTAAAAGAGATGCTTCTATGAATTCAAGAGAGCAAACCAAACATTTGTATTTATTACACACATGGATAAACGGATAGACATGAGAAAATTCAAATAGCGTAAGGGCATTTTGCTCCCAGATCTCCGAAATCGATGACTCATTTGTCTTAACAACGTAGCTATGTTTGGGTTTTATAAGTTTTACGTTTATACATACTGATGTCGAGTCATTTGCGTCTTGGAAAATTAAATCATCAATTGATAGCGGCTCTTTAAGCAATGACATAAAACCATGGTCTTGTGATAGTTTAGGCTCCGAAGATTCCCTTTCCGATAAATGATTGTCACTCTTTAATTTTACATAACTTTTCTCGTTTTCGACTGTAAGTTCGTTAATATCTATTGGATGTTTCAGCAGTTTTAATTCTATATCACTTCCGTCATAATTTTTTAGTGTTATTGATTTATTTGTCCGTATGAAGACGTCTGAAAACAAGCAGTTATACAATAACTTAGTCCAGAGCCCGAGGGTAATGGAAAATCGATTTTATTATCCTATCTTTTTATAACTTTCTGCTAAGTAATACCATTGATAAAACACTTTTTGAAATATATTTATATTAGAGCAAGCTTGAGTTTAATATAAGAAAGAATGGCATTGTTTATTATTATATCTATATAAATATAAAAACGTGTTAGTTACACTATTTATAACTCAAGAACGGGTCTGGCTGAAAATTGGTGGAGAGATAGATTAAAACAAGGAGACGGACATAGGATATTTAATTCTATTTCATCAAAAAAGAATACAATAAACTTAATAAATTACATTATCTGGTTATTAACGGCGGAATAGAGTTCGCCCGGTCAGCTATACACATATTAGTAATGCCAAAATTAACGCGGAGGGCGTCCCGCCCAAAAAGTAGTGTAATAAAAAGATTATGTAATATAATAATTAGTTGGTTAAGAATTTTTAGGTTTTAGGGTGAGGACCAACAGTTTGGTAAATAACATTCTTATATCAGTAAATGATTCAATAATATATTGTTTGAAAATGTTTTATTCATCAATCATACATACACCCATAAACATTTTCGTAGTGATAAGTTACATGTATTCGTCAAAAATTTATTTATGCATCAAAACATCATTCTTGCAGTCAATAATATAAATCTGAATTTAATTATAAGCATCAATAACTGATACGTTTTAATCAAATGACACATTCCCAAGATTATTACGAGATCTTGATAAAATGGTAACAGTACATTTGAGAGATTCCATCCAGTACACTTAAAAATAGTAAAACTTAAATCTACAGCACAAATCATTATTGTATTAGGCAGTTTTTTTATAATATATTATGTTTCGTTCTCTAACACATGGATAATATATATGTACATTGAAAAGTGCATTCGAGTATTGTTGTATAAAAATTATATGCCAATCTAAGCGTTTATGACGACATCGTGTAATCTCATATGATCTTTTAGATTTTTCCGCCGTAGAAACGCCATCCCACATAGGTCACACTTATGATTCTTTTCACCAGTATGAATAACCATATGACGCTTTAAAGTCTCCTTGTTGCAGAATCTTTGCAGACAAACTTTGCACTGATGATTCCTCTCTTGAAGATGTACAGAACGAGTGTGACAGATGAGATGATATTTCAAATTAAATCCTCTGCCGCAAGTCTCACATTTATGGACTCTTGTGGACTGGTTGTGGACATCCTGTAGGTGAATGGTTCTCCTGTAATTAGAATTAAATCTCTCTGGACAAATGGGACATCTCCTTGGATACTGCTTCAAATGAACGCCACGAACATGAAGAGATCTTTTATAAGGCGTGCTGAATACCTTGTTGCATTTCTCACAAGGAAAATTGCCAGTTTCATGAACTTCCAAATGTTTTTTCAGGAGTCGCAATGTCATGAAACCTGATCCGCAAATTTCGCAGCTATAGTTACTAAAGTGGACACTCATATGAATGACCAAAATACGAACTTTAATGAAAGTTTCCTCGCATATCACACATTTAAACGAACCGTCCTGGGGCTCCAATTTAAAAGGGATCATATTATCCTGTAAATCCGGATCGATAATTTTCTGATGTTCCTCTTTCAAATGAACCTTTAACTGGAGTAAATCTTTTGGTTTAACTGTGCATAAATTACATGAGAGTTCACCAACATCGACTTTGAGGACGTTTTCCCTTCTGTTATTCAGTAATCTTTTTAGAGGCGCGAAAGTGTGTTCCTCATTCATGTGCTGTCTTAAAAGAGTAATATCGAGGTAGGGCTGTGCGCAGACGAAACATTTAAACTTATTGTTACCGTATATAAATGGGTATACCGTTGAGTATTCAAAAACCGTCAGAGCATTCTGGCGGTAATCTGTTTGGGCTTTCTTTGTTTTTGGTATTGATATAACAGGAGGAGCGGTTTTATTTGGGGACGGCGATCTCCTCTCAAATGATATGGGTGAAGGACTACGAGACGATGTTAACGACCCTAGCATTGCAGATGCTGGCACTTTAACTTTGCCATTTAGACGCAACTTTCGGAAGGCCGTAACAGTCCCCAAGGGTCTACAGAGGCTGCGATCGTATGCTACTTGAAATAGTGGTATAATCCTTTTAGCTGGCGTCGTATTATCCGTCGATAAAGAGTCCATGCCTAAAAACAGAAACAAATTTTGTTGAACTTCCTTATCTTGAACATGCAGTGACACTTGTTAACAAATAGTGCGTCTTAGCCCATATCCCATAACTGTATAATGCAAATACCAGTTAATAAATGTTATAAAAGATTCGGTAAAAGAAACATGTATAAAAATTATTCAAAGCTTTTATTTAAACACTCTTAGTGACGGAAAACTGATTTTTTTATATCATACTTATTCAGCAGTATGATTGACTTTCACGTGAAGTTTAAGACTGCACTTTTGTACGAAGGATCCGCCACAAAACGAACAAACAAAACGCCTATCATTTTCATGTATTCTCATGTGCTCACGTAATGTACATTTCCTCGCATACGCTTTTTTGCAGATATTACATTGAAATTTCCGTTCCCCCCCATGTCTGATCATGTGGTCTTTCAATTCAGATTTCGAATAAAACTTCCATTCGCAGAGATCGCAAGCGTGTCTTTTCATCTTCAAATGCACTGTTCTCGTATGTACACCTAATTTACCGCTCGAAGTAAATACTTTTGGACATAGAGTACATTTAAATTCTTTCAACTTCATCCCATGAAAAGATGATATATGTTTATTCCTTTGAAAATAGTTATGGAAAGTCTCCGGACAGTGTGGACATCTGTGCCTTTTGACTTTCTTATGAACAATGGAGTAATGTTCGTTCTTTGCGTTCATAGAACGGAATACTTTATCACAAACATGACAGGGGAATGAACCCATTTCATGGGTGAACGCATGCGTTCTTAGACGATCAGGCGTCATGAAACCTGCACCGCATTGCTCACAAATAAAATTCTGATAATGAACATTCATGTGATGGTTTAATGTTGTGAATTCATCGAAATTTTCGCCACAAACAGCACAAGGGAAACTGCTTTTAGTTATTTTGAATGGCAGTAGTCCATCCTGAGAGTTCAATTCTATATTTACAGAATGTTTGGTTACTAAATGTCTCTTCAAATCCGTCATGTCGCTGAATCCAGTGATACATAGTTTACAGCCCAATTCTGTTATATCAATTTTAATTAGTTCGTGTTTTTTAAGTTTAGCACACGCCTTTTTAATTTGCACATCCGTTTGTGTGACATGATTCACGTAACTGTGATCCCTCAACTGAGCCGGATCTGTGAACTGTTGGTCGCAGTAAAAGCAAAGGTATAAATTTTTTGTCCATCTAAATGGGTATATCCTCGCACTTTCTAGGAGTAGACAGGCATTAGTTTTCCTGGTCTTTATGGCGTCTTCGTCAAATATTTTCTTTACATTCACGTTTTCCTTCTCTTTTTTGGAAGTAAGTACTCCGATATCTTCATTTTCACCTAAAAATGATAAAACACGCGAATGAGCGCAAATTCCTTAATCATAATACCATGCATGGTCAATAATTGTCTTATAAACGAATTAAATATTTACTAACAATTTTAACGCTCCAACGCGTGTTTTATAATTTCAATAAGAATAATTTTAAATGTTATTAAATAAAGATATGTATACATAAGATTTTTAAATTTTTAATACCTTGTATCATGAGATCTACATTTAATTATAGCCTAAAACCCTCATATAAGTTATTAAATATTGTTAAACAATATAAAATTCTAAGTTTTCTGATCATGTTTCTTCATATGTCTGGCCACGGCGCGTTCTCTTGAAAAATATTTCTTGCATACTAAACACTGATAATTTCTAGTTCCGAAATGCTTGATCATGTGGTCATTTAAACTATATTGAAAATAAAACTTCTGTTTGCAGACTTTACAAGAAAAACGTTTTTCTTGTGTGTGAATAGAATGAGTATGAGCTTTCAGTTTAGCATTCGATGGGTATGATTTGGAACAATGAAAACAAGGAAACCCTCTATACTTGACACCATGTTTTCTTAACGCATGTTTGTCTCTATAAACATAGTTACGAAATATCTCCGGGCAGAAAGGGCATTTATGTATAACAATATTTCTGTGATCAACTCCAAAATGTTTATTTCTTGCGTCCTCTGACGGTAAGACTAAAGAGCAAAGTTGACACTGAAACGTTTTAGACAGATGCGTCAAAGAGTGGTTTTCTAACAAATCTAAGTTTTTAAAATCTGTTCCACAACGTTCGCATATGTATTTATTATCATGTATTATCATGTGTTCGTTTAATAGGTCGAGATTATTGAATTCTTTGTCGCATGCCGTACAGAGCGATCTTTCGCTGATCTCAAATATGAATATGTCGTCTAGACCCAAGTCTACGCCTGGCCAATCAACATTCTCCTCTTTATTTATATCAGAAGTTACATCGCAATCTGGCCCAGTATAAGATACGAGAGCTTGAGGGCACGAATTACTCTCTGCAGCCATAAGTATATCATTAGAGATGATGCTATCAAAATTTAAACCAGAATATGTATCACAATCCTGTTCACAAGATATTGGTGTCTGTAGAGCACAATTTGCCTCGTCAGATAAATGTTTATCTTTAATTATAAAACTGTCACAGTCTATTTCGTTTATAAAATCATAATCGTTTTCCCTAATGGGAATTATGGGTTCAGAGCCGATATTACTATCTTCCTTTAAAATTCCCTGACCCAAGCTATCGTCATTGTGCATTGTACTGCTGACAACTACATCATCTTGATCATCATCATCATCACCTAGAAATCACAAAAATTGGTGACTGTTCTGCTCTTTCAAAAGAGGCAGTTGTTTAAGTGACTTCTTTCTTTAAACTCGACATATAGAATAATAGAACATCGAACATTTAGCATCGCAATACATAGATCATGCAAAACAGAAGATCTCAGAGTTTTTTACCATGCTTTCAAAATTTCTCTGGCGTTCATACTTTAGACATAAGAAATTTTTGAGAATCATTTATTTTTCTTGAAATAAAAATCAATGATATATTAATATATTTATTTTGACTCAAGTGCTCACTTTAAAGTAAATAATGTAACAAATTATGTTCGGTGTCAAATGTTTGACTATCTTTCAGTAACAGTTATCCATCGACCTCTTTGACAAATAATAATTCATTTGGAAATGAATGAAAAGATTCGTAATTCGATGTATGAATGACAATATCTTGAAAGTCTAAAGACTAAAATTACGATTCAAATCAGCTTAAAAAGTACAGTTGATAACAGGTTCACTGTTCAAATAGCTTTTGAATAATATTTCATTAATAATGATCCTTTTTAAAAGTCTAGTATATATAGATATCAATTTAAGCACACATTTGACAATTAAAAAGACTTTTTTGCCAATTTCATATTTACAATGTCTAAAAAACTGCCCTTGAGACACTAATATATGTACCTCCATATAAATTAGGGACGTAAATTTATATTGCATTATCTCCTTGCTTCGACCAACAATTCTATAAAACGTTTGACGAAATGTCACGTCAACATTATTTATTATTAAAAATGAATATAGTACATACTATGCGGTCTTTAACATGATCAAGAATCAATAATTCATACAAAATTCTGTACCCACAATCTACATTTAAATGTCTTTCAAGTTGTTTGTTTATTAAATTGGTCTAAAACATATCAGTCTTAACCTGTATGGGATGATGCACTCTGACATGTTGTTTTAAACTACATTTCTGTATAAACGAGGCCCCGCAAGCCGGACAAACGAATCTTCTATCGTTGTTATGTATACGCATATGTTCCCTCAATGTTTTTAACCTGGCATATGATTTCTTACAAACATCGCACTGGTATATCCTAGCACCGACGTGCTTCACACTGTGCTCCTGCAACTCATAGTTACTGAAGAACTTCATTCCACAGACGGTACAAGTGTGATTCCTTTCTTGCAGATGATGTGACCTAACATGAGCGGTTCTGCGACTGCAGAGATCAAATACCTTTGGACATGAGGGACAAGGGAATAATGTAGTTTTTTCACCGTGCACCGTATTCAAATGTTTTATCCTATATTTATAGGAAGCAAACTTTTCATCACAAATAGGACATTTGTATCTCTTATTTAGTCTATGTACTTTTGCAATGTGCGCGTATAACGCAGCGTATGATGAGGATGTTTCTCCACAATGCTTGCAAGGAAAATCTCTTCTTTCGTGAGTCCGTGAGTGGTTCAATAGTCTTTGTGTGGTGGCAAACCTTTTGCCACATGTTTCGCAGATAAAGTGTTCGTAGTGATCATTCATATGGCGGTGAAGACTTAGAAACATCTCATATCGTTTTCCGCATATTTGGCAGCTATGGTCGTCCTTAGTCAACTTGTATGGCAGAATTGATTCCCCATGGGTGCTATCCAATATTTTACCGTGTTCAAGCAAATGTGCTTTCAAGTTTAAATAATCATCCACACCAGTGCCGCATAGTTTACAAATCGAAGCCGAAAAATCCATTTTCAAGGGCTCATATTTCTTTAGTTTAAAAGCTCGGTCTGTGTGTACTTTTTGGGTGTGTTCCCTCAATTTTTCCGGCTCGAGAAATGAATTTTCGCAAAAGAAACACAAGTATGTCCCCTTTATATATTTAAACGGGTACGCGGTGGATGACGTCATAATTATTTTTATATTTTTCCTAAACGCGGCTCTTCTTTCATTGCCTTCAGCTCTCCGCTTCACAACCTCAGCTCTAGCCATGCTGTCGTACACAAAATTTTCCATATCTATATCCATTTCCTGTTTTATGTCAACATCTGCTGAGTTTCTTCCTAAAAATAGAAAAAATATCCAATATAGGCTCTTGGTCCTCTCTTCCTCTACATTTTCAACTTAATTTAAAGAGCGATGAACAAAAGATATGTTTTTTGTTTCATAACATTTAATATAATGATGTTGAGACATGCTTATTCAAGGCTTCAATTGTTTTATTTCTTTATCACATGACTGACAAGGACTTTGCTAAACTAAATAACTGAGTAAGTATATGATATCGAAAACGGTATTCATAAAATTGTTTTATTTGAATCAACAAAATATGATATTTACTTTAATATACTATATTACAAACCTACTTGCAATATTAAATTCGTTAGCATGGCATCTATATGAACATATAAAAGCGGACTACTTCAAATAGTATTAAATATGCATATTATTCAGCAATTTTGTTAGACTCCGCATTGGGGTGATGTGTCCGTATGTGACTTTTTAAGCTGCATTTTTGTATAAATGCATTATTACAATACTCGCATTGAAACCTCCTATCATTATTATGAATCCGCATATGTTCTTTGAGAGTCCTAGCGCGTGCGTAGCTCTTTTTACAGACGGTGCATTGAAATTCACGTATTCCCGTGTGCTTGACCATGTGATTCTTCAATTGCCCGGCAGTCACGAATTTACTAGGGCAAAAATCACATTGGAACTGTTTATGTTTTATATGGACATTCTTTATGTGTTTAGTTCGCTGATCGGACATTGCAAACACTGATGAGCACAAGTGGCAGGGATACTCAATGGTTTGACCGTGAAGTTCTTTCAAATGTCTTAATCTATCTGAGTAGCGCTTAAACGACAAATTGCAATAAGGACATCTATATCGGTTTATCGGGCTGTGCTTTGTGTTCATATGATAGTTTCTCAAAACCCTAGTTTCGAAGATTTCATCGCATTTAGAACATTTGTGCTTCTGGTCGTTCGTTTCGTGAGTAAGCTGGTGGGCTTTCATTCTATGTACAGCTGTAAAAGATTTGCCGCAATGAAAACATATGTTGTTGGGGTAATGCTCGTTCATGTGGCTATTTAATTTCGAAAACAACGAGAAACGTTCGCCGCAATGCGTACAGAGCATCTCTTTATCCTGAAGCAAGAACGGTGTAACACCCAAACCTAGATGCTTTAAAATTGGCTTCTGATGTACGTCAATCAAGTGATATTTCAAATCTTCCAATGTACCCAAGTTTTCGTTACAAATTTCACATTTAAGATTGCTGACTTCAATCTTAATGTTATCATACGGTCGAGCGTATCTCATTGCCTCTATTCGACTGGTGTGTTCCCGAGTGTGGGCACAAACATCTTTGAAATGACCGAAGGTATTCGGGCAGTATGAGCACGCGAACGCACCACGTTTCCAACGAAAAGGACACACGTTTGAGAACTCAATAATAATCGCCGCGTTATCTCTATGATCGTTATACGGCCGTCTTCTTCGTTTCCATATAACTTTCTTGACAGTTCCTAAAAGCAAAAGAAAATTCTCCGTCAGATTTAAGTGTGCCTTTCTTATATATATCTTCTCACAAAAAACTTCTTTATCAAAAATATTTGGTGCTTTATTATAAATACAGCCTTGGATAGTGACATACTTTGAGTTACATGAATGTATAAAACATCAACACTTTTATCATCTCAATTAATACAAAAACCATTCGTCATGTTAACTATTACTTCGAACAATAATTATCTTGAGGAACACCGATATTTTCAAGAGCATCGTGAGTAGTTATGTGTCTTTTGAGTTTCGATTTGCTTACAGAATACCAAGAGCAATTAGGACATCTATATTTATTTTCATTAGCATGTGTATTGCGAAAGTGAGTGGTTCTTTTACAGCTGGTCTCAAATATTTTCCCACAGGATGAGCACTGGTACGCAGTTCTTTGTTGATCGTGGCCATCGACCAGATGTTTAGCTCTGGCATAGTAAGTCGTGAAGACTTCCGGGCATCTCGGACAGGTGTATCTAATTCCTCGTCTATGTATTTTAAGTTTATGACACATTCTAGCTGCTCTCGTCTCCAATACTTCATCACATTCTCCGCAAGGGAAGCTACCGATCTCATGTGATTGTACGTGTGTCCGAAATCGAGATTTCGACACAAACGCTTTACCACAAGCATCGCATATGTAATTCTGATAGTGAGTATTCATATGCTCATTAATTTTACTAAAACTAGTGAAAAATAGATCGCATTTTTGACAGTTAAATTTATTTTCGTCAAGCTTGAATGGAAGAACTCCATCATTGAAGTCGGTATATATTTTTTTCGCATGAATTGTTACTAAATGCTTTTTTAACGTATCAACCGTATCTATTGTACTCTTACATATCCTACAAAGTAAATCCGATACATCTATTTTAACCATATTATTTTCCGTTAGTTTTGAAAATATTTGTTTTGTGGGCGGGTCATTTAGATGATGTATTTGTACGTGTCTCCTTAAGTTTACAGTCTCGATAAATTTTGCGTCGCAATAGGAGCAATAAAAAGCGCTTTGAAACCAACGAAAGGCCCAAGCAGTAGAACTTTCTAGTATAGTTAAAGCGTTTCTGCGCATCATAGTTTTCGCGATACGTTTCTCAGATTCTTCGGGGAGTTCGTTGTTAGCGCGTCTTCGACGGCGCATCTGTCTCGCGCAGACATTTTCCTTTAACTTCCTAACCGGTTTAACGCCTACAGTACCTGCCAAATCCGCCTTAGCGGAACCTAAAAAGAAAACAATACTTCGTTAACGTAAGCACCAATACCCCCCAAACATGCAATATATCTATTTTTCCGAAAAATAATAGAAACTATTATGCTTTGACGGATTTATTTAAAGATTCATTTGTCATCAACTAAACATTAACTAGTCCGGACATCATCAATTCATCTACTTCTGGATGTTTCTCCCGCAAATGTGTCAACAGAAGTGCTGCTTCCTTAAAACTATTTCCACACCATTTACATCGAAGTCCATCCGCGTGACCAGCCAAGTGTTCTTTTAATGCTTTACTCTTAGTAAAACTTTCACCGCAAACAGTACACGTTTCTCCATTATGTTTTACCATGTGACGTTTCATACCAAAGGCTGTTTTGAATAGGGTTTTGCAATAAGGGCAACTAAAATTACTCTGACGAGGAAAATGAACTGTTTTAACGTGGATGGCTCGCTTGCCGCTCGTTTTAAATGATAGATCACAGTGTGAACACCCGTACTTCACTTCCTTTTCTCTATGAGCTTGTTTCAAATGATTCATTCGATCATAATAACCTTCAAATCTCATATTACATTGTGGGCATTCATAACGCGGACCTTTAGCGTGGGCGTAGGCTTTGTGATTGTCTCTCCCTGTGCGTTTTGTAAAAACTTTCTTACATTTATCGCAAGGAAATGTTCCTGTTATATGTAATTCTAGATGTTTCCTTAGCCTCGGTCCAGTCATGTAACCTTTCCCGCATATCGAACATATGTGGTACTGATAATGCGTGTTCATATGCTCGTAAAGTTTCAGAAAGTTATTGAATGTCTCACGACATAAGACACAGGACCAGGATTCTTTTGTGAGACAAAACGGGATAACACCATCCGGATGTGATATATCTAATTCGTAACCGTGCCGAATGACGTGCTCTCTCATGCCATCAAGTTCTCTGAATGGCTCAGAACATATTCGACAAACAGCCTCACTGACATCCATATTTATGAGAGTCATTTCTTTAAATTTACTGAATATACTACCCACACTGTTCTGGATAGAACATAATCTAACGTGCGCCCTCAAATCCGAACACTCATTAAAATTTTCTTCACAATAGGCGCATTTGAATCTATTTTTTTTCCATCTGAACGGTATTCCAGACCAGCATTCGAGAATAGAGCTTGCATTCTTCTTTGTCATGAATCTGGCTTGGGATCTAGCACTCTTTTGATACTTTCGTTTCTCTCCAACTTTAATGTCATTATCTGTATCGAGATGTGACTGTTGGAGTATGTTTATGTCAGTGACATTTTCTGTTTCTCTGCTTCTTCCTAAAAACAGAAAACTTAGTCAATTCCTCCACATCCTCATCCATTTATATTACACTGCTTACACAACCACCGATTCTCGTAATTGGTTCGTTCTCTTTACTCGCATTATTTTAAATCAAAAAAACAAGACCTAACGCTAAATTGGCCCTTAATCAAGGATATCCTACTCATGAAATAATACAATATGTAAATACTGTTTTTATGTATTGCACCTATTGGATTCCCACCCGTACCTTTATATTACTTTAATACTATAAGTTACTTTTATGCTACTTTATGTTATTTTTTACTTTTGTCTTCTAGTTATTAATATGTTTAAGATACCTGTGTAATTCTATTTTGGTTTTCATTTTGTTATGTAATAGTTATATAGAAACTTATGTATAAAAACTGTTGGATTGACAAATAAATAAAATAAAATAAAGTATATCTGTAGGAAGATTTCATTTCGAGTGTTTAAAGATTTTGAAAAATTTAAATAAAACAACAGAATATTTGAATCACATAGACATTTAATAAAGTTGTAGCTGCATTATTACAATACTTTATCGGAATTTTATTCATGAATTGGACGAATTCATACAAATAGTGAAATTTATAGATTTGACAGGAATTATTTACACCTATATTTATAAATAGTATTTAAGTTTCACAAATATTACATCCATAAATCGAACCCGCGATTCAATAATATCAATAAGTGTAAATTACAAATCGACTTCACTTTTTATTCATAAGTGGGTACATTCCTATAATAATTTATGCCATTCATATCAACGAGCACACCGAATAAATAAAACCTAACTAATTCAGATATGAAAATGTTTTTTAGCTATGTGCCTGTCTAAAGAGAGCTTTGTAGTGAATCCTCTAGCGCAGTGACCGCATGAGAAACCAAAATCTATTTCCTTTTTCGTCCTATGAACTTTAACGTTATGATGATATTTTTGAGATCGCGTTTTGAACATCATGTGACAGGTAGTACACTCGTACATTTCCGCCCCAGATTTATAATTATGTATCTCATATAAATGCCGTTTCCTCAGCTCCCAGGTTGCGAACCTCGGTTTGTCCTTGCAATAAGTACACATGTAAGGTAGATTTGTGTGTTGTGTTTTTATATGTACACTCCTCTCTTCTAACGTAGAGAACGTCGCGACGCATCTACTGCAGGTGTATTTGTTATCATGTGGTATTTTAGTGTGTGCCCGCAGTGCCACTTCTGTGATAAAACCCTCTCCGCATGTATCGCAAACGTAATTCTGATAGTGCTCGGCTGTGTGTTTTTTTAATGATATAAAATCTGAGAACTGTATTTTGCATATAGCACATTGCCAGCAAGAGCCATCGTTCAATTTGAATGGCAATACTCCCGGCTGAACGTCAATGTTAACCGGTTGTTTGTGATCGTTCTTGAGATGTGTCAATAAATCATCTAAAGTGTCAATGTGCATGAAGCAAAGTTTACATTGCAAATCTGTTATATCGACTTTTAAAAATTCCTTTCTTAATTTCCTACTAAATACGAGTTGTATGTCAAAGTTTGCATGTCTGGATGCCATATGAGCTCGTAGCCCATTGGGATCATTTGATTGCACTCTACAAAAGACACAGTTAAAATTCTGTCCCCACGTTCTGAAAGGACATGCTGTTGAACATTGTAAAATAATTTCAGTATTGTACTTATGCTTCAAGGCTTTACCGAAGCGAGGTTTGTATGTTGCTTTATAGCATTGAAAATTTCGTTCATGTTGTTTTAGACCGTGCTCCGAAAGGAAAGTCGCCCCGCATTTATCGCAAGTAGATATTTTGGCATGGGTTCGTAAATGGCTGTTTATTTGGGAGAATTCCGGATATATTTTATCACAGTGAAGGCACAGCCATGAACCAGTCTCATTCTGTCTATACGGCAACACACCAAAAGGTACATCAAAATTAACTGGCTTTCCATGATCCCCTGATAAATGATTCATAAATGTTTCAACGTTCTCAATGTCTCGCGAGCATAAATTACATTTGAAATGGCTTATATCAATTTTGAGATCATCTACAACCTTATAAAATGCACTGTTAAAGTCAGCGTTAATGTGTTTCTCCTTAATATGTATTCTAAGAGCCTCCATGGGCTGGAATTCATCATGACAATAAGAGCAGAGTATTCTATTGAATCGTGTTTTAAAAGGTATAGCCGTGGAATGTCTAAGAACCAAAACAGCGTTACGACGCTGGGGGTTATGTTTTACGGATCTTTCGAATAACCCCTTTTTTTGTTTTCTCTCTTTCTCATTGAGTCCGTCAATATCCTTCGTGGGTCCTAAAAAAAGAAAAGAACCATGTCATTATTTCATTCTATACACCCGTCAACTAATTTTAGGTTCTTTGTTTTATATTTATTGCGTCTTCACTTTATATAAAAAGGCATATTAAGAAACACATTCAAGGTAAATGTAAATCAAAATGTTTTTTCGCAACATGCTTGTCTAGGAACAATTGCGTGGTAAAGGCCTTAGGACAGCTGTGGCACGAGTAGTTTAATTCTGTATCCTTCTTTATCCTGTGAGTTCTCGCCATATGATTGTATTTTCCAGAACGTGTCTTGAACGACTTCTGACAAGTTGCACATTCATATTTATCAGCGCCTGTCTTATAATTGTGAACTTCCATCAAGTGTTTTTTTCGCAGTTCCCAGTTTGCGAAGCGTGGTTTATCTTTACAGTACACACACATATAGGGAGTGGATGTATGCTGGGTTTTAACGTGAATGTTCCTTTCCTCTAACGCGCAAAAAGTCGCTACACAACGGCTACAGCTATATTTATTCTCATGAGGAACTTTGGTGTGTGCAATCATGGCGGATTCAGTAATAAAACCTTCGCCACACGTATCGCAAACGTAATTTTGGAAATGTTCTGAGGTGTGCTTATTGAGAGAGACAAAATCTTTAAAAACATTTGGACACATTGTACACTTCCAAACTGAACCATCGTTAAGTCGGAATGGCAACACCCCTAATTGGGCGTCAGAGTTTATAGGCTGTTGGTGATCATTCATTAAATGATACGTCAAATTTTCAAAATTAGTTATGGGCATAAAGCATAACTTACACTGCAGATCTGTTATATCAATCTTAAGGAATTCTTTGCCTAATTTTTTATAGAACGCTGCCTGTACGTCATAGTTTTCATGTCTCGTCGCTACATGACTTCTAAGTATACTAGGATCATTGGATTGTACCCTACAGAACACGCAGTTAAAGTTACTTTTCCATGTCCTGAAGGGACAGGCCGTTGAACATTGCAATATGATCTCAGCATTACTTCTTGGCCTCATCACTTTACCATTGCGAGGTTTATACGCTGTCCTGAAACATTTAACCTGTCGCCTATGATCTCGTAAAGCATGATCCGATATAAAGGTCGTTCCGCACTTGTCACAGCTGAAGTTCATGAAATGTGATGCTATATGACGTTTGAATTGAACAAATTCTATATAAGTCCTTTGACAGTAAACGCAAACCCAATGATCGGATACATTTTGTTTGTAAGGCAACACACCAAATCGAGAATTGAATTTCACTGGTTTATTATGTTCTCTGGACAAATGACCCATTAAAGTATCAATATCCTGTATGCTTTCATTACAAATATTGCATTTCAAATTAGTTATATCAACTTTTATTAAATTATCTTTAGTTCTATAGAAAACGTTTTTAAAATCGGATGTTTTGTGTTCATTTTTCATATGATATCTGAGAGATGATAATGTATTGTATTCGTCATGACAATAGGCGCATAAAATTTGACTAAATCGCGTTTTAAACGGGTAAGCAGTCGAATGCCTTAAAATTAATTCTGCGTTACGACGCTGAGGAGTTTGATAAACGAGTACAATTTTCTTTTTCTCACTCTCATTCTCCCTACGTCCACGAATTTCCAATGTGTTTCCTAAAAACAAAAAAAGAAAATGGTCAATTTCACAACCATTACAACAAAACCTACATCTGTTCTTACGGACTTTTACATTCAAACAATCGCATTCTTTCTTACATTAATTCCTAAAAGCGCAGGGGCAAAACTAAAACATATCTTAATATCAATTTTTCTAAATAGCCGTGACTTCCGGATGGTGGGTTATCAAATGTCCTTTAAGACTAACTTTTTGTGAGAATTGTTTGTTGCAAATCGTACAAACGAATCTTTTAATTTCACTGTGTATCCACATATGCTGTTTTAACCCCTTCATTCTCGAGAACGTTTTCATACATATATCGCAACGGTAGGGTTTCTCCCCGGTGTGGCAGGATCTGTGCTCTTCTAACTGTGATTTTGTTGTGAATTTAAGTCCGCAACAAGAACACACGAAAGTCTCGTCGCTGTGGTTTAATTTGAAATGATTATAGAAATGTTTTCGACTGTCAAAGGTTTCCTCGCAGTCCGGACATGTAAACATTTTTTTTGGAGCACCGTGGACATCGACTAGATGCCTCTGTTTACTTTCCCAGGACTTAAATCTTTCTCCGCAACTAAGACAGATAAATCCCCAGCACGCCTTGGAATTCTTTACATGCTCCCTTTTCTTTTCAAGCGTGGGAAAATCTGTCCAACATTTTCTACATACATAGTTACCAGAATGACTGCAACGTATGTGGTATTTCAAAGCCTCGTAGGTCAAATAACTTCTACCACACACATCGCAGGTATATTTTTGGTAATGACAAGTAGTGTGTCTGCATAATTTAGTTAGGGATGCCATTTTTTTGTTGCATAGGAAACACGACCACCTATCAATGTCTATTTTATAGGGATGCATCCCGATGTCAAAATTCGTATCAATGTTATTGATCCCGTGATGATTACGAATATGAAGTGCTATTTCTTCTAAATTATTACACGGAGTTAAACATAATCGACATTTTAAATCGCTCAGATCCACTTTAAGATATTCCTTGCTTCTCCCGACGTGAGCAAAAGCGGTGCTTATTGTAAAAGATTCGTGCGTCCTATCCATGTGACTGCGATAGTCTTTTGGATCAGCGTATTCCTCGCAACAATAAACGCAAAGCATCAAGTTGCCCCGCGTTCTGAACGGATAAGCCGTTGAGTATTGCAACACAAGTTGAGCGTTCCGTTTTGCCATTTGCTTGCTACTGACTGGATCGGTAACTAGAAAAGAAAAAAAATCCCTTTTTGACTTCGCTTAGACTTGATCCGATCCATTGACGATTGATATATAAATATAAAAGTTAATCGTTTAAAACGATAATCGATATTAGAAAAGGAGCAACGTATTTGTTAGAAAAATATAAAAATTCGCTATAGGAGTTAGACAATGACATTTAAATTTAAATATATTATAAAATATATATTTATATTTCTTTTTAAATGTTAACTAAATCTGGATGATGGGTCTTCATGTGCGACTTGTAACTAACACGTTGATTAAACTGTTTATTGCATGGTGTGCATTTGAACCTTTTGTATTCACTGTGTATCCACATGTGTTGAGTTAAATTAGCTTTTCTCGGAAACGATTTGGTGCAAATGGGACAATTAAATAATTTTATCCCCGTATGGATAACCGTGTGCTGTTCTAGGTGCCTTTTTGTGGTGAACTTTCTACCACAATACGAGCAAACGAAATTAATTCCCGCGTGGATTGTTGCAAAATGATTTCTATAAGCGTTCCTGGTCAAGAATATTGTTGCGCATTCGGGACACTTGTGTGTCTTTTTTGCATGTCCGTGAACTTTCTCTAAATGCTGTTCTTTCATAGTCCATGTCATAAATCGTACACCACAAATAGAGCATTGATAAGCCCAACATTTTGATGAAGATTTAACATGTTCCCTTTTATCTACCAACGAATTAAACGTCTTTTTACACCTTCTGCATATCCTTTTGTTTGATATATGCGAAAATCTAATATGCTGTTGTAGAGAGCTGTTTGTAGTATAAGACTTCCCGCACTCTTCGCAAGTATAGTTCTGGTAATGGCATGTCATGTGACGACTAAGTTGACGGAGACAAGGGAAATTCCTATCACATATACCGCATAAAAGCTTTTCATCATCGAACTTAAAAGGTTGTATGCCAATGTGAAATTCAAATAGTATTTCAATATTATGGACATCGTTAATATGTTTCGCGACATCGTCTAACTTTTTAAATGCTTCCCAACAGATTCTGCACTTGAGGTCTGTGCAATCAGCTTTCAAGTATCCCTCATTGCAGTGCGCGAAAGCTGTTTCTACTTTAAAAGTCTGATGTTCATCGTGCATGTGAGATCTGAACTGTGCTGTGTCGGTGTACATTTCGCAGCAGTACACGCACATAAGCGAGTTCTCTGGCAACCTGAACGGGTAGGCTGTCGAGTATTTCACCACTACTTCGGCATTTCTTCTGGCGTGGGATAACGTGTCTAAAACAGACAAAATGCCATTCATGAATGCCTTGCGTGATAATTTAAATTTCAATTAACTATAATCCGGTTACTTTATTCTTCTCTATATTTTTATCACCTTATTTTCTTTGACCGTGTTTATAAGTTAGAGTCAAAATTCATGATTTTAATCAAGTACGAATAAATGAAAGTCACCAATATAATTAATTTTATATTAATGTAAACAAAATGTACATTTATTTTTATATAGACTATGTAACAAAACAACTCTCCTCGTTTAACAAAAAGATTAACTATAAATATCATCTTTCATTTTTATCGGATAAAATGCTCCATATAAATTATTGCCTTAACGAAAATTGTGTTGTCTTCATTTAAAAGTTTTACTTTACTAAAATTAACGATAATTTCACATCAACTGAACTGAACTGAATTTTATTATATTTTTATTCATCATTTCTTAAAGCAGTTAGCACCATTTTCGCATTATTGTTCTGCATTCCGTCATAATTAACTAAATCTGGATGGTAATATTTCATATGTGTTTTCCAACTGACTCTCTGATTGAACTGTTTATTGCACAATGTACAGCTAAATCTCTTCAGCTCGCTGTGAATCCACATATGTTGAACTAAATTCTTCTTTCTTGGAAACGATTTCGAACAAACTGGACAAGGGAATAATTTCTCTTTCGTATGGACGACTCTGTGATTCTCTAAATTTCTCTTAGTATCGAACTTAAGACCACAACATGTACAAACAAAATTGTCATCTGTGTGTAAAATTTTAAAATGGACACGAAATTTTTTTCTATCTGGGAAAACCTCCAAACATTCGGGGCAAACGTATGTCCTCTTTGGAGCGCCGTGTACCTCTGTTAGATGTGCTTGTTTTATGGTCCAACTGAGAAATCTTTCGCCACAAACGTTGCACAAATGCGACCAGCAGGACTTTGAGTCCTGTAAATGCTGGCGTTTCTCAGTTAAGGAACTAAATGTCTTTTTACACTTCCTACATATCCTTTCCTGACCCGTATGTGAGTAAGTTATGTGATGCTTCAGAGGAGTCATTGTGGCATAGGATTTTCCGCACGCCTCACATGTATATTTTAAGAAATGAGTCTGCGTATGTCTGCTTAGCTGTCTTAAGCATAGGGATTTGGCACGGCATATGGCGCAAATCAATTTATCCTTTTCCAATTTAAATGGTTGCATGCCAAGTTCGAACGAGAGATTTAAAGGTTGTTCATGTTTATGGAACAAGTGCTGGGCGACATCTTCTAGCGCATCGAATGGTTCAGAGCAGAGTCTACAGCGGAGTTCCGTGCAATCCACTTTGATGTAGCCTTCGCTACAATGAACGAACGCCATTCGGACATTGAAATTCTGATGCTCCTCTTCCATATGACGCCTATACATAGCGGGATCGCTATAGCTATCGCAGCAATACACACAAACCATGGAATCCTCTGGGAGCCTGAACGGGTACGCTGTTGAAAATCTCACGATAAACTCTGCGTTGCGCCTCGCCATGAAATGGGCATCATTTTTGTCTAGAACAAAAAGAAATGCCCTTGGTCATTCAATTGCTCGGTCTGCACCAAATCTAAGGTTTTAATTCCTTAATTCCTCTTGAACAGTTATGTCATATATATTCAGACTACATTTATATTCGACGACCCTTCTCATTGATTCGTTTCCATCGTTAATGTTACTTTTGAAATAAGCGGTACTTGTTATTTCTGAGATTGCCCATTGGATGGTGATGATATTGAAAATGTATATTTAATATTAAAATCATGAAATAAACCTGGTTAAGTATTAATACCTCATGAATGAATGATATTAACTGTGTTTTTGATATAGAGAAATAGTTATTTATGATGTATTTGTTTCTATGTACATAAAATTTCAAAGAAAACGAAATAAATATTTAAAATAAACTTTATTTTATAACCATAATTTATAATTGCCCTATTTGTATACCCGTTTGAAAAATAACTTTTGGGCCATATATAAAATGTATTAGAGCGATATTAACAAAATTTTTATTTAAAACAAGGAGATACAGAATAATGTTATGGCTAATATTTTATACGTTTTTCATAAAACTTATCATACATAGCGTATAACTTGGTTTTTGTATCATCAACTTTATATTGGCATTTACTTAAGTGGTTTTTCATTATTATATTTAGTCAAAAATCTACTAATTCCGGATGGTATGACTTCATATGTGTCTTCCAACTGACGCGCTGATTGAAACTCTTATTACATGAGGTGCATTCAAATCTTTTGTATTCGCTATGTATCCAACTGTGCTGGACCAAATTCTTCTTACGCGCGAATGACTTCCCGCAGTCTCCGCAATGAAAAGATTTCTCTTTTGTGTGCATTACTTTATGCTCCTCCAGGGCTTTCTTTCTATCGAACTTAAGACCACAATGAGAACAGCTATAATTATCATTCGTGTGAGCCAATATGAAATGGGCGCGGTACGGATGCCATTTGTCAAAGACTATCCCACATTCCGGACATGTATAGGATTTGGGTTTATGGCCGTGTTCTTTGGCCAAATGGTCAAGTTTTAGATTTCTAGACACAAATCTCTTGCCACATACGCTACAACTCTGTGGCCAACATCGCTCTGAGGATAAAACATGCTCTCTCCGTTCTTCACAAGTCGGGAACGTCTTCTTACATTTAATGCAGATTTTATACTTGCTATGCACAAACTGTATGTGACGTTGAAGATTTTCTTTATTTATGTACGATTTACCGCACGTCTCGCAAGTATATCTGTGATAGTGACAGCTCGTATGCCGACTAAGCTCTCTTAGGCTGGGCAGTTTTATATTACAAATCGCACAGACCCATCTCTCCGCACCCAGTTTAAACATCTGCATACCGACATCGTTTTTTAAATCCAAGTTCTTTTCGTGTATCTTAGATAGGTGTTCAGCTACAGCATCTATCGTGTTGAAGGGCTGCTCGCATATCCTACATGATAATTCCGTGCAATCTACTTTGAGAAACTCTGTACAGTTGTGTCCAGAGTGCGCGAACGCTGTGTTCACGTTGAATGAAGAGTGCTCCTGTTCCATATGCTGTCTGTATATCTTTGGATCGTCATACGCTTCACAGCAGTAGACGCAAACCATTGAATGACTCGGTATCCTAAACGGATACGCTGTCGAGTATTTCAAAACTACCTTCGCGTTGTTTCGGGCTGAGACTAAGCAATGCACTTCTAGAACAAACAGAAATAGGCTCCTATCACATTTTGTATTTGTTTTATTATTGTTACTTAATTTGTATTACATGACGTCTACGATACGAGGTTTAAAACCCAAAGGCATATATATTTTTCTTTTTAAATAATGTATTTAGTTTATCTGATATTACACGTAACTTTTGTTATAATAAAAGCTTGTAACATTGTAAATTTGTGAACTATGAAATCATTTATTTTAACAATAACCAGTTATAAACAGCTAGAAAAATTGAACTCAGACGATCCAAGCGACTTCTAAAAAAGAATAATCCAGGCACACATATAAGTGAAGAAGACTTGGTCTCACTTCCAATCACACCCAGCACACCTCGGAAAGCTAAAAAGACAAAGGAGGATACAGGTATGGCCCATTATGTATTTGATCAAACTGTACTTCAATCTACATTCCGTGGCGCTCAATTTTATGAGATGAAGAGGAATGATATACGAAGTATACTACTCCTACACGTCAAGCTCTTTGCTAATATTGGGATTATTTATTTTCAATAGAAAAATTAAAGCTCAAGGATATAGTAACTGTCAGTGGTGGCCTAGTGGTTAAAAGGCCCGCCTCTCATGCATGAGGACGCGGGTTCGATTCTGGCAAGTATCAATGTGATTTTTCAGAGTCATGTGTACTTTCTGAGAGTATTTAGACATCACTGATTAATGCATTCCCAAAGAGAGTTGATATCAGGCAGGCGGCCGGTCGTGAAAACAATTAGTCAAAACTATTCACAACATGTATTGCCAGGAAGAAGAAGAAGAAGAAGAGATATAGTCACTGTCTGTTTTTTATTAGATTCTTACAACTGGATGAGATTCATGGAATATTATATTTATCTCATATATAATATTGCTAACAGAACAAAATATACAAAGAAATTTTATTTATTTTGCAAATACATAAAGAAAACTGTTATAAACAGAAATAAGTCTCCTATTAACGTTCCGTCCACTTAACAAAGTATATATTACTAATCAATTAACCAATTTTCGTCAGGGTGAAGATATTTCATATGAAATTTAAGACGGATTTTTTGACTGAACTGGTTTCACTCAATATATTACATTCAAATATACTACAAATAAACTCTTCCTGGAAAGGTTCTTTAAACACACAGACATTGGAAACCTAAGTCTTAATATGAGCCAAGAGATGAACTGCTAGTGCTTTTTCAGTTGGGTATTTTTTATTACAAAACGAACTAGTAAAGGTGTTTTCAAAGTGCGTGGTTATAAAGTGTGTTTTATACGAGAACCATTTACCGAAGATCTTATCGCATTCAGAGCAAGAGTACGACTTGAGTGTATGCCCATGATCTTGCACTAAATGGTCGTTTTTAGCTTTACGTGTCGTAAAACGTTTGAAACAAACGTTGTACTTGTAGCGCCAACATTTCTCAGATGCAATGACGAACTAAAGTTCTTTCTACGGTAGTTTTAAAAAGCTTGTTACATTTGCATATCTTCTCTTCATTATTTACATTCTTTATGTGCTTATATAAATTATATTTATTGATATAAGATTTCCCGCAGGTTTCGTACGTGTATTTATGATAGTGGCTGTCCGTATGGCGACTCAGCTTACGTAAAGCTTGCAACCTCGTTTCACATAAAGCGCAAACCCAGAGCTCGGGACCGAGTTTGTACATCTGCATTTCAACTTCAAAGTTCGGATCGATATCAATTTCGTGATCATCGCGTAGGTCTATCGCAATCGAATTTATATTTGAAAATATTAATAGCAAATACGACATGACAAATCCCTACTAATATTATAAATGCGAAACTAACTCTGTCTGTCTGTCTGTTACGTTTCACGCCTAAACCACTGAACTGATTTTAATGAAATTTGGTACAGAGATAGAGTTGACCTTGAGAAAGAACATAGAATAGTTTTTATCCCAGATTTGAAAAGTTCTCTTGGAAACGCGATATAACCGAACTCCACGCGGGCGAAGCTGCGGCCGGAAAGCTAGTTCGGAATAGTTGTTGATAGAATTGGAGAATGCTGTCTCAACATTAAACGATGGATGCTCTTCATCTATATGATTCCTGTTTTCACTGGGATCATCATATGATCAAAGGACGCAAACAAGTGAAACAGTTGGTATCCTAAACGGGTACATGGTTGGGTTTTCCAAAACTAGTTTGGCGTTTTATTCCGAGCAATGACTACATATTCCACTTCTAAAACAAATAATATCCTTTCATAACATATCCTGTTAGAAAGTCAATCCTTTGGATTAAATTTTATGAAGATAACTTCATTACGCATACTTGATAGAAAATATTATAAACTATTTAGATAAAGACATATTAATAGAAATTTACGTTGATTTTATAGTTTTGATTTACGGTTTAATTAACGAATCCGTTATATTTTTGATATCTATAAAATTATCAACCTACCCCCGTAGTTTTCATCATGAAAATCATACCAATTTTTTTTTCCATAAATAATTAGTGGAAACTATTAAGAAAATTATGGTTCTTCCATAGAAGCTTTCTCATATTTAATTGATGAGGCTCAAATATATGAATACATGTAATGATATTTGGTTATATAATATAATTATTTCATGTTCATCACAAAAAAAAACTACTTTGAAAAATAAAAAATCAACCTTACTATGAACAAAATTAAATACAACAAAAACTTTTAGATATTTATTCAAATATAACAAAATACAATACTCTCAATTCCATAGGAACAAAACAAAACAAAAATATATGTCACGTACATTAAAGAGAAAGTAACTTTTGTATTACGATGCATGTTTTCCCATGTGACGATTTAGCCTAGAGGTGCAAGAGAATTTCAACCCACAGTGTATACATATAAGGCAATCTTTAGTGTGATATTTTTTGTAGTGATCATAGAATGAACGTCTATCAGAGTATTTTACGTCACAGTGGCTACAGACGTATGACTTCTTGCTCCTACCGTGAACTTGGACCAAGTGGCGCTGTTTCGTCTCCCAAGTGGGAAATCTTTCTGGGCATTCCATGCACACATGCGGCATGCAATGCTTAACTGTCCTTTGATGACATATCTTTTCCTTCAGCGAAGAAAACGTGGTCCGACATCGTCTGCAATGTACTTTATACTCGTCTTGATGCTTAGATTTCACGTGTTTTAACAGACCGGTGGCAGAAATGTAGCTCTTACCGCAAAGGTCGCATACAAAATTTTGAAAATGCGACACAGTGTGTTTGCTTAGCAGCAATAATGATGGTACGTTTTTGGAGCAGACGCTACATATCCATTCCTTGTCACCCTTTAACTCGAAAGGTATGACACCAATCTTCGATTCCATGTGTAAAGCTATCCTGTGATCCAGTTTAAGATGTGCAGCAACTTGTTCCAAACTTTCGAATGCTCTCGCGCATATCCTACAGTGTATCGTCGATATGTCTACTTTGACGAATTCAGCTTTCGTCAAATGCCTAAATGTTAAATCCAGGTGGAAGCTAGTATGCTCCTGTTCCATGTGAGACCTGAACAAATCAGTATCTTCAAAGGTTTCCCCGCAGTACACACACAATACAGTATTGATGTTGATTCGAAACGGAAGCGATGTTGTATATTTTATTATTAACTCGGCGTTCCGCCTTTCGGGGTCGTTATTAGCTAAAAAAAAGAAAACCTTAATGTAGTCCGCTACTTTATATATTTTGATTTTTGATTTATATATAACGTTATTTTCCCATGGTTAGTAACTCGCAAAGCTTTGGAAGATTCTGTTCTCCCGTTTCGTAATCACCAAAATCAGAATCAAGTGTTAAATTCGGAATGATAATTAGAATATCATAGCTGACATATTAGAGAAAATTTTTCGTAAAACTAATAAAAAGAAAGATCATAATATAATAAATTGTTTTAATAAGAGAAAAAATTACATCTATCATCATCGTAAATCTAAGTAACACAAATGAGATTCCCATATACTAATATCTAGGCCGTGTAGCTCACGTGAGTGGATAAATGTCTCTTGTAACGTGAACGACAAATGAATTTCATGCCGCAATGTTTGCAGACTACGCAATCTTTTGAATGTTTCAGTTTGAAATGTTGGTAGTAGGCGCTACCCTTGCTGAATGTTATATTGCAGTCGGCACAGCGATCTATACGTTTGCTCTGACCGTGCTCGGTCTCCATATGACGTTTACGAAGCTTCCAATCGTGGAATCTCTCCGGGCATTTGGAACAGCAGTAGGCCATGCAAGACTTTTCCGTCCTTCTATGCCTCTCCTTGGCCTCCATATTAGGGAAGACCTTACCGCATCGCCTGCACGATACCTTATACTCTTGATGCTTCGAGCGCACGTGACGAAGCAGACCCGTCGTCGCAACGTAGCTTTTACCACAAAAATGACAGACGTAACTCAAGAAATGCGTTATCGTGTGCCTGTTTAGATGGAATAGTGATGGGCAGTTCTTGCCGCAGACGACGCAATTAAAGAAATCCTTCCTCAGAACGTAAGGCATCACACCCAACCTGGCGTTCAGATCTATGGCCTCGTTGTGAGTACTTTTCAGATGTTCCGCTATAACTTCTAAACTGTCGAAGCGACCATCACAGAGCCTACACCTCAACTCCGTGAGGTCAGCCTTAATGAACTCTAACTTCGGTATATTATGGAAGGCTACTTTAACGTTGAACGTCGGATGCTCATCATCCATATGCCGTCTGAACAGTTCCGGATCATCGTACAGTTCCTGGCAGTAAACGCACACAATGCACTTATCATTCACTCTGAAGGGGTAAGCGGTTGTACATTTTATTATGGTACCGGCGTTGCCTCTCGCGGGATCAGACCATTCCTCTAAAACAAAAAAGACCGCTATACCGACTGCTTGCTAGCTATATTTTTTTTAAACGTCCCGAAACTAATTCCAATAACACCGTTCACCTAACACATAACGTCGAAACTTTATGCGAATTCAACAGCGTTCGTGCGAAAAGCATGTCTATTTGTAAATATCAATAGTATGGGATTCAATTAAATCCGACGTAATATAGAAATTAGAATATTTTTCTTAGAATATATTTAAAATCATCTAGCTATTTAGTGAAAGTGAAATGCTGGCCGAAATTTAAGTCTACTCCATCACAGACTTTCTTAAAAAATATTGGAGTAAAGTAAAATTACATTAAATTTCCTCCAGCAATTTAAAAATAAAATACAACAACAACTAAAGTATGGAAACATTGTCACCTCTTTGTTTAGTATTGTTCTAAAAATACATCTAACGCCAACTTACCTGTGGAAATGGAAATAACATTTACCCTAGGGTAACACGAGGAGAATTAGTGTACCCTTTGTCGGGTAAATGTTATTTCCACGGAAGTGAATATACAAAATGATATATAATATTATTGTATGAGGTCACAACATTTCCATACTCTAAAACCAGATCATGCAACAAACATTTGTCAGTTTTCCTGTTCTATATATGATACAAAAAATCATTTTTAACTGTTAAATTGAAGTAAAATTTAGAATAAGAGAAAAAGTACTCTCACACAAATATATGTATAAAATAATATCTAATATCTCAAACAAATATGTATATATAAATAAACAAAAAACGAAGAAAGATTACCTATTAAAAACATTGAAAAATGGGTATCTACTTTCAAGTCACATATGTTTATAAAAATATCTAACTCTTTATAATTTTTGCTATTATGGAACCAAAAGGCGAAAGATTTATACGCTTTGAAGGGAAACCAGAGTGCTATTATGGAACCAAAATAATGAAATAATTTAAAATAATGCCATTAACGTATAAAATTATTGGAATATTTCGATGTAATACGAAGATAGTTTTATTCCTAGGGTTTTGGAGTAATAATTGAGTATTCAGAATTAAATAGAATAGACAATCAAAACATTAATCTAGTAAGCCAGTACTCGTTGCTTTTTGTATTAATTCTATGTATACTATATGTTACATTATGCCTTCTTCTGCCTAGCAATTTCCCAGCTTTAGCCAGGGTCTGCCTCTTACATGTTGTGAATAGTTTTGGCTAATTGTTTTTACGACCGGCCGCCTGCCTGACATCAACCCTCTTTGGAAATAACTATATGTTACGATATGTATCTATTATAAAATTTTAAGATCTCATTGTTAGAACATATATTATTGCATTTAATTTTATTTAACATGATGAATAAATGAAAAGGCGTAGTTTCGAAAAAATTTAGAACAAATAGTAATTATATTCATTGATCATTAAAATCTTTCTTAATTTTAATTTAACACTATATATAGGATATATTAGTGCGTCCTTCATGTACTGGTTGGCTAAATCAAATAAAATATTAAGCCTTTAAATATTAAGGTATGTCTCGTTACTGCAAATTAATTAATTAGTTAACTCCCATTTAGGTATTGTTATAATGATTAAATATTGAACATAAGATAATTTCTTCTTGTATTTAATTTTTCACAGTAACCAATTATATATTATGTGGATAAATCTATTAAAACAATCCTAACGCTATAACTTAGAACTCAAAATATTATAATATCACATGGAGTAAAATAAAATAAAATATAGACAGAAAAGCTGACAATTATCTAAATCAATGATAAGTTTGCTCCCAAAAACAAATTCATATATGATTAAAAATGAGAACTTACTATGTTGGGCAAAAACAGAAATTACCCTTACCACGGCATAACTCATAATTACCCCGGCTTATAATGAAACATTTATTATTGCTTTGAAACAAAAATTACCCTTACCCCAACATAAGTCACAATTACCCCAGCTATAGTCTTTTAGAGCAAACCCTCAATGATTCTACTATATAATGTGGAAGCCTACCTTTCTTCTTCCTCGGTTCGGGTTTCACTTTGCTTGAACTAGCGACTTCCTTTTTCAATTTAGACTTTTTGGCCGGTGATGATTTTGATTTGCTCGATGATTTCCTCTTTTCAGTAACTTTGGCATTATCCAACAAGTCTAGTACATCAACGGATTCCTTTTTGGGTATTTTGCTTGCTAATTTAGTTAAAGGTTGGTCATCGACTGAAATAGGAGAAATAAATTAGTTGTTTATTGTAGAAACTTTTGGACAATACTTAAACTACAATGAGCGAAACTTCTCATCATTCAATATATTCACGTTGCAGGGAGAGGAGCTTCAACAGTGACTGTGACTTGCGACCCAGGTGTAGGTTTAAGGGACCCCTATCTAACGTGTTAAACGCTCACCTCCACAGTACAAGCTCCTCTCTTTAGCAAATTTGAAAAAACCTACTAGGGCTGCTTTCAGAGTACATTCCAAGAATGAATTGATATCATTTCTGGACAGGCCCAATTAAATATGTATATACATATTATGAACTATTCTAAGATATAAAATAATTGTACTCAAAATATTTTATCAGCAGTATCATATATAATATTTTTCTCAAATACCTCAAACATATGACTAGACAGTACTAATATTTTATGCTATGATTGAATATGTTTAAATTTAACAAAACTAGTATATTATTTGCACGTAACGGACTCCAACTCTCTTACAAATTATGAAAAAACAACATCATTATAAATTTAAAACATTTTCTTTTTCCTAATTATCCAAAACCATTACCCCTGAAAATATTTTAAGTAAGATGTTTACTCAAAATTACCCCAACTATATTTTTAGACAGTAAATCCTCTTATATACAAACGACATACCTACTGGCGTTTTATATAATTCATTCATAATGGCAATATGTGCTTACAATTTCATGAATAGCATTCATGTGTAACCAAATTTTAATACTCGTATTTAGATTATCATGCGTTTTTATTGATTCAAATAAATATGTAATAATGGGCAATAAATATAATAAAAATCTTATATATAATAATACTACTCTCTCTTTTTTATCTAAAACGCACTATATGTGCTATCTAAATATATATATATGTAATATATTTATTTATTTATTTTATAGGATCACCAACGGAAATGACAATAGTATTACAAATACATATTATATAATTAACAATTGAACACACTTGATAATTGTATTTCTTTTTATAGGTTATCACAGCATACACTAAATATATTAAACATTAGTAATTATCACAAGATTGTTTTCTTTGGATCAATTATATAATTAAAAAGAAATTGAATTATTTTACAGTTTTACAACATATATATCACAGTCAGTGTATACTTACGATCATCATCGTCATCATCATCATCAACAAACTCCGGGGCAACAAACTCATCATCACTCATCAACTTTTCATCCTTGACACGCTCAATCTTAACTTCCTTCTCCAGTCCCAAGTCCACTGTAAAAATAATATTACTTAGTACTTTTCATTTTTAATGTATCCAACAAGACAAGATAATTTATGTAAACATAGATTTCTTCTATGAACAAAATGTATTCAATGGTTTTCTGTGCACATTATTATTTAGAATATAGATCTATCCTTACTATATAATACCAATATTTATAAAAGCAATAAACGTTTTATATGCCAGACTTAGTAATTTAATATAATTTAGAAAAAAATATACACAAGTCCTGACTATAAAATATATTTTTTTCATATGTTTTGCATACTGTTATGTATTTTAACCCTTAAATTCGCCTTGTTGCATATCTGCAACGAACCGAAAATTAAAATAATTTGATAAGTTAATGTACACGTTTCTGAACGTATTCTGCCATAGATTATAGAAAAGGTTATGAACGTTTTGACATTTAACGTGACGGTTCATTTTCAAAAATTTAAACTTCATAATTTTTTAATTTAAAAATCGCGGGAGCGCGAATTTGTAAAAAGTAATTTGTGTGTAGTGTTATGTCGTTTTTTATGCGAATTTCGAAGGTAAGTGTCTTTTGTTTTTTTTATATTTCACTAATATAACTAATCAAAAAGACCAGAAAATAATAATTTTCCATATATTCAAAAGTTTGATAAGTTTTTTTTCAAACAAACTGTTTGTGTCGTATGTGCAACATTGCGCATTTACGTTCAAAGAAATTTGAATTTTTACTTGATCAGTAGTGATGTATTTAGAAAAATTTACCTAATTTTGTTTGCCTTTTTACAGCATGCCGAGATTGCTGAATAACTGAGACATCGAAGAATATCTGCAAACTCTGGACCTGTCCGAGGATGACTTGGAATTATCAGAAGAAGAAGAGCAAGATGAAGAAGTTTACTATGAGAATAATCGCCAGTTATTAGCGGATTTAGAATATTGTGATGAAGATTTGGGACCTACTGGTAATACCGTTGTGCGTCTAACTCGGATTGTTCCAAGACGTGTCAACCACATTATTTATTTCGACAACTATTACACATCGGTGCCATTGCTCACTTACTTTGCAAAAGAAGGAATATATTGCTTAGGAAGTATACAGGTGAATCGCATACCTAATAACAAGCTTCCGGATAAGAAAACTCTGATGAAACGAACAGTACCAAGAGGATACTATGAGGAACAGGTTGCCAATGTAGATGGTATCGACATTAGCGCTGTTTTATGGAAAGACAACAAGCCTGTGACTTTGATGTCAACCTACACTGGAGCCTTGCCTGTGACTACAATTATGAGGTATGATAAAACGACGAAACAGCGGATTCCAATATATTGCCCCAATGTGATAAAGGACTACAACACCCACATGGGAGGATCGGATCTCCTTGATAGTTTTATCGGAAGGTACCATGTTACTCGCAAAAGCAGAACGTGGACAAATCGCTTCTTTTTCCATCTTCTGGACGTTACAGTCGTAAATTCGTGGCTATTGTACAAGAAATCTCTGAAACTGAACAAATCTTCCATAAAACCATTGAATCTGTGCAATTACAGACTTGAGCTGGCTCATACCTTATGCAATCTTGGCCAAAAAGGGAATGGTACCAAAAGGGGTCGCCCAAGCAGTTCATCTTTAGAAGCTGAATTTCAACTAAAAAAGAAGTGTGGACCAGCTCAAACTATGCCTCCGAAAGATATCCGACAAGACACAATATATCACTGACAAAAATTGGGGGATCAGGCCAGATGTAAATACCCTAATTGTAAAGGATATACATTCAGTTATTGTGAAAAATGTAGAGTAAACTTATGTTACAACAGACAATAATTGTTTTTATTAATTTCACCGTGAATAAAAAAGAACTTTGAATTTGTATCTATTTTGAGTTTGTTGTTGATGACCTCATTCTTTCCATACATAGCATAATTCGATGACTGCGCACTGTTGCACATATGCAACATACACTTTTTTGTATTTTTAGTAGCTTTATATCAATACTATATATTTTTAACCATTTTTCCTTTGCTCTATAGATCCTAATATGATTAGAATAATATATTTATAAACGATTACAAAATTCGCGCATTTAAGGGTTAATAACCCATATTAACGCAACCATAGACAAATAACATACATAACACATAAATATAGTGATTTATTATGTACAAGACTAACAAACTCTTCCACACTTCTAAAGACAACTGAATAAAAGAAATTTGCAATTGACATTATTTTAAAATTATTTAATTAGTTCAATTTTGTGTTCAAAAACAGTGTATCATATAATTTCATGAAAAAACAATATTGGCGAAAACTTGACAGTTATCAAATAAAAATAGCATTTCCAAAGAAATCATGCAATAATCACTATATTAGTTAGATAGAAGTTAGAACACTTAAAAAATGTCTCGTTACTTTTATCTAAACATATATCTTACTATACATATAATACTCGAGACTTATATCGGCTCAATCTATGCAAATTTCAAAAGTTTCATCACAAATGGTCCATCCCGATGACCAACTCACCATCAATATCCGTAGCCACTGGGTCCAAGTACTGTGTGAAGCTCCGTTCACACTCGGTGACTTGACGCTTGAAGTCCGCAGCATCTCTTAACCGAGATATGCAAGGCTCGCAGATCAAACGACTATTGCTGTTCGGCCCACCGGATTGTGAGTAGGAAATCTATTTGATGAAATAGACCAATATCAGAATCAGTTTGTTTTGGGTCCCTTATATTTAATATTCCTGCTTTAAATGCCCTTTTGCAGCGGTAAATAATATATGATAATGGATGTTTAAGACTATTGTGACGTTTATTCATTTAAATGAATTTATAATATATATATGTATGTAGTTTTTGCCCGGTTTGCCTAGTTTTTGCCCGAGAGTTCGTCCGCGTTAATTTCGTCATTAGTAATATATGTATAGCTGACCGGGCGAACTCTATTCAATCTTAGAGGCCATAAACAAATTTTTCCTGTTTTAATCGAACAGAATGATTGAAATATTAATTAGTTTTCAAATCTAACAGCAATTCATTTTTATATATGTATATAGAAGATACTATGGATTTATATTTGAAGCAAAAATTTTATTAGCCTCCATCTATCTATCACATGTTGCATTACAAATAAAGAGAGTGGGAAAGTGAGAAATACTTGACAGAAGCTAAGATTAATATGATATCTGACTCTGTTGAATTAAAATTCTGTCATTTGTGCAAATTTCTCCATAGAATTTATGATTAATTAAATATTCTACTTAATTATAATAATTATTGTCAAAATTGTCATCCAATTAATTTATTTGGTTTGTATTTGTATGTTGTTGTTTTACTATTATTGTTAATCCTTGTAATTTTTAACCTTAATTTACTAACAATTAATTATTAATTTATCTTTGCAAGTAGTATTCACCTTAATAGGCAATGAATTTAGTTTTAAGTTGTATAAAAATTGTATATTTTTTTATGTATTGATGTATTTACCTCTGGTGAATCTTAAATAAATAAATAAAAAAGAATAATTCTAAATATTTTTATTAAATTCCTAATAGATGAAAAATTAACAAACTTCTCAAGCGTAATGGCTACATAGCAGCAAGATAAAGAAATAATATCTTTGCTATTACTTAAAATTAATATAATTTCTACAGCCAAAGAATGATTCTTATCATAAATACTTTATGCTTAATCTTAAATAATTGTATTTTAATTATAAACACAAATATTTGAGTATGTATTGATTTTTATAGCATTTTCCTATCAAAAATACTTGATTGGTTTTGATAAAACATTATAGTTATGAAGTTATATATGGGAATAAGATATTGTATGATAATTTAAGTTGGAATCCTGTATTTTTTTTAAAGCTATATGGGGCAAGTTGTTTATACAATATATGTATGTGGTACCCAACTGGTTGAAACACCTTAATTTTCTATCACATTACTTCTTACTCCATACAACTATTTTCAGGTAATTCTACAGGAAATAAACAGAAAGATGCTTTAAATTATATCCCATGTTCTTTTCTTAAGTCAAAACTACATAACTGTTGAGGTTCATAAAAATCTGTTAAGTGACTTCTTTGTGAAACATATCTACACATGCTCACAAAATTTCAATTTTATTTTATATAATAATTAAATAGATTACAACAAGGTCATAATAGTGAATATCTAGCATTTCACAGCTCGTGGCTCTTGATTATTGTATAAATAAATTGAGATTCCAATCACTTCAGATCATGACCAAAACGAAAATATTTTAATGCAGTAATAATACATTATTTTTAAGAAACTTAATATAATTATCTGTTACTTTTTGGTGTATAATTTTATCTTATATAAACATGGTCTTTGAAATTATTTGAATACAAAGTGCAGTTATATAAATGAATACTTATTTTAAGATATTTTAATAATTTTAATGTATTAAAAAATCATGTTTGTGAGAGGGTACTGAACTCGCGTGAAATGTTTAGAAGCTAAGTCTATTCTTCTTCTTCTAACTGGCATTTTCCCAGCTTTAGCCAGGGTCTGCGTTACATGTTGTGAATAGTTTTGGCTAATTGTTTTTACGACCGGCCGCCTGAGTGACATCAACCCTCTTTGGGAATAAGCATTCCCATTATTTGAATTAAATATCGCTTATGCTCTTCGTATTAGATCTTGAAGATGTGCATACAATAATTAAGATAAAATATTTCATTCATAGGGCGTAACAAAACCATGGTATCCCGTCTGCTACAAAGGTAATTTATTATTTTTTGTTTATATACATATAATAATAGTTTATTATTGTCATAATATTACGACTCTCATAAGTACGTAAATTAATAAATATTTAGATACAAATCACGATGTTTCGTAAAAGCCGTGGATTCAAAAATTATTGATTATATAACGCAACCAAATCAAAAGGCACCGAAGGTTTCGGCAGTGCTTATAAAATATCGCATCCCTAATTCGGCCGGTTTATATTAAGGCAATAGTCTAAAATGGACGCCATTTTAGACTACATACAAAAGAAAACAAACTCACATTCAAATCGAAAGTTTCTAAAAGCATTTCCGCGTAAACTTCCCGCTTTCCCATCCAGAAATATTCCGTTGAAATGTCCTTATAACATCCTTCGGCAAGGCAACATCTGCACACAGTTGGCCCCGGTCGCCATTCAGTTGTTTTAGCTTCCATTTCTCCCACAAATATCACTTTTCACATATAATATAACTTACATAATACCATATCTAAACTATAATACACTTAGTTCATGTTTAATTTACAACATCGTGATTAAAACAGCGTAGCAACGCCATCCAGCCTTTGTAAAAGCAGACTGAGAAGTACGATGTGTGATCTCTAAAGCGTCAAGCGTCTTGGAATAGTGATGCTCCGGTCAGAAAGTTAAAATCGATATTATAGGCTAAAACAAAAAAAATTCAAAACACTGTAATAAGGATTGACTTGGTGACTTAGTTATGTTACTATATCTGAATTAAAATACAGTTTTATTTATACTATAGGATTATATTTTAAAAATCATAGCTTAAAGTCATCTAAAGTTTGAACGAGACTAAATTTTATTTGCTAAGAAAATCGAAATAATATACATAATCGATATTATGAGATATCTATATCGGGCAGTACTAGAATGTCAATAAACAAACAGTACCGTCGTCCTTGACATTGGTAGATAGTTATTTGATAATAAATATTAATATTTGTTACTATATAATAAGATGTTTAATTTTTTAATTTATATATTTTTTTCTTTTAGATGCTGTATTCTTTAATATATATCTTATTAAATAAGTTTTTTCTTCTATTCGACAATCTCCTTCGTGTTTTGTCCAAACAGAATTCAAGATTATAATTCGTCCAACAAATAAAAACGTTGAAATAGGCAAAATATTCCACGATTCCAGTAAGAATGAAGCCATAGCATTAAAAAAAATGTTTTATTTGAGTTAAGTAAATTTATGTTTTTCGTAAGGGCCCATTTTGTGGAGCTATAAAACTAGCTTTTGCCGCGGCTTCGTCCGCGTGGAATAGTTACTTCCGACAGATTTTTGGTTCTTCCCACATAGTTCCCGTTCTTGCGGGGTTTTCGGAATGGTCGATTTCCTTTAGAATTTTCAGGATGAAACCTATGTTTTTTTAAATTAATAATGAAGTACTCTTAACCAACAACATATTTATTTGTTTATATGAATAAAAATTAATATTATTATTTTGATATAACTTAAACAAATTATTTCGACTAAATTAGGTGAAATAAAAACGGTTTTTGTGAGTTAATCTTAAAAGATAGACATATACTGTCGCGGACTGTTTTTTAGATTATTAAAAGAGCTATTATTCTTTAAGACATATTTTTTGTGTATCTTGAACCGTTTTCACGGCACACGCAACGGAAGGCTTCAAAGATGAAATAATTTCTCCCGTTTTTTACACATTTACCACTATATCTTTGCTCCTATTGGTCGTAGCGTGATTATATAGACCACAGCCTTCCTCGATAACTGAACTATCCAACATAAAAATAATTATTCAATTCGAACCAGTAGTTTCGGAGATTAGCGCTTTCAAACAAACAAACAAACTCTTCAGCTTTATAATATTAGTATAGATAAATTAATAGTTTGACAAGAAAAAAAAAAATATTACTTCATCTTTATTTTTAAATTACCATTTTAATATTTATTTTCTAAACATACAAAAACGTATAAAAATTAAAATTCTAATTATAGTCAAAAAGTTTCAGCGCTTTAATACATTAATATCTCGTGCGCTTCGGCGAGTGCACGAGGACTGCTTATACATTTTGTATGAGACACGCATTAATACGCCTGACGCGTGAAACAAAAGATAGTTCATAGAAATGTACCGAGTAACGAGTCGGTTCTCGAGCGCCGCACGAGCGGCCGAAGATTACCGAGAGCACCCGATATATGACAAATTGGAATTGAAAAGAATCAAAACTTTTCTCCGAAATACCATGCACTTGCAAAATGCACTTTCTGTGCTTAGTATTGAAAAAAATAATTATACAAACAATATCCGATTTTTATAAGAATTTGATTGAATATTTCGCTTCAGAAAAATGTCGTCGCATTGATTTAATGTATAATAAATAAACATAGTTTATGTCAATTGGTTTTTTGTTACATTTTCTAATTTAATATTTTACTAAAGTGCACCACCAGTTCGATAACCCACCAGCCGCCACTGCATCCAATATATTTTTTCCGAAAAAATCGTGTCGGGCTATTAATAGAATATTTAAAGAATATTTTCTCATCCTTGAAAATAAAATTCATTTGTATACATAATATTTTTTATTTATTATGTTAACATAGATGTTGTATGTCCAAAAACACAATTATACAGGGTGACTGGTGAATTACTATCAATATTTAAGGAGCATACTCAGTACATGATTCTCATTCGAATTATGTAAAAAAAATAGGTACTTAATTTTTGACCAAATTTCCGTATAAATTAATAAAGTGTGTACATGTTCCAAGTGTTCCAAGTGTGGACGCGTGCGGCGGCGTGCTGATACAACAACACGCCGCCGCGCGTGAGTGTGTGTGTGTGTGTGTGTGTGTGTGTGTGTGTGTGTGTGTGTGTGTGTGTATACCTAATCTGTAGGGTGTTCATACGATGCGTAATTAATTACATAACTTTTGGTTAACTTTACTTAGAAGTTTATTAATATTTATGTTATATTAATTTTTATTTTGTCATATATGATCATCAAATATCACGTCCTCAAATATCGATAGTAATTCACCAGTCACCCTGTATATCAGAGCTTATGAGAACGTTTATATTAAATGTATATATGCGTATGTAATGAAATATTTGTTTTATATAAAGGTCAAATATTTATCAAAATTTTATTAAGTTTTTTTCGAAAATTCCAATAGTTATGTCGCACATTGTTATATATTTTATCCACTGAATGAATCTTATCATTTTATACAAGAAATATATTATTCTAACATTTCAATTACGAAAAATATAAAACTATAGAACTAAAAAGCTTAAAACAACACAATACGAACATTTTAATTCTACGTACTTTTTACTTTTTAAGTTTAAATCTCATTAAGCACCCCCAATTTCAAGTTTTAAAGTAAAACTTCTTTACGCACGCTTGGGGGTAAGATTATGAAAGCGTTACGAAAAATGTGATCGGGCGAGGCGAACGAAATTGAGAGGGAGGTATAAGTTAGTGAAGATAGAAAGTGTTGCTGAATGGATAAACAGGCGGTTGAATGGGTGGTAATTGTGTTTCAGAAAGAAAAAATAGATGAACTATATGAAACTAATATTTTCGGATGTACTACGCGATTTTTTATTTTCATCAAAAACCACATACTCCCGACGTTTCAGTTACTTTACAGCAACCGTGATCACGGACAGACGAGATGTCAGCCGAAATAAATTTGTTTCATTTAAATAAATACTCGCGAAAATCTTAGTTCTCTTAGATTCAATTATTTAATTTGTTATATGTATGTGTATAAATAAAGATATTAGTAAATAAAGGTACTATTATAATTACCCTGCAATATTTGCAACAGATTAAAGGACTGAGAAAAGACTCGTAAATTACTGTAGGAGCAAAGGAGAGAGCAGTGCGGAATTTTCTTTCACGCTTCCTTTCATAGCGAGTGCATGAACTATATATATTTATATCTCAGTAAGTAGTTCGTTTTTAGTTTTCTCTAGATATCTTTCTAACATAATGTATCTTTCTAAACATAATATGTATCTTATTTCTCATATCATATGGCTGTTTCTGTCTTACAATCAACGCAGTAATTACTGATGTATCCGATGATGAATAAAATGAAAAGAATGAATGAAAAGAACTATCTATTAAAAAATAATAATTTATCAATGATAACCCGTAATGAATTTGTACAAAATCAATGTGTACATACATGACGTGTATATGTATGCGTGGAGTTCGGTTATATCGCGTTTCCAAGATTACCTTTCAAAAGTCTTGGATAGAAACTATCCTATGTTCTTTCTCAAGGTCATCTCTATGTCTGTAACAAATTTCATTAAAATCAGTCCAGTGGTTTAGGCTAAAAACGTAACAGACAGACAGACAGAGTTACTTTCGCATTTATAATATTAGTAGGGATGCATAAAAATATTAAGAGAAAGAAGTTTTACTTCAGTCGTGTGGTCTAAAGTACACTGATTTTAATTTTTACTGATGTTTATCTAACTAGATTCAAATATGATATTATTAACAAAATATAAATCGATTTAAACATCGATTCCAGCTTCATATTAATTTAAATAGGGCAACCATCGTCTAACAGATGTCAAACTCTAAAAATACATTTCAAAATATTTAAGTTTTATTTGTAATATGTATATTTATTGAATGTGTAGTTATTAGTTAATAAAATGTACATTATCACACGAAAGGGCCCTATTTACGACCCGGGTTTGTGTAGATGTTGTGGTGGAATAAAGAAATGTCGCTTACTGAACGTGGAATACGAATGGCAGGGTCGTAAAGAAATTTATTCAGATTTATTTGTCGATTGTTTTGGACTATTGGTTTGTACTTATATTATTAGAAATTATTTTCTCATATAAAATATATATTAAACTTCATATAAAAACTCTTTTGATTTAATATCAAACTGTAAGGCTGTATGCGTAAAGTAGTTGCTTATTCTACCTTAAAATAGATACTCAGCTGTATATAAAATACCTTGTCCCTTATTGTTATATAAAAAAAATGCCTTTTGTTTTATTTTCGTGCGTTAATTATAATATAATAACTTTTTTTATAGCTATCACATTTGGATGGAGAGGCGGTAGAGCGTTTAATCTGCGCCACTTGCGTCTCCCGGCTCAGAGAGGCGACTTTATTCCGGGAACAGGTGCTGCAATGTGAAGAGAGACTGTTACGAACCAAGCTACAAAGTGAAGGTACGCTGTTTATGAACTCATTTAAATATTATTTAATATTAATATGCTAATGGAATTTTCTTAACTTTTTGTCTGTCCTATTTAATACTATCAAAATATTGAAACATTCAAAGAAATCACTTACACAGTGTTACGACTTCTTTTATGTATTTTATATACTCTTTTGTCTATGGCATCATTACTATTTACTACACATTTTTAATTTTATTGAATTTTACATACACAGAACCTATATTATAATTGAACTCACTTTTTTGGTATTAAGTATATATAAAACTTTCTATACATGCCAATATGAAGACAGTTTTCTCATGGTTGTATTAAATAAAACTATATAATACATAATATATTGTTGAGCATCAAGACTGAATGACGGAACCTAATATAATGGTGTAGTCCGTTAGACTTAAGCTGAGCTTTGAATTTGTGTGAGGGAAAGTAAAAGTAGAGTTAGACTAAAAACATTTAGAATTAAATTGTATTATATTTTAAATAAATACATAACATAAGTGCGAGAACCATTCTAGATTAAAAATAAAATAAGCAAAACTTGTAAAGTCCAGATGGAAATATTGTGGAAAAAAAAATATTAAGTAATAAAAATTTTGAAGAAACTACAAATTCTTCTTCACTTGACATTGCGTTTTCAACATTTGACGTTGCTACCAGTACAAAGGTTGAAGTGCGGAAGGTGCGGGGCGGAGTAAAAGAAGAATAAACCGGTTCAAAACTAGAAAAGAACGTTTCACTCCAAAATTTGACATCACACCTACACTATCCGTGTGCACTCACACAAATGTAAAGCTCAGCTTAAATCAAACGCACTATACCTATATTATACTTGACATCATATTATTTAACAATACCAAGCAAGTATACACAACAATAACTAAATTAAAAGAAATCTTTTTCTATAGTAATAAATATATTGTGTACATCTCCAGGCGACAATGACTTGGATGCTGTGAAAATAGAAGATGATATTAAGACAGAATGTCTGATGATGTCCAATGAAGATATAAACGATCATAATGATGGTGAGAAGAGAATTTTAATGATACTATAGAAGTTTTGAAATGTCTGTTGTATATCTGTAAACAAAAAAGTAAAAGTAAACAAAAAGCAAACAAAAAAGTGTACATATATATATTTGACTGTTTTGTATGATATTAAGACTTTTTTATTAAAGCAGCTGATTTAAAAACATTTGGCTCATTAAACCATTTTGTATGTATATGCATACTAGCTTTCCGCCCGCGTCGAGTTCGGTTATATCGCCTTTCCAAGAGAACTTTTCAAAAGTCTGGCATAAAAAACTAACCTATGTTCTTTCTCAAGGCCAACTCAATGTCTGTACCAAATTTCATTAAAATCAGTTCAGTGGTTTAGGCGTGAAAGCGTAACAGACAGACAGAGTTACTTTCGCATTTATAATGTTAGTAGGGATTTATATATATTCTTCTAGTAAACATTACATAAATATATTTTCAGTTATAGACGATATTAAGCCTGAAACTAAAAAAAGAAAATCCGTGAAGCAGAAGATAAAGAAGAGAAGAATTGAGAACGATTGTGATTTGAGGGAAGAAGATTTATACAATAGCAGAAGAATTAGCGAGAGATTGAAAGAACTTGAAAGTGTTGGTAAGTTTAAATTGTGGAGGGAAATAAGAAAACCGATACCTTCCACATAAGTTGTTGTATGCCACAAAATGCTAATTTGCTTTTATTCTGAAAAATATCCTATTATGGATCATTATATCCATTCAAAGTAAAAGAACAACAAAAACACTATTTTTAAAGGATTTGTCAGACGCATACCTAATGTTGTAACTTTCAAATTTTAGAGTTTTTGATTTAATTTGAAGCTTTGAAACGCTTTACTGTAAAAATATAGTTTTGGAGATACAACAATTTATGTGGGAGGTATCGATATATTTGTATATACTACTTTCTGAAGCATTTCAAGGCTTAGGGCTAAAGCTTTTTTACGTTTTACGTCCTAATCTCTAAATTTAACTAAAAAGTGAGATATATAATATTATAGTTCTTTTTTTTTTTTTGTACTATCATTTTTTACATAATATTTCTTCATGAGTCTATCTTTCAGAGATTAACTTTTAGACCCATTTTTCATAGTTTTGAACCTATGTTACTAAATTCGTTTATTCCTCGTTGTGTATTATGTTAAATATTGATATATAATATCGAAGAAATACCAAAAATACAGTATTTTCACTGAATTGACACAGAATTAATTTCATTTTCGTGTTTATATTGAATTTACTAACAAAACCTACAAAATGCATCAAAAATCCATTCGCTAATATCACTTGGTCTTTGATTACAGATCTACCAGAATCGACGCAAGCTCGCAACGAAATCAAAATGGATGATTCCAAAACTTATACAAATATCGTTACAATAGTTGAAAATTCGTACGCATGTCCATTCGAGACTTCCTTCAGCGATTATTTCTGTGTGTATTGCAGACATCTATTTACAGATCCTAATAAATTAAGAGAACACACTCTTAGTCATGATCCGCTAACCTTCAAGGAAATTCTGTCAAATAGTCCCAACAACAAAAAAGTCCAAATAGACATATTTAGGATAGACTGCAGGCTGTGCCCACAAGTTATAAACAATTTGGAAACACTAAAAGATCATTTGAGCAACTCTCATCAGATAAATTTAAATTTAGTGTCAAATGAGTTCCTAAAATTTAGACTAACATCCGGTTCGATTGCGTGTCTAGAGTGCAACAATACTTTCAGCTTTTTCCACGCGTTAAAGAAGCATATGGCTGAGCATTTCGGTACGTGCATATGCGATGTATGCGGCGCGCATTATTTCGAAGAGCGCATGCTCGTTTTGCACCAGAAAACGCACCAAAAGAGCGAAGAATGCTTCACATGTAAAGACTGCGGGAAGAAATTCAAATCGAAATACTCGAGATACATCCATATTGCGAGATTGCATAAGAAAGAAGCTGCGTATCAATGCAGCAAGTGTGATGAAGTCTTCTTCTCATATACATTGAGATATAGACACATGATAGATACTCACGGCGAAGAAAGGACATTTCAATGCGAGCAATGTGATCGAGCTTACGACAGCAGGAAGTCTTTACGCGAGCACAATAGACGTTTCCACCTAAAAATCCTCAAGCATCAGTGCGAATTATGTGATAAAAGATTCTATTTACCCTCCAGACTAAAAGAACATATGGCTAGCCATACTGGGGAAAGAAATTTTCGTTGTGAGTACTGCGGAAAAAGCTACCCGCGGCTTCGAGGTCTGAAGGTCCACATGCAATCACACAGTAGCGACAAGAAATATAAATGCGTTATGTGCAATGCGTCATTCGCACAGAACGTGAATCTAAAGAATCACATCAAGAGGCAACACCAAAGCTTGGACATAGAATACCACGACTGAATACTGATAGAAAGTTCCTTTATAAAGAAACTAGCTTTCCGCCCGCAGCTTCCCCCGCATGGAGTTCGGTTATATCGCGTTTCCAAGAGAACCTTTCAAAAGTCTGGGATAAAAACTATCCTATGTTCTTTCTCTACGTCAACTCTGTCTGTACCAAATTTCATTAAAATCAGTTCTGTGGTTTAGGATTGAAAGTGTAACAGACAGACAGAGTTACTTTCGCATTTATAATATTAGTAGGGATTACACGTAAAAAAGTTCACAAAGTATTTTGGTATCCAAAAATAAAATATATGTGTATAATCTGAGATGAGTGAAGGGCATACAAAATTATAAAATAACTATAAATCAGATATATGTATAACCAAATGTATGGTTTTCGCGAGTATTCATTTAAATGAAACTAATATTTTCGGATTATTATTATTTTATTTTTCTGCAGACGAGATGCCCGTGATCATTTATGCAAAGTAACCGAAACGTCGGGAGTATGTAGTTCAAATAATAAGACTTAAAAATACTACGAGTATACTAAAATATTAGTTTCATTTAAATGAATGCTCGAGAAAGTCTTAGAAATCATTATGGAAGAATTCCTGTATGAAATAATATACCTAAAATTAACAAAAAGTATTTGGTATTCTCAAATAAAATATTATATGCAAAATCAATCTGAGATTGAGTGAAGGGAAGACCAAAATTATAAAAATCACTACTAAATCACATAATCGCGATTTAACTTACTCAAAAAGACGATGAAATTTCAAAGAAGCTATTTCAAAGAAGCTATGCGTCTTATCTGTTGCTTATAAAAGAGCTTGAAAATTTTAATTCTGTTTTTTTTTTTGGGATCTGTGCAAAAAAATTTTGTTCACCACTATTTTTATCATATACAGGGTGACTGGTGAATTACTATCGATATTTGAGGACGTGATATTTGACGATCATATATGACAAAATAAAAAATAATATAACATAAATATTAATAAACTTCTAAGTAAAGTTAACCAAAAGTTATCTAATTAATTACGCATCGTATGAACACCCTACAGATTAGGTATACACTGACACTCACACATACGCGTGTCGTGACGTAGTGTTGTATCAGCACGCCGCCGCACGCGTCCACACTTGAACACTTGGAACGTGTCAACACTTTACTTATTTATACGGAAATTTTGTCAAAAATTAAGTGCCTATTTTTTTTATATAATTCGAATGAGAATCATGTACCGAGTATTCTCCTTAAATATTGATAGTAATTCACCAGTCACCCTGTATACTACAAACGCTTGGAAGTCGATGAGGTAGGCCTATATCCAGCTGTGGAACTCACATGACTGAAGTCTCTTCTACCTGGCAATTTCCCAGCTTTAGCCAGGGTCTGCCTTACATGTTGTGAGTAGTTTTGGATTGTTTTTACGACCGGCCGCCTGCCTAACCTCAACCCTCTTTGGAAAAATGGCTGACGTATTAGTTCAAAATAGCATAATATTGCAAATTATGGCCTATTTTATCGAAAAAAGTATTATAAGTAAATTATATAACAGGTCGCGTTTAGAAATATGTAAATAATGTACTATAATTCATATTCAATAAGATTTGATGATTCCTATTTATTATCTATAAAAATAAATTGTAAAAATTTTAAAAGGTTTTTATTTTGTCCAAACCTCTCCTTACATTTTATTGTTACTTTAAAACGATCACATTGATCTATCTTTAAATGAGCAATTCTTGTATATAATTGGAATCACGGAATCGGCTCTAACGATTTTCATGAAATGTAATATATAAAAGGTTTGGGGGCGATAAATTAATGTAGCTAGGAATCATTTTTAGAAAATGTCATTAGGTATATGAAAAAAATAAAAAGCCATTTAAAATATGTCTCTTCCTGACGTCTATTGGCGAATAGTAATACTACTTTTTGCTAATTGCTTTAACGACACAACAGCAGATGGCGTTGTTAAATAACAGGAAGTCAATGAGTGTTTGTTTTCAAGTTAGACTAATAAGAGTTGTTGATTTATATTGTTTTGTGTCTTCTTAACGTGTTCACTTAAAAAATCCTTAATGAAATAATATTATTGTCATAAAAATACACTCAAATTATATTACAATCAATTAAAAGAGATAATAATCGATATCATTATTTTGTCTTTTCCTTCTATTCATTCTCTTACGCCTAATTTACATTAAAAGAAAACATTGAACAACAACAAACTTATTCTTTAAAAAAAAACATAATGATGAGTCAATTAATAAATAATTTTTCTAATGATTAAAGTATCAAGAAATAAAAAGAGAGAATAAAACAAATAACTTTATAGCATTTCCAGAGCTCGGCATTCTTTAAAATTGTTATATAGATTTAAAAAAATCTATTTGTAGTATTATTTAAGTGCATTTAATTATCACCGAGATATCTGTCAAGAGCAAGATGTCATTTGTAAAGTCAAATTGTTTTTGACTTTGGCAAGAAGCTCTTATTGAAAATCCATATATTGTTATTCTGATAAAAATAATTGATAAATATTGTAAACATTGATAAATAGAATGAACGGTACTAAAAGTAAGGGACCCGTGTTCGACCCGGGTCTCTGTAGATGTTGTGGTGCCATCAAAAAGTGTCGCCTTCTAAACTATGAGTACGAAAGTTTTGGAAATAAAGAAATATATTCTGACATGATAATGGATTGTTACGGCCTTGTTGTGAGTATTTTTTAAATGAAACATAATACGTATATCATTTTATTCTTTGAGAAATTTGTTCCGTAAATATTCACGTAATACATAAGATATTTTTATGTCATTGGAACAAACTCGATACTTAAATTCTATTACTATTTCATATTGAAGTTTATTGGATGTGAAAATATAATATTTTTAATATGTTCCCTTCAAAGCTGGGTATTTTAAAAGTTCCTTACATAGATTCTCTTAAAGTTCTATGACCCTGTTCAATATATTGTTAAACATGTATATGTTTTAGTGAAATCTGTCTTCTTTATTATTATAATTATAGAAAATGTAAATTATTAACATATTAATATACTGTCCACTGTAATATATTTATTTTTCATAGCCAAACAATTTATCATAAATCTCAGTGTTAAGTTTTATGCCAATACAAGTTACATAGCTTAGAATTTATAAATGCTATCTTCTTCTTCCTGGCAATTTCCTGGCAATTTTAACCAGGCTGCCTCATATATAAATACTATCATCATCAAATCATTATTATTTTAATAACACCGAGCAAGTATAACTAATACACAACAAATATAAAAAAATTTCACTTCATATACTGTATTAATTTCTTGATTAATCAAATATTTCATAGTTACACATAAACCATATATCTATATATATAAAAGAAAGTCATGTTAGTTACACTATTTATAACTCAAGAACGGCTGTAGGGATATGGATGAAGATTGGATGAGAGATTAGAACCAGGAGACGAACATAGGAAATTTATTTCTGTTCGATCGTAAATAAAAACTTAATAAACTCCAATAACAGGCTATTTACCGCCTCTAGTTTGAATAGAGTTTGCACAGTCAGCCATACATATATTACTAATTTCGATATTAAGGCGAAGTCGTGCACAAAAACTAGTTTTAAATACATAACAAAAGCTGAGAGTGTTAATATTACAGCTGTCTCATTTAGACGGTAAGCAAACTGAGAGGTTGGTGTGTGCGGCCTGCGTTCACCGACTGAGAGATGCTATGGCTTTCAGACAGCAGGTGTTGAAGTGCGAAGAAGCCTTTCTACAGGTCAAGATATATGATGGTGAGTTATTACAATACTTATACTGGATGGTTATTTTTTAGCGAATAGTTATTTATCTATATACTAGAAGACCCGGCGAACTTCGTATCGCCCTATAATCAAGAAATATCTGTTACGTTTTTTTATTTACATTTTTTGGAGTTTACCTATTAAAGCCATAAATCTCCGTGTTTTGAAGTGTGACAGAATGATTGACATATTAGTTAGTTGTCAAATCTAATGTCAAAAAATGGCGTTTGTATCAACAACTACTAATAAATTAAAAATTAATTAAAAAAATATTGTGCATCGGACAAAATTATGAATCTAAACTATTCCAAGATCCCCTTGAACACACACAAAAAATTTCATCAAAATCGGTCCAGTCGTTTGAGAGAAGTTCAGTGACATACACACTCACAGAAGAATTATATATTGTATATAAAGATATGAATTCCTTTTTTCCTTTGCTCACGTCATCACTCGGGTATGGCTGGACCGATTTCACTAATTCTTTTTTTGTTGTATTTGTTATTATTGAGAAAAGATTCTTATGTAAGAAAAAAATACGAAAATTGCTAGAAAAATTAATAACTAGAATATTTCACTTCTTCATTGAAATAATGTGTCATTCTCAGTAATATTCACGTAGTTAGAATAAAAGCATTAGAATAATAAACACTTTGTTTTTGGAATAATTTTGATTTGTTAAAATACCAATTAGAATTCAATAATCACAGTTAAGAAGACAGAACATTGTCTGTCGAGTCAGTTATACATACTTAATAAAGAAATTAACTTCATTGAGATAAAAAGGTAACAGATATTTCTTGATTATAGGGCGATACGAAGTTCGCCGGGTCAGCTAGTACCTACAATTTTTTTTTTAACTAGTTATTTTCTAGTAAGTTATTTTAAAAATCTATTACTCTATCATATAATGAGATCTAAAATTTCGCAATTATTCGTTTGAATGAAACTAATATTTTCGAATTATTTCATACCCATAAGTATAATAATAAAAATATGTACCTATTAACAGAAAAAGAGAATCAAACGGAGGAACAGAAAATTGAGGTTGAAGTTAAGCTTGAACCAGAAGATGTTAGCAATGAGACTGAGATACTTAAAGATGCTCTCGCTGACGAGACTCAGAGTAAGTAGAATAAATATACATTAAAAATACTACTATAGTCCCTTAGACTTAAGCTGAGCTTTGCATTTGTGTGAGTGAAAGTAAAAGTAAAGATAGACAAAAAATTCAATTTTATTATATTTTAAATAGATACATAACAATAGTGCTATAAAATAAGCAAAACTTGTTAAAGTCCGGATGGAAATATTTTGAATATTGAGGGAAAAAAAGTTATGGATTAATAAGAATTTTGACAAAACTACAAATTTTTATTCACTTGACATTGCGTTTTCAACATTTGATATTGCTACCAGTACAAAGGGTGAAGTGAGGAAGGTGCGGGGCGGAGTAAAAGCAGAATAAACCGGTTCAAAACTAGAAAAGTTTGACATCACACCTACACTATCCGTGTGCACTCACACAAATGCAAAGCTCAGCTTAAATCAAACGCACTATACCTACTTTTACTTGTTTGGCATTTCAACTAACGATGTACTAAAATAACAGAATAACGAAAATATATGTAAAATTCACAGCTGACAATGAAATTAAACCAGATATGGCGCTTAGCACAAACGAAGATATTCCTCTTCAAGAAATAGTGACGGAGGAAGAAGACAATAAGTTAGATAAGATTAATGTAGAAGCTTTGCCTAAAAGATTTAAAACCATGAAAAGATTATCCGCGGAGAGAAACAGTGAGTATTGATAGTGAGAAACATAAAAAATATATGCGCCTTTATATAATACTAGCTTTCCGCCCGCAGTTTCGCCCGCGTGGAGTTCGGTTATATCGCGTTTCCAAGAGAACCTTTCAAAAGTCTGGGATAAAAACTATCCTATGTTCTTTCTCAAGGTCAACTCTGTCTGTACCAAATTTCATTAAAATCAGTTCAGTGGTTTAGGGAGCGTTCAAGTATTACGTAACGCAATTTGAGGGGGAGGGGGGGTCTCGTAAAACGTTACGATGCGTTACAGGGGCGGGAGGGGGTGTCTCTTACAAAACGTTACGTAGCATTGTTTCTAAAAAAAATATTAATAAAAACCCCCAAACTGGCCACTCTTTTCATATACGTTACATTATGTTGACCAGATTGTATTAGTCTGGTCGATATTTTTATTTGTTATTCCAAGTTTGCAAAACTCTTAATTGATATTTTACCGGGAATACCTAGATTGCAATGTAAGTCTTTTAATGTTGCTTCCGTGGTCAGTATTCGTTAGTGTTTATCCGTGAGTTCATAGTGTAATTTCTTCAGAAGAGGGAGATTTGTGTCAATGATCTTTTTTCATTTAATAGATTAAACTATATCAAACTATTACATATTGTTTTACGACTTTGAATGAAATTGATCACTCGAGTGTTACGTAACGTTTTGAGAAGGGGGGGGGGGCTACAGAAAAACGTTACTGTGCGTTACGAGGGGTGAAGGGGGGGTCAAAAATCTTCAAAAATTGCGTTACGTAATACTTGAACGCTCCCTTAGGTGTGAAATTATAACAGACAGACAGACAGAGTTACTTTCGCATTTATAATATTAGTAGGGATTAAAACATAATTGAATATGATAATCTGAAGAAAAATATATTTAATATCCTAAGACGATGAATAAAAACATTTTTAACTTAGCAATATCTTGATATTTTCAAAAAATAGCAGACTCGTAGTTTATAATATATACAAAAAACATTTCTCTCGCAAAAATTGTAGCAAAAAAATATTTATAATCTAAATTGCACTCTTTTTTACAGAAATCCCAATGTCGAAATTACAGCAACGGATGAGAGAGCGTGACCCAACGTATATAACTGAGACAAACATACTCACAATCGTGGAATTTTCATACGTCTGTCCTTTCAAATGTCGCCATAACCATTTACTATGCTTCTACTGCGGCCAGAATTTCTCAGATCCCCAAGAACTTAGAGATCATACAACCCAGTCACACCATCCAAGAAAATTTAAAATAACTGACCACAAAAACATGCTCAAATTGGACCTCACCAGAATAGACTGCCGGCTCTGCAGCCATAAGACAGATGACCTAGAAGACTTCAAAACCCACATAACTAATGTCCACAAAAAGAAATATTACTTCAACGTCAAAGATTTGATGCTGCCGTTTAAGTTATCCAAAGATGAATTTAAATGCGCGATTTGTGACGTAATTTTTCCCTATTTTCACGCTCTCAATAAGCATATGAACGAGCATTTCAGTAACTACGTCTGTGAGACATGTGGTCTAGGTTTTGTGGATCGCGGAAGATTCCTGATGCATCAACAGAGACACGAAGAAGGTGATTTTCCGTGTGAAGTATGCGGAAAAGTCTTTAAAGCGCAGTATAACAAAGAACTGCATATCGATCGAGTTCACAAAAAGAAAGGTAGGAAAATTGTACTCATTCATATTCAAAGAAATTTGATATTCCTCAAGTTATAGCTCCTAAACTTGACCAAAGTTATAAATTTTCAGTATACATAATCTCCTTCTTCTTCTACCTGGCAATTTCCCAGCTATAGTCAGGGTCTGCCTTACATGTTGTGAATAGTTTTGGCTAACTGTTTTTACGACTGCCGCCTGCCTGACATCAACCCTCTTTTTGGGAAAACCCTCTATTCAGTATACATAATCTATTTAAATATAATACTATTAAAATTTTGTCACCCAGGTCGTGTATATTGCCCGAAATGCGACGTAAGGTTAATGAACTACCCACAAAAACTGAAACATTTGGTCGAAGTCCACGGCGAAGAGCCGCTGTCCTTCAACTGTAATATGTGTGATAAAGTATGTGAGACGCGAAGAAAACTGACTATACACAGACGGAAAGAACATTTGAAAGATTACAGGTATATAGAACTAACAAAGTACTCTAAAAAGTCCTTTTGCGGGCTCTGCAGACGTAAAAGGTTGCAAAAAACACAAAAAAAATCGTTCGTTGTATATAGGGCCGGGGTAATTAGTATTTTAAATTTAGCTAGTATAAGCTATAGTGGGTTTTCAGTAGCTGATAAAAGTCGCTAAAAATATTATTTATTTTCAAAGTGGATAGGAGACAAAATAAGTTTTTGAATCCTAGATATAACCAAAAAGAGACTATTTAATGTCTTTCATCCGTACACATTATAATTTGAGAATATTAAAAAAACTATACCAGTTTGTTAGGAAATTGTTCCTCATGTGTAACATACAGCCATTAAAAATTATATACATATAGCACAAAACTTTCTAGAACCTTCTTATAAATGAAATACAACCAAATCGAGATAGCTTTATCCCTATCAAAATCTTCACAAAATTCTATCCCTACTAATATTATAAATGCGAAAGTAACTCTGTGTGTCTGTTTGTTACGCTTTCACGCCTAAACCACTGAACTGATTTTAATGACATTTAGTAAAGAGGTAGAGTTGACCTTGAGAATGAACATAGGATAGTTTTTATCCCAGACTTTTGAAAGGTTCTCTTGGAAACGCGATATAACCGAACTCCACGCGGGCGACAAGCTAATAAACTTATATAATCCAACGAAAACTAGATAAATTTTGTTAACTTTAACAAATAGCGAGTAATAAAATCCTATTTTCGTATCATTCCAGATACGAATGCCAGTGTTGCGGGCAGAAATTTTTCACACGTTTCGCATTAACGAACCACATGCCGACACACACGGGAGAGAGGAACTTCAAGTGTAAAGTCTGCGAAAAAACTTACCCTCGGTTAAAAACATTGAAAGATCATCTACGTATACACACAAACGATAGAAGATATAGGTGTCATATATGTGGACAAGCCTTTATACAGAACTGCAGCCTCAAAGGACACATGAAAAGCCAGCATCCCGAATACAGCTAGTCTTATTTACGATGAGGTTATTTTTAGGTCATGAATTTATACACGAGTTATTTTGGTTGAGTTATTTAAACGCTATTTGAGTTATTTTCGATAGTTTTTTTGTCAAGCTGAGTATAACTGGTTCTATTTAAAATGAGGTTATTCTTAGGTCATATATTTTATACTCGAGTTATTTGCAATAAAGTTATTTTTTGTTAACTTTAGTGACGGCGTTCAGAGGGCAGATAATTGTTATTGAAGACGATATTTTTCTTGCTCATATAGTTTAAAGCATTCTATAAGTTATTTTTATATTTAAATTAAATTTATATGCACCATACTCATTGCAGATAGATAGATTTTGGCGACGGAGTTATTTTTAAAACATACATCGTACTGGTCACATTGAGTTTTAGAAGACGAATATATATATTATTTTTACCCTTAATATTCAAATAATATTGATTTTCATTTATCTTCTATTTAAAAACAAATTAATTAAAACTGAGTATATATGTATTCCATTCATTTTGAAATACTAATATTTATGGATTGAACAATTTCTTTATCCATTAACTAATGGGAATTTTTATTTAATTTATCTACTGTATATAATTTTAATACATTATGGTTATTTTAAAACTACTTAAATCTTATGTATTATAGAAAAATACTTTATTTTATTGATTGATATAAAATTTAATTTTTTTATGCAATTTTCTGTATAATAAAAAATTCTTACAGATGAAGAAATTATCAATAAAAGCAGTTCTTGTATTTTCTTTTAGTATCCCTTTATCTATATTTTGCTTTAATGTATTTTCATAATTATTATTATCAAGAAATTTTATGAACTTTACTTTAGTTTTTTGACTTTGAGATGTTAATGAAATTTTGTAACGTCTTGATCAAATCAAGATAAATCAAGATAATTTGAACCCCTATTTCCATTACATAATAAAAAACTCTGTTAATTAAAATATATTCTGAATTTTGTCACTTCTTATTTCAACGCCTTCTAAAGACAATTTCTAACAACTATCGTGTATCATATTACTTTTATATATAAAAAACAATAGAAAAGCGGATTTTTTTATCATTTAGACTGATTTCACTTTAAAAACTTTTAGCCGGATAAACAAAAAAAACGTATAAAAAGAAAACTATAAAATGTTAAGTTTCAAATAATTTATTAAATATGTAAATTAAACAATAATCTTATTTGTTCCTTTATATTAATTACACTTAAATACTTTTCATAATCCATATATGAAATTAAGATCCGCTTAGAACAATGCAAATAGCTTTATGAACGAATTCTGGCAATTTTTTTATTTCATTATTCATTAATTTACACCAAAATTATATCCATTAGAGACAAAATCTCTCATCATTCAATGTATTCACGGTGCGTGTGTCGAGTCCATCGTTGTAGTGAGAGGAGCTTCAACAGTGACTGAGACTTGTGACCCAGGTGTAGGTTTAAGGGACCCTATCTAACGCGTTAAACGCTCACCTCTACCTTACATAATGCTGATTTATAATCACTAGCATCCAAAATAGGATTTAGCAGCACAAATTTTGATGTACTTCAATTAAAACTGCTATCAATATCAAAAATTTGATGCTGTGTCTTCAAATGATTCTTCAATGTCCCACTCTGATTGAAGGTAGAGTCACAAACACTGCATTTATATCTCCTATCAATATTATGTATTCTTATATGTTCTTGCAAGGACTGTTGTCTGGGATAGCTTTTATCACAAAACTCACATCTGTAATTCCTTTCACCAGTGTGAGTTGCCATGTGTTCTTTCAGTCTAGATGGCAGATAGAATCTTTGGTCGCACAATTCACACTGATGTCTGTAAACTTTCAAATGATTCCGCCTATTATGTTCCATTAAAGTTTTCCGTCGATTGTAAACTTTGTCACACAATTTGCACGGAAATGTTCTTTTGTCGCCATGTATTTCGATCAAATGCCTATTCCTTAGAGCGTATGACAAAAAACTCGAATCGCACTTATAGCAATTCACTGTTGGTTTTTTCTCGTGGACAGTCGCTACGTGAAGTCCTCTACTATATTTGGATTTCAAATTCTTCCCGCATATCTCACAAGGGAAGTTTGCGTCTACTTTGCTGTGGTTTTTGATGTGAGTTCGCAACGAAGATTGTTCTAGAAAGCACGCGCCACATATATCGCAAGTAAAAGTCCCGAAATGATCCACCATATGCTTCTTCAAAGCATCGAAGTAGGGGAAAACGCTATTACACTCCGTGCAAGCAAGATTAGTTAATGATAGCCTAAATTTTAGGAATTCATTTTTGATTGGGTACAAAATTATGTCATGATCATTGCTCAAGTGATGTTTCAATGTGTCCAAATCATCGATTTTCTGTGTACACAGCCTACAATCGATCCTAGTGATGTCTATTTTCGGTATCTTCTTATTTTCTATCGTCATCTCGAACAATTCTCTTGGATCATGGGTTAATGTGTGTTCTCTTAATTCTATAGGGTTCGTGAATTGGTCCTTACAATAGTAACAGTAATAAAAACTTATTCTATTGTGGAAGGGACAGACGTATGAACATTTAACTATATCAATTGTATTTTTCAGAGCCATTACATCATGATCCATTATTTGCTTCTGTGACAACTTCTTTTTTTGTCGCGATTTCTCCTTTGCCTCTGAAAGATAACGGATAATTTTAAATGAAAGCAAATATTTATTTTAGCTTCTCCGGTAAAAGTGAAATTTCGTATGTTCGAATGAAAATAGGAGTAGAAATGATTTTTAAGTAATTTTTAGTGTTTCTTTAAAACAAGCTTTATTAATATTACTGATAAGTCAAAATTGATTGCCAGCAATCGCATACTATAGCTCTTACAGGTCAAATTCTTTAACGTAAGAGGGAGAGAGATAGAAAGATACACAAATATAGAAAAAAGGAGAGAGATAGAGAGTGAGTAGGAATATTCTAAACAAAAACGGTTGACCTATTGTTGCTATATAGAGAAGTAAACATTATGAGCAATGACATAAGCTCAAATACATACTTGTAGCTCTATATTAAATAATTTACAATATTCATTATTTCTTTAGTTTAATTTCCACTTCATACAATATTTTTTTGTCACACCAAGTTATATGGTTTCCGATGAGCTTCTAAGTTCACCTAAACTGGTCTTAGTAACCAAAAGTAATAAGCAATACTCACTTATCTTACTTGTCTTCAATAATTTGTTTATTTTTGTATTTGAATTCAATTTTATGTGAAATGTTTCATTCTTATCACCTAATTTCTTTGTCTCTTGAACATCAACCAACATTTGATCTGATGCATTTATATCTGCATCTGAAATTAAATTTAAAATCATTATTATTACTATATAATACTTAAAAAAATTACTTTTCATATAAGATAGAAGCTACAGAAAAATTTTTGCTACTTAATTTTTATAAAAATCCTTATATGTATGTGAACAAATTTATTGACAAACTTGAATATCATAGCATTACTATTTGTATATTTAACATACAAAATATAAATTTACTATTAAACCCAAAAATTTCATTCTTGGTTATTATTTATTAACATCAGAAGTTTGAACTGATCTAAATATGCCCACAAACTTTGGTCAAAAAACAAGAGTAGTATATCCTACCTACTAATATTATAATTGCGAAAGTTTGTGAGTGTGTGTATGTTTGTTACTTCTTCAGGCTCAAACGGCTGAACCGATTTTGATAAAATGTTATATTCAGGAAGCTGACGTCCAGGAATAACATATAGGCTACTTTACATCCCGGAAATCCGCGGGTAACACCATTGGGCGCAGCTAGTATAATATAATGTAATAACAAAATGACTATTTGCTGACACAGAGAGTTTTTCCCTAAGAGGGTTGATGTCAGGCAGGCGGCCGGTCATAGAAACAATTAGACAAAACTATTCACAACATGTTAGACAGACCCTGGCTAAAGCTGGGAAATTGCCAGGAAGAAGAAGACTATTTGCAGACAAAGTCACAGGCAGGGTTAGTCTAATTATATACATACCATGACTATCACCAATTTCATCACTATCCATTTCACCGGATGGCTCTAATTTTATCTCGAGCTTGATTTTAGCTATTTCTGAAAATATCAGACAGTTGATAAGATTAATTATTATTAATTGTATACCATATTTAATTTAAGATGTGTATATATTCAAAGTAAATAAACAAACATATATATAATAGAGCTTTTTATTTCTTTTTCAAACAATATAAAGTATTAAAATAGTGTTTTAAATATATTTTTAAGATATTATGTAATAAGATATTATGTAGTGTCTAATATCATATGCATTTATACACATAGAAAATTTTAAGAAAATCTTTCATCCATTCTGATCATAGTAGTAAGTAATTCAAGTTGCAATATATATGAAATCTTGTCAAATTAGATATAAATACTGTTTAACGAGGATATCAAAGTTTCTTTACCTTCTCTATTCTGAAGCGACTCAATGAACATCTGTTCCGATTGAAGGACCTGTCGTTTGAATGCTATCGCTTCTCTCAGTCGGGACACACAAGTTGCACATATTGCAGAATCTTTATTGTCTCCGTCGAGATGAGTTAACTGAAATGTACATATGTTTAAGCAACTTATGTGTAGGATTTTGAATTTGATACATATAAAACAATCTTATTTGAATACAGAGAGGAAACCTCTCATCATTCAATGTATTCACTGTGCGGGTTTCGGGTCTATTGTTGTAATGAGAGGAGCTTCAACAGTGACTGGGATTTGTGACCCAAGTGTAGGTTTAAGCAATTATTATTATTATGAATTATTTGTAGAATTTAAATAATTTATGTACATACATAGTTGACTTAATGCTATTCTGACTCAAGGAAATCTTTTGCTAAGTCCAGGTATAAACATTTTATTTAATACAAACTATGTAAATAGATATTTTTTCCATGTCTTGGTAACTAAGTGTAGCTGGTGAACACACTATGTTGGTGAAATCCTATTGACTCTTGCCTTGAAGACACAACAAGTATATTTGGAATGAAACATAAACACAGTCAAAACGGTTGAATCTTTGACTGTTAAAGGATAAGGACGAGGAAATTTTAATAATTAAGATATTTAGATGAATTGTAAAGAAATTAGGACTTTCATGCATCATTATTATTCATCAGGCAAAATAGAATTGCGCCTGCGACAACAATTTTATGAAAGGATGCACCATTTAAATTGAGAATTCAGCTTAGTCCTACCACTTATAGTTACGTATCTTAAAAATATTACGATTTCAATATAAATGTAGAATTTTTATATATAATTTATAACATTTAATCTACATATACAGTGCAATTAATAAAGAAAATACAATTTAAAGTACGAAAGTACAACAGTGGTGAACTTAGTAGTTTCAATTACCTTTTGAATATGTTAAAAAACACTATGAAAAAGCGAAGACGTTTCTATGAGACAAATTGTAGCGAAAACTTATCTTAATAAATATTAATTAATATAGTTATAAGGATATTCACTCACAAGTAAACCAAAGACATCCATAAACATATCAGAATATATTTCTTTAGTTCCCATATACTCGTACTCCGTGGTCAACAAACGGCATCGTTTTATAGACCGGCAGCATCTACAGAGTGCCGGATCAATTAAAGGGCCTTTAACTTTCTTAGGTATATCTAAATCAGCCATTTTAATAAATAAATAATATATTTTTCATTTAATTTTCTATTTATTTTAGTTATTTCTCAACAATGTCAAACATTTTTGTTATGTCACATATGTCATAACGGCAAGAATCAATGTTGTGATAACAAAATTTATAAAACTTAAATAAGGCTATTAAATTTTTAAAATTATAATTACGTAACATACATTAAGGCAAAATAAATGTGTTAAATTATAAAAATTCAAAAAAGTTGGGTTAAAATGTATTTATTTATGTCTAAAATGTAAAAATACTGTAATTCTAAATGATAAATCTATATATATTTTGCGTACATAACATCGTAAGCAACAATTAAAGAAATGATACAGTCTTTTAAATAAAGACACCATTTTATTATGATTATTTTATTTTAGTAATGTTTTTGATTAAATGATTGGATACAGGAATAGAACGCAATTTCCTTAAAAAAAATTTAATTTTTGAAATTTCAAGAATAAAGCTATAACGGTAGTTTTAAAGGCCTCTGAAACCCTTATGGTATCTACAATTCAATCTTAATAAATTATAAGACTGGTTTTCAGTTCAGTTTCATTTAACATTACTCAACTTTTATTCTTTTGATTAAAATTTACAAAAGTTTTTCAAATTAAAGAAAATCAGATTTTAGTATACAATTCTTTTATTAAGGTTTAATTTTAGTACTGGTTACGCAATCTTAAGTTATTCACAACTTTCACTTTAACTAAATACTTGGCGTATTTGGAGAAACTTTGTAAGCCTTCGATAGCTTAGTTGGTAGAGCGGTGGACTGTAGAAGTGGTGCCCAAGCTGATATCCATAGGTCGCTGGTTCAAATCCGGCTCGAAGGAGTATTTTTGTTTTATATTTTGCTAATAAATATGTTTTTTCACCAAACATCGATACATTATTTTCTTTGATTGTAAATGAATATGAACAACTTAGCTTATTGACGTGCAAAATAAACACAAATATATGTCGAATTCAAGCATAATATAAAAAAAGATTTACTATATTATTTAAAAAACAAATAATTTCGTAATTTTGATCAAAAGAACGTATTTAAGAAATAAAAAATGACTAATTATTGACGTAGACGCCATTTTATTTTTGCCGCCAATTCTGTTCAAAATAAAACTTCAATGCTATAAACACATTTTATTTACGAATTAAAATAATTTAAACAATTTAAATACATTTGTAAATCTGTAAAAAAGTTGTGTCAAATTAATATCTAGGACGTACATTTTAACAAAAATATATCTGTGATGTACTGAGTATTGCAAACTTTATTGTATAGACAATTAAATTATTATATATTTATGTACATTAATAATTATTATGACAGCTAATTATAATATATAATTTACAAATCCATTATTAATACATAATAATTAATATTTCAAAAGGTTAAACAATATTTTTTCTACTCTCCAGCATAATAATGGCACACTACAATATTTTCTTAATAATAATTTATTTATTAAATTTTAACCGTCCGGAATCTCAAATATTAATACATATTAACATTGGAACAGGTATTTATTAAATATTTACATTATATACAATAAGTAAAGATTTTTCCATACATTGAATGAAATATTTCAATTCCTTGGTTAATGTTTTCTTTTCTGAAATACATGACAAAATAGCCAAAATCTCTCATAATTTTCCTAAAATAAAATTTAATACTGAATTGTAATTAATCTCCTTCAATATCAGATTTAAAAGACAGTCTTGAACAGGTTATAAAATTAATTAAAAAATACTTTTGTCATTTTAAAGAAATGTTTTTCGTTTTTATTGGACTTGATACTTATATATAGTTCTGAATAGTTTCATTGTTTTCTCAATGAAGAAATTTCGAAAGAAGATATTTAGACTCAAATACTATTTTATATATATTAAAATAATGTATGTATAAAGTCATTTCCTACTTATATATGTATATCGTCGGGGATAGTGTAAATCCTCGTAAGGGGCCATCCATAAAGTACGTCACACGTAAAGGGGGGGGAGGGGGTCGACAAAGTGTGACATGGTGTGACAAGGGGTGGGAGGGCTCCTAAGTTTCGTGACATCACATTTCAAAGTCTAGAGCTACTAATCGCGTAATTTGAAATATTAATTAAAATCTTTAAAACTGAGCGCGTCATCACATATACAGTCTACTTTAAGGAGTGCGCTCTCAATAACACGGAACTTGCAACTATTCACTTTAAGAGTTAGTATCTAATTATAAATTTTCATTCAATTAAAGGATAAATAGTGTTAGCAGAAAATGTGTTTATCACTTCAACATTTGAGTTCAAATTGAAATAGAAAATGTAGAGAGACAAATTAACTAACGCTAACAGAAACATCTTTGTATGTCAAAATCTATATACAGGGTGACTGGTGAATTACTATCAATATTTAAGGAGAATACTCGATACATGATTCTCATTCGAATTATGTAAAAAAAATAGGCACTTAATTTTTGACAAAATTTCCGTATAAATAAATAAAGTGTTGACTGTTGACACGTTCCAAGTGTTCCAAGTGTGGACGCGTGCGGCGGCGTGGTGTTGTATCATCAGTATGTGTGAGTGTGTGTGTATACCTAATCTGTAGGGTGTTCACACGATGCGTAATTAATTACATAACTTTTGGTCAACTTTACTTAGAAGTTTATTAATATTTATGTTATATTAATTTTTATTTCGTCATATATGATCGTCAAATATCACGTCCTCAAATATCGATAGTAATTCATCAGTCACCCTGTACTTATACAACGTGTAACGTAATTAACGCACACCCTCAAATACCCCAATGCGAATATAATGATATAAACGCAATGCATACACCAAATATTATTTATATATGCGTTTGAATTTTTTATTTGTGAAATTAGTTATCCCAATTTCGTGCAAATAATATGGTCCGTTATTCAGCGACACTCTGTACTCGCCGCGCCCGCGCCCCTCTCTCCGAGTGCCGTCCGACAATAATAAGAAGTAGGTAATAATAAGTACACGAAATAACTACATACATTATGGTTTTTCTTTCCATCACACTTTTCAAGCTTTAGATTGTTGACATTGAATTTTCTTTTTAATGTGAAGCCAATATTTTATAATTACTGATTTGTTAAACTAAATTTGTAAATAAGAATTATTAAACAGCTGATAACGCGTGATTTGAATAGACACCACAATACCTACGACAAAGTTAAACACAGTCGGCCTGTTTAAATGGTGTGTATCAAAATATTTACAATAATTTAAAGATCATAAACAAACTTACAGTTTAATTTGCACTCGCACGGCGTTGTCGTTTTAAAACATTTTCAAAATGTCCACCGCCTTGTTTAATGCACTTTAATGACCGTTTTCGCAATTGTGGTTTTATTTTAGATAATACTGCAATGTCACTTTTCACTTTTACAAAGGCGGTTATTATCTTATTTTTTAGTTCCTCGGCACTTGTTATCTCTGTGTTATAAACTAGCGATTTAATTCGCCCCCACAAAAAAAAGTCGAGTCGCGTCAAATCAGCTGATCTAGGAGGTCAATGGACACGTGCGTAGATACTTGATGTATTGAATGTTAGTGTACCGAAACGACACAGCGAAATGCGCGACTAAGATTTTATTTGCACATTACACTTGACCTCTTTTCGATAAGGTGGACGCGGCGTAACTAACCCAAAACACATTTTGTTGACTTCGATGTTTAGTTATTATTACTCTGATTCCCGGAATTATGTCTGCCGTCTCGCTCTATTGTAATGTTATTAAGCCGAAGAAAGAAGGAGAAAGTCATAATTTTTGTATTACGCGGCTTTCTTTTATGCACTGTAGTGACCTTGCTGTGTGCCGGTTGTCGCTATGGTGTTGCGTGCGTAGTTATTATTAAATACTATTTTAGCCTTGAAATAAGTAGCAGTTTTCTTTAATTGAATGATGATTACTAATTAAATATTTCATTTTAAAAATCTTAATACCCTGACTTACGATCCATTTTCGTTTGCATTAATTTTCGTTTCTATGAAGTGTTTAGATAACTGTGTGTAGGGTGACTATAATTTACTTAGTTCTATCTAAATTTGAGAAAAAAAATGACCTACATAAAAAACTATCAAAATCGATCCAGTATCCGATTCTGATCAAACTACTTACAGGGTGTGCGTTAATTATGTTACACGTTGTATATATATTCATTAGTTTATTTATTATTTCAAATATTTGATACTATGTTGAAAAAAGTACTTATTTTAAATGGAACTAAAACTAATTTCGGAACTGCTGTTTTAATTTAATAATTTATCGATGTTAAATTGCAAAACATATGACGTCACACTAGGGAGGGGGGGGTCTCAGAAATGTGACCACCTGTGACAAGGACGGGGGAGGGCTCAAAAACTCATGAAATTAGTGTGACGTATTTTATGGATGGCCCCTAACTACCATTGGATAATTCCTTGTATCTACATTGGAAGCAGATTATCAGAAGAAAGTTTGAGCTGAAATATTTTATATTTTAAGGACTTTTAAGGTATTTTTTTTCACGATTAGTAATTATTTAGAGTTTAATTTATTACTAATTAGCTTTCCGTCCGCGTGAATCCGGTTACATCGCGTTTCCAAGAGAACCTTTCAAAACTCTGGCATTAAAACTATCCTATGTTCTTTCTCAAGTTCAACTCCATCTCTGTACCAAATTTCATTAAAATCAGTTCAGTGGTTTAGGCGTGAAAGCGTATTTTTCCATTGTTAACCCTCCGCAACCCTACTTGTGGATGGAATTTCGTAAAATCCGTTCTTAGCTGACCTCTACTCGGCGAAAGGAATAATCCTACCAAATTTCAAGTCGCTACGCCTTATGGTTCCAGAGTTATCGTGATGAGTCAATATATAGGTGGAAATCTCTTATATATATAAATTGTGAAAAAATTACCTTAAAAGTCGTTAATATACAAAATATTTCAGCTCAAGCTTTCTTCTGATAATCTGCTTCTAATGTAGATACGCGGAATTATGCAAAGCTAGTTACGCGGATTTGTACTATCCCCGACGATATATGAATTATATATAGCCAATACAGAATTTTAGTAGTAACATCCTTCAATATCACATTCTGGGTGATGACTTTTTATATGAGACTTCAGGCTCGCATTCTGTATGAAGGCTTGACCGCATATATGGCACCTATATCTCCTATCGTTCGTATGAGTTCTGATATGATATTGCAAAGATTTGAGTCTAGGATAGCTTTTATCACAATATTCGCACCTAAAGTTCCTCTCGCCTGTGTGAGTCGCTATATGTTCTTTAAGACGCGACGGCAAATAAAATCTTTGATCACAATATTCGCACTGATGTTTTAAAACTTTCTGGTGATTCCGTCGTTGATGTTCGGTCAATGTTTTCTGTCTGTTATAAACTTTATCACACAAATTGCACGGATACGTTCGTTTTTGACCGTGAGCTTCGGTTAGATGCTTGTTTTTGAGCGCGTACGACATAAAACACTCGTCGCATCTCGGACAACGTATGATAGCTTTCTTCTTATGCACTATATCGACATGCATGTCTTTGTAGTGATTAGATTTGAACACTTTACCGCAAACCTCGCACGTATGACGCTCGTCGTCTTTATGACGCTTCAAATGCGCGTCTAAACGCGGTTTCTCGAGAAAACATACGCCGCACACGTCACACGTATAATTACTGAAATGTTCGACCATATGTGTATTTAAAGTATTAAAATCTTCGAACACATCACTGCACATGACACAAACTAGATCGTTCCACGTCAATTTGTACAACAACATCTTGTCTGGAGCTTCAAAATATATTTTCTTATTATGAACTTCGTCAATATGACGTTTGAATGTGTCCAAATCATCGATTTTCATCGGACATAATTTACAATCGATTCTAGTTATATCGATTTTTGGCATTTTCTTGTAACCCATCAATAATTGGAACGGTTTAGTGTCGTGAGAAATCGTATGTTCTCTCAAATCTTCCGGTTTTGGATAATAATCTTTGCAATAAAAACAATAGTAGTTATTCCTTCTATTCTTGAATGGGCATACATATGAGTATTGTATGATTGTTAGCAGATTCTCCTCGGACATACAATCTAAATCCCTATCATACGTATTTCTCTTTTCAACTGGCGGTTTCTTTAATTTCTTCTCTGTTGAGGATCCTGGAAATATTATTAAAGTAATTAATACTGATAATATATACAGTAAAAGCATATACTATAACTTATTCTACATTTAAGCCACTTTGTCTTCTATGAAGAAACTTTCTTCTTAAGAACAAAATGTAGAAATGGAGTTTGTTTAGTACACTTGTTACAGGAACTATACAGGAAGCTTATACTTAAAGTAGTTCATACCTTATCTTATATCTTTAAATGAGCAAAATTTGTATATATATATGCATATATAATTGGAATCTCCGAATATATAGGAGGTTTCGGGGGCGATAAATCAACCTAGCTAGATATCATTTTTAGAAAATGTTATTTTATAAAAAAAAAAAAACAAAAAGGAATAGTATAAAATATGACTCTTCCTGACATCTATTGGCGAATAGTAATACTACTTGTCACTAATTGCTTTAACGACACAACAGCAGATGGCGTTGTTAGTACCAGGAAGTCAATGAGTGTTTGTTTTGAGCTTAGACTAAGAAACTAATTGTTGATTTATATTGTTTTGTGTCTTCTTAACGTGTTCACTTAAAAATGCCTAAACAATATATAAAAAAAAAAAACAAAATAATATCAATAATTCCTAAATACCGAGCAAAGCTCGGTAACCAGATTTTTTATATACAGGGTGACTGGTGAATTAATATCGATATTTGAGGACGTGATATTTGACGATCATATATGACAAAATAAAAATTAATATAACATAAATATTAATAAACTTCTAAGTATAGTTAACCAAAAGTTATGTAATTAATTACGCATCGTGTGAACACCCTACAGATTAGGTATACACACACACACACACGCGTTTGGCGGCGTGGTGTTGTATCAGCACGCCGCCGCACGCGTCCACACTTGGAACGTGTCCACACTTTATTTATTTATATGGAAATTTGATCAAAAGTTAAGTACCTATTTTTTTTACAAAATTCGAATGAGAATCATGTACCGAGTATTCTCCTTAAATATTGATAGTAAATCACCAGTCACCCTGTATAATAATAATACACAAAATTATAGATTTTTTTAAAGATTCTTCAGAAGTAGTGCTTGCTTGATCTAGCACTTGTAAACAAATAAGTCACTTTTAATATATTGTAATTCTGTATGTGTCTTAAAAAATTATGTTTCTCATATCTATTATATCAAAAAAACTTGGACATAAAAATATTCTTTCTTTTAAATATAGGTACTGTATATGGCAATATTTTTAGACTATTATGGTAACTTTTTATATTAAATATTTAAATAACTTCTAATTTTCTTCAGATCAATGCTATCTTACTAATTTTATATTCTGTAAAGATATTCTTCACTCAATACTTTCATGAGTATTCCTAGATGGGGCAAATATTGGAGACTATATTATATGACATTAAATAAATATATTACTAAAGTAGAAAAATATAATGTTAACTATATAAAGAAACAGTAGAAACAGAAGTAATACTAAATCAAACAACTTTGACAACACAAAGAAACCAAACAATATTACTACTATTTGAGAAATTAAACAATATTACCAACATGAAAATACCAAACAATAACATTTATATAGAAACTAGAAGACCCGGCGAACTTCGTATCGCCTTATAATAAAGAATTATCTTACGTATTTTTATTTATATTTTTGGAATTTACCTATTAAAGCCATAAATGTATGTGTTTTGAAGTGCGACAGAATGATTGACATGTTAGTTAGTTGTCAAATCTAATGTCAAAAACAAAAACGTTTGTATCAACAACTACTAATAAATTAAAAAAACATTGTCCAGCGGACAAAATTGTGAATCTAAGCCATTCTCAGATCCCCTTGAACACACAGAAAAAATTTCGTCAAAATCGGTCCTGTCGTTTGAGAGAAGTTCAATGACATACACACTAACAGAAGTATTATATACAGGGTGACTGGTGAATTACTATCAATATTTAAGGAGCATACTCGGTACATGATTCTCATTCGAATTATGTAAAAAAAATAGGTACTTAATTTTTGACCAAATTTCCGTATAAATAAATAAAGTGTGTACACGTTCCAAGTGTTCCTAGTGTGGACGCGTGCGGCGTCGTGCTGATACAACAACACGCCGCCGCACGCGTATGTGTGAGTGTGTAGTGTAGAGTAATCTGTAGGGTGTTCATACGATGCGTAATTAATTACACAACTTTTGGTTAACTTTACTTAGAAGTTTATTAATATTTATGTTATATTAATTTTTATTTCGTCATATATGATCGTCAAATATCACGTCCTCAAATATCGATAGTAATTCACCAGTCACCCTATTAAAATTATCAATATTACCAACATACAAAAATCTCACCTGGTTTCTGTTTCAATTTAGTTTTAGTCTTTAAAGTTTTCTTCTTCTTTGTACTATTTCCCTTCAATTTCTTGACCTTAGCTTTCCTCTTGATAGGTTTGTCCGAGTCCGAACTTGAATCCATATAATCATTATAATCCTCATCATCCATAACATCTTCTAAATCTTCTTTCATTTCATTCCCATCTTCTGTTTTATATTCTTCTTCTTTCTTAGGCTTGACATCTTTAACTGGAATGATTAATACAAATACAGTTTTCAATTTTTTCATGAAGTATTAATTTCTAAGATATTTTGTCTTTACTTTTAAATAAATGAGATTTGAAAGAAATCTTTTTGTGGTTAATAAAGGAAAAATAATAAAACTGTTAGTTTATATGAGTATATAACCAGTTAGGTAACTATTGCTCATTAGTTAATGTGACTGAAACACAATATTCTGTAAGTCCCAGGTTCAAATTCTGTTCATTTCTAAGAATTTTATATCCTTACTAGCTTTCCGCCTGCAGCTTCGCCTTTCAAAATTCTGGGATAAAAACTATCCTATGTTCTTTCTCAAGGCCAACTCTACGTCTGTACCAAATTTCATTAAAATCAGTTCAGTGTGAAAGCGTAACAGACAGACAGACATTTACTTTCGCATTTATAATATTAGTAGGGGTTTATATAATCCCTACTAATATTATAATCCCTACTAATATAAGTAATATTAAAAATATTATCATACTTAATTTAATATCAGTGCATACAAATTCACAGTAACCGAATGAAATTACTGTTTTTGCAACCAAAGAATAATTTTCGTTCATATATTTTGGCCACAATAGTATGTATTTATAAGTAATTAATAATTATATATAATTTTGTATGAAATTTCACTGGCCAATTTTGTTATATATCTCCCTATAGCCATTATATGTAGCTTATTCAGAAGTATCTAGAATTCTCCATCTGGTCTAAAGCCGTGTAATAATAACACAGCACAACAAAATCAAACTTTTTTTTTGTTGCATGGAGTTTTTCTACTGTTGTTTACTAATTTGGGTGCGCTAATTCTAAATCTGACCTCAGATTTTTTGTAGCAGCTCTAGTTAGTCAGATACAGGTCCGTCTTGAATTTACATAAGTTGTCAATAGTTTCTACCAATAGCGGTGTAACTTAACTAGTCCCTTTATAAATTTCATTATGTCTTCCTCAAGAAGGACGTGTTTAAATAATCCTGAGTGTTTTTGTGCTATTTGCGGAAAATATATGTTCCAAAAATATCGTTTAAGTGTGTTAGACTTTGTAAAAAAGGCATACTTTGACTACTTTGGGTTTCCGTTGCCATCAAACGCTAAACCTTTGATACCAATTTTGTTATGTAAAAGTTGTATTGAATCTTTGCATTTATTGGCAAACAAAAAAAGACCAAATTTTAAGTACAAATCTCCCATGATATGGCGTGAACCACCCAACCATCATAACGACTGTTATTTTTGTGTAACGAAAATCATAGGAATAAACCATAAAAATTGCTCTAAGTGGATATATCCAAACTAATAATCTATCGTAAGAACAGTCTTGAGTATTAGTGACACATCAACACCACAGCAGCCTTGTAGATATTCGCAAATCCAGACCAGTGCAGCGGACAAACCGAAACGACGACAGTGGTAGAGACAATAGTCCCCTATTACTAAATAAAGAGGATCTAAGTGACTTGATCAGGGATCTTGGCCTGTCTAAAAGTTGATAAAAATTTCATCAACCATATGACAGCTATTGAGAAATGTGCATGAGAAGAGTTTGTTTGAGTAGTGAGAAATTTTTTGAGAATACTAAGTCTGACGGCTACATTCAGCACGTTGAACAGTTGTTGATACACTTCCAGCGGCTTGGATGCAACATGACTATTAAGCTTCACTATCTTCACAACCATCTAGACTATTTTCCTGAAAATCTAAGTGACCTAAGCGAGGAACAAGGAGAGCGCGTTCAACAGGATATTCGCTCTATGGAGAACAAGTATCAGGGGTACTGGAAGGAATATATGATGGCTGGTTATTGTTGGAGCATTCAAAATAGTACTCATGATACATCTCACCCTAGAAAATCCACAAAAAGGAAATTTTATTCAGACTAAATATATTTAATCATTTTTTTAAAATTAAATTTTGTGCATTTTTAATGAAAAACCCTGTCTCTTCATAACTCCAAAACTAGAGCTGCTACATAAAAACGGCATATATTTTTGAAATCAGCACGGAAAAACTATTCAGATTCATGTAAAAAATCTCATGCAACAGACATGCTGTTTTCCAGTGTAATGTTTAAATGAAACTAATATTTTGTATGCTACATCTCGTCTGATAATCATGGTTGCTAAAAAGTAACCAAAACATCGGGAGTATGTAGTTTTATACAAAAATAAACTGCATAGTATATCAACAATATATTAGTTTCATTTAAATAGAATTTGCAAAAATCTCAGTTCTCATTCTGTACCTTCAGCTTCAATTTCACAAGACATACTGTCGTTGGGATCCTCATTCACAGAGTTGTGGTCGCTGCAGTCATCCTTCGGTTCAGTTTTGAGTTCCATTTCCGACGACTTTTTGGTTTCTGTAACATATTAATGAGTAATTTAAGATCTTTCTTAACATTCTAAGAATAAAACCTAAGCTCTTCTCTGCAATATGATGAACCTGGTACTGGCACGGTGAATTCAAGGAATGATGAGATGTTTTGTCTCAGACAGGTATTCAAAAAATTCTATATCATATACAGATATGGTAATATTAGATTTACTAAACAAAATATTAAGAATAAACATTGACCAAATTGATATATAAATTAAATATATTTAAATTTATATATATTTACCATTATGTAAAATTTCTTTGTATAAAAATCGTATATACAAATGTATAAACATCTTTTATAAATTTAATTATTAAATATTATGATTAATACTTACTATGCTATGCATGTACTTTGCAAGAAAATGTTCTAAGAATAATATATATATAATAATGTCTCTCACCATCCTTATCCCCTAGTTTAGCTCCAAGGAACAGCTCCTCACATTGCAGGACCTGCTGCCTGAAGGCACAAGCATCTCGTAACCTCACTACACACGTAGCACAAACACCACTATCTTTAACATCTTCATCTACATGGGATAACTGGAAAAGTATGGACATGGTTTTTGTTAAGTATCAAGCTTTTTCAGCTATTAAATTTAATATGAAATTTATTTCGACCAGTATTTTTTACGTGTTTTAATACGATGGCTTTGATTTAAATGGATTGTTATAAGTTTATATATTTTAAATATTCTATCACGGTATCAGCGATTAATATAACATTTTTGATGTAAATAACATTTAAAACATATTTGTATAATCTATACTATTATTTCAATATAAATAAATATTCCGAACAAAACTAGGGATGTGTAGAGGTATAGTTTTTTTTTTACGTACGAGTATACCGAAACAGTCCATGATCATATCCGCGTAAACCTCTTTCTGCTCCATCCAGGTGTACTCCACTGTGAGAACTCTACATTTTTTTATAGCTCTACAGCAACGGCACAAAGCTGGGTCTATTATGGGTCCGTTGTTTTTCATTAGTGCCATTCTGTTCTCACAAACATAAATAACACTTCATTCACAATAACACTGTATTTGTTATAACTATAACAACATTATTTGGATTGTTTTTTGACCGACAGCCCCTCAATTCTGCATCTCGCATTTGTATCGTAGGGATGTGACAGAGTTCTGAGTACTTGAATATCGAAATCTTTTAAACGATTTTAGATTATATCGATAATATGTCATACGATTTTTGGTTATATGCAACTAAATAATATACTTAAAGTTTATTTGTGTCTATAAACCAAGAGAAATTTGTTTAATTTATGTATTAATGTCGTCATTACACAAAATATAATCCATTGAAATTAAATTTGACCGCATTTACGTAGTCTGTGGTTTTCGTTCTCATTTCGTTCTGATTCCTTGTCAATTTCAAAAGGCTGGTTTCCAAGCCTACATTTTTCGAAAAACTTGGCGAATTTGTTTATAAATATTCAAAAAATGAGTGTCGAAGAAGATTCTCCTGAGTATATAATAATACCGGAATGTTTGAGCCGCTGTAAATGCTGTTTCGACGACAATAATCTTAAAAGCATGTGGGATGCGTATAGTAATGATGGCGATCAAGAAGTGTACGGAGATATGATAGGAGAGTGCTTCGCAATATCTGTAAGTATTTTCAAAAATAAAAGACTTAAAATCCTACCTAGTGTTATTACATCACTTATATTTACATCTTAATTATTGCAAAAATATTATATGCTCACGATTTGGTAATTTTGAACTCAATGAAATAGATTAAAAGCGAACTCAAAAATACACAAATATTTGTCAAAATTACTTCATTCTTAGTAAAATGTTTAATCGCCAACCCTAAAGGACATCATTTTTTTAAATTTCCCTTAAATTCACAATAATAATCTATATATACTTTATAATAAAATATTTATGCCGATAATCTTTAATTTCATAGAAAATTTACATTTTGTTACGTATTTCATTAATAACTAAAGAAACTACTGTGTGATAATAATAAATCTTACATCTGTGTAATTTAAAATAACCATCCATAAATTTGATCATTTACTCATTTATGTTTTATTGTCTTTTGTATTTATTATGACAAATACAAGTTTTTATGAATTTTGAGTATGAGAATTAATAACGGCTAGCATTTGTGAGAAGAAGAAGAATATTATTTCAATAATAGCTGATGTGTGACTGAGAAGTGTGGAAGGTAATTTCATCAGCACCAGAATACATATATAACTTGATTACCGTTTTATATGTATATGTTTTTAAGATGAAAGAGTTAATATTTAACTTGCTGAATATTTAACTTATACTGAACCCATCACCTGCTCGGTGAATCCATGGACTTCTAAGAAGATTCATCTCTGAAAATAAGCTCATTACGATCTTCTTCTACCTGGCAATTTCCCAGCTTAGCCAGGGTGAGCCTTACATGTTGTGACTAGTTTTGGCTTAATGTTTCTACGACCAGCTGCCTGCCTGACATCTACTCTCTATGGGAATGCATTAATCAGTGATGTCTAAATACTCTTAGAAAGTACATATGACTCAGAAAAATCACATTGGTACTTGCCAGGATCGAACCCACATCCTTATGCATGAGAGGTGGGCCTTCTAACCACTAGGCCACCACTGACCTAATAAGCTCATAATGATATTATATTTTTGATCCCATTATCTTGAGCATCTCAATTTCTTCAAATTGACTTTGTTACCTCCGAGTTAAGTATCTGTTTCGTTACTGTAGTCTCCAATAAAACTATAATTCATAATGTATGTATTCTGTTGAGCATCAAGACTTAACGACGGAACCTAATATAATGAAATGTACCTACATGTATTTGACATCATATTATTTAATACCGAGCAAATATACATATATATATATATATATATATATGTGTGTATACTTGCTCGGTAAGTTTAATTATTAATTAAACACTTGATGTTCAAGTGTTTTTACTAGCCTGTAATGTGTGTAGGTAACTTAGTAATATTGTATGATGATGCATTTGTAAGTGTATAATTATTGTAATGTGCTTATGTTCGTTATTAGATACAACTCAAGTAACCCAGTAAAGCCTGTACCTCGTAATAAATAATTTGTTTTGTATAATAATTACCATTTCTTATGTGAACCTTGACATGCATAATTTGGTGGTTTCACAAATTAATTTGCTCTAATTTTAATAACATGTATTAAAATGACATATATATAATCTACTATATTCCCTAAGAGGGTTGATGTCAGGCAGGCGGTTGGTTGTAAAAACAATTAGTCAAAACTATTCACAACATGTAAGGCAGATCCTGGCCAAAACTGGGAAATTGACAGGAAGAAGAAGATATATAATCTACTATATGTGTGTTTGTCACTGAACTCCTAATCTGCTGGACCGATTTGAATGAATCTTCTTGTATGCATTTGTAACGCCTCAGATAGTATAGATTAGAAAAGGCTGCAACATAAGCTAGTATATGTACTGTTTTAACACACTATAAATTTCTCTCTATTTTGACTCTGACGTACAATCAAACAAAGTTGCAGATGATAACTAGTGTTACTAATTAAAAATTATTCCATATAGAATATATATACCGAGTAGAACTCTCTAGAATTATCTTTTAAATATGATATGAATGACTCATAGTGTACTAGCTTTCCGCCCGCAGCTTCGCCCGCGTAGAGTTCGGTTATATCGCGTTTCCAAGAGAACCTTTCAAAAGTCTGGGATAAAAACTATCCTATGTTCTTTATCAAGGTCAACTCTATATGGGTACCAAATTTCATTAAAATCAGTTCAGTGCTTTAAGCGTGAAAGCGTAACAGACAGACAGACAGAGTTACTTTCCCATTTATAATATTAGTAGGGATATTAATTATGTAATAATTAACTTTCAGTGGGAAACTCACGAGCAGAGTGATCTCATCTGTGAGATGTGTGTGATAAGACTTCGAGAGGCTCTCACCTTCAAGAGAAATATACTGGCTACACATGAACTGTTACAGGAAGGTAAATAATAATTGTAATAATTGGTCATATATATAAAACAAACACACACACACACTACCACGACTCACACACACATATAATACATCAATCTGTGAACATTCTTCAATGTGTGTGTTGTCACTGAATGAAAAATATATCCTTATTTATATATATATAATAAAATTTCACTATGAGTGTCTCTTTATCATACATCTACAATCTACATATGTATAACTTAATGGTGAAAAGGTCTAAAAGATCCAACAAAGGAGAATTTAAAGTAAAATTTTCCATAGAATATATATGTGTGTATCATATTCAAGTAATAATTCACATACTAAATACTAATACATATATTTATACTTCTACATGGCAATTGCCCACTTTTAGCCAGCGTCTGCCTTACATGTTGTGAATAGTGTCGGCTAATTGTTTTTACGACCGGCCGCCTGCCTGACATCAACCCTCTGAATGCATTAATCAGTGATGTCTAAGTACTCTTATAAAGTACATATGACGCGGAAAAATCACATTGGTACTTGCCCGGCCTAGGTTTGAACCCGCGCCCTCATGCATGAGAGGCGGGCCTTTTAACCACTAGGCCACCACTGACTGACACAAATAAAAAAATATATCAACAAAAGCTAGTATTGAGATTTGCAGCTAAAAATAATATTAAGTCCTAGTATAATTGTTAATTTTATATAATTTCTTATAAATATTTCAGCAATAGATATGAAAGATGTGAAACAATTTCCATCCATCGATGTGGAAATGGAAACACAGGTGAAAGAGGAATGGATAGAAGATGGAAATTACAACGATGGTATACCTGATGCCTTTGAAGATGTGGAGTATCTTGATGAAGAAGGTATGATATATTGAACACTAAATAATTAATAATTGTGAAAAAATTACCTTTAAAGTCGTTAATATCCCTACTAATATTATAAATGCGAAAATAACTCTGTCTGTCTGTCTGTTACGCTTTCACGCCTAAGCCACTGAACTGATTTTAATGAAATTTGGTACAGAGATAGAGTTGACCTTGAGAAAGAACACATAATAGTTTTTATCCCAGACTTTTGAAAGGTTCTCTTGGAAACGCGATATAACCGAACTCCATGCGGGTGAAGCGGCGGCCTGAAATCTCCTTATATACTTTTACATGTCAAAATCACTGTTCTGTCTGCCTTAAGGATTATTAACAATAAATACTTGAATTTCTAACTCTTAATAATAAAAAAATATTTTTTATAGATGGAATACAAACACCAGAACCAAAAAGAAAATGGCCGAAGAAGAAAAAGAAATCTGAAAGGCTGGCTCGGTACAAGCAGTACTCAGCTGATGATATGAGGCAAGCTATTAAAGCTGTTAGGAACGGGGAGATGACTTGTACTATAGCTGCTATCACATACGGTGTGCCGAAGAAAACATTGACAGCTAAAGCCAATGATAAAGATAGAAATGGTAGGTAGATTTTAATTGTGTTTGTATAAGTTAGGTGAAGCTATAAGAACAATTATTGTCACTATTTCAGTGATTTGTCATTAATTATTACTATAATTTGATTAAATTTTTAATTTTATGTAAATATTTCAATGTAATTCTTGTTTCTAGTTTTATTGTACAAAAGATTATAAGTGCCTAAATTACTTTTTAGGTATAATTTAATGTGTTTTAAATTGTTTTCTTGTATGAAATGAATTTTTACTTTGAAGTACATTATAGTGTCATATAAGTAAATAATGTAAATGTATAATTGATGAAATCAAATGTTCCATCCACAGAAGACGACGGTAAAGATTCTACAAGCGAGAAACATTACAAGCTGATAGAGGAAATCAAGAATATATTGAAATTCACCAACGCTATACCGTTCAAAACTAAAACTACCCGCTATTATTGTGCCTACTGCTCAACTGATGGGCCTATATTTGAAGATGGGGACTGTCTTCGATTGCATACGAGATTGGAACATGATAAAGAAAGATTGAGAGGCGTTGAGAAGTTTATGAGACCGCAATGGATGAACGAAATCGTCAAATTGGATATAGAAGGCCTGCATTGTACGACATGCAGAGTAAGACTGCCTGATTGGAACAAAATGTTCGTACATTTCGCCAATGCACATAATATTGAATTCGATCAGGCTTATACAAGAGTGATTCCATACGCTTTGACGTCGCAACTAAGATGTGTGCTGTGCAAAGAAAGTTTTCACAACTACGGCCATGTAGATAGCCATATGAATCATCATTACAGCAATTATATATGCCATCAGTGTGGAGATACCTTTTTGGCTGCGAGTCGCTTCGATAAGCATCTGAAAGTACACAAAATAGGTAATTATCCGTGTGAATTGTGTGATAAAGTGTTCACTTTGGAGAAGTATAGGACAAAACACAAAAATTTGGTCCACGATCAGAAAAGTATGGTGAAATGTCTGTACTGCAGCGAGAAATTTGTTGGACTGTTCCAAAGACATTTACATGTGACCGAACATCATAAAGACAAAGTTAAAGTGTATACATGTGAATTGTGTGGTAATTGTTACACTTGGAAGACTTATTTCCTAGCTCATATGAGGAGACGACATGGCACTGATAAAAAGCACCAATGCAAGCACTGCGATAAATCTTTCTTAATGAAATATGAGCTTAGAAATCACATGATCAGGCACACGGATGAGAAGTTTCTATGTGGTCTGTGTGGTAAGAGTTTTAAGAGAATGCTCACGTTGAAAAAGCACTGTTTAGCTCATGAAGAATTCAGTGCTGAAGATTGATTAAAATATATAGCGATATACAATGATTCAATAATTGTAAATAAATATTTGTATATAATAAATTATGAAATTTATAATGTTTTTATTTAATGATTTCCGATCATGTTGTTAGCTTTTACATCGATAGATAGCACTATCAACAATTTTAACAAATCATGAACCAAATGTCATTTTAAATGTCTGTTAACATTTGTATTTCGTAATGCATGATTAAAGTATGTAAGTAAGAATTAAACAATACAGTTTAGTTGTTATATGGGTAGTGTATGCAGTGCTTATTTGCATCTATGGTGTGCACGCCACTGATGTACAGTTTTGTATTAAGTTTTTGAAGGGTGTAAAGTTTCCAAATTCTATGCTCTCCAAATAAATATTTATAAAATACTAGCTTTCCGCCCGCAGCTTCGCCGCGTGGAGTTCGGTTATATCGCGTTTCCAAGAGAACCTTTCAAAAGTCTGGGATAAAAACTATCCTATGTTCTTTCTCAAGGTCAACTCTATCTCTGTACCGAATTTCATTAAAATCAGTTCAGTGGTTTAGGCGTGAAAGCGTAGCAGACAGACAGACAGACAGAGTTACTTTCGCATTTATAATATTAGTAGGGATTGTATTCCCTATATTCCTTTGATCAACCAAGAATCAGCTGTTTTTTTAATACCTTTTTATACCTTAATGTTTTTTAACAATTATACCCATTCAAAATGTAACTATTGTTCACCAGATCAGTGACAAACAGTCATGTACCAATCAGAATAAACATCGTGAGGATTATGGACTAAATCTTCCCATTTGCATGAATATATCTTTATATGTCTCTAACGATTTTCATGAAATTTGCTATATAAGGGGTTCGATAAATCGATCTAGCTAGGAATCATTTTTAGAAAATGTTATTTTATTTAAAAAAAAAATACATAAAGGCGTTTAAAAAATGACTCTTCCTGACATCTATTGGCGAATAGTAATACTACTTTGTACTAATTGCTTGAACGACACAACAGCAGATGGCATTGTTTTGAGATTAAAATAAGAAATTAATTGTTGATTTATATTGTTTTGTGTCTTAACGTCTTCACTTAAAAATGTCGAAACGAAATAAAAAAAGAAAACAAAATAAATACTAACAATTCCTAAATACCGAGCAAAGCTCGGTAGCTAGATATTATATATAATACAGGCCTGACATAGCGGCCGTCTAATTATTATAGTCAAAGATATTTATTATGGCAAAATGTAGGGAGCGAAAATTCCCTGGATACGATAGTTCCCAAAAATCATGAACAAAGTGGTGTTGGTCGTATGATAGACGTACGCTATGGCTCGAAAAACATTTTCAGGTAGTTAGTTCAATTTAGTTGTGTGTTGGTTGAGAGGTGTTTGTTCAGCAGTGGGTTGATTACAGATGAATCATTAGTTTATCAGAAGGAAACATTTTATAATTTGCTACAGAAATTAATTTTAAAGGCTTTCTAATGATTTATTAAAAGAATCAATCAAATATGCGAGTATATCTTCAAAATCTTTTATATAGACCAGTTGTCATTTAAAAACATCTTTTTTATTGTTATGTAATAAAACTTAAATGGTATCTTAAATTAATTGAAACCACTATTTCATATTAGTTGGTATATAAATATTATTAGATCGCAAACCTAGTATAAGAAAAATATTAGTGGCTACCTGATAATACCTTAAAATATGTTACCCTAAACTTTATACTTTGTGAAATCTAGAGATGTAATCTATAATAATTAATTATTAACAGTTACGAATAATGTTATCAATAAAACATGTTATTGTTTTTTTTTTAAATTTATTAATTATTTTTTTCTTCTCTGATTTAACTGTCAAGCTTCGGAGAAGTCATAACAAACCTGATTAAATTAAAATGCGGTATTTAACAGAAAAAAAATTACTTTATTCATGTAGCGGCTCTTTTTATATCCGATTACTAGAATATTAGAAAAAATGTTCTTTTACATTCCTGTCTATTTACAAACATAACAATAAGAATATTCTAGCAACCGTAAAACTTCATCCATTCGCCACCAGAGGGCGCTGTTTTAGCGTCGAGAACAGTTTACCATATTTACTTAGCCGCATTCTATGTAGACACGACGCTTATAAAAATAAATTCGTATATTTTGAGCAGCAAACGATAATTATACGGCACTTCATTTACTTTATTGAAATATATTATTTACTTCGTATCAAGCTGAAAATTATACAAATGTACAAGCAAGGATTTTGTACTTTAGTTTTCCACTGAGCAGATTATCTAGTAATCAGTCTATCTCGGCAGATTATTTATATATTCCATATGATGGGTCTTCATATGTCCTTTCAGACTACAGTTCTGTACAAATCCTTGTCCACACTCGACGCAGACGTACCTCCTATCATTATTATGTATTCTCATGTGCTCCTTTAGAGTTTTCTTCCTAGCGTAGGACTTCTTGCACACATTACACTCATAAGTCCTTTGTCCGTTGTGTTTTATCATGTGCGCTTTGAGTTCGGTTATCGTATAACACTTGTATGAGCAGAGATCGCAAGTGATGTCCCTCATATCAAGATGCCGCCTCTTCATGTGGCAGGATAGCGCGTAGCGGCGTTTGAACAGCGCATCGCATACGTTGCATTTGTAACGCAACGGCGTGTCTCCGTGTGCATCCACCATGTGTTTGTGGCGATGGCAATAATCATTGAAGCGCTCGGGACATTTGGGACATTTGTTCTTTTTCACCATTTTGTGGATAACGTCAATATGGTTTTTGTATTTGTGCTGCGCTTGGAATATTTTGTCGCACACTTCACACGGGTAGTTGCCAGTCACGTGAGCCGATCTGATGTGTCCTTTCAATCTGTTCTTCGTTATAAAGCCACTTCCACACTGATCACAGATGTAGTTCCTATAATGTATGTTCATATGTCTCTCCACAGCGCCGAAGGTTTCGAAGTTGAAGCCGCATATATGACAGTCGTATTTATTCTTGCTGAGTCTAAACGGTATTATTCTGTCGCCGTATTCCGTGTATATTTTCTTCTTATGCGCCATAATCAGGTGGTATTTGAGTTCGTTCATGTTTGGTAGTTTTTTGTCGCATATAGAGCACTTTATGTCCTCCACATGGGCATATACAGCTAGTCTATCTGGTGGGTACTTGCTGATGATTGACTTGATCTTGTCCTTGCAATGACTTTCAACCTGATGATCAGTTACAAGGTCAATGTTCTCGAACTTTCGATTGCAGTACAAACATATATATCCATTTCTTCGTCTAGTCTTAAAGGCTATTAGATTAGAATTCTCCAAGATTGTAGTCACATTGTTTATATGAGCCAGCTTCTCTGTCACATATATTTTGGAGTTTATTTTGTGTGAAACTCGATCTGTGGTATCGATTTTAATCGATTTGGCTGTTATTATTTGTCCTGGAAAACGATTACAATTAATATAATACTATAAAATCTATTTATGAAACATAAATATGAAAACTTGTTACGCTTAACAAAATTAAGCTATGTACATGTTAGTGTGAATGTTTCAATATGTTTTATAATTAAAAATCGCTACTAATATTATAAATGCGAAAGTAACTCTGTCTGTCTGTCTGTTACGCTTTCACGCCTAAACCACTGAACTGATTTTAATGAAATTTAGTACAGACCTAGAGTTGACCTTGGCAAAGGACATAGGATAGTTTTTATGCCAGACTTTTGAACAGTTCTCTTGGAAACGTGATATAAACGAACTCTACGCGGGCGAAGCTGCGAGCGGAAAGCTGGTTTACTAATATATTTGACTTATTAACAAATTAAAACTACCTTAAAAATACCTTTTAATAGCTCCAATTCCTTGTAATATTTATTGCATATATATTTAAGGCTCTCTCTCGAAGGCAAAGGTTTAAGATCGTTGTACCGCGACAATAGCTCTTGTTCTCCAGATACATAATCTTCATAGAATATCCTCTCTGAAAGATGAAAAAAATATTTGTATTAAAAACTCCTTATTTAAAACCTACTTACTTATAAAAGCTATTTTCTGCTAGTACATATAACCTATTTGTAGACTTAATTATCTTTTACAATTTTCTTTATAAGCTTAGCTTTTTCTTCAAATAAATTATATAGAAGTCTGAATTTTTTTACAATAACTAGAACAATATAAAGCTCAGAAGCAAATATTTACAAGGACATTTTTTGAAAACTAATGTACTTGCTTGGGCATTGGGTAAACATCTTGTTTACCCACAAAAAGAAATGTGTACATAAGCAAGATGAGAACAAGCTCCTGAAAATATTAAAAAATAAAAATTATCAGGAATATTGTAAACTATTATTCATAAGTGTAGTATAGTATTTAAATTCCACAATTCTGTGTTTTCTCCACACGGTACTCAAGATTATAATCCGTCTAACAAATAAAAACAATGATTCCAGTGTGAACGAAGCCATTGCATTAAAAACTTACACAACACAACTTGTTATAAATTATGAAATAATTTATCTATTTACTTATTACTTTTTAAATATAAAAAAAAGAAAAAATAGATAAATTTAAGTTGATAATATTAAGATCATTCACACTAGAATTGTAGAATATTATAAATGACAATGTTCATATATATATATAAGTTAATATTTTCTTACAATACCTTCATCATCATGATTGTTCACTTGTAGACTCTCATTGTCTTCCTTCACATTTTCCAACTTGACTTCACTATCCAAAGGATTTGTACGAGCTGTAAACAAGAAGAAATATTATTAACTTTAAGAAATAGAAATTTATGAACACACTACTGTTTGTATATGTGAGAAAAAGTATATATGTATAATTTTTAAATAGTATTATGAAAAATCTTGTTTACAGAGACTAGTTGACCAACTACCGACCGGAATACACCATTTACCAAGTTATCTAGCTCATAAGCCACAGTATATTACTTCATACAATAAAAATAATTTCATTTGCAATTTATTTCTTCATAAA